CATACTCTAACAACGAGGTCAAGATAAGTGAAATTCTAAAGTGATTCCCGTGACTATAACAGAAACTACGTGATCAAAAGACAATGAAAGGAACAACCTTTTTACTCTCCACTTTTCTGTCTTCGAAGTAATACTGTTTATCTCAAGAAAGCTGGCGTTTGATGATTGGAACGAAAAAGATAATGGCGCATCTGCCCTCAAAAATCAATAGAATGTGAATAATTAATGAGTTCTTTAGACCAAATTTCAACGGTATTTAATTGAATTTTACAGTGACTATAAGTGAGGATCATATTGATAACGGTTCTATGCTCTGATCTTCGTTGTAGAGATTTTGCAGGTTTCGGTAGAATTATGTACGATTTGTCGGCTTGATGGCTAAAATAATTGTCTTGTAAGATTAAATTTACAAAGTTGGTGTCTACAGTTTGGTATTAATGAAAGATGTTTTTGTCTCGGGGTACAAGGATAAACAGGAAAAGGAACTTTTGTATTTGCTTATCTGTTAAGATCAGCAAAATAATCAATGATTGCTGGTGGTCCAAATTTCACCGAGAGAAATGAGTTGATTATTAAGAGAGTGTCTCTGTAAGAGCGGTCCGGTCGATTTTGCTTGAGACACGGATTTCGCTCGTTTCTTGTGTGTTGTAAGACATTCATGTACCTATACTAAAACAACAATCAGTTTGATCGGATCTCTTTATTTTTCAGAGTTTTACGGAAATTAAATTTCACTCGAGCGAAGGCTTGTCGTACAACTTTCATACAACTTTGGAGGACAATTTACAAAAGACTACGGAACTCAGAAAAAAACAAATACCACAGCCATGTATATTAACTTTATCTTATCTATCGAGGCGACTTTCGTAAAAATCATACCTAAAGGTATGTAGATTACCGAAAATTAGGTAAGTTCATGGAGTTATAAAGTTCTCGTAAAGGTCGGGCCGCAAAGTTTTTTTCTGTAGTTACCTTTTCTATGACAACTACTTCCTAGCTATGTTAGTTGGATCAGTTTAGAACGCCTCACTTTTTCAAAAATTTACCTTGAATTTGATCGGTTTTGGCGTGTGTGATTTAGGCGAACCGATAAGGTGTCGTTCAAGTCTTCCTGTTTCCTTGATTGAAACGTGATGTTTACGAAAGTCGCCTCGATAGATAAGATAAAGTTAATATACATGGCTGTGGTATTTGTTTTTTTCTGAGTTCCGTAGGTTTTTGTAAATTGTCCTCCAAAGTTGTATGAAATTAAAGTCTTGAAAAGTGTCACGACAAGCCTTCGCTCGAGTGAAATTTAATTTCCGAAAAACTCCGAAAAGTAAAGAGATCCGATCAAACTGATTGTTGTTTTAGTATAGGTACATGAATGTCTTACAACACACAAGAAACGAGCGAAATCCGTGTCTCAAGCAAAATCGACCAATTTCCAATTTTCTTCAAAGGTTGTTTTGATTTTTTGGCTCGATGCCCTAAATCTTCATCCTTTGAAAACTCGTGGTTCCTGTTCAGTATTTATGCAAAGAGCACTAATGATTCAAAGAATAAGCAGATAGCTATGGCCTTTTCGCCTATCGGAATTAAGGGCTACGTGCTTGTCATTGCACTCCTTAAATTACGCTCGCAGGCAATGTAATAAAAGGACGTTTGTTAACGGAAGAGCCATATAATTATGAAGCTGCGCTTTCTTCTGTATGGATAGTTGAGCCTGTGTTAGTAATTAAATGTATGTCAGGAAATAGTCCTCCAATTCATTTTCCATGTTGTTCGTGTATTTAGCCCTTTGAGAAGGAAGTCTTTAATTATGAATGATCTTTCTTGTAAGGTTTTAGAAAATTTACAACAAGTGTTTCTTTTTATCCTTGCTTTTTATGAGACTCCAATTTTCGTTAAAGTGCTCTTAGGGTATGGAATACATTGGAATGTTTATAAATTTGGTGTGGATAGTTATGGTTATCATACCATAAGCAAAGTATATTGCCTGGTGTATGTCGATCTCCTTAAAAAGGCATATTAGCTGTGTTCTTTATTATTTCTGATTTGCGAAAGGTGAATGAAACAAAATTTTCTATTGGCAGATTTTATCGTTCTTTTTGGAAATTTACTGTCGCATTCCGAGGATAGGGGGTGCTAGAGCTCTGTAGTTTTTAGCGAAAAATATCTCTTCGCTTGGATCAAAGGATTTGGATTCGGTATATTGATTTTATCCCACTGATTGATTCTATTTTGGACTTGAATTGGTAATTTTACCCTGGCTTATGGTCAAAATAATGTGAAGATCATTTTCTTAATATTTTTGTGATATGACGGGCCGCCCAAGGAGGAAAAAGGAAGCCTTCCGTTATTTTCGGAGGCTGAGATGATTTTTCAGCTCGATGTATTAAATAATTGTCCTTTAAAATTTCATTGATTTCACGTGCTGGTTGATTTTAGCGAAGTGCTGTTATTTTCTCAAGGATAATCAGTAATGCTGTATTCGTGTAATGGAAACAATGGAGAAAATTATTTCTGTCGTCATTGAACACCTTAAATTACTTTTCCTTGCGACAGATTAACAGGAAGGTAGTTAAAGATAAATGGAAGTTTCTCCATAGGGAGCATTTTGATCGCAGGGCCTGTGTTATTTATTACTTTGAACACTAGGAATGAGTATTTTTATTTTGAAAATTAAAACGTTGCTTTGTCTCTGAAAGCCCTCGCATTTGCACACTCTTAGTAGTATAATAAATGAGCTAGTTGGACAAAATTTGGCATATGAAGTGAAGACAAGTGAAACTCTTTTTGATATCGGTGTCTGTTGAATCGGTCTGCCAAGGAGTAAAAATGACCCAAGTCTTTTCTTGGCGTCGCTAGTTCTGAGGTTAGTGTTAGCTTTCCCCAAATTGAATTTACTTTTAATGCAAGGTTTTATGTCTATGGTTGACTTGACAACGCGCCACCAATTTTTGTTTCTATTGAATTGATTCCATCGGACTTGAGGAATTAATGTAGTGTGACGTAATTGACATGGAATAATTATTCAGTAATCTTGACATCGCAGCCGAAACACTTTATTTACAGCCTAAGATTTTCCAGAGTTTCTTTGACTGCATTTCTAAAATCCTTGATCTTCCAGCAGTACAGCATGGGACCAACTGTAGAATTTAGATAAAGCAAAGTTTTGCAAACAAGTTACGTGTTATAGGAGAAAAGCTTAATGGAGAACTGACAGAAGAACCGGCAATATTAAATTAAAGATTGATATGTAAGGAAGGTAACTGATCATCATCGCAGCAAAAACCCATAAAGCGCTGGACACTGTTATTTTGTATCGCACCAAGAGCAAGGCTGCAATATCCCATTGAGGTGGCCTTGTGGAGTTATTTGAGCCTGAATGTGATTTTTGAGAGTGAGATAGATTCGCGTGTAACAGTAGGTGGAGACAACTAGCCATAAAGAACATATTATGACGTGAAAGACGAGAGAAGCAAATTCGTTCGTAAATAATAGGAAGCAGGTTCCTGTGAAAACCAACAACAACAGAACAACTAGAAAGCGAGCTCGTTTTATTGTCACAACTTGGCGATACCTGATTCCCAAAGACAACGCAAGAAGCCTGTCCGCACTAATTGCATTGGCAGTCGAAACTGAAATCACGCACATGAATGAGTTGGAGAAAAGCCAGAGTTTCTCCATGAGATAGCAGTGATGCCAGTGTTGCAAGACAACAAGCCGAAACGAACCGCAGCTGCTGCTTTCTGCACAAGAAGACCAACATCGAGATCCGAGAATGCCAAGCAACGAAGAAGTACTTTGGGAGGACACTTAGTAAAGTACAGCCAGGATTTATACATTTCCCAAAGTTGCTGTAATGAATGATGCAATGTTTATCCCTGTTAGAACCAAAAATAGAGCAGAAACCTGCCAAGAGTTGTTATGACTAACGATAATTTGGCTACAGATCGCTGAGATATCGACCGTAATTAAACTGTGATCTTTCCCTGAAACTCTGGAATGAAAGTTTTGACCTCAAACCTCTTTGCTGAATTTCCAGCTTTAGATAAATTTCCTTAGCCCAACAAAAGCTTCCTCTTCTGATCTTTGTCAAGATTTCATGGCAAGCTTGCGTTCTTTACATCTTGTTGAAAGCTTACAAGTACACGCACTTAAGTTGTGTAGAGGTTCACAACTGAATCTGCCATTTTTAATGAAGGAGCTGAGACCCCACTGCTATTTACAAAAATGTTCGGAATAATTTACAAAAGGTTTTTCGGAAATGAACATCTACTCTTTGGCATTCAATAGATTTTGAGGGGAAAATATTAACTTATATCAATCGAAACCTGAGACGCAAGAAAGCGATAATTACTTGGACACCGCTGTATTTCAGATTGACCTTCCTTTTGTTTTCCTGATCTGTTTTGTTCTCTTTTACTCGATTTGGTAGTCGTAGGTAAATGTATTTTCCTTAATTATGTAATAAATGTTAGTGACCTCATAAACAGATTCTATCTTAAAATCTCACTCAAAATGAAGTATTCAAGTTACCATTCCCAGTAAATAGGAAGAATAGCCTATTAAGGGGGTTAAAAGATTTTTCCGAAAATTACGCACTCTCGTTATCTCAAACGATATAACGAGAAATTAACGCTCTTGAATGATCTGCCTGTTTCTTAGGAAAGGAAAATGTTTAATTTTGTAGCATGGTGCAAATTTGGTGCAATTATGTTTATTTATGCGGTGAGACGATCTTCGCAAGTGTTAGATGGCTTACTCAACAAGCAGAATCGATTCACTTTTAGGAAACGGGAAACAGAGGAATTTTTAGATTGTTTGCACAGTACAACTCTTATGCAATAGGTTATTTGCGGACAAATGTTATCAGTTCATGAACGTTTCCCGTTCCGAAGATCAACAGGTAGCGCCAACCTATTTAATTTTGCTTGAGATATGCAAGTAATATTAATCCAGTCCATGTATCTTATTGCGTCCTTGACTGACTACTTTTTTGTTTTTTTCTATAGCAAAGTGAGATAGCTGTCCAGCACCATGGCTTCATGGTAAGTCAACAAAATTGTGTTTGTTTGTAAAATGTTGGGAATAAGAGAGTAGTATTGTACTTACATTTACACGCAACGCCATTTTACGTTACAGTGTGATGGCTGTGGAATGAATCCAATATCAGGCACAAGATGGCACTGTACCGACTGCTCAAAAGATGTTAGTGTTGATTTGTGCACGGAGTGCGCAGAAAGGTAATTGAGTTGTAATCGCCATCTTGAAATTTTAGTCTTGCTACTCGTATTTTTATGCTTAATATCAAGGGGAAAAGAAGGGAAGTTTTTCTTGATAGGAGAATACCCTATGACCAGACGTATTTTTCGGCACTGTTCCTTTTCATTACCTTCTTCATTTACATGGTATCGCTCAGTTAACATCGCAGTGACAACAAGGCTCTTTGATTTGCACAGCCTGTTCACAAATGTTCAATCTGTTTTACAGGGGAAATGTGAATGTGGGTGTTCACACAAGTGAACATCACCTGGAACCAGTGTATTCTAGTTCTACGTTTTTCGTGGATGGAGACTATCTTGGACTCAGCAGAGGCAGCACTAGTGCTGGTTATAATTACCTGGATACCAATTTCCTACCCTCTACTGCCAGCTAGCACAAAAGAGCACAAGGTGTAAAGCGCTTTACCCAATCTGAGCTAAGACAGGCTTGTATTCGGCGTCCTACGCGGGAAAATTCGGAAACAAGAAGTGACTGTCGTGTTTCGTCCAGCTCCTGATTGGTTACTTCTAGAGCATACTCATCCTGATTAGTCGGTCACTATGAGATTCGCGTTCTTAAGTGACAAATCGTGACAGGTCTATTAACTTGTTGAAAGAATAGGTTCCAGATGTTCAGTTTTCGCCTGAAAAACATTCTGAACAGTTTTTGTCACTGATTCTTTATCATTCTCTTTACTAAGGGTCTGAAAACCAGACCTAAAGATAAAGACGAGGGCCAGTCACACGTAAGCTGAACACATCAATCTAGTTAGGAACTGTTATTGAGTGTATGAATTGACCATTTCACATTTGTGTAATTAGTTGCCAATCCTTTGATTTACAGTGAGACTGAAGGTGACCTTGTTTTGATAGAGACCAGTATCTAGTAAGCATGATAAAAAATTAATTTACTTTTGAAAAGCAGCACATTTTGTATCATAACGAAGTCACCCTTAGCCTTACTCCTGTTCAAAGGCGTGGCAACCTAGCACGCAACTGTAAAATGGACTTCCTCAAAGCCAAAGTGAATGAAAAGAGCGCGCGGTTTTATATCTAACGGAGAGTACTTCATGTCCCTGTAAAGTGTTATATCTCGGCAATTGTCCGTGCAAATGTACACCGGTACTTAATTGGACTCCTATGTAATTTTTCATACATCATATATTTTTTTAAGCCAAGTTGTAAGTGTGGAAAACAAGCGACAATTTAAAGAATAAATTATTCTGTTCGTCCTTTACGACTGTGTACCCTGAAAATGTTGCCGTAATTTTATTGATCCGATTGTTTCAATTTATACGTGTTCTACACGAACATCTCTACAACGTTGGAGATAACTGAAATTTTAGCTGGGAACTAAATTTTGCGCTATTAGCAAAACATTATTTCGCAGAGAAATATTATATTTTAAATCTTTTTTCTTATCGCGTTATGCAGAAGGAATTACATGGTAAATTCATAGATGGTTATGTGGAATGAGTAAAAAAACCAAGAGTGCGAATCGACATTTGACTCGCAGGCAGATGTTTTGTTTTGACTGGAGTTTGTAAATTATCAATAACTTTTGTTTTTTTTCGGCTGGGGGGAACTACTGGCGGATCAAGGACTATCCGCAAGTATTGATACCCGCAAAATTCTTCCACCTCACGGTTCATAAATGATCGCTTTGATACGAAAAAGAACAAAAACCTCTATTTATTCGGCAACGTACGTATTTAGACTCTTCCTTAAAACCTACAGAAATTGGAAAAAAAAAAAAAAAGCGAAAATCGTTACAAATCAAGGAGCCCTTGAGTTGTTTAAAGATGCGCCGCGAGGTCACAATTTTAATGGCGTTGTTGATATCTGATGACATGCCTATTACTTGGCCAGCATTTGCGCATGTGCCAAATACATTTAGGATATCAAACAAAATCGCTTGTTCTACTACACGTCATTAATCACGTACCCGGGAGCCACTCGGTATGAAGTTAATTAATCATAGAGATCACAAATGCTTCAAACCCAGAAGCTGCTGAGAACGAGACAAGCTTTATTCAGGGGATGGCTTCAGTTGGCTTTTTCATAACCTTTTTGTATTCCATAGCTCGATGAACCGCGGCCCAGCTTGGTTCCTTTCGATATCTTCCTCAATTATCTACAGAGGGTAATTGATGTGTCGGTATCGGAGCAAAAGAACCTCTTCTCGTTGGTTACGTATGGAACAATAATCTATTATTTAGCGCGTCCCTGACTTTTCCCAGCTTTTGGTAGGGAAGATTTAATCCAGACTGATTGCGTAAAGACACGAAGCTGTTTGTGTATTTTTGAATGTGTTCGTTCGTAAGTGGCAGCGTCTGAGCCAAAAAGTGACTAAGGTTGACTTTTTGCCTGATTCATTCTTAGAAATGATTGTTTACGATTGAAAATGGGAGTCGATAGGGGAAATATGGCGTTTTTCACGTAATGTATTCATTACTTACTTGATCAGAACAAATGCACAGATCGAGTACATCCATAAACAATCTTAGCTCCAATTTTCATTTATTATTCATAACTTTATTTCAACTGGAGTCTTCAGTCGTCTAGTTTACTTTCGTGATTCTATGACATGAAATGGAAAAGAAATTCGACGTATCAAGAAGCATAAAGAGCAAATTCGAGAAACTGCGTCCTTTCAGAATAATAAAAAAATAGTTTGAGCTTTTTAGGATTTTAATCTACACAGGAAATTAAGAGACGCCTTGGGTTGGTCCCGCGGATTCTTTTGGCTTTCCGTCCCGCGGATTCCTTTGACTTTTCTTATCTCCACGGTTCCCTTTAGGAAGCATTGCTTCCCTACGTGAAATTGTCTCGTTGTTTTCAGTGATACACCGCTTCCATTTGAATTATTTTGTCGTCTGGTTTTCCGTAGCTCTGTTTACTATCACAAGCCGCTGACAGGCTGTCGTATCACGTAGAGGCTGTCTTTGTCCTCTTTATGAAAAGGAAAATCCATTAGCGTCTACATAACTATCTTTCTTTTTCGTATGTTTTTTTCTGCCGGTAGGTAGTTTTCACAGAAACCAACTGCGTATTAGTATTACCACTGCTTTAGGAAAAATTTTGTCTTCAAACAAAAAACAACCTCTGTGAGTGCATGCATATGCTACAAAAAGGGCCAGTTTGTTTACAATGTATCATCAATTTGTATTTTATCAAGTTCTCATCGAATTCGCTTGAGACACGCTACATTTCTAAAAACTTGTATCGATACAAGTAATAACATGATTTCGAGTGAAATTTGATGTTAATAAGCACGAGTAAATGTTTCACCGATAGTCAAAAAAATTGCGCTACCATGGTCAAAAACCACGGGTTTGAGCAATTTTGTAGTCTGCGGAAAATTTCGGTTGCCTTTTCACTTCGTTGGCTTTAATTCCATCCACCCACAAATGATCTGTATTGGACTTTTTTCTTTTTTGAACAATGCTTAAGATGTTAGCAATCTACTCACAGCAATTTTTCACTTCAGTAAAAGGTCCTTCATTTTCAAGGCATTTATCCCAGAATATTTATGCAATCTTCATAACAACTTGACCTTTAGGCTTTTTGCAGTTTCGATTGGTCGTTTATACTATCTTCGGTAAGTACTTGCAAATTTGATTCTCAATATCAATAACGGGATGACAAGCTTTATTTCATAAATTTGGTCATAAAAAATTATTTCTTGCCCATTATGCGGAATTTTCTCTTCAAGAAAGTTCTTTCGAGGGTAAGAACAAGAAGTGATGTTTTAATTCAAAATATCTCTCAAAGCGTTGTTCAGTACCATAGAAAAAAAATTGTTTTAAATATAGCATCGTTCCTTTGTTTTCTCCTCACCTCTGTCCCTCTTTTATGGTATTATATTAAAAAGTACTTCGACAAAGTTCATTCTCGTTTTAGGTAGACGTTATTGTGTCCCAGAAGTATTCGAATTTGGCGAAATGTATTCAATTTACTGGCTCCGAATTGACTTTCCTTATTACAATCGGCAGAGCCATTTAAATAAGTGTTGATTCAAAACTTTACGGCAAAACACACCTGTCGCCAACTTAAATATGCATGCATCCCCGATCGCCTTCATTTGAGGCAGGGAACGCCTAGTTTGAAGACTACAGAGCCTTAGAGATGTTGCCACAGCTTATTGCAGCTTTTTTTTTGCTGGGAAATCACGGGCTTGCCCAGGACGTTAAATTGAATCAGTCCAGGTAATGGAAGCTATGTCCTTTCCAATTTCAATTTTTTTGTCCCTAGTCTAAACTTTCCTCGCCAAAGATATATTCTTTATTTTAAAAACGTTTCGTGTTGACGCGGATTTTACTTGGTGTATTGAAATGTTTAAATGGATGTGTATAAGGTATATTTATTTCCACTGTGTACTCCCAAGTTTTGTAACAACGTTGTATTTACCGAAATTTGCGTACGTGACCTACTTAAATTTTGTTTGTAGAATGAGTTTGTTTCCTTGTCCATTTTCAACAATTAATTTCATTCGGTTAGACTAGTCCGATTCTCGAAAGAGACAAATTATTCAGCTGTTTCTATTTCCTTCCCTGCGATATTTTGAACAGATTTTCACCGGCAGAGTATTTTTTTAAGATGTAGTCTATAATATTTACCTTGTAATGAATCAAATTTGTCGGATTGGTTATGAAAACCGCTGGTTTCATCCTTTATTACGGGCGTTGTTTTAGCTTACAACATCATATCATATCATTATAACACGGCAGCGAGCTCGGATATTTACATATCGTCATATAACTAAGAAATTGCGGCAGAAACCACGGAATTTCATAACCGGCTGGCTCTCGACTTCTATGGCCTAATTAAACTGAAGCCAATATGTACTGGGCTCCCTATGGCTTTGAGCTTAAGAATCTATACAATTCTTTTTAAAAATTTATCTCATTTTTCAACGATTCTTTAGATTCTATGTCAGATGTGTATACAACCTACAACTCGGTGCTCGTGCTGTTTAATATGACAAAAGTTAAGCTGGGTATGGTAGAGCGTCACTTCTCTGCTAAAGTTGTTCGGACATCGCAAACAACTGTTTATCACTTTGCGTGCCGAAGAAAGTTTCAGAAAGGCGCTACAGGGGTCATTTCCCCTCATATTCAATTCTTCGTTTGTTTTTTGAACACCACACTGAAGATTTCATATCGACTTGTTTTGTGTACAATTAAAACTGTTGCATCTAGATCCAATGTTTTTTTTTTTTTGCAGTAAAACATCGCATTAAGAAACAGAAATTGATGTTACCCGACAAATTTTATTGGCAAAACAATTCTTGTGCTTTGACATAGCTGAAAATTAAATCTATGTAAAACATCGCGGAGCTTTTTGTATGTAGTCAAAACTAAACGAAACGCAATTTCTTCCTTTTCTTTTGAGATAACAAGATAAAAATAATTTGTCTTATCTTTGATCTTAACTTTTCTGTTTGACATCATTATGATTCAAAGATTTCACAAGTTATACGCGAATACTTTCAAAATATTACGAATAACACGTCGTACGACGTAAAATAAACATTGTTATTCTGATGGAATTCGCCTGGCTAAAATGGTATGACAATAGGTTTTTTGGTAGCTCTTGCATTTCAAAATGTTTCTAAGTGATATTGGAGTCGAAATAAGTACTTTATTTTAATTAGCAGCTGCACGTTGTAGAGATATGTTGTTTTCAGGGATGAGAAGTATTTTTCACACCATTCTATTTCAAGCCAATTGTAATACGAGGTGCTAATTTCGCTGATAAATTGTTTCAATTCACGATTATCACTAGCAGTAATTCATCGTCGAGCTTTGATTGACCTTCGCATTGTAATTTCTTGCCAATTACCACGGAAAAACCCCTCAACCTTTCAATTCCACGTTTCCTTTTTTCATCTGTGGTTGTCTTTTTCGTCTAATGGAAATCCTAAGCTCCGAATGAGAAACAATTAATGCTTCAATTACATTTAGTGAGATGACTTTTCTTGAACTATGTGAATCGAAATCTAGATTTGCCGGAAAATTATCAGGAGAATTAAAATCCTAATGATTTGAGTAATTTTCCAAAGCCGTATTGTATTTTCCCATCCTCTCTAATTTGAACTAATTTTCAAATTTAAAATCGGCTCGGACGAAATAGAGTATTCAAAATGTCCGAAGAAAGTTACAGGCAAGACCAGCGCGTAATGCTTTACGGTTAAAGATAATCCCAGGCTGCCGCACGGACCACGCTTAGCGAAAGAGCAGCTAAAAAATTATGATAAGGGTATCAGGTATCTTTTAGAAAGCAAAGAACGAAAAAACACATCTCATGATTCACTGGGAACGAGTTAAACACGCATCAGTTTAGTCTTGGCTTTGCATGAATTTGAAAAGAATGAGCGGACTGAAAGGAGCCGTTGCATCTGCCCGCAACTGTCTGCTGCGCCGGAGTAGATGTGAACGCAGCACTATCAAGATTTGAGTTCCTATGATGCAAGAGTAACGTTGATGCCAGTTACAAGTAAACCGAAACTCGTCTTTCTTTTTGTGACAACCACGTCAACGTAGGATCATCTCCGGTGTCTTTTACATCCCATTATCAAAGAACAAGATATTCTTCGGACGAGTTCGACAATGAGGACAACATTTGAGTTCAAGCTTCCGGTAAAATACTATGATCTGGATATAATATTTTTTGGGAACCTTTATCAAGCTCTTCATGACCAAGAAAAGATTGCACTGTTATTATTATCGGCCAAAATTGAACCCTCCCATACAGTAAATCTTTAAAACTACTTATGTGCCGGAATCTTGCCTTTGTAGCGATGTACGTCAATTTCACCGAAAAACGTCCTATAATGTTGATAACAATGAAGGTTTCCGCAAATGTCGTAGCTTTGTGCATAGCCAATGTTTAAACGTTTGAAAATCTCGAAATCGTCGAAGGATTCGTCGTGGAAATCCAAAGGACCATCATGAACCGTTATCATATTTTCGAAATAAAAACATTAAAAATATTTGTATATAAAGTTAATAAATTTACCCTCTAGAACGTCTTTTGTCACCTGTGCATCGACAGAGTAACTAGTATCTGTATATTTTTCTTTTTGATCCAGTCCCGTGACCGTTGCAAAGCCTGATACTACGACAACTCCGAAGTCAATGCCAAGTTCATCTAGTAATTTCAATGTAAGCCAACTGATACGTGATCTTCTCGACGGTTATGACAAGAGACTTCGCCCTAACTTTGGAGGTATGAAATAGTCTTTTTTTTTCTTTCTGAAGCTATCAGTTTTTACATGAAAAAGTGATCAGTAATATGCCAACCTACCAAACCATTTGTATCCTAATGTTTTGACTGTTTACTGGCTGCCTAACCTCGAGATTCTTGCATTCACTGTTTGAAGAGTTAAAGATTTAGGTAAACGTGTGCCTCTAATAGCTTTCATGACAGGACGGATAATGCATGCACTGTAAGTACCTCCCGTTGTTCCATACAAAGCCTTAGAAAAGTTTTCTAAGGCTTTGTATGGGACAACGGTAGGTACTTACAGTCCACGCGTTTTTCCGTCCTGTCATGATGTCACGGAGATTTATCTCTAGATGAAGTGAAGTAATACTCGTCATCGAGGCGCGGAAAGGATGAATGAAAGCGAAGGATGAACTGCATTGCAAATAAAGACATTAAAAATTTTGACCAAGATGAACTCACTATAACGAAGCTTGTTTGCGGATCATGTTGTTGGTAAATTTACCCTAATCAAGAGAACATTCAAAGTTCGCTCCTTTACCTTAAGATGACTTACTGCATAATTAGTTTACGGGAGCACTACAGGGCATTGCCAATCAGGTCACAAGATTCCACGGGGGTACAAAATAACCAATCATGTCATTTCTGTCCAGCATAATAGCTTGGCACTTGCATGACGGCGAGATTGCCTTCCAAATCAAATCGCCATCTTGGATGCCAACCCGGCCATGCGATTGGCATATTACTACTAAGTGCACGTGGTTCAAAACTTTGTAACCTGAGTGGCCATAACCTATGTTGTCCTTGTATACTACTGGCCTAGAATCAACCTCTTTAGTTACAGTTAGGCAAACAAATCTCGCAACTTGTTGTCCTCATGTGAATATTTTAAACTTTGTTTTGGCCTGGATTTGAGTTTGAGCCACCAATCAACAAAGAGGTACGGTTCTTACAGTGGATATGATGATTTTAATCCCTCTCCAGGTCCCCCAGTCAATGTGTCTGCGACTGTCTTCATTGAGTTCATCGGTGATATCGATGAAATCAACATGGTATGTTTTGATTTTATTTCTTTAGGATTGAATTTTCTGGTTTTCTTGAGAGAACAGTTGTGCGAATCAATTCTTCTCTCAACTTGTTATTAATCATTGTAGACCATATTAGGTCGATTTGTTCTAAAAAAACCTACGTATTCCTCTGCACAACCAGAGGCAAACGTGAAAGTAATAAAGAGCAAAGTGGAATTCTTTTAGGAAGCTTATTCTATTGTACGCGTTTGTGAAGAATTCAACCGCTTGAGGTGATTCCAGAGTCATAGAGATTTTCCTTTTTGGAAAAACTATACATCAGGGGGAAAGGGGCAAGTGATATCGAGGCAAGCAAGATATAAGAGCTCCAGTAATTTACCCAATTGTGAAAAAGATTGTAAGTGTTTCGGTGATGAGAGATCAAATGAAGCCCATCCGTATGTTGCTCAAAATAGGAATTTACGACAATCATGTACTTCCGTCAATACTGGAAAGACGAGCGTTTGAAATACAACCACAAAGGATACAAAAAGAGACTTGCTTTTAATCCTGAAATGCTCAAGTTCATCTGGGTTCCGGATACACATTTTCCTGGAATCAAGGACGGGCTTAAACACGACATCACAGACACCAATGAAGTGGTCCGACTGTGGCCTGATGGTGCCGTACTGTACAGCATGAGGTAAACTAAACAAAATATAAAGTTCTCCGGGGGTAGGGGAGTGGGTTTACCTAGGAATAGAGAGGGTAGATGATTTGTGGGTTTTGAATGACGTCTTCTTTTGAAGAATTCTGGAAGTAACTGGAAACTTCAAGAATATTGCTTCAAATCTCCAAGAACGGAATTTTTTTTTGCTAACGATACATTTTTTCAGAATTTTCTTCGAATTTTCCGTTGCTTGATATTCGTCGGACTTACCCACCCTTCCCTTCGATATCGATAAGGCACGCCCTCGATTTGTTTTTGGCTCTAGTCATATCTTTACACTTTTTGTTTCATCTTACCACAAAATTTAAGTCTTCCATCATGAATCTGTTAAAAGACCCTAATTATCACTTGATCAAGGTGTTGCAGTGAAGTTCAAATGCATCTATTTCTAATGCAATGCTATTGAAATAGGAGAGGCGTCGGGTATTAGGGAATTAACGACCGTAAATGACAAATACAACTACAAGTGGCATATAAACTACATCCGGGATAGCTATGCTGGTCAGTTAGCGCATGTGCAGACTTTCTCTTTTTACCCGCCATTGATAACTTCATTATGTGGATGCTGAGCGAAGAAACCAAGCAAATGATTTGCCTGTAGCTCATTATGCTTATAGTATTTGTATTTTTTGTCTTCTTAAAGGCTGAAAATAACATCACAGTGCCCGATGAACCTGATAAATTTCCCAATGGACAAACAAAAATGTTATCTAAACATTGAAGCTTGTAAGTGATATCCACTTTTGTTAACTGTATCTTGTTTTCCTGAAATCTATGGATGTTTAACTGTTGCTAACCAGCTGTTCTTTGTGTTACTCAGTCAGTTACGATGACCAAGAGTTGATCCTTCAATGGTATCACAAAAACCCTGTGACGGTGTCAGACAAAATTCAGATCCCCAGCTACACTTTGACATCTTATGATCATTATTCAGACACTGAGGACTTCTCGACTGGTACGATATTATATTTTGACGTCAGAAAGCTTTCACGCACTTTATTACAACCATTTTGAAATCACTGGTGGTCCCTATAATCTGATTGGCTCTAATAGAAGCGATTTATTCACGAATCGCACCATTTTTTGCTTTAAATCGCATCATTTTCCCAGCCAGTGAGTAGGGTACACTAAAAACAAAACGACCGATCAGATTTCAAGGCTTGTATAAAGTAACCAACCTAATTGCAGGAAATTGAATGACAAAGAGTATTGTTCTCCCCCCCAAAAATGGATGAATATAATTTCAAACTAGCTCAGTACTGCATCAATAAAATATTTGAACTGACCAAGTCCTGTATTTGGGCGATTTCAAAATGGATGTAATAAAGTGGTAGTTGAACCTTGTGCCGTGCAATTTTGGTCTGAAATCATACTTGTGATTTCAAATCGAACTCGCGCTGTGCGTTCGTTCAATTTTGAAATCACACGCGTATGATTTTAGCCCAAATTGCACTCCACTCAGTTCAATTACCATTATTTAACACTGCGTTCAGAATGCAAAACATGCAGACATGTTTGCCTTAAAAGGAAATAAATGTATGTGACACAGTTTGCATGTGAAAATCCATTAACTGCGTGTAAGAGCTTTACCTTTTACACCCTTTTATAAAGGGGGAAAGTATCTAGGGAAACTTTGGTGCTGCGTCGTAGTGAGGTAATTTGCTATTATCAACTGAATGGATAATCAATATTGGCCACCGAAACTCTTGTTTGAAACTCTTCAGCACCGTTGGCCAATTTACCTTATCAAGTTAGTTGATAATACCAAAATACCTCTACACTCTTACATTGGTATTCATGTTTGTTTGTTTTTTCCAGGAGCGTCCTAAATAAATGATAATTCTCTTTGTTCTCGTGACCTTTACATTTGATTCAAGGATACTGTAATGAGGAATTAGAAGCCAATCACTCATATGGGTTTAAGGGTTGAAGTGTTTAAGAGGTACTAGTTTGCATTTGCTGCTTTCGCACGAGTAAACAAACGAGTGGCTTTGAGCAGGTCTGACCAAAATGACAAAGAAAGGAATGTAACAGCTTGCAACTACAGATAAAATTGAAGGTCGTTTAACACATTTTACTGGAAGTAAGCCATCAGTGTACTAAACCCACTACTTATCCACTAAACACGTATGTTTGTGTGTCACAGGAACTTACTCCCTCTTAACTATTCAATTTGATTTGACTCGTCGATTGGGATTCCACATGATTCAGGTATGAACCGAAATGAATTTTCTCTCTGAAGAGTTATAATGAGAAAAGACTCTCAAATATTCTTATGATCCCTCGTCATTGGCAGTTGATCGGCAGTCAATTTCCTATACTTCCCCCTTTATACTATGTTGACGACAAATGACCTCCTTCCGTTTCCCCAGGAAATTATTTAACCCTCCACCCCCCCCCCCCTCCTCATTAGACGATAAATAAAGACAGTTCCTTTGGTAATTAGTATTATATTATGCGAGATCAAATGATTGAAAAAAAGCTGTGTTTTACTGACGTTTACGTCCGGCCAAATTAAAGTCCTTGGCACTTTACAACCTAAACTCAGCATGGCACCGACAAAGAAAATTTATCTATAAATAAAGAACAATTCAAGTTTGCGCTCATTTCCTTAATTCTCATGAGCCTAATGTTTGATTCAGCTGTGAATCCTTAGAGAGGAATTAGATGCCAGTAACCCTCCTGGGTTTAAACGGTTAAACAAACATTTGCTGAGCTGAATGCGTCAAAAATTTCACAGGATAGTTCACGACCGACTTCAGCCCAACAGTGATTTATCCTTGAGATCTGGCAGACCAATTTTGTTCTTTAGCCTCATAAACTGATGGTTTACAATTTCGCAGATTTACTTGCCGTGTTACTTAATTGTGGTCCTGGCTTGGGTTAGTTTCTGGGTTGATCGCGAACAAACCGCCGCTAGGATTGCCATGGGAATCACCACTGTTCTTACCATGGCAACGCTGATTGGTAGTGCCAGGACTTCTCTACCAAAGGTACATTTTCATTCCTTAGCTTGCAGGATAGTTTCCTTATATCAACCAACAGCGGCTCGATCTGAAATTACCCTTGTTGCTTGAATCTAATGATAAAATCGAGCCAGTAAATATGTTTTAGAAAACTGTAAATTAATCACTAACTTTTAGAAATAATTGAAATCAGTTTTGAATGTTTTTTTAACCGTAACAGAAAAATTTTAGCCTTAAAAGCCATTAACCTCTTCCAATAGGACGTGGTTAGCAATATGTCGGAGATTTCTTGATCGTGAGGAGTAAATGAATAAAAAGTTTTTATTGTGCGTTTCAGGTTTCGTACGTTAAGTCCTTGGAATGGTTTCTTATGATGTGCTTTCTGTTCGTGTTTTCCGCCATCTTGGAATACGCCTTTGTGTCTTATCTGGTGTTCAAGCAGCGAGAGGAAGAGCGAAACAGGGTTGCAATGAGGAAGAAACATGACGAGGTAGGAGAATGACGACACATTTACAGTTCATAAATGAGCCGATGACGTGTAAAAACTTCTAACGGCTACTGGTGGCAAAACCTCCGGTATTTCCAAATGCATCCAGCATTTGGGTAAGACCACGAACGCCTTACCTAAATTAGGAGAAGGTAGACACATTTTCAAACCAGATCAGTCATTTGCAAATAAACTGTTCTCCCATTTATTTCATCTTGTTTCAATAAACAAGTATGTCCGCTGGACACGTTAGTGCATCCGCTTTTTGAACGATTAGTTACCACAAAACGTTATAGGAACTAGTTTATAAAAATAAACATTATTTGCTGTTTACAAGTGTTACTATAAATTGACTTCTATTTTGTTGCTGATGTTTTTCTAGGACAAAGCTTCCGAAGCTGCAGAGGTATTGGTCGATAATGACAAAACGCCTCCTTCGCCTGGTAGCCGCCCCTCTTCAGGTCAAGAGGCGGTCTGGATACCAGGGAAATCCCAGGTGGAGACTGTGACGAGACCGGGCAAGTGCCGAGGCTCCAAGAAGCCTCCATCGGAGGATCATTATGTCAGGATTCTCAATACTGTGGAGTTTTTCTCCAGGCTGCTGTTTCCAGTGGTGTTTATCTTTCTGAACATCGCTTACTGGCTCTATTACGGAGGAATTCTGTAAGAGGAGACTCTGTTGGCGAATGGTGGAAGATGTGTTGGAGGGGAGAGGCATACATAGCTCTCTTTTCATAATTAAATGGTAATGGATTTGCTTTACTGAGCGTTTGTTAGGCGGTTTTGTCATAACTAAGTACTTTAAATGGTTATTATCCCAAAGGCTTATTGAAACTGGTTTTTGTTTTTTTTCGCTTGGGGTCAGAATTAATTCAGATGCGCATGTCCAGTTTATTCTTGAGCTTGAACGTAACTAAAGAGGATATGAAGTTTTTTGAGATACAGAGTGGATTTCTTGAGGATTGAACATAACAAAGCGTGGAGGGAGCGTGTAATTTTTGACAAATTACGTAAAGGACTTTATAATAGAGCAGTAATACCTACACGGGAACTGGATTGAAATGATGTTTGATATAAGTCGAAGCCGTCGCATCGTTCTCTTTACGACGAATGACTGAAACAAAAATAGGGATCGTTGCATTTCATAAATTATTTGATAATTGTTCTTTCGCCTTGTTGCCGTAAGTATTATTTTGTCTTTGAGTAGATATATCGAATTGTTATAGTATTATTAAAGGAAATACAGATGTAAAAGGAAAGTTATAAAGGCCAAATAATGCAGAAATTTCCCTGAAGCTTTCCATCTCAAAGTGTAATACTTTACACTCGTTGAGTTTGACAGGAAGGCGTTCTCTGGTAACATCGACTTAGTATGTTACGCTAGTAAGCCTATAAACGATTGGGGAGTGTTGTTAACTTTTAAGTTCTTATTATTGTAAAGGTTTATATAACAATGATATTGTAGTTTGGGGCAAGTTTTACAACTCTTTTATCGTTTACTTCTTTTTGTATTATATACTTTGTAGACCGTTTTTGCAAGCTTTAGACGACTTTCGATCGATTGTTAAGAAAATCGATAATTAACTACTCATTAAGCTTTCGTGAGTAGGATCAGTGGGCGAGCAATAATTGCTAAAATCAACGAAATTTCTGGTTCAGTTGAAAAAATTCTATAAAAATTTCTTAGGTAACTGGAGACATGGGGTCTTCTCCTACAAGTAAAATTGACAACTTCCTGTCTCCTTTTTCGATTTGACAGGTCCTTAAAATGATTTAGCTTACACTCATTACTTGTACTAGTTAACACACAAAGATTCCTGGAACCTCTTTGATTTTATTTTATTGGAGGGGAGACTAACCCTTTTCTTTAAATAGTTTAAAGTTTGTTTAATACTTATAGTACTAAAAAAGGATTTAGTGGCCCGGTAAGAATCTTAAAATTTCAAGTTTGATACACTTGTCAAACAATTTTGCTCTTATCTTTATTAAAAGAGGGAGGGGGTGATCCTCGCCTAAAAGTGGGACCTTTATCAAAAAATAAAATAAATTTCGGGGGTTAAATCATCAAGTTTTCTTCTATGTATTTTATCAGTCAAATTAAAGAGTGTGATTCACTCCTTGACCATGCTGATATTGCTGACGTGATTCGAAAGAGTTGGTGTGACAAGCATCATGTAAATCTCATAAGCTTTAACACTCAATCCTTCGTGGCCAGGCAATCGCGATTGGGAAATGTATATGATAAAGAAATCATTGATTTCGTCTTTCTAACTATGTTATAATTGTTGTTAGGTTTGCTGCTATATATAAGAACATTCGTGTAGCGTTAGCGATTAGATATTACAGCTATCAAATATTTATAGTAAATTTATTGCATAGAAATAAAACTTGAAGCAGCCAGAGGTCCTTTTCTTTTGTTTATATTTTATTTATATGACAATTGAAACCTCTTCATATGTGAGATAAAATACTTTATTTACGCCACACTCCACCTTTCAAGAATGCATATGCAAGTCGTGCGATAAATTTGTTATCATCAATACGGGAAAGTGTAGGGCTTCTGCTTGCACAACACAAAACCTCTAGTCTATGATGACATTTTAAATACATGTACTTTATTTGATGGTTAAACACATAACACGTGCGGATATTTTACGAGTCGCACGCTATTTTTTCCAGCCCCGTAGAGGCGAGTAGAAATGCGAGTCAATGAGGCGTGCGTTAAAGACAATAAGACACCAACGAACTTCCCGACTTAAAAATTTATTTCTCCGGCAACACATCTTGGTCATAAACCTTGAAAAGACACAAAGGATCCCCTGGGTTGTCTAAGCACAGAAGATGTCGAATAAAGCTGAAGAGAAAAATCGGAAACGAAAAATTAAAGAAAGAAGGTAATCATATCTCAATAATTTTCTGGTATTGTCATTGTTAGAGAAGCAAAAATCATCTAATTATCTTTTAAGTGGACCAGTAAAACTGGATGTTTTCGTTGGACTGGCTTAATCTTAAAAATTTACTGAAAAACAACATGAACGGTGCTGGAGATATTGTATCCTTTTGCAATATTTTTACTTACTATGGATTATCAAAACATGTTGTCTTCAGTCCCCTTGCCTTGGCTCGATTCTGCAACTCTAAAATAGTCAAGCTATCGCACCTTTCCCTGAAAAGGAGATAAATTACAGTCTCAGATTGTTTTAATACGATTCACGTAACACAGACAATCAACGCCCTCTACGCTCAACCCATGCCTCCTCATGCAAAACACGTGTCAGATCGCGCACAAAGCATTATGCACACAACGCCCGCACAATAAGTCAGCATAACGTTGAAGCACCCTGAAAGTGCAAGACATTAACATTGAGTGATAAGAATAATCTTTGATAAAAGCACCAGGATCGACACATGATAATAAGAAAATAATTTCACATTATCATTTTAAGTGTACCCTCGTTAGGAATTTATAACACCTTCGCTTGTTTAACAGAAGGGACTTCAGAACAAAATAAGTTTGGAAGACGTTTCTAACGTAACCTACAAAAGAAACATTTCAGATTCGGTTTACGCAAGAGGTAAGTGACTAACACCTTTGAGAGAGAGATTCTTTTCTTTTAATTGCACGATTCAGCGCTACCATTCAGCCACCGAATGGTTAACAAAAAGACTCAAGCCTACCAACACATGATAGAGGTAAAGCTGAAAAGTGTCTCTATTTTTCACGTAAGGAAATATGATTCATGAAACTCATTAGTTATTCGAAGAATTGAAGTTGTTTGTATCCTAGAGTTTGTTTGGATGTCGGGAATCAAAATGGAATTTAGATTGAAACTTAAGTTATCAGTGTCGTTTACCCTTGTGCCTCAATAAAAGAGTTTGTAGGAATAAGAAAATGAGACACCCGAGCCTGCTGTATTTTTAAGAGCACTCAGTACTTTTTTCGTGATAACTTTGCCTCCTTTTAGTGTAAGAAAAGAGTGGTGTAAAGAGTGACGTGGAACAAATGGAACAAACAAGTCAAAACAATAGAGCCTATGAAAATAATTAAGAAAAAACAAAGGTTCTCCCAGGTTCTTACACTGAGGTAAACCCTTGCTGTGCCACAATGCTGAATTTTTTAGGTAGAGGTAGGGAGAGATAAAAATTTCAAAAGATCAAATAGGGTGGCCTCCAACGCTAACTTGCTTCCCTGATTAAACGCTTGAACTGCAGGCTGGGAACGATCTTTCAGTGCAGCTGAAATTGTATTTACTCACAGAGATTTGTGATGAAGAGTATGGCCCACAAGAATTCTAAACTCTTTGACATCCCGTACTGGAAGACTTGACAGCTGATTCTCTGCTAAATAACTGTGAAAATAATATTACTAGGTATAATTAGTTGTGTGAAGTGGATATCAACTAGTAACTTCCGTTTTACTGACCTTCTCCAATAGCATCCATACTCTATGCTTGACCAAGTTATGTGCAAGGTTTATTTAAATAATGCTTGTATTTGCCAACAGATCCTGATTTGGCACTACTTTGATTTCCCATAGATTCATCGGACACCAGTAAGAACAATTTCCCCGCTCATTTTTTCTTTTTTATTGACTAAAATACAGGCTTTTGTGGCGAATAGTATCTATGGTTAGAAAACAAAGGAGATATCTAACCTGTCGTCCATGAATGAAGGAAATATCTGCCTGTCCACGAGGTGCTGTCTTGTACCATTTAACATGACGTGGACAATGCCTCTTGCTCGTCTCGCCAGCTGTTGGAAGAAAAACAAAAATTTTACCTAGATTTATGCAAGGTACTATTTTAAAAGCCATTTATTTAATTTAAGACCAGTCTGGGTTACTAAATATCAATTTGATAGGGTCAAAATTTGGAAAGCTTTGAGTTTTTCCCTAATTTTTACAAGGGGAGGGAGAGGGAGGGGGGCATCGAGGCATTGGATGATACAAACGAACTCAGTAAAACTGCGAGTATCCTTTTAAGAAAAACTGGAAGACCACAATGCTCAAGTGTTTACATAAAATGTTTACCTTTGCGGCGGCCAGACCCCAGAATGCTTTCTGCTTGCTACATTCGTATGGACACTCTTTGTAGTCGATCCCAGGATCCTCTTTGCTGCCACACCATCTCAAGCCGTTCAGCAAGTATCTAGTAGCATCAGGATGAACAAATCGTTCAGAATGTTTAGAGAGAGCTGGATTCAGGAAAACATGTTTTGGTTATTCTTACCCTGCTAATGTATCCTCTAAGGTTGTAAATCTGTCGTACAGTCTGGTGTACGCATGTGTTAGTTCTCTGGTTCCCGACCAAAACATGACCTGCAAAACACACGAATAATAAGCAGGTTTAACAAACGAAAGGATAATGAATCAGTAGGCCTTTTGAGAAACTATGTCTGCGATAACTGTCAACATAATTTCTAATTCATTGGAGAGTGAGTGCACGATGAAATTGGCACCTCCACGTCACTTTCGTGATTTCATTTAATCATAAAATAAAAAGAAAGAAGTTGACTGAAAGCACATTAAGGCACTTACTTTGTCGTTCAGAGGTTTCTCGTCATATAAGTCGAAGAAGAGTGCATAATCCTTGGAAGTAACATCACAGGGCCCTTTAAAGGCAAAACTCTTCGAAAACGTTTCCCATAACTCGTTACAATCCACTTTGGACGGGTTTTCAAGATCTTTTCCCCTATTTTCAATAAAATCCCAGCACCTTCCCAAGAAGATTTCTTTCAGGTGCAGGGTGGTACCTCCGATTGGCTTAAACATCCATTTGTTCCTGTTCCTGTTAATTCTCTGGTCGTAATATTCTTGAATTCTTCCCTCTACAAATTTCGTGTCTTCATCAGCGTTATTCCGAAGTTTCGTTGCTTTTGCTAACCGATTTCTCGATCCTGGATTTTGAGCCATGTTGTAACCTTGAGGTAATAACGGTGGATGATATGTACTGATACTGCCTATAGGGTATCTCCCCCATAAATTGTTGTATCGCTTTGCAAGCCAGTTATTTTGTCTGCTGTAAAACAGCGGCTGATTGAAAGTATTTTGATACGCACGATTTGCAAAAGACAGGGGAATCAGGCGTCTTTTGCTGGTTTGAGCACTCGGCCATTCAGTGCTGGGCTCTTGTGGGAATAGAGGAGCAGTAGTGTTCTGGACTTGTCCACTTTGGGATCTTGCTTTTCTTTTACTGTGTAGTGATATGTGCCTGGCATCTAAAGGCATGGAGTGCATAAATATCATTTCAAACAATTTTAGATCATAATAGCGCCATAACAAGAAGGCTTTTCTAGGTAAAAAGGTTGAGGATTTTTTTTCCTAGGACCTAGAAATAAATGTTTTTCAGCCGTGAGGATTTTGCCTTTTGGTTGTGACAATGCGTGCAAGTTCGAGGAAAAGGTCTTTATCTTTCGTTTGTTTTATTTCTTAAGCTTTCGCTAACTTGTCAAGAAATACGCATTCTACCCATTTCATCTGAAATGGATATAGCTACACTGACACTGACAGGTTAAAAACAACAACAATTGCAAAAATGCTCACGATAGACTTCTCAGATAGTGAGGATATTTGACATGAGTAAATGAAGAGGATTTAATATTATTAGGAATTTAAGTACAGCCGAGCTAACATTATCGTGATTCAAGAAATCCAAGACACAACAGCAACATGAAAATTGATGTCAATAATATTATTCGACCATACAAACGATTTTTGTTATCCTAACCGGGGTCAATACAACCATGACAAAGTCGCGTCAGAATAGGTCACCGATGGCATAATTGAAGAGAAGCAAACAACCCTCCTTTTTCCGTGTTGTTAACCGAGCTTCTGTAGCTCCAATTGCCAATTTGTATGAATAACCGAAAGGGTATTAATTACACTATATATGATATCTACAAAGTGATACTCTCGACGATAAGCAACGAGTTTGTTTTTGAATAAACATTATCACACTGATACCTCCTGCCAGTCAACCGGTAATCAAAGCCTACGGGGGCGGTCTTAAATATCACCAACGAATCGAGTTGTTTCATAAGTTCAAATGCGGATCAGAAGGTCGAATGCCGGGCTTGCTTTTATTGCAATAATTCGGTCAGATAAACACTTCTATAATTGATATCACAAGGTGCCATACCTGTACAGACAAGACACAACTGTAAGAGAAATATGCTGGGAAATGCGCTCCATAAAGTCATGGCTACACTCCAACTGGTGTCCAGAAGACGGAAACGCTTGTTGAAATACGGTGCTTACCTGTTGAGGAAAAGCATTTTTTCACGTATGCGTTATGGTTGTAAAATGAATGGGATAGACTAAAGGTCCGTTATTAGGTACTTACTGAAATCTTTCGTGTTATGATTACGAATAATAACAGGCTTTCATTTCATGACCTTACGGTGCGATGCAAATCACTATAAATTCTCTGCGAGATGTAGATAGACTATGCTGGTCTATAAATTTGTAATAGAGTGTCGTCGATTTTTCTTTACAAGTTAGAGTTGATCGTCAGCCATTGTCGAGAACGAAGTTTTTTCATGGCTTTGTTGTGTGGAGTCACAAATGAACAGGTACCAGCCAAATAAACAGGTTTGGCTATCATCGAGTGTCAGTTGCATGTGGAAAAAATCGTCGTTTGAAACTGAACAAATAAAAAGGAATTCTCTGATCGGTTTTAACTTCGATTCTATAACGTAAAGAAGTTCTGGGGAACAAGAAGAATCATTCGCAATTCAGAGACGACCATGATACGAAGCAAGCTCAGTAGGGTTACATCGTGGCACGCAATATCTTTCTTCGCGTTAAAGAAATAAATGTTTGAATTCAAGAGGAAGTATGACTTTTTTTCGATATGACAACGCTATAAAAAACTCAGTAATGTTGTTGTCTGTTAACAGATTTGTTACTCATATTTTTCAGCCTTTGATGAATCGTCAACGGATTTTGATTGGTCAACAAGGTGAAGATTTAATCAGCGTTTCCCCTCAGATTCCATCACATTCTCAGTTGTTCCTTTTATTTCTGTGTCAAATTTTTCAATATTAATTAATAGACAAGATTGATTAGTGTCTCGATTAGCCAGCGGCAAGTACATAATCTATTTTTCTAAGGCTAAGGAAATCATTTATCTGCAAGTTTGTTTTTCATAATTGTCTTCGGGAATCACTCTCTGACAGCTTGGGGTAGCGATCTCTCATTCTCCACGGACGAGCGTGAACAGCACTCGGTATGAAGAGATAAAGATCTGCTGCAAATACACAACATTCTTTAGAGGTGTACGCATGAGTTGACCATTATTTGGAAGCAGTTATTTGCAAGTCACGTGGTGAGCTCTTGCCGCGAAAAAGAAAAAAATACGCCAAATGATGAGATTTTAACGTCGCTATGCCCCTTTCCCCCATCCCGAACAATGTTGAACTTCTGCCCAAAAGGAGGATTAGAGCATCTTCCCAGGAGGCATTGCGCATCTGCTTTTATTGTCTGGTCTCTTCATCAAGTGACGGTTAATTTCATGATCGTAATGTCTTATGACCTTGTTCCCAAGTTGAAATCGAGAAAAATCAAAATTGTGTCACGGGTGGAAAGGTAGGGGGGAGGTGGTGAAAAGCAATGCAACCAGAAAGGAAAGCATGAAGGGTCCGTGGCGTTTTGCCACCGATTGTAGATGGAGTTTTTAATATAAAGACTCATGTTTAAGAGCCTAGATGTAGTTTCAAAAGTAAACAGTGAATAAAAGATTATTTAAAACGAGTTTTATGCCCACTGAATGAACAAGGAGCTCCACTCATTCAGCGTCTCTTCCCGTCAACTATTTTTCATTAAGTTGTTTTAACTTAGCCTTCTTAAATGAAAAAAAAAAATAGCTGTAATCAAGAGCTGTTTCAATCAATCGATACTAAGTGGAAATAAAGAAATGAACAAAAAAACCATTTAACCAAATACAGAACTTTTATAGAGGTAAATTGTTTATCGCATAAGGGTGAAGCCCGGATCAGCATTAAGCATAAAAAATTGAGAGCTGATAAGCAATTTTTATTTTGTAAGGACAGGACAGCCCCTTTCTTTTTTATTATCGAATCTTGTTAACAAACACTTTCCTTTATTCACTCTTCATCACAGAATAGTAGCGAGTGGCAAAGCCAATCAGATTGCAGCATTTTTGATAGAGCGCTTTTCGATAAAGTGTAGGAAAACCAAAATCAAAGTAATTACAATGGCCAATCAGAAGAAAGGAATAAAACCTTTAGGAGCCAATTAGAACTCAACGTAGAAAGAACCAAACTGCCTAAAGCGCGGGAAAACGCGAGCGACTAAGTCATGGTTGGTTGTAGTATTGCATCTGATTGGTTGAGAGAGTAATGCGAATTTCTGGACCAATTGCAGAGCGAATTAAAGCAAAAAAAGCAACCCCAGATTACTTTCGACGCTCAATTTTGGAAATTTCTCCGGAACATTAATAGATTTATATACTAGATACCATTAGATGCAGGCCACACTAGATGGCCTTCATTTTTTTTTTCCGATGAGTGTCCAGTTATATAAGTGGTACTTACATCGACGGAAAACCCAAAAAAACAAACGAAGTGTAAAACCAAACACAGGCATTAATATCTTTTCAATATTCGTATACTGTAAGTTCGAAATGAAAAACTCTCTGAAAAGATAAAAAAGGCTATCTTGGAATAATTCTTTGGCAGAGTAGTATGAAGCCTCTCTCGGGGCTGAAATTTTCGTTTACTGTGGAACGTTTTACTTTGTACAAAACGAGGGATACATTCCGAAAATCGCAGAGACTTATTAGCAAATTTGTTTTCATCGTCACTGGACCTTGCCCTCAAAAGAGCGTAATCCACTTATTACAAAGCTCGACACGAACCGTTATTCATGATTTCACCGGCTTCATGTGTATACTACCATTAATTTTGAGGGCTTTTGACTTAAATAGGGGGCAGCCTCTTAATCTCATCAAAGAGGTACCGTTAGCTTGCGTAGCTGGCGGTTTTGTGGGAGATTTGTGTTGAACAGACCCGCAGAGTGGGCAGACCAATATACCTTTAAGTTTGCTGCATAACCTTAGTAGCACAATCACAGGAAATCACGTTATTGTTTCGTTTGCTTTAAGAACAAAGACATGGAAATAATAGTAATTAATCATAGAAAGAAAACAGTGACGACACGAATGTGTGACTTAAGCCCGACTGTTTCATCGAACGAGCGTTGACGACGAATTTCGTTGTCAAAAAGAGACCGAACTCTTTAGCCTGTAAGATTTTAGAAGAGTGCTCTTGATTAAAGACGTTTTAATTCAGTGTAACGCAATGAACTAAAGGACTATCATTTGAAAAAACTGCTTTTTTGGCTACTCAACCGGTGGCGGTAATTTGAAACATAAAAATCCCTGTTGTAGTGTGACAATTCAGTGAATTACCTCATTGGTGCTCGCTCAAGTGAATCAAAGACATAAGGTCATTAATAAATTTAATTCGATTTTTTTGCGTTTATGGTAGTCAAAATATGACTTCTTGTTTTTGAATTTCATTGCCATTTTCACAGTCTACTGGTAAAAATTTGGGAATGAGGTTATTCGCAATTTTTGCTGCTCTGTTGTCTCTCCAGCTGTGTCTTATCTTGGCCAAAGGTCAGTACGTTGCTTAAACGGAAGCTTCACATTTTTGATTGAACGATTATGCTTGAAGGCACAGACTGTTCAGGCTTCACCCAACGGTATCGAAAGCAGATGACTTGTTCTGGTTCAAAGAAAATTTAAGTGTATTCCTTCTTTAAAATTACCCGTATGTTTGTTTAAATCCATTTTAGCTGGTAATGTATTGGAAGTGCCAACTGAACTTGCCAACTGTGGTGGACCTAAATTTCTCGCCTGTTTGTCTTTCTATGCTTCACTGGATGCATCAACTTGACATAGAAGCATTTAGTAACGCTTTGAAAAGGGTTTCATTCCATGATCGCCCTATGTTGTATCCCTGCTTAAGATCATTATCACGAAGGGCGCTTTCGTAACTATGTTTTTTCGTCAGGAATGAATCTGTTACTTTTCGTAAAAAGCATGTATCATATTTCCACCTGTAGCAGACCTCCGGCTTCCTAAATGTGTCAAGATAGTTTCTATTAATACCCCTCTTGACGATCCAACAAGAGCGGCGGAGAATTATGGTGTGCGAGCTGACAAAAGGAGAGCAATGCTGACTGACAAACCAGGAATCTTTCGGATTCGTGAGGGGCTCACAGATGAGAAGGGAACAGTATCTTTGGAGGCACTGTTTCACCCCAGGTTTTACCTGCGCCACAAAAACTACCACTTCCATTTGGAGAAGGAGGTCAACAATTCAGTGTTCTGTAAGTGCAAATTGCGTTGTTGAACTGTTAATTCGGTATATTTGTAAATGGTAAGGCAAAACAACTGAAAAATAATTTTTACGACTGACATGTTAGCCTGTTTAATGCATTTGTTATCATTCGCGGCCAACATAACCCACCTGGAATGCCGACGAAGCTTTTAAATTGCAAGCACGCTAGTAAACATGTAATGATGAAAGATGTTAAGCGTCTCGTCACAAATGTAGGACAAAGAACAAATGTGGCACAAATATTTTCATTGGGGCTCGATTCCTAAAGAGGAAGTGCTAGATTATTTTCTTTGTTTCTCGTTCGTGACGAGGCAAATACCAGGTTTTTTTACTTCATGTCCGTGCTCAGAAGTTACCAACTTATCGATTTACTCATAAAGACATTTAGTTACGAATCCACGCATTTACAGTCTTCTCCTTAGAAAAAAATGACGGCTACATCGTCACTTGTTCTGAGGTTGGCGATAGATCAGAGATCAGCTTACCCTAACAACAGTATGACTTGTGATTAACATAACCTTAATGAGGTGTTTATGAAAACTTTATGATCGCAGCTGTTTTTTTTCGTTTTCTAGAATATTGATTAGGTCGAAACAAAATTATTTTTCACATCCTTCTGTCGACCAAGTCAAACGAGTCATATTCAACTTGTCATCGTAATACTGTAACTGGGTTCTTTTACAAATTCTGCATTACGTCTTGGGCCGACGTGGGAATCAATAAATATTATTACATCCATTTTGAGATCACTGGTGATCCTTTTAAACTGATTGGCTCTCATTAGTGCGATTTATTCATGAAAGGCACCATTTTTTGCTCTAAATCGCTTCTTTTTCCTGGCAAACGAGGAAGCTTTTAAAAAGATCAATCAAATTGCAGGTAAAAAGAAAACAGGTTTAGCACCTTTCTACAAATTAGCTCAATTGAATCAACAAAACATTGTTTTGCGATTTCAAAATGGATGTAATAAAGTAGAGATTGAACTTCGTGTGTTACAATTTTGCGATTTCAAATGAAACCTTGCCACGCACTGGTTTGATTTTGAAATCCAAATGATTTTAGACAAAATTTCACTCCACCCAGTTCAATTACCATTATATAGCAGGAGAAAGTTATAGTTAGCAGGCAGCCAGAAGTTGCCCAAATAATCCATTCCTTGTACAACGGTGTTGTAACGAAACTACTGATTTATTTTCACAGATAAGGATGCAACTTTCTTCATTTTGAAAGTCACAGAACACCCAACCCTTTATGCATTTGAACTATACAGTCATCCCACGTGGTTCATGCGACATTTGAAACACAAGCCTTACACAATGGTTCTCAGGAAAGTTAATGAGTCGAGTAAAGACGTGTTGGACTCCACTTTCTTTCTTGCCCCTCATCGTTGTTTTCCAAAGCAGGGAAATGGTAATCATCAGTTTGTTTTCCTTTTTAGATAATTCTTATATTTGAAATGATCGTCAACAACATTATCCACAGGCCATTACGCAGAGGATGAGGTATTCATTAAGTACAAAAACTAGAGATTTTATGTGTGCTTTACAAAGCGGACACTGTAATTTAATTCATGGACAGAGTTAATTTTTCATCACAGTCGATAAACAAATATCAGGAATCTTTTCAGCTGTCTTCAAGTCTCCTCGGTCAAAAGTATGTACATATTATTATTTAATTTTCGCCATATACTTAGCAACGGGCTATAGAAACTGCAAAAGAGAATATATTACTTGCAAAATAGAGATGCGTTGGAAAATATTTAGAGTCGTAAGTGATTCAAACTGTAATTTGACATAGATAGAATATTTACCTCATCGGAGTTTCATAATAATTTTTTTTTTAAGATGACCTTCGATCAACGGACAAATCGCCTTAAGCTTTTTTTCTTTTAGAATATATGTCCCATCATATAATTTCAATCATTCCTTTCCCTCTTCTCGTGATTATAAAATGAATTATTGTTAGATAGTTGATAAAGGTCATCTTTATGAATTCTAGATAGCAATGCTGAAAAAAAGACGGTTTTAGTTGGAGACGGGACATTCATAGGTAAGTTTTCTTGATCAGTTGTTATTCGCGGTTTGCTTTATTTAGGCTGATTTCTTTGAAATCTTTCTTAGCAAACGTTTTTGGCATACCAAACTTTGGAATACCCATTTCTACCTGAAATCTATTCATTTCTCCCTTTCTTTCCGACTGTTGTTAGATACTGCGGATGAAGATGCTGATATTGCGACTGCCAAAGCCAACGATTTAAACGCTGGTGAGAATTGAACGTTCCATTGTGAGCAATTCTTCCTTTTTTACAAGGGAATTTTTTTGTTAACTTTATATTTGTCGTCCTTCATGTTGCCACGTGCAGAGGATTTTGAGAAGGCGTATTTATCAAAGGAAAAAGGTAAGGAAAAGCCATAACAGTTGTTTTACGTGTTAATCTTTCACATGAATTGAGACCACTCGCTTTTTCCTGTCTGCGAAACTTTCATCAAATTAATGCGAGTCGTAGTCATTGCAAACAAAGAGGCGTGGTCTTGAGCTACCTTCGAGCATCCGCCATCTCTCCATGTAATGTTACGTTAATCTGCGAGAAATAATCATAAAAACAACCTCCGATAGAACTTAAACATGGCAATGATAGCTCTGATTGAGATGATATCAAACAAATCCTTTCTTGCTTTCTTTTCGAGCTCGGCCGAATAATTTAAGGATGTGAAAGCATCAATTTTTTACATGTAACAGAATAGTGAGTCGTTCATACATCGTCAGAGCAGGTAAATATCGGTAAAAATAAACTCAGCTTGGAGTAATGAGGATTGTTTTCCTCGATCCAGTAAAAAAATAAAATAAAATAACAGGTCATTGTCATTGGCTTTAGATAGTCAATTTTTGTTTGCTTCAGACTGAATCAGATGACTGACCAAAAAAAAAATCGTTTATTCATTTTGAAATTCAATTATAAATAACTGAGTGGTTTCGTAAAGTAGCTGTCCCATAATATACGGTGATTGTATACTATGTCACTTTTGTCATGTTTATCGAAAAATAAATATTCATGTTTCTAAATCTGATCATTTTTCCTTAAGATGAAAAAGACGACTCGATTGTAATACACACTGAAGGTAATTGTTAAAAGAACTTTGGATGTATTTGGCACTTTGATACTTGCAAGGAGTTTTACAGTGTTTAAATACCGTTATTATGTAATTCGCAGATGATAAGACGGATGATGGGGATGATAAAAAGCCTATTAAAATACACACAGAAGGTAGATAAATTATGCCCATTCATTCTTTAATGGACTTTTTATTGGATCTTGATTATGCCTATTGTTATAGCTCAGATTTCGAGCTTTTCATGAAATGTTATCAATGATGAATTAAATTCATATCAGAGCTCTTGTTTAACTGCTTCGTCTCCAAATGTCTGGTGGATATACAATCTTCTGGCTTTCACAAATGAGTTACCTTCACGTTTTCTTATAGCAGATTCCTCCGAAGAAAGCCAGGAAGAAATTCTAAAGGAAATCGAGGACGGTACGTTAATTTCTCTCAAAATAATGATAAATAAACACTCACTCAAGAGAGCTCCTCCTTAACAGCTTCGCTCTAAAATTCGTCAAGGCAACCATTACATTGGAGCAGAGCAGCCAACTTACCGATAAAGACCGCCGAAACGCAGTCTATAGACCCAATACGGTACACATTTCCATAAATACTTCTCAATTTATTCTCAGCTTTTAGAACTGCCCAGAATACAAACAATTCTACGTACCTCGAGAAAATAGAGAAAGACATCGAAGAAAAAGTGAACACCATCGCTGAGAAAGCTTCAGATTATTTAAATAAGCCGTCAATTCACACTAGAAAGAAAAATAATGGCAAAACAAGTGCTGTTCACGATATTGAGATTCATACCGAGTCAGATAAACCGGATAACACGAAAAAAATTGACCCTGAAAGCGATGTTGATCAACCAAGCCATGAACAGGACTCAATACACAACTCTTCAGAGGACAATAAAACGGAAAGAACACAAAGGGTAGAAGTCCTGGGCCCTGTGATTGATCTTACGAAGCCTTTGGATCAGAACGATGAAACAGATATTGACAAGGAGATTGTAGTGACAGGACAACCCAAGTTGAACGGAAAACTTACAATAGACACAACATATCAGTATAGCCATCCTCCCAAGCTGAAGAACAGGGAAAAAGAGAGACACAAAGAGAAACTTGCCGGATTTAGTATTGATGACGTTATTACCCCCAAAACCCGTTCAAACAGAACGTCTAAAAAGACTCCATTGCACCTGCATGCTGTGCGGAACAAGGCTTACAAGGATTTAACAGTGGCAAACAAAGCTCTGAACTCGAATATTGAGAAATTAAGGAATGTTCTGGAGGCAATTGAGGATGTTCCAAGCGATAACAAAGCAAGTGAAAAAGGAACTGTTATTGTAAAGAATATGCATCCAAATGCATTATACCATCAACAACATTTAAACAAAAATAAACGTCCAAGTCTGGCGCTTAGTGGAACTCCAGAGGTCCACCAGAACCCTCCTTACTTGCCTCAGACTCCATCGGACTTGAAGGTGCTCAAGTCGCAATCAACTGTACAGACAACTGTAACGGAGTTGCCGCACTCTCCGTTCACAACATCAGCTGCTGACGAAAAAGCGTCTACGCCGATTCAGAACTCGAGAGCAAAGGCTTCTCCCTTGAAGAACAACAGCGGAAACAAAACGCAGTTGGCAACGGTGGAGGGGGCAAATACTATCCCACCAACAAGCACCCCAGGATTACACGTGATCCAAGGCACTAGAGACCTACCCAGTGGTAAAGCTGGTAACAACATGTCTTACGAGGTATTTGATCACCTGGCCAGTGAACTTGTTGATCATGATACCACAGGAAACCCAACTCCTGTCACCGCCGGCAAAGGCACAAGAAACACTGTGACTGACTGGATGAAAAATCTTAAGCCCCACAACGCTTCATTACAGGAGACTTTTAATGAGCTGAATCCCGTGGATTCTGCTAAGATATGTGAGTCTCATAAATTTTATAATGCATATAAGAGTCGTTTGATCCTCGACGTTTTTATTTTTAATTTCATCCGATGATATGCTATTGTTCAGGAAGGGAAAGTGCAAGTTAACTTAATCTTCGTGAATCTCCGGTTTTTTCCATTGGTAATACGTATGTTCTTGATTCTAATTACGTTTTGTACTAGTGGAAATAGCTCATGTGTTTCCAATTTGGATTACTCATCTTAAGCTCATTTCCATAAAAAATCAAGGAAACTACACATAAACAGAAATTTTCTTTCCCTAACACAGTAAATGCCCGATATATTTAATCAGGTGGTTATTAGAGTAACTGCTGTTGTCGCTATTCTCGTTACCTATCTCTCCCCCAACAAGTGAGAAGCAATCGGTAATGATACGCTACTGTCTTCTAATGCTAGTTGATTACATCACCTTTTGATTCCATCCAAGATCGTGCCTAGCGAGAGTTTCTACGATAGTAGACAGGGATAGAACAACAGCCATGCTTTGATTATGATGGTAAAAACATACCCTTTGTTCATGAACAGTTTACCTTGACAAATGCGAGGACAAGTTCCCCAAAGCCTGTGAAGACTGGGCGGCTCAACGATATTGTTTGACTTTCAGCGAGCTGATGAAGAGATATTGTAGAAAGGCCTGCAAACTATGCAGTAAGTTATTATAAGTTATAAGAATCCTTTATGCCATAAAATGGATACAAGTAGAAGCTCAGAGTGTTCCAGGAACGAAACAGAGGGTGAGCGAAGACATGCGTTATTTTGGTTGGAACGCAATATATTCATCATCCTCATGGGCCGATTTAAGTGAAAGTGGCGCAGTGATGTAAACAAGACACCAATGCGTTTGAAATTTCGCAGATGAGCTAAAATTTTTCTTATGACGGGACTATGTAAAAATTTAGTTAGCCACTGTGACTGTGAAGTGTAGGTCGCAGTTTGATGCTTGACTCTGGTGTTGACTTTGACCAAAGAGAACTGGACAATTTCACAGAACGCAAACATGTTCTTTGTTAACACATCTGTGAATAACCTTCTGTGAATAACCTACTGTGAATAACCTACTGTGAATAACCTACTGTGAATAACCTCCTGTGAATAACCTACTGTGAATAACCTCCTGTGAATAACCTACTGTGTTTACCTGATAAGGTGAACTTTGAGGAAAAATTCTCGTTGTTATTTTCAGATCACGTGTTAGCAACGGGTTTCACAACCTGTGATAAAACATGCGGCGGAGGAATTAGACTGCGCATGATCAAAGTGAACAACCGACAAGTGTTGCAGCGAAGGTCGTGCAATGTGCAAAACTGTCCGGGTAAGGGAGCGGCCATTTTTTTTACGTTTGTAGAAAAAACTTTGATCCAGCCCTTTACAGACATAAAAAAAAAATCGTCTACAAGCGATAGAAAAATCTGCCGTTTTGTCAGAGCATTGCCTCACAGATTCGTTGAGAGATCAGTGTTAATCATTTCAGGTTTAAATTTATTTCACTTTAAATTATCGATCCCAGGCAACTATTTTTTTCATCTTACAGTTAATGGAGGTTATACACCTTACTCAGACTGGTCCGAATGTAGCGTGACATGTGGTGAAGGAGTACGTTACAGACACAGGTCATGCACAAGTCCTAAACCTCAGTTCGGTGGACGTGACTGTAGCCATCTCGGAGCACCAGTTGACACTATGCCGTGTGTTAAGGGATGTAAAGGTAAGTAGTTCTGTACCAGTCTCTTTCAACTTAGCAATAATAATGTAGTTAAATCAACGCTAACGCAGTTGGATGACGTCAGGGAGGGGATGACACTTGAAAACTCATTTTACATTAACCAAGCCTTTCTGTCCCACATGGCAGAAAGCTTTTGGACGTTTTCTGCAAAAGAATGCGCGAACTGAATGTACCATTTTGGTTGACCAGTACTCCCCCACCCCTCCGACCTTACAGTGTCAAACTGACTTGTCCTTGAAACTTAAGCTCAGCATTAGAGAGTATTTTGTGATAATTTCAAGTTATTAAGAGATTTAACTGAATGTGACTTCATAAACTGATCGGCTCTTGCAATTTCCAGACCACTTCTTTGCAAAATAATAAATGCAATATAATTCAGTTAATGACCATATGCATTGAATGAAACTGCAATAACTATGATTTTTAATTTATTAAACAAAAGTGTTCATTTCTATATTGTTATACCTTTACTAGGATTTAAGCCAAGCAAATACCATTCCTCTCTAAATTCAGGTGCGTTACGTTTCACACACGTCTCCATAAAAAAAATTTATTGAAACTCAACGAAAACTTAACGTTAGACCAAGTACACCTATCACCTTTGAAAACGAGCTGTTAAAAGTTAAGACGAAAGGGGTTTGATGTACTGATCGGCGCACGTAGTAAATTCATCTCACCCCAATTTACGTAACGAAAGTGTTGCTAATTAAAGGACAATTTGCTCGACCAGAAAACCACCCTATTGATCGTTACTGAAATGCTTTAACGTCAACCTTTTTTGAAATTTCTCATTTAATTGTTAAGATCTGACGTGCACCACTATTCAGTGAAAGACAACAGTACAATCCTCGCGCGTTATGCTTTCTACTAAAGGAAATCTTTATTCTTTTCTAGGACTCAAGAAAAGCAAACATCATACTGACCGTCTAAGTATGCTCTGATTCTTAAATCTTCTTGTTAATTTTCACAAACGCACTTGAAAACATGCATGAACACTGTCAACAGGCCCTGAGGAGTTTCCTGAATACCACGCAGAAGAAGCAAATCCGAAAGCTTCAGACCCTGGTAGGTGATTGGTTTTGACTAAACTTTCCAAGTAATCAGCTGCTTGTGGGCCTAATGGGACCAATTACGAATTTTCGTGCACAACTAACTTCCCTAAATGCAGTGTCTCGCTTGAATGCAGTAACCTTTAAACTTACTCACACTTGAAGTTTATTTAAGAGAAAAACAATCGTACCACATTAAGGCAGGTAATTAAAGAGCGAGTGTAATCACACAATGGCAATATTTTGACATTTTTGGGAACAGAGAGTATGGAAGATTAAGGCAAAAGAAAAAATTGTTCTCCTAGTCTGTTGCTGTTGGAAAATTAGTTATACTCATTGCAAATAGACTTCCTCTATATGTTAGGCAAGGGAACGTCTATGAGTGTCATCAGTTTTTACCATTTCGGTAACAAAAGGCAAACGAACGTTAAGCTATGAGCGCATGTTAATTTAAGAATATGTATACTGTACACTTCGTGCATGCAACACCAAGTGGGCGAAAAAGAGGCCGACTTGGATAGCGAAGAGGACGAAGAGGAAGACTCTGCAAGTACAAACGAAACTTCCAATAACCAAGGTAACAAGCTCTCTCAGATAAACTTTTATCTCGTAAATTTGAAATGCTTGAAGAGATAAGACGACTTATATCACCAATTCATCGTATATAGTCATGGAGTAACAGAAATTTGTAGCGGCTACAGAGGCCTACACTGATGAATGAAACAAAAGAAGGCCTTTTTTTAGGAGTCCTCCCCTTGTATAAGCCTTTAGGAAGGTGTTTGTAAATTCCTTAATTTCATGCAATTTTTACTTCTTTCGGCCTTCGTCAAAGGCTGTAGGCCATACATTTGAAGATCCAATGTCAGTAGAATATGATACCTTAAATCAAGTCATGTTTATCTGGGCTTACGATTATCGGAAAAAGTTATTACGCGACGGCTTGTTATGGAATAATGCAAAGTGATATTTCGCCATGTAAAGGAAACCCTGTCAAGCCTTTTTCTGCTTTTTTTGTCCGAAATTGAAATCATTTTATACTTCAAGCATATTTACTCACTAGTTTTTCAAAGCTTGTGAATTAGTTATGACAATTTTTCATGGCAGATTACGGTCATGAGTTTGAATGGCCCAACAAGCACCACCGTCACAAACCAGTTGTCCTAAAACACGTGCACAAAAACGTCTACAAACACCGAGATGACTATGGTAACAATCATTATCTAAATGTCGGTAAGTTGTAACACAAATGTTACCTAAATACAATTTCACTGCCGTGCCGGTATTCTACGATTTTCTCTATAGCGGATGCATTTGGTTTGATTTAAAGACAATTTCTTCTAGGCACAACCGGACAAAATTAAATTTCTCTGATCCGGTCTTCTTTCTGTCACCAACACTGCACCAATCATTAGCACCGCCATGGTAATCATCTATCTACGGCATCTTTCTGGGAGAAAATCCAAATTACAAAAGGTCAAAATAGAATAAACGTTCACTGAATCTCTGGTTCTTCCATCTCTGAGAAAGCAACGTTTTTCTCGGTCGAATGTAAACAAACGACATAAGTAGGCGAAAGTGTCTGCGTCAGTTTGTGATGTCAAGGTTAGAGTCTTGTGATGTGATAGGCTAATAAAGGAAAATCACACACGCCACGCATGAATACAAAATGAAGTGCAAAGGGGAAGAGAAAGAGAAAAGTTGTTATTTATAACATAGCTAGTAAATTTGTGTAATCAATGATAGGTTAAAAATGTTATAAAGCAATTGGTTCAAAGCTGTGCGTTCATCGAGATATCACTTGAGAAGTTTGGAGAGCACTCACGCCTCGATTACGCATGAATACAAAATGAATATCTCGATGAACGCACACTGACGTATGAACCAATTGTTAAATGAAGTGCAAATGGAAAGAGGAAGAGAAAAATTGTTATTTGACATATAAAACCTAAAAAAAGTTAACAATGACGATGACGATAACATAATCGGCACCATGACAATGATAACGACAACGATACCAATTTAATGATTGTCAATGTCGGTGTTCCTGTAGCAAAAATCCCTCATTGTAACAAACAAAATTTCATCTAAAGGGAAGTAATATGATGATTTCACGGTTATCAGACTTCATGTTTGTAAAGAATCCATTCACGAAAAAAAAGAGGCTAAAGTTCAAACTCCGTAGAAAATATGTATTAAACTTGTTAAAGGAATATCAACATTTGGCCAAAACAAAAACTCAGAAACTTTTTAAAATTCCAAACAAAGGGTAACAAACTTGCGCGAACGAAAGCTCAAAACAAACAAAAATTACGCCAAAAATGTCCTCGTCAGTTTTGCAATGTCAAGGTCAGAGTTCTTTGACGTGATTGGCTAATTTGTGTATTCACGCCCAGCTCGCGTAAATACGAAGAAAATACAAAGAGGGAGGGGAAAAGATAAATTTAAAAACGAAAGAGAATATGTACCATGTTTCTTTTTTTTTAAGATGAGGAGCAGAGTCCATATGATCAACTTCAAACTCACGTGGTGCGATACCAAGGCCGCCAAGGTCAGAAGCTTCAGACGCTACCCCTCTCTCCATAGAAGATGTTGTTTAATGCAAACGTTGCCCACAGCCATAAGTCTCGTTTGTACCATAATATTATTTATAACATAATATGGCGGGGCGGACTTTAACAGTCAGCTGCAGAACCATCTAGCATGTATAGAAGGAACTGAAAATTAAAACAAGGGAATTTCAAATTTCAAAATCAACTGAAAACTTTGTTTTTTAAAATTGGCTTCACCTCTAACGTACGAGATACATACGTATGCCCATGTACAAGGCCAATTTATTTTGGCCTGGACTTCATAGCCAAAGGTACTATTCGTCATTTAGTGCAATAAGCCAATTGAAGTCCATTCTTAAGTTAAACATTACGTACCGACTTTGCAGAGTCAAGAAGACTGATAATTTCAGCTCAGTGACATCTTTTAGACTACTAGAAATACCTCTTACCAACCTTTGATGTTCTTTCAGTGGCCAAAATGCAGTGCGGTCCCTCAAGGCTGCTTAATTTCCAAAAACATCCTTCTAATAGTCCCATGGCGTTTAAAAGATCTAATCCGTACAAGCTCTTTGACGCTGGTGGGATTGTTTATGATAAAGATGGCGTACCCAGTGACACTACCACGAATGTCGTTCAAGCTTTTGACTCGTAAGTTATTTCAACTGGTCTTATTTTGCGAGTGATTAAACTTGTTCTTCTTAGTTATGGGAAATCGAGCTCTCCCCAACCAGAAGGCATGCCAACAGGGATTCCTCCCAAGTGATATTTGTGTCTTAGGAATTAGCCCTTATATCTATTAAAACTATTCAATTTTTGCAATCAGTGATAAAATTAGTTGAGACAAGACATCTATCTATCCACTTAAGATCAAGTATTGACTGGATGAAATTTAAATTGAAATGCAGATCGTACAACGCCCCATTCCCCCACTGTACAATCACGAAAAACAAAGTACAGCTTGCACAGGAGAATTAGCAAATTATTAGGGATAATTAATACGCTATTCCAGCATAATTATTGCGATTTTAATGGAAATGTCCGAAAAATTGTGTCGCCGATTGAAGCACCGTTACTATGGACCAGACATGAACGTGATCAGTTGGTAACTGATGTTTGAAAGAGATGTAGGGCATGGAAAAAACGTACTAAAAAGGCAATCTTTTATCAAATAGTTATGGACGTGAATTGAATAAATTTTTTTTATTGATGACTGGAAATGGAAGGTATGCTCAAATTATATGGATTGTGTAGCACTGGTAAAAAAATCCAAAATCGTTTTCCTTTCCTTCGTAGACCTTATAAAATAATTCTTCAAAAGGGCAAAAACAACCAAATGAAAGTGTTAGAGCAGTGCATTGAGTCAGGTAAGCCAGATGTTATCTACTTTCAGGCAGCAAGAAGTTAAAAATAACCTTCAGAATTTTTGATAGCATTCTTAGGTTTGGAGACGAACACAAGAGAAAGAACGAAACCAACAAATATACGAATGACTTCAACGTTAAGTAATATCTCGAGTCTCCAGTATAAAACGAGACACCTGATAGGATTCGTTTATTTGTTTTTTCATGTGATTTTGTAGTCTCACAGTCTATTCGCAGATTCCGGGGCTTTCCGCCTCAATGTTCATCCGAGAAGCTGTGCGTACTTGTTCCTCTGTTTTGCCTGAGCTCATTTGTATGAATGTTCAGTTCTGATCGGCTGATATTTTCAAAGTGAAAGCTTTCAACTATAAGCGAAATTCCCATGATGCATTGTTAATAAGTTCTTGATATAGCACGTTGTTCCTTTTTTACAGATGCTTCTGTGAACCCTGAGGCGGATTTGAAGCTTGGTGAGCAGGGTCTTGGTAAGAAAGGCAATGAATTCCTTTTTGTGCTTCGTGTGATTTCATTGAAGATGTTATAGAAGCCTCACAGAAAATAGCCTTGCGAATTATGTTACCTCATCATCTATCATTATTATTATTATTATTATTATTATTATTATTATCATCATCATTATTATTATACTGAATCAGAATGTATTTCCTAATAGCCATGGCAAGTGAACAGCGGTCACTACCGACAACTTCCGCTTCTACACCAGCAGTGAATAGTCTGGCATCCAATCGCTTCGCAGAGAATGGTTAGTGGGACAGTCAACACAAGATTAGACTCCTTCCAAAAGATCCTCTTAGACGCACGTGATCATCACACAAGAAGAGTATTATAGAATCGATCTAGAATAATCAGAAACTCACGCCACTTTCTCAATTAATCAGGTTCCATATTATAACTAACCACGACTTAGTCACTCGCGTTTTCTAATCCTCCAGGCAGCTTGCTTGTTTTTCCTTTAAGTTCTCGGCTTCTTTATGCTGAGTGAGGGGCCGTTGAAAACGCAATAGAAAACTGGTAAATGACCAGCAGCGAGAGACAACGTGATTGATTATGCGGATATTGGTTTGAATTTTGCCTCTGATTGGTCAAAAAGAGAGCATAAGTTTTCTAAACCAATTAAATGAAGTAAAATCGATGATATGTGGATTACTTCCGATACTAATAGTATTGTTGCAAGGACAACTTTTCTCAAAAAGTTTCTGCTGCAGCTAATTTTCCACACTCATCACGACGCACAATTGTTTGGCGTATTCTATAATTTGTTTGTTTGTTTTTTGTAAATCAAATTGAAGGTCTATATGAGTACAAGTACCAAGACATAGGAGAAGGTGTAGATGAAAACAAAATAGGTGAGCTAAATCACAAAAATATTATCTTGCAATGACCTTTTTTTAAACAAGTTCACTGTTTATCCCTTAAGAAATTTCGTGAATAATTTGCTTTTTATGAGGGACTGACTTAGTTGCAATCCTATTTTTAATCTACTTTATCATGAACTATTACACATTACTCTGTTAACGATTAATTAGATAGTGACGTCAGTGATCAGCTGACCAGGGCAATCAAGAACGAGGAAGCAGAAATCAGGCAGAAATCTTTAAGGAGTCAAGGTACTAATTTGGAGCTAATTGCAATGTAACATATATATGCGCATGCATTTATACAGTACTGTGTCCGACCACGTTCTAACGAATAACCAATAAGATGGCGTCTTGACGCAAATGACGGGCTCACTTAAACTTTTCCAATAATAACAATACAACAATATAACAACGTTTTGAGATACTAACAAAACTGAAGATAGGATTATGAGCTTTCTTGACTTTTTGGTCAAGTTACAAAGCCATGTGTCCTCACAAGTCATATTGACTCAACAGGCACGTGATTCATGATTTCCTTGAACCGGGAAATAAGGCGAGAACCTCTTGTGTCATACAGTTTACTATTTGAGTCCCTGCTGTATTAAGCTATTTATTTTACAGATCCTAAGCCCACCCTTAAAGAGGAACTGTTTGCTGAGAAAGAGGAAGCCTGGAGAGAGAAGAAATACGAAGATTCCCTTGCCAGACGGGCTAAGGTGATGTCTTAATGAGAACATAACGTGGATATGGTAAGAAACTTTCCAATGGGATTTGATGTGCACTCGCGTGGTGTTAACTATATGTATTATTTTCAGGAGGTTAATTGAGATCACAGCAGGGATCCTCAGCTTACACGTTTGACGAAGATTTCCTGCAGCATAGACGGTTGGAGCTCCACTGACCCTCATTTATGGAGTCAACCTGTGTAATTTTAAATACTAGAGAAGAATTTCTATAAGCACAAAAATTACACGCTCATTTAAGTTAAGTTTACAAATTTGATTTCTCCTGAATGATTCTCAACACGTTGAGTAGATAACATAATCATATTTCCTGATTGTTTCTTTAAAATGGCGGGAGGCATGTCACCCGAAAGAAACAATTGAAATGTTTCTGCAGTCGCCATAATATTAGATAGGACGTTGCGTGGACGACTGAAATTAGTCAGTTGATGAATGGGAACCGCTAACATGCACTGATTAATGAGAAAAAACAGTACCCACCCTTTGTAAATTCAATTTAAGTGGAAATAGTTCTCAAAACACTTTCGAGTCAACTTTCACGCATAGTGTCCAGACTCAGAGAAAAAAAATAAGAATCATAGTCTCCTAATTAATGTGAAATAAGAATATGAAGAGAAAAACAAATACAATTTATTTACGAAAGTGTCTCTACTCATACAAAATACTAAAAATAATTGTAAAATGAAAAATTTGCTTAGAGGGAAATAAGAGAATTTACTGAAGGATTGATAACTAGTTTATAATAAGTAAACTATTCATATGACCGATAACAAGATATAGTTAATTTTCCGGAACACCCAAGCAGTATTGTCTACGTAGGTGTACCATTGTTTCTAGATAAATGCACTCATTAACATTGTTCATCAGTAAAATTATTTTCAAGTGCAAGGATATAATAAAATTTTCATTTGTTCATCTCTTCATCGTACCTGTTTGATCAGGAAGTGGGGCAAGTCTTTTATAGAGACATTCAAGTTGAGTTTGCTCTTATCCATTACCAACTGGCTTTTAAGTCACATCCTAATATTCATTTCACTAGCTGGGGAACCGCTTTTGGCGTAGTGGGTGTTGGAGAGGAGGGGAGTGAAGGTAAAACAACAATGCTTTAATTTGGTTTTATGAACCAAAATTCCTGGTTTCAATTTGGACTAGACAGCTACAGCACAACTGTATACAATTCAATGGTTCGGCCTTTTTTATCGCCTTCTGAACATGAAAATTGCCCTGGGAACAAAGTACGGAAAAAAAGGCCCTAACGAGTAAAGAGGAACCAAGCAAATCTTTGAAGTTGTTATCAAACCCACGAGCTTCATCTAATATTCCCTCGGACTTGGAACTAGTAATGTCCTTCTCTTTTGTGTTTTTAGGTAATTTGCTTTGTTTGGGGGATTTAAGGGCTCCCCGTTTCACCGTAAGGGGTCACCTCAGGTGCAGCTCTGTGCCGCTTTACCGACGATCCACTCCTTGCCATGTTCCTAAAGGAAACGTGCACTCTTGTAGCGTATGGCGTGTTCCAGCCTTCAGAACACATTCAATCCTTACTGTTGATGGGGAAGGAAAGTTTGTTTCGTGTTGCGTGACGAGACCAAAATTAATAACGGCTGCTGAAGATGCTCTGTCGCTAACCAAAGACTTTTTTGGTTGTTAAAATAAACAAGCAAAAAATAAAACGGAGACAAAACAAAAAAATTGGAAACAATCTCCAAAACTTTTTCCCGTTGAAAATAGCATGCGTGTACAAACCTGCTAAAGCTCATTTTATATTATATTTGATAAAAAAGGAAATTTTAGAACCATAGCCACAAATAATATTTCAGTAGCACTGGATGATTTCGAGAGAACGAGAAAGTTTGACTAACGAGCTAGTAAGTAAGTCCACCTGGTTGCCGTGTGACCTTTAATATATGAGCTAGTAAGTGTTTAGAGGAACTATTGTGCTTTAGAAAACTGGCGAGAAATTTGGTGGTTGCCAATTGGAAGTTGTTAAACAGTGATAAGTAGATCTCAGAAACAAATTTTGAAATGCCGACCTCTTAGTTGGAACAAATTTCCTCCGACGAGGTGCTCTCCTTCTAGACATAAGCTTTCGTTTGCCCATGAAGAAACTTAGCGGAAATTCCTGTTAAGAGGGTATATCAAAATTACTGAAAATGTGAAGGAAGAATGATGAAACCCTTCCTGATATTTCTCACCATGTCAGGAGATTGCTCTACCTTCCTAGAAAGATTTCCCAGGCTCTCACATTTTGAACCAATCTCTTGTCTTCATGCTTTTAACACTGTTCAAAACATATATGTTTGCTTATTTGTCGATAAATGACTTAACCTTTGTAAACAAACGTTGTTTCATCTCGCTGGTGGTAATCTTAAACCATTCTCTTCGATTTCTTTTGGTTTTATTACAGGTTTCTTTTTTTCACTCATTAAGTATCAGAATTGTGATTTCCCTTACTCTTGACGTTATGATCGGCTGGGTTCAGTGGTAAAAGTTCACTATGGTTCGTTTAAACAGCAATTCTTTTGTATGGCTTATTGCACTGGTGATTCCACTTTATGGTGCCGACCTAGGTAAGTGCTAGTAATTCTTAACATAAACATAATGTAGCCTTGAACTTTTTCACAGTTTTCCGTAAAAAAAGGCTCTAGAAGGTTGTTTCAATGAATCGCAATAACATGTAGGTCTGATATTTCGGCTTTCCAAACTTGCAACTTTGCTTTGATAGATTAAGTGCAAGATTAAGAGCTAAAATCTAAATATAGCTCCTGCAGTATCGTTAAACTAGTCTGTAGTTTTGAAATATCAAGGAGGGGATGTCATAGCAGCTTTTTTCCAGGTAATAAAACATTTAGGTATTCATTACTCTTATCTAAGAAAAGAATAAAAGTTTTTAGTGTACAGTTACGTTTGCTCTGAAAATAGAACGTTTCATGGAATATGACTCTTACTTGGTTAAAAACACAAATCAGACTGATTTTCTGAAATTTGTTTTCTTCCTATTGAAATTTTGGAACACAACTAAGTTTCTTGCTCAAGTTTTATACCACATGTCTTAAACGGCAAAATATTTCTGTTGATTGAAAGAAGAAAAATTAATCAGCCGGTAGCGGGTTATGTTAGCACCTTGTTAGCTGGTGTGAATCACTCACGGATGAGAGTCTATCCTTAGGGAGTAAGGGAGTAATCCTCTCTTTTTTGTACAAAGCTTGTCAAAGGCTGATGAAGGTAATGCCTTTAAATAAGCTCCTCTCTACGTGATGATAACTGCAGGCCAGATGTCGATATATCGGAAGAAATGATAACGAAAAATGTAGCAAAACTGGCTGTTAAACTACAGTTAAAAATTTTAGGTCATCAGAAATAGTGTTAATACAAAAAATTATTACCTATTCTTCTCTTTTGAAACTCGTCTGCCATAACAAGACAAGAAATATAAGGATCATCGAGACGGAAAGGAAACTCTGAAACCAAACAACAGTTTACGAACCCTCAACTTATTTTTTTTATTTTGTCAGTAAGACGACAACATTTCAATCTGAAACAAATCAATTTTTTAAAATCTGAAAGTTACGATCCTGGCCCTCCTCACACCTCAAATGACATTATCGACATAAAATCCCAAACTGAAAATCAGTTAATGAAAACACAAAAACAAAAGTTGCTCAAAGCTACTTCCGCAGTTCTTGCAACTTTTTGTGTTGCAGGAAGGTGCTTATGCTTTCCTTTTCTCTGAAAAAGTTTCTTCCAGATCAGTCAAGTAAAATCACTGTTAAGCTAGATAAGATTTAGAACTATGTTATAAACGTTGTGAGATTCCTAAATGTATGTCTTTTTCTGCTTGAAGACCCAAATGCGGCGGTTAAGTCTCATTCTCGGACGAAACGATCTTTTGGAAATCCTGGTCCTCCATGCAACAGTAAGTAGTTGGCGATAAAAAGCTTTGCTCGGGCTCAAAATGCTCGTTTCAGTGTTTCTTGATGTCAATATCTAGCAGTTATTTTTTCTAGGAGGTTAAGGAGACACTTGAATTCTAAACGGCAAATAAGAATGTCTAATTAGTGCGCCCTTTCATTTGTTGGAGATCGGACGGAAAGAACAGTAACGTCAATTTTATCAATATCTATTTAAAAGTTAATGTTCTTTATCTCATTTCAGTGGAACATGGGGTGTACCTGGAAAAATGGGACAGGATTGATTACAACCGTATTAAATTCTTGCTGACTGATCCTCGTTTTCCAGACCTACCATCTTACTCAACTTGTGTGCCCTCATTCGAACAGCCTTCTAACTGGGGAGACTTCTTTGGTTCTCGTTTAAGAACTTACTTCGTCCCTATTCAGACCGGAAATCATTATTTTTTCATATGTAAGGGTTACTTTTTATGAACAGTACAACAAGAGGTATATCCTGATTAATCGGTTGAAAGATCTTAGCCAAACTAAGTTGGATGACGGGAAATAAAATGTCTCACGCATGTGACAAACGGTCAACATAATTTTTTTTAAAATAATAATTTCCAAAATTGCCTATACACGTCTGAGCTGATGGAAACTCAAACGGAACACAAGTCTGAAATATCTAACATTCTGATTAAAGGAGTCGGTCATGGTAAAGGAGAATTTTGGGAGCGAATAGACTCGTCACTGCCATTAAAATGAAGCGTGTTGTGGAGTGTGTATGGTGCCATATTTGATGTTATTGATGGCACGCTGATATAACTATAATAACCAAATGAAACTTCAGAGTATTCTCCAGAAACTGTGGAGACATTTTTCCTTATTTTACGACAATTTCCTTGTGCTCAATATGATGATCACTTTGCCTATATGAGTATCTAAATCCAAAAGCTCAATAAATCTCGAACATTTTTCCTGGATCGCGTTTTATTCAAATGTGTTCGAACAGTGTTATCACTAATTCACGCAAATGTTTTGCTGTCACTCATCTCTTTAGCATCTAACGGTGGAAGTGAACTGTTCATTAGTACAAATAACCTAGAGACGAATAAAGCAATGATCTGCGAAGTTGACGGAGGCTTTCCTACAGAGAAATACGAATACGACAGGTAGTTGTAAAGTAATCAATGTTTACTTTACATTTAGTCAGAGGCAAACATGACCGACTTATCACTTAACTACAAAGTTTTCAATGTTTCTTATTTAGTTCAACGAGTCACAAAAGTTTGTTTTGCCATCGTATTCCAAAGGTTTACCAACCAAAAGTCGAATGCCGTATACTTAAAGAAAGGACGTTATTACTACATGGAGGCCATAATGAAAGATGACCATCAGATTGATCATTTGGAAGTTGGTTTGCAAACTCCTGACAAGACTATTTACACCGTTATTCCATCCAAGTTCCTTTGGACAACGCAACGTTACGTAGGTAAGAGATATTCTACATTATATCCCGAAAGACTAATAAGTTCAAATAAGGGATAAATTAAAGGCGTAAAATAAGAAGCGGTACAAAAAAAAATTATTGTCAGTTTAGACTAAAGTCCAACGTTGTTATACTTTGACACCTATGGCTACTACTAGTTGTAAATTTAGAGTATTTTCCAATCATAAATTAGAATTACAAGATGTTACGATCAACAACAACTCACCGCGTTGGCTGCCATATTGAACAACTTGAACGTTAATAATTTATGCCACAACACTAAGTCTGAGTTTGTCTAAGCATCACAGTTCTCAAGAGAAGCAAAGCTGAAAAATTATGTAATATGAAAAATATACTTTTAGACAGTAAATGACTTACGTTTTGTTTGTTAACAGTGCACAATATGACACAGCAGTCGCTTTTATTAAAAACTGCGGCAGGAGCTGGTGCAAAAGCAGGTTTTTCATTTGGAAAAAAATTAGCGGTGGCAAGTGGCAAAAAGGCAGGAGAAGAGGCTGGTACCCTGGCTGGAATGCAGGCGGGAGCATCAGCTGGTGCTAAAGCAGGCGAAAAGGCTGCTATTGAAACAATGACAGAAGCACTGGAAGAAGCTTTAAATTCCTTTCACGGCGACAACCTGCACAAATTTAAAATCAATGTTAAGGATGGAAGGGTGGTTTCTGTAACCGGTCCCGGAATAGGGGAAGTTACAGTCAAAAGGAAAGAGAAAGGAATAATAGGAGGTAAAGTAGGAGAGGGAGGAGGTGGAAAGGGAGGAAGTGTTGGAGAAATGAGGGGAGGCGTTCGTAAGGCTGCGGGTAGAGGTAAGAGCGGTGGAGCAGAGGCAGGTGGAAACGGTGGAGGAAGGGAAGAAGGAGGCAAAGGAGGAAGAGGGGGAGAAGCAACAAAGGAGGTAACAACAGGAGAAGAAGCAGGAAGCATAGGTAGTGAAAGGGCAGAGGGTGGATGGGGAAGTGGAGGAACCGGATGGGAAGGCGCAGAAGGCCTGTCCGTCACAAGTAATGCGGGAAAACAATCAGCTTTTAGTTCAAACAGCAGTGCTATTGCTAGAGGGGGGATCAATGCCGCTGCTGGAAAGAGTGCAGGAAGACAAGAGAAGACAAAAACTAACTATACTCCTTACCGAGATGTGACGTATATTCCAAAAGTAGGAGAGCTCCCTCAGGAAATGGCCAGATCACTTGTCTGGAGAGTTGGAGCTGCTTCCAAAAGTGAGTTTTTCTTGGTCAGTTTCAATCTTCAAAACGTTATCTCTTTGCAATTGTTTTGACAGTTTAGTCATCACTAACATAAGTCCCCCTCATTCATCCTATCTCAGTTGTAGATAAGGCAATGTATACGATTCACTCATGGCACGTACCGTTCTCTCAGGAGAACTTCACCTTGAACTATTGTTGGAAATCAACAGATGGCCAGTTGTTCATAAAACCCGATTGTCAGGTATTCATTGCACATGTCCCCGCTTTGTACCAAAAAACTAACGAAGACCGAGACAGTGTCTCTTTTGAATCTGCTTGCTTTCCTGGTTATTTCCTGAGGCAAAAGAACTACCACTTTCTGATACAGAAGAGGGATGGATCAGAACTTTTTGGTAAGAAAAGGGTCACCTTTTTTAAGAAAAATATTCTAACTTGGATAGATTAGCAAAAGGTAGGAGTGAAAAAAATTTCATCTAGAAATTTGAAGTGCACTTGAAACAAATAATTGGAATTAGCTGTCATAAAATTTCATAAAAATAAACCAGGTAATATCCAAATTACTAATAAGTTTTATTTAGAAAGAATAGCTGATCTTTATCTAAACTAGAATGATAACCATGTTTTTGTAGAAAAATTTTGAAAAGTGCATGGGCATTTCTCAAAATTAGCCTCAGGAATTCTGTCTGGAAAGAAGCTCACATGATTCTCAGCGCGAATATATCTAGTTTGTTTTCATCCTATATCAGCCTGCTCCTGGAATTCTTTTTATCACTCATTTTAAATGTTTGTTTTCAGAAAAAGACAGTTCATTCTATGCTTATTCAGTTATGAAGCATACAAGAAATATTTTGTTCAACTCGATGCACAATGACTGGTACATCTGCGAAAGTATTCCTGTTGGAAAAACGGAGACGAGACTTAGAATCGAACTCATCCTGGACTTTTACAATGGAGATCCGGACGTTCTTGATCGCTGTACCTTTTTACTTCATCCTATTCCTCAATCAGAGAGCAAGTTTAAAAACTGTAAAGGCATGATTGGCCCAGATCCACGGCGCATGATTAACGGTCAACCACTTCCTAGCGCTCCTCCTCTGATAACGCTTCCAGAGGCAGCTTCACAGATCATTGGCGTCAATAATAAACCGTTAGTCACAACACCAGGGGTACCACCTGGAAATACCAATGCATCAGCAATAAATACCGCGAAATCTGCTAGTGGCGGAATTGCTCCGAGGCCAACTATCTCAACAAAAACCAGTAAGTGTCCTTATAATTTTTTTGATAACTAGGAAACTTAGCGCGTATTGACGCGGGCGAGATTTTAGCCAACGCTTGATAGTCTGAGAAAATAATTTTCATAAACTTTTAAAGTGACCATTTTTTCTTCAAGCCAAGTCTCTAAAACAAATGTAATATAATAGAGCGTTTCGATAGTAGGGTGAGCATAAACGTAGTCTCTTTTCCCGTTTTCAGGAAAATGGTGCGTCGCATTACACCTCATTAACAACTTGGGATCTTCATTCATACTTCACTCATCTCTTAAACATGAAGGGTATCTTATCAGTGGACGTGGTTTTAACCTTAAGCTTCTCACGGACCGGCCCGAACTACATAGTCATGTTATCTTCAGTGCCGAGGATCCAACCAGAAATAAACTTCTTCTGAACGGCGGCCTAACTCTTTCAGAGCCAATGGTACCAGGCTGCCCCGTATTTTGGGACGTATACGTTACATCCGTGCAAGGTGTAAACTTGAAAGGTAAGCCGTAAATGAAAGATAACAGAGGATGAATCCATATGTTAATATACCGAATGGTGATCTCTTTTGTACTGGCATCTTGTCGGTTTGAATGGCATTAAATTCCTAAGCTGTCTTACTTTCTACTTTCTATCGCGTGAAATCGAGATCTTACTCCTGTTCAAACCAAATGACCTGTGGTTATTTATGTGATTTATTACGGTGGAGCCTTTTCTTTAACTAACGGTAATAACAAACTTTCCGATAACAACTTGGCAGGTGAATTAGTGGAAAAGAGGAGTTCTTTAATGTAATTATAATAACTTTCACTGCAACTTACGGTCTGTGTTCAGGTATACTTTTTGCTTAACAGGAGCCATTTCCTCGAGTACTTCATTTCCTTCATCTTCTTCCACATTGTCAATGAATATTCCAGCTCCAATCAATCTGTCTCCTGTTCGTCCCAAAGTTTGGTCATCAACTATTCCTGGCACCTCGTTCTTGCCTAGAATTTCTTCAGCTTCTCAGATTTCCGGATTGATTTCAAACTCCCAAACAACCGATAACCAGACTCAACTTCCGATGAAGACCTCACCACCGACTTCTTCTCCTGGAGAGACTTTAACCCCTACTTCGTCCAAATCTAGTAAGTTTCCCTCAAAAGGGCAAACAAATGTTTTGTACAGAGCTTATTAGGACCATAATTTTTTGAACCAAACACCCTGTAGCTCTCTCAAAAACATACTGTGAATCAAACAACAAGAAAGAACCTGATATCTGAGGGTTTTTTATTTCCAAATGTCTTCTATATATTTTTCTTTTTCAGGCTTGTCGGGTGCTTCTTCAGCTTCCTCCTCTATGCCGCCGCTCAAATTTCCGGCCCCAATTGATGTCACTTCCGATCACCCCAAAAAAGAAACTCGATTTGTTCCTTATAGGTCACGTGGCAATCCTCCCCCAATTTTTAGTTCCTCTCATAATTATTCAGCTGCAACCAATTTTTCACCCACCCTATTGAATCCAAAGGTCTCACCGTGTCCAAATCAATTTGGAAGATGTGATATTCCTCTTACGTCGTTATCAGGTAAGTCCACTGAAATGATGGGCAGAAACCAGTTATGGCACTCTTCGTATGTCGTAGATACCCATGTGCTTGTTGAAAGGTCAGGATAAAAATTCAGATCAAGAACCGAACGAAGGTAACAGCGCACAAACACCTGGTTTAGCATTCCTTCGTCTTTTGATCATCATAAAGATTTTTCCTTTATATAATCCTGCTGTTTTTTAGGATCAGGTGGCTCCACTCCACCGGTCACAGACGCAGCCCCAATTAAAATCCCTCCTGCGTCCAAAACATCGTTATCTGCTAAAGTTACTAACTTTCCTGGTAATACCTCACCCCAAACAACATCTTATCCTCCTTGGGAATCTGGAGTCATCTCAAAATCTGTAAATACCACTAATGAGGTTGTAAATCCAAAGAAGACGTCACCCTCTACTTCATTTCCTTCCAAGAGTTCAGCCGCCGTTTTGTCCATGTCTACTGCGCCGTCCTCGGAAAAGGGTAAAAAAGAACCGTTTTGTATATCGTAGAGACTCATTAACAATTCAGGTAAATTTTTACAACTCGAGTTGAATGAGCTCCTGTCTCCATAGTAAAATGTGCGAGCAAAAACCATATGATAGCAACTGTGAAGTTAGTTCAAAAGTTATCCGTTTTGCAGGATCGCCAGGTCTTTGGATTCCGCTCTGTCTGTTTCCTCCATCAGCACCCATGAATGTCTCTCCTGCTGTCGCTAACCTAAAGTTGCCATCAACTCCCTCTCCGCCTTTCCATAATACTTTAACCTCTACATATATTTCCTCTTTTAACTCCTGCAGGTGTCATAAATTCTACTGCAGCCGAAAACGTTCAGAATCTAAAGAAGATCACGCCACCTACCTCGTTTCCTTCAAACAGTTCAGCCTCTTTGACGCCTGAACCTGGTCCGTTGTTATCAGAAAAGACTAAAGCATGATTGTTTTACATGTCATGAAGAATGTTACTTTACCCTTCGCGTGAATTATTTTTCCTTAATTTAACTAGAGTTTTGAAACGTTTTAATAATCAAGGTACAAAATATCTCAGTTTCTTTTCTATTTCGAATTAAAGGGAACTAAAAGATATGCTCGTCACCAGAAGGTCATAGGTGTTTAAAATAATAGTAAGCTCTGCGTTCTAGTTTTCTTAAATTAAGATACCGTTCTTTTAAGTAACACGCGCACAGAAATTTTATGTGGCCCTTGGGTTCTTTGAGCACTGAGATCCCTGCAAAAGTTTGGACTCCACTTTTTTATTCTTATGAAAACAACTTGCATATGTACTTTCACGCATTGCAATATGTTGCAGGATGCTTGAAATAGCTCCCATGGTCAGGAAACCATAATTGTGATATTTAAGGGAGCCATAGTTAACTCTATTAGCAGTTGCCAGTAACCGTTACAGAAGAAGACGTGGTAGAATCATAAGGAGAAAGAGTTATGGTGGCATGTTATTTAAACTTACTCCATCTTGTTACCAGGTACTGCTTCGTCAGGCTGTTCATCGGCGTTTCCTGCGTCTCTGCTGAGGGTACAATTTCCTCCACGAGTACCTGTCGATAGTTCCGCGCCTTGTCCTTCTATCCCTCACGAACGTCCTCCATCTTCTTCTAATGGCTCCTTCCCGCCAGAATCTTTAGGTACTCCAGAGAATTCCCCTTCTTACTCCTGGCATTTTGTTCCACAAACTCCATCAAATCAAAACAGTAAAGTCATGCTATTTAGCAGTTTTACAAAATTATAAAAAAAGTATTTAACTCATGAGAATTACAGATTTTGTATTATCAATTTTCACAGAAGACTCGTCAAACTCCACAGCAGTCCCTTCCTCTTGGTCACGGCCAGTAAAACGTCCAAATCTAACAGAATCTCCACCTCTCAAGAATTCTTCCATTCTTATACCTGCGGGTCGGACTGTTAACTTATCATCGCCTCTTCCTCCATCTAGTTCCCAGGTAACCTCTTTCCCCCCAGCGGTTTCTGGTTTCCCTGAGGCTCCAGCAGATCTTGATGACCTAATGACTATTGTTGCTCCGCCCCGGATGTCGAAGGCAACATCTTTAGCATCGTTCCCTTCTGCAGCGGGTTCCCCTTCTTATTCCGCTTCAGAAGCTCCATCCACAAAATGTGAGTAAACAATTTTTTCAAAATACATTTTTATCATTTGTTTTTAGAATGCTTGACGTTGTAGATTTGATTTCGTAAACAGGGCAATACATTGAAGAGAAATACTGAAAACCAAAAAGATATTCAAACTTGACACTGATAATTCTATTCCTGCCATTATAGTTTGAAAGTGTTATGCATAAGATAGATTTTTTCTGAGGGATACTGTTTTCATTGAAGAAACTCACGGTCATACTTAGAAAAGGTTTTGCCCCCGTTATGGATCAGCCAGGCCACAGAGGCCATAAAGCCCTTAATGAATTACATACCGTATCCAATATTCCACATCTAGGTTTTGAATCTCATATAATGTCAGTACTATTTTCTTCCAGCGTGTTCAAACAGATGCAGCAGAGCAAGAATATGCCTTCCTTTCTGCCCGATGCGCTGTTGTAAACAACGTTTGGTCAGCAGCGATTCAAAAGATAACCAATCTTCCACATTGTCGGTGCCTTCCATGGAAAAAAAATGAACATAAATAGAAAAATATTTATTAAAAAAAAAGGAAGTGACCGCTAGTTTTAATAATTTTCCATTTGAACCGACAGGATTTAACTTTGAAATGATCAACCAGTGAACTGTAATCAATTATTACAATAAAAGTATGAAAATCGCTTTGGCCATCACAATAATTGAAACGTGGCGACTAAGATAGGTGACTTCTTTGAAATTTGAAGAAAGTTCTCTATCAAACTATCAACAGCTTGGGGTGCGTCAAAAGCATCGTGAACTAAATTCAAACTTAACACTACTTTTGCCCACAATGCATTTGTTAAAATTACAAGCAGCCCCTTACCAGCTTTGATTTCATATTAGTAGCATCGAAATTGTGATATTGATGATCTTCGCAATCAACTCAAATTTGTGTCAAAATTGGTATTATTCTGGGCGAAGCAAAATCAAACAATACATCTCACGCGAAAAAAAACATAGTTAAGTTATGTGACCCATGTAGCACCAGGACCAGCTTCCTTGAACGCTTCCGAATACAGGTGGCATGTCAAGCCTATTCAAGTGCATTTCATCGTTTTGGAAATTGCAACTTGGGATGAAGTTTTCATCGATCATCGTCTCTTTTAAACTCTACTTCTTAGTTATCTTGTCATTTTCAAGAGGTGGGGAAAAAGGAAACAAATCTAGAAATTTAACAGGTAGGATGTTTTTTAATGTAGTTTTAACCAAACAGTGATCTGGAGACTGTTGAGATTAAGACTTACTCAAATTTCATAATATCGGAAAAAACTGGATGTACCAGATGATCAATCGAGTGCATGGACACTAGATTACGTACCAAAAGCTCAGATTTGTCGGCTTAAATGTAAATTACTCTCGTAAAAACTATCGACTAAGCAATTAGAAGGAGGAAGTTTGGTATTCCTGTTAAGATATCAGCTAAAGTCCTCTACTTGAAATTCCTCAAAGTAGTAAAGCTCGTGACCTTAACTTAGCTAAACGCTGGAAATCAAAGGACAATAAGGGAGAATAGGAATGCGGTTCAACTGCACGCGTTGAAAGGCACAGAAAATTAAGAAAATAAGTACATTTTGTTACTTTGGTGTAACAAAAAAAGTTCACCCGAGCACGCGCACCATTAGTTAAGGAACCGCACGAACAGTTTAAATTCTATGTATATTCAAAGCTATTTCTTGGACACCACGGCGGTTACATTGTGTGTCAACCTCGCGCTTAAAATCAACCAAGTCAGTCGTAACCGCTTCTTTCCATTTTATTTTAAATAATATGATTATTTTGCTGAGTTTACAGGGTTATTCAGGAATCACATTACACCTGCACAAAAACTAATAATTAATTAAGTTTGAAATTAAAGATAACATAAACATCCTACTGTAATTTTGTCTCACCAAGGACATAGAAAGTAAGCAGAGAAAATAAATTAATCAGTTAAAAGAGGAAATGAGAAGGGACAATGTTTAGAAAGTTAACAGTCAAAAGAAGGCAACAATATCGATTTAATTAGTATCCGTCACCTTTCATACGCGCTACAGGGAGCTTATATTCCGTGACTGGAGCGGTTTTTTGTTTGTCTCTAAATCACGGCAGGTAATGGTGACATAAACTACTTTCCATTGTACGATTTTGTGCCTCCCCTTTGATGACAAAACTTTAACGAAATGGCAACAACGTCACTCAAGTTTACACATCTCAAAAGCTAAGCATCATTGACAAACCTCGTTATGAGTTCGATAACTTGTTTAATTAGGCAACAAAACAAAGGTTGAAATTTAGAATATTCAAAAAGTTATTTTGGAGCATTTCGTTGTACTCGATCGTTCAATACAGGTAAAAGCAACAGAGGGCACTTTAAGGGACCTCAGAAAGGGTGACCATGACTACCTTCATGAGAGATAAGGTATAGAAACTGTTATATTAAATTACTTTAAGGGGCGATTGCATAAGACAGGTTTGCTTTATAGAAGTAAGAACGACATTTGTGAAGCATTTATTCATGAAGTTTCCACTGACAGTTGACGGCCAACATGGATTGATAAGACAACGGCGAACAACGTCAACTTTTGGCAGCATCGAAAGAGGACCTTGTAGACACAGTGAGTATCATCGTTACAATCGTTAAATGAACGTGTAACATTGCATTGTAACACAGCATGACATTTCATCTTTAAACTGGGTCGGTTCAGCGATTATGGGAGAAGTGGGTAAAATCAAAATTAATTTTTGGCTGGATAAACTTTCTATTTTTTAGAAAGTTTCATAAATGCTGTGACATAGTTTGAATAAAGATAAAGTTCACTTCGCGAGCAAAAAGGTTTCACTCTGTTTTTTTCACACTTTCCTTTCAGTGACCCATGGCGTATACTTGGAGAGATGGGACAGAATCGACTACAAGCGTGTCAAATTTCTACTGGCTGATCCGCGCTATCCAAATCTACCAAGTTTTGCGACATGTGTCAAAACATTTGAACAGCCTTCAAAGTGGGGAGATTTCTTTGGCTCTCGTTTAAGGACATACTTTGTTCCTCTGCAAACAGGATACCACTATTTCTATCTTTGTAAGAAACTTCTCCTTTTCAAATAACTAAGTTAAAGAGACGGCTCATCATAGTTGAAATTGAGTGCTAAACCGCATGGAACGTATGAAGGAACGCGTATGCTCTGTTAACCTTATTGGCTGGTAGTCAGGTGAAACAACAGTTCTCAGCTCGTTTAAATACACTGCTGGAAGATAACTATCATACAAATCACGAGCTAATGGTTCAGCAGTTTTTGATAATTCGCTAAACAACCCATAAGGCAGGTTCATACACTCGTGGGACCTTCAACCTGTCATCAATCGTCTTTTCCGACGCATGAATCTCTCCAAAGGCATAATCACTTCTATACTATATAAGCGAATAATATTCTTAACGTTTTTAAATTCAAACACTTTTCCCCTGCACGTCCAGTGATCCGTTAATCCGTTTTTGATGGTGTTGCTTGCACGCGTGGAGCAGGAAATTTATCATGAGTTTCTTAGCGTATTTCATCCATTAGTTTCCCATTATTTTCAATCGTGATCAGGACAAAAGTTTACTTTCGCCGATGAACAATTTACTATTTTGGCTTACGGAACAGAAACGTCCTGGAGAAAGGTCCTACATAATCGATGATTATCATTTACTTTAGCATCAAATGCTGGAAGCGAACTCTACATCAGCCAAAACGAAAAACCAGAGATGAAGTCAAAGATTAGTGCAATAGATGGCGGGTTTGCCACTTATCAGTATGAGTTCAATAGGTGAGGTAAATTAGAGTATCTATTATATGGTGATAAGTTTCTATGTTTCTTAGGAAGACTTAAGCGTAGAGACTTAAATTTTTTTGAACGCATTGGAAATATTTTCAGCTGTGGTGTATTAATTTTTTTAATGGTCAAATCCCGACATGAATAATTTCAAGCAACATTTCAGTGGTGGTACCTTTAAAAGAATAAAAGCTTAGTTTTTCGTTTCATGCTCTGAAACGGTGGAGGGGTGTGCATGCATGCCCACAACACCGGACACAAGCCACTCTGGAACGAAGTAAAGTTTATTGATCGTGACCCTTATTACTACACGCGCATGGTCAAAGAGGCAATTCATGTAAGAGCATCATGCTTTATAAGATCACGCATGACCAGTCGACCTCATCGCCTGAAGAAGACTAGCAGTATGCAGTCGAAACTTCGCGATCTACATCACACGTGACTACATCGTGAGACAAACGAAAAACGTTGCTTTTATTGTTATTCACCACGATGAATAACCACAACCTTTTCTCGTATTTTCACAACTTGTTTTCGGAAAAAATTGAGTACGGTTACTTAAATTCAATTCCAGGTTTATCAGTCAAAAATCTCTCCCAGTTTACCTAGTAAAAGGTAAATATTATTACATGGAGGCTGTATTCAAAGATGATCATCAAAACGACCACCTAGAAGTGGCTTTAAAGACACCGGACGGAACCTTTTACAAAGTGATTCCCTCAACGTTCTTATGGACTACACTGCCGCCACCGCCTGGTAGGTGAATTTTGTACTCTTCTTTACAATAGAAATAATACACGCAATCACGACTGAAAATTGCCTTGGGCCACAGGATAGGGAAAATAACCTTCAGTGAGGCAGTGAAATTTCCGTTGAGTCGTGTATTATTTTCTTTTTGGAGCAGCTTTTAAACGAGTTGCTATTTTACCTTTTCCCCATTTTAATTCTCAGCCAGAAACTTTACCAATATAGCCATTTTACTCCGCGTGGCGGCGCGAGCTGGTGCAAGAGCTGGTCTTGCATTCGGAGCGAATTGGGCGAGAAAGAGCGGAAAAAAAGCAGGCGCTAAGGCTGGTGCCGTTTCTGGGGAGGAAGCAGGAGCATCAGCGGGAGCCCGCGCAGGTGTAAAAGCAGCGATAAAGATGACAGTAGAGACACTAGAAAAAATATTTAATAAACTTCATGGAAATGACGGGCATAATTTTAAGATTCTTGTGAAGAATGCCACTGTGGTTTCTGTGAGTGGTCCCGGGATGAAAAGTGCAGGAAGAGCTGGCTCTGCTGCAGCAGCTGTAGCGTTAGGAGCAGCTGGGAGTGCTGTAGGGCTAGGGAAAGTAGAAAGCACAGGAGCTGCTGGATCAGCGGGAAAGGCTGGAGCTGTTGGTGCCGGAGGAGCCGGAGAAGGTGGAGGAGCTGGAGGAGGTGGAGGAGCTGGGGGAGCTGGAGGAGCTGGGCGAGCTGGAGGAGCTGGAGGAGCTGGAGGAGCTGGAGGAGCTGGAGGAGCTGGAGGAGCTGGAGAAGGTGTAGGTAGTGCCGCAACTACTGGTGGTGGTGGAAATACAAGAGGCACAAGCGGAGGAGTAATATCAGAGAAAGGAGGAGGCGGAGGTATAGCTGGTACTGCACCAACTAGTAGTGGCGTTGGTGTAGCAGGTGGAGGGATGGCAGAAGTCATGGGAGTCATGGAAGTTTCTCAGGTTACATCAGGAGCAAGCTCCACAAGTAGTGGTGTTGCTGCAAGTGTTGGTGAAGTAGAAATAGACGGCAGGACGTTTTCTCCAGATAGGCCGTTGGTCGTGATTCCGAGACCAGGAGAAGATCCACAGGAACTTGCCAATTCAAAGACGATGCTTTGGAAAGCGGGTGGTGCTACAGCAAGTAAGCAATTCAGAGTGTTAAACAAATTTGTGTATGTTTATTAAATGATTTTCAAATTATCATGAAAATATTGTTTCAATTTTTTTTTCGCTGCACGAGTTGTTTATTTTTTTCTGAAGTCTTAGAGGTACAAGCCACCTTCAATTAGAGTCGATTATTACCGTTTCCGTTCGTTGACCATGTCTGAGGTTCACTATTAAGTATTCAGGACCGTTTATTACTTAATTTTTAAAAAAACTTTTTGCCTATTGAGTCAATTGAAAATTCCTTTTAACCATTTCACTTTCTTGAGTGTAGCCCAATATAAGGATTCCAAAAGGGTTGTTTTCAGGCTTCAATTAAGTCTTCACATATAAAGTGCCTTTATTTTGGCAGTTGTGGCAGGTGCAATGTACACCTTTCATGCCTGGGACATACCATACACACAGGAGGACACCAACTTGAATTACTGCTGGCGATCAATAAATGGCAACCTTCGCATGAACCAGTTCTGCCAGGCATTTACAGCTCGCGTGCCTGCAATCTATAGCAAAGCCACCGAAAAAAACTTCAGCGTATCTTTTGAGTCTGTGTGTCGACCCAATCATTTCATACGACAGAGGAGCTATCATTTCCATCTTGAAAGGAGAGACGGATCGGAGCTCTTTGGTAAAATAATGATTACGATTTGAATGACATATTTCCTATTATTTGTAGATTGTAAATTTTCCATTTTTACATATACATTTCCATTAAACTAACGGGTCTACGTAAAATATATAATGGGCAGATGAGAGCAAATAGCAATAAAATTGCACATGAAGGAAAAGCTTATATTAGTGCAGTTTTGCCGTTTTCCTCTTTACCCTCTTTCTAATTTCACTGAAAAGCGTGATGTATTTCGTTTGCAGAATCCAAGAGAAACAATTCAAGCTAATATTTCGGCAGTAAACGATGTAAATTTAAAAAAAGTATATATCTATTTTGCCGCTTGTGAATATTACTGTTGTCGTTGTTTTTATTAGACAAAGACAGCTCCTTTTACATCTTCTCGGTGATGAAATATGAAAGAAACCTTCTTTTCAACGCCATGCATAAAGATTGGTACATATGCCAAGAACTATACAAAGTAGAAGGCCGACAGATGATTTTAGACTTTTACAAGGGTGAACCCGATGTTCTTCAGCGCTGCTCCTTCTCAGTTTACCCTCTCCTGCTAGGCAGCAACAAATTTATGAACTGTAAGGACGTTCTTGGACCAGTGAAACATCGCGAAATCAATGGTCAACCACTTCCTCATCCCCCACATCTGATTCCTATTGCTCCACCGCCGCCATCTGCCTTGTCTCTATGTTTGCCAGTTTGCCAGGAACAAAAGTTTCCTTCCTCAGTTGAGGTTTATAGCGTCCCTGAAAACGCAAGTATGTCTTATTTTTTGACATTAAAGAATGATTATCGGATGGGTCTGTGTTATCTGCCGAAGCTGAAGGCTATTGTATATTGATTGAATGATCTCGTCCATCAGATTTTTCATAGTAATTCTAAAGGATAATCAAATTATGTATACGTATACACGTATACATTCATTTGTACGTATGAACCCTTTCGGATCTATCTATTTTCATACCAAGCAAGTCCTATTTTGTGCATACAATCGGTGGGCGTAAGCTCCTTAAGAAGGATTGAGTTTAAGGGTAGCGCCATTCAAACTTGTGAGAACCTTCGCAACAATTTTTTCCATGCGTGTGTGTGGATGTCGCCCACTGGCTATACAGTTACCCAAGGGTACGCCGAGTTTCTAAGCGCTAACCCAAGTGCCTTTTAATACGATTGACATACAATTAAATTTTTGGACCAAGAGAAAACTCACAACTGATTATAGGCTCTCCATTTTCACCTCAGGGATATATGATCAACAGAAAAAAATAGCACAGCCAGAAGATTATAAAGAAACTTGTTCACGTACGATTCCGTATCATTATATAAACAGTTTAAAATCGAGTTATGGGTTATTATTACATTCACGAGGTAATCTCTTGTTACGACCCATTTTTGTTTCAGCTATGTGTGTTGCATTGCACTTCATCAATGACTTCGGTAGTCCATTTAAATTGGACTCTCCTCTTAAACACGACGGATATCTTGTCAATGGGTCAGAGTTTAAACTCAGATTCATCGTAGACCACCCCAAGTTGCATAGCTACGTAAAATTCAGTGCCCGTGACCCGGCAGGTGAAAGCAACCTTGTCTTGAATGGAAAATCCACTTTATTGGAGCAAGTAGTGCCTGGCTGTCCGATCTTTCGGAAGATTTCAGTGAAATCCCAACAAGGTGATTTCACGGTCTGAAAAATTAAACCATACATATCTATAATCTTGATTTCCAGAGGTTTACTTTGTGAATATGACCTTGATCCATTTTCTCTAATTTCTCCCCGGATGAAACTCCTTATGAGTATTGAATGATAATTAATAACCTTTCAGTTTGATATGCATGAGATGATAATTTAAAGACAAATGATTAACACAGTAACTTGATACCAAGTCGTAGTGTAAAGTAAAACTGCAATTTCAATTGACCTTGACTTGCTTGGTCTTAATCTCTTAGCACCTTGTAAACCGTTCTTTGTTAATTACAGGACGTTTTCAAGAAAAAACACCATTAGCATCAGTTACATCTCAAGCACCGCAAGAGGAATCTGTAGGTCTATCACCTCAAAGACCATCATCACTTCTCCCATCCCAGCTTGCACCACCCCTTTCACCTTTACCTCCAGCTTATTCTGCTTCTCATCCTATCTCAACATCGGTATCAAATTCTGCCAATGTTTCTGCTGCCTCAACAGCTTCACCTCCTCCTCTTTACGGTCCAGTATCGCCAGTGCAGCGAAAAGCGGGTAAGAATTCTCGAAATTTTATTTTGATTCACCTTGGCCATTTAGCTTTCCAGGCCCCTCTCACGTCCTTCCACAGTCCAAACGGTATTTCTCTAACTAGAACGTTCTTCTGTTTTTACAGATAATGGATCCGTTCACTATCATTTCCACTATTATCCAACAAAGACGTTTCCAAATGGTAAAAAAAAAGTATTTGCCTGCGAAATAAGTGTTTCACTGTGTAGATGCATTCTACAATGGTTGGGAGACATATTTTGACTTATTCACCCTAACTCTATCATCTCCCCTCCGGAAGTAAATTTCCACAATTTTTCGGCGAAAATGACCAAGGAAGCCGTACAAGATTACGACAACAATTAACGTAGAAAAGGGTGGAAGCATTGGCTCCCAGATATATTATGGACCATGGGATGGTCTTTTCCAGTGAGATTTCAAGAATGCTAAAATAAATTTGCATAGCACATCAAAGCGCATTGGGAATTTATTGGGAATTTAAATGCAACCTAGGCGCGAGTAAAATGTTTTTGCTTACAACTAAATTTTTTTTGAAGTCGATAATTTCCTCCTATTTTCTCCTCCTCCTTGGCAACTTAACATACTAAAGTGAAAAGTGACCTTATTGTTTGATCAAAAATTGTTTTAAGTAACTTTCATGTTGCAACTTTCTGCAAAAGTTTTGCTCATAAACAAATATATCCCTTGCAGGTTGTCCAAGCAGATGTTCCAATTCGGCCCTATGCCCTTCTCTCTCCTGTCCGTTACAATGTTGTAAGCCAGACCTTGACGAATATATTGACGATCAACTTAAGAAATAACCACTCTATCTAATTTGATCAGTTTATCACTGGTCTATAATCGAACGTCGGCAGCCAACGTGTAAAGAGGGGGATTTGTTTTAAAAATAGAGAAAAGATCACTCACTAATAGTAGGAGACTCGTTCCTCTCTCCGCCTGCATCTCCAAAATTTAAAGGCTCAGGTAGGTCGAGCAGCCTTGAATACACTTATGTGGCCGCAGCAGATGTTAACAAGGCAACGACGTACAGAGAATCTACCAGAGGAGCCATCCTCTTTTACTTCAGTTCCATACTAGAGGAATTATCTTAAATAAAGAAATCCAAAACGATGCCTTGAAAGTACTTTCTTCACAACGGCTGCCATACGACATTTTCTGCTGAAATAATTTTTATATTGTTTGTTTTTGTATCTAGGTTGTCCATTTAAGGCCAACCAATCAATAAATGGCTAATTTAATGACTCTGTCTGGTAATCGAAGGTATCTTGAGTAGCGATTGGTTTTACATCTGATTAGTTGAGAAACCCTAAGGAACTCTTCTTGGGTTGCTGTGTAACAGTTTAACTTGCAGCTGGTTTCATGAAATAGATAGCAAAATAGAATAATTTAATTTTCACTCTATTTTCAATGACCATTCGTGTCCATGGACACATTTGGTTTTTTTTTTCGCAAGTGATAAGCATCTTATTTCTCCTTATGATGTTTAAATAAGTAAGCAGCTAGACTGGTGGTCGCCATTGAGGTTGCCTAGTTTCTACGGTGAGTTGCGCCAATTTAAAGAAAGGAAAGAAATGTCCATCAAATACTGTTTTTTTTGGAAGAGAAAACAAAAGAACGCCTCCTTTAAAATGTAAATATTAATAGAGATTACTCGGGAAGGCCCTGATGGAAAAAAAAACTGGCAAATATAGCTACATAAAAATCGTGTTTTACCAAAATGTTAACGTTGGACGCTCTGATGAGTCACAATTTATCAGGGTAATGTATGGCCGCATTTGGCAAACTGATCAAGTTTGATTCACTCCAGAGACAGTTGTCAAGTTCTGTTCATGTTACTCCACAAACATTTCACTGCACGGACGTTTAAATTTGGCTAGTAGCAATTCACATGAGTGGTATTACATGCCACGTACGGTAAAACGGGAGTTGAAATGCGATTCTTTAATCTAGTGATAATTGTAAAAGAATGCGAAATAGCGTCTATTTGTGACCACAAGTCATAAAAAAAAAGAATCACATACGCATTCTCATATTTGATGTATCCATCAATTTACAAAGAAAAACTCTTGATGAAAAATTGTTCGCGAGTTACGTGACCAATCAGAAACCCTTTGTTAGTCAGCAGGTGCTGGAAGAAACTAAGTAAATCTGTAGAAAGTGCGATTAAATCGTTACATCTTATGTCTACTTAGCCATCTGAAACCTGGTATGAAGTTTTCATCTATCATTGCTTATGCTGAACTGTACGCTTTGTTTATGGTGTTATTTTCAAAGGGTGATAAAAACGGAAGAAAATCAAGTGATTCAGCAGGTAGGCGTATTTGTTGTCACCAGCGAAATTTTAGAATCCATTCACTGTTTTGTAAATCTGCGTACTTTTCGAGTAATGGAATTGAACGCCTTCCCTTATTTAAATACAACTATGGGCATATAATCAAATATTTGAAAGTATACTTTGCCGCCGACTCGTTCGAAACATGAGGGACCCCTGCGGCGTGCTCTTAAGTACCGTGTCAAACACAATTAGAGTTAAATTTAAATTTTATCGCGTTAGAGAGTGTATGTGGAAACATGAACATGGTAAAGTGAGCTTATTGATTTAGAATAAAGGGATAGGTTTCTAAGAAAACTGTGGTGTTGGGTCGGTGGGAGTCAAAACAAGATAATTCGATTTTATCAGCTGGGTTGGTAATGTGAATTGGCCACCGTACAGCGATTCTAGACCTTAAGTTTCGAGCGCTAGCCTCTTGTAAGGGCGAATGGCCAACAACTAAAGGCTCTTAAGAGGGATTAACGCTCATTATCAACTCAACTGATGAAACCAAATAACCTTATTGACTTAGACATTGATCAGACTTCCTTTGGTATCTACTCTCTTGTACTTGTTTGATTTTAGTCTAGGAACAACTGTCTTCGTAAATTTGAAGCTCTTTCCGCTTAAATTATCATCATCCCTAAATCTCAACTTCTCAAACTTCGTAACTATATTTACTTCGTTAGATTCTTCTGTTTGGTTAGCACAAATTTTAAAATGAAATATATAACTCTAAGCTTACTCTAGACTGGATTGGTGAGACTCAGGAAAATAATAAATTATTCTAGATTAGATTTAACTCGAACAAAAAGATGTTGATCTAAACGAATGATCAACCGTATACTGCAGGTCCTTTTTTATATGGTCAACTGAGTATTGACTCTTAAACTTCGTTAAGCATAGCAAGCTTCATTTCACAACCATTGACTGCGTTTTGAGATTACTCAGCAACCTGGTCGCTAGATTGTAAAATAAACGATTAGCTCGTGACATGGTTGCACACCAATGTATCAATTCAAACTGAGGCGCGTAGCTGACTTATCCAGAGTTGTTTGTTAACAGCGCAATTTGGTTTTCGCCAGTTAAGTTCATTCCTGAGAAGTCGTGCACTTGCGGCCAGAGTTTTCTTTGGATATTTTTAAAATTGAACCACAGCATATACATTTTAATGCCGGGGATGGTGGAGCTTATTCCTTCTTCAAAGTACGAATTTTCTCTTGTTTTTGATTAAAGTATGTAATGCCCACACTTACTTAGCTTGTTACTGACAACGGAGTCCACATTATTTCGACTCATACTTAAGTATTCGGTAAATTTTGTTTTCCTTCATTTTAGATATTGTAATAAAAAAATTCGGATTTCTGTCTGAACTGAGCCTTGGAAACGATTTTTTCTTCCACTGATAGTTGACGACGGACTGCTAAGACGAAGGCGGGCGTATAGATTTGGAAGTACGAACGAAGGACCTTGCGCCAACAGTAAGTTACATCGTGAAGACTTTGTCCTCAGAAAGTTCTTAATTGCTTTACAACATAGATCAAAATCTTACAAACTCTTTGATTTTTTTGCCACAACAGAGCTGTCTGAGGTGCTTGCGTCTGCAACAAAAAGCCACAATGTATTGGTTTTTTTTGACGAGATAATCGACGCTATCTTGACCAATCGGCTTGCGATCAATATCTCTATTACTTCACAATAAATACAATGTTATAGACAGATTATTCCATAAAGAATGTAGTGTACCGCTTTTTTCCTACCTCGTTAACTTCTTGCTTTTGTTACTTTAGAATAAAAATCTACTTGGTATTTCCGCATGTAAAGTGTAACTTTTTGCATTTGAGATCTACATCATAGTAGACGTTTTGGTGCGTAGTATCGCTGAGTATTTTTACGACTTGTCCTGTACTTTGTCGTGCCCGTAAGGCGAGTCAAAATACAAACCACACATGAGACAGGACAAGCAAAGCAGATACAGAAGCGTAGAACGCGCAGTTGACAGGTTAAACAGAGTTTTTACAGTACAAAAAGAAAACAGCTGTCCTAATATCGCATAATATTTGTGCCCAATTCGCTTGTTATCTGTATTCTGCTTACTGACCAATGCATTACTGGCCAAAGAAAAAAAATTGAAAATGAATTTAAAATGAAGTGGATTTGAAAAATCTACTCCAGAATAACAGAACTGCTCGTTTCATGTTACACACAAATAAAGCTGCACTCTTCCTTATAATTGATTAAAAGGAATTTTATTTTAATTTCAGTGGCCCATGGTGTTTACCTGGAGAGATGGGACAGAATAGATTACAAACGTGTCAAATTTCTATTGGCAGATCCGCGATTCCCAAACCTGCCAAGTTTATCAATATGTCTTCCAACATTTGAACAGCCTTCTAAGTGGGGAGATTTCTTTGGGACCCGTTTGAGAACTTATTTTGTTCCCCTTCAAACTGGAAACCACTATTTCTATCTCTGTAAGAAGTTCACACTTGTACTAATAATCTGTGAATATAAGAACATAAACATAGTATTGCGTGATGCATTCTCAATGGGCTTAATTGTCATGGGCGAGTATCGCGCACGCATTAACAACGTGGCCGTTTTCATTATAGTCCGAGGTTACCAACGAGGGAAACCGTAATTTTCTCGTAGACGGTCGCGATGATAGCACCATTTGATCAGCGTTAATTACCCCAAACGGAAAAACATTTACTTTAAGGAAGAATTGTGATCAATAGGAGCTGAATTAATTACTTATCAGGATGACATGGAACCCTACCTATAGAACTAGAGGGGGAGAGAGAGAGTTATTTAAAGTTTGAAACGAATGAACTGAAGGCCAAGGCTCCAGCTCGCGGAGATAATCGTAGTTTTTATCATGAAATTTCGATATTTTCGGTAAGGTTATTCGAGTTTTGCACGTTTTCCGTGTACGTGGGATACCCCATAATAATGCCTTTTTAGATGTCTTTGGTACAACTATCAATTATGCCGAGTAGGAAAGAACTTGGATAGTTTGTTTATTTAAAGAAGCTACCAGAATGCAGTGCAGCAACTAACCAACAAACTAAGCAGAAAGATAAAAAGCATCTTATCATCTTTTAGACCACAACAGGTGCTTTGAAGGCACTGATCCCGTTGTGAGTTAGGTATGCAAAGATACAGGAAAGGACCTAACGCTCTCTTGCAACGACGTCCAAACGATTCTTATCAGACTCTTGTTAAACGATGAAATTTTTTAAAATTTCCCTACTACGTTCTAGCATCTGATGCTGGGAGCAGACTCTACCTCAGCCCAGACGAAACGCCAAAGATGAAGGCACAGATTAATGCCATATTTGGTGGCTTTGCCACGTATCACTACGAATATAATAGGTAATAGTAATTGAAAAATTACTTCTTTGTACAAGATACTTCAAAAAATGCCGTTAAGTAATGCCTTATTCCTTTATGCAATCTGATACAATTTTTTCTAAACATTTTTCTGTTTTACTTCATCGTTAGATGAAATTTGATTGTTATTTGACTAGCTTACTGGCTTCCGTGACGCGCATGTCATTTAGGAGAGTGAATATGGGAAGTACATGGCCTTTTCGACATTCTCAGGAGTTCAGGGTTGTTGAAGTTTTTTTTGCTAAAAGTCAGCTATTTATCAATCATCACGATTATCGAAGTTAACACTTAAAAATCCGTTTTATGTGATGACTGAAAGCTTGTTTAACGTTGAGTAATTTTTTTCATCTCTACTGCAGGTTCATTGATCAAAAATCCCAACCAGTCTATCTATTTAAGGGCAAGTACTATTACATGGAAGCTATATTCAAAGACGACCATCAGAACGATCACCTAGAAGTTGGATTGAAGACTCCAGATGGAACATTTTATAGAGTAATTCCATCAAAGTTCCTCTGGACGAAACTTCCTCCAAAACCAGGTTGGTCGATTTTTATTGTTTTTCATCGTTAATGTTTTAAATGTAGGGTTTTCTATCGTTTTTTAAATGTACATTTTAGGATAACTTAGTGAAGTCACACTAGTCCAATTGCTATTTTACCAAAGTAATGTCAAAACTCTCACACGTTCGAGGGCTTATCGCTCACACTTTCCTGTCATTATTTATTAGCACAGAATGCTACTTACCGGGCAATTTTACTCAAAGTGGCTGCAAGGGCTGGTGCAAGAGCCGGTTCATCATTTGGGGCGAAATGGGCAAGAAAGAGTGGAGCCAGAGCTGGAGCAAAGGCTGGTGCAATAGCAGGAATGAAGGCTGGAGCATCAGCGGGGGCTCGTGCAGGTGTTGAGGCTGCAATAAAAATGGCATCAAAAACCCTTGAGGAAGCATTTAACTCTCTTCATGGTAATGACGGGCACAAATTTAAAATTGTGTTCAAAAATGGAAGTGTTGTTTCTGTAACTGGTCCGGGAATGGAAAGTGCCCCTGGGAGAGCAAGCGCCGCTGCAGCCACTGCAGCATCAGGAGCTACTGGAAGTAGTGGTAACAGTGGTGTTTCTGGAACCCCTGGAATCGCTGGAACGGCTGGAATAGCTGGGAAAGCCGGCACTCCTGGCACAGTTGGGACCGTCGTAGCTCCTGGAACTGGAGGTGGAGGTGGAGGTGGAGGAGGAGGTGGGGGCGGAGGAGGGGGTGGAGGGGGAGGTGGTGGAAGTGCCGCAGGCGCCGGAGGTGGAGCCACTGGGGGTAGTGGAGCGATAGGTGGGGGTATCGCAGGCGGAGGTTCGGCAGGTGGAACTGTGACAGGTGGTGGTGTTGGTGTTGCTAGTGGAGCAAGTGCTGTTACTGCAGTGTCAACTGGTGTGGCTGGCACTCCTTCACAGGTTACCTCAACCACGAACTCAGCAAGTGGGAGCAGTGTAGCTGTAGGGGCTGGTGAAGAAGAAGTCGATAGTTATGCCCTGTCACCTGAAAGGCCATTAACGATAATTCCAAGACCAGGGGAAGATCCCCAAGCCCTGGCTACATCACAGGCCATGCTTTGGCCAAAAGTAGGGGGTGCAACAGGGCGTAAGTATCCGATTCTAAGAAGCTTTTTTTTCAATCATTCACCACCTAAACTGTATCATTAATGAACCTCATATTCTTACCTAAACTCAACATACAGGAGTGAGGCCTCATACTAAATGTAATGATGAGCGTACGATGCGGTGATTCAAACCTTTTTATTGTATGGTTGACAATATATTGGTACGGTTCGAAATCAATTGATCCTTCCGTACGTCTTCACCATTTAGCAACGAACTAGTTAATTAGTCGTAGTGACGTAACGCTTAATGTGCTTAATTACACTTTACAATTATCGATAATAGTTATTTAGCGATACACTGAAGACCTTAATTTCTTTCAGTCGTCGCAAATGCAATGTACACATTCCACTCATGGGGCATACCATACAGACAAGAGGAAACCTATCTAAATAACTGTTGGCGGTCAGTGAATGGAGTCCTCCACATGAAGCCATTCTGCCAAGCCTTTATCGCTCGAGTGCCTGCTCTTTATGTCAAGGCTACCTCAAAGAACTACTCCGTATCCTTTGAGTCCGCGTGTAGGCCTGGTCATTTCTTAAGACAAAAGAACTATCATTATCTTCTGGAAAAGAGAGATGGAACGGAGCTGTTTGGTGAGATATTCAGTACGATTTGTTGAATTTATATGCGCTATTTCCCGATCACACTGTCCGAGCTGTTCCTCATATTTGGACGAGCGTATTCACGATAATAATTAGTAGATTCAGATCTTTGGGTACAGTGAACAGCAAGACACAGATGTCTAAGTTCGTGTACTTATCTTCTCTTAATCGTCACCAAAGTATAAAAATCCAAATGTGACTATGCTCACGCTAATGCACCAGTCACTAGAATGCGGCCTGCTGATGGCCATACAATCGGGTCTTGAGAGATTCGGGTCTTGAGAGAATGGTTTGAGTTAGTACGGAAATGGACTGCATTTGGAGGAAATAAAATTCACCCATCCATGTTTTCATCGGGCACGATGACTCAAGTTTTCTGACCCGGAGTTAAGCAGCAATGAAACTTGGTCTAACACTCTGCCATCGAGAAAAATAAAGACAAGGTTCTCTTGACTTTCACTTTTGTTCATTTCAGATAAAGACAGCTCCTTTTACATCTATTCGGTGATGAAATATCATCGGAATCTCCTTTTCAACGCCATGCACCAAGACTGGTATATATGCGAAGAGAGTAATTGGAAAGAAAGGGATCCTGCAATGGTTCTTGACTTTTACAAAGGTGAGCCGGATGTTCTACAACGTTGCTCCTTCGCTGTTTACCCGCTCTCGTTAACCAGTAACAAGTACATGAACTGTAAAAATGTCCTCGGTCCAGTAAAGCACAGAGAAATTAACGGACAGTCACTGCCCCACCCACCTCCTTTACTGCCACATCTTCCTCCGCCGCCTCCTCTCTTGCCTGTATGTTTGCCAGTGTGCCCGGCTCAAGAAGCGGGAGGAACTTCTGGAGTGGGAGGAACATCTGCTCCGAATTTTCCGTCCACAGTTGGAGTTTCAAGCGTCCAAGAGAGTGCACGTACGTCTTTATTTTTATGCAGTGTAAAATATGGTTTAACTCTAATGTGTCATTGTTGCCAAAGCTGAGCTGCTCGACATTTCCTCTTGGATTGGGGTTTACCGCCTCCAGAAAGGCTGTCAGCCATTGGTTTTAGTTACCCCTAGCCTCAAAATGTGGGTCAAGTAGCACGTTCAAGCATCGAAACGCCTGTTGCAAAAATATAACTCTTAACTTGTCCATTATTTTCTATCCAGTGTGTGCCAAACCATATAAATTCGTTTGTAAAGTTGATAAATAAGCGCATTCAAAATGTGTAACAGGACTTGCAAAATTTAAATTAGTTTACGTATCAGCGTTTATTGGTTTAATGACTGATGAGCCACAAATAAAGTTTGAATGACATGAAAAGAGTCCAAAAGCTGCTCTTTGTGCCACAGCCTGCTGAACATTCGACCCCCCCAAAATCCCTATTATTTGACTTACAATTGGATGCATAGGTCACTTTTTAAAACATTAATTTAATGAGTTGAGCTTCGCATCTCAGAAATATAGCAAAAGAAGTCTGAAAGCTTAGGTCTCTGATGGTTGACAAAAACAAAGCAGAAACTTTCTATCGACCAATTTACTGAAATATAATTCTGTTAACATTATACTTTCTCTTTCTTTTTTCAGCCATGTGCGTTGCATTAATTTTCATCAACGACTTCCACAGTCCATTTAAAATTTATTCCCCTCTCAGAAAAGATGGATATCTCGTCAGTGGATCAGAATTTCAGCTAAAATTCATTGTAAACCGACCCGAGCTGCATGGCGTTGTGGAATTCAGTGCCCAAGACCCAGCAGGAAAAAGCAACCTTCTTTTAAACGGAAAATCAAGTATTCTGGAACCAGTAGTGCGAGATTGTCCTATTTTTCGGAAAATTTCAGTGACATCCCTACAAGGTGATGTAAAGTGCTGGAAACTTAACAATTTCCTTAAAATCATTTCATAAAAAATGAGATTTTAGATGGGTTTATTTCCTACTATCACAAATCTCACATTTTTCCTCTGTGCAATGAAGCTGGATAAAACTTTCGACAAAACTGTGAGGGCCGGAGTCAGAAATTATGTACCAAGCTGAATTAAACACGCAGTTTGATGTGCTTTTTACTATAATGTAACGTTGTACAGGCGCAGAAGAACATATTGCTTCTCTTTTACATGAAAAAGGTGAAATGCAAGTATTATGTACTATTATGTACGCACAGCCGCGCACACCCAGAGGTATATGTATCCACTATGATGGCTCGATGGGAATGAGAGGGGCCAAGTGCGCTCTGGGCCACAAATGAAGTTGTTCTTTGTTGCTGGTGTATCACAGGTTATGATCTTGATGAAAAGATTATCTTCAAACTTGAATTTTACCGTGTCCTCAAAACATCCCTAATTGGAAATCTTTTCTTAAACGATCTAAAAGCCACAATGCATTATCCACTTATAAAGTGTATACCAGCCGCTTAAATAGGCATCTCAACTGAGTAAATAATTTGTTTTAAGTTTCAGGTCCATCTCAGGCAAATACATCGAGTAGTTCATATGCTCCGCCGGTTGAATCAGGAATTCTTTCACCTCAAAAACCAGTACCGTCCCTGCCGTCTCAATATGGACCCCCATCACCACATTTGCCTCCCGCTCCGCCACCTTTTCCCTCGCCTCCAGCAGAAGCACCTGCCTCTTCCACTTCTCATACTCCATCGGCAAATGAACCGTCAGTTGCTCCCCCTCCGGTACCAGCTTCAGCTCCTCCTTCCCCGAGTCCAGCATCAGCATCGCACCACAAAGGTAATGTAATTTACAATCGATGACAACGATTCATTTAGCTACTTCTATACTTTAACTTATCCAGCTTCCTATTCATAATAATACCATGAGATTACAAACTATTTATAATCTCCTGTTAGTGCCCAAACCTTTCCCATGGTAATTTGCTTCCTTTTTTTCTGTTACAGATAATGGATCCTTTCACTATCATTTCCATTATCACCGGTCGAAGAATCCTTTAAATGGTAAAGAGATTATAATTGTTCTTATACGAAAAGTAGTTCTCGTTATTTAGGTTTTTGTTACATGAACAATACTAGGACGATTGTGACTGAGTAATCATACGGTAAACTGGGTAAAGTGTAGTTATTAAACTGAGAGAGGAAATAAGTAAAAAAGCCTTCAAGGTAATGGTTGATAGATAGACGGAGAGGTAAATTAAACGCCGATTGCTAGAAAAATACTGTACAAAAAGCCGTAGGTTTCACTAAAAAAGGCATGCTATTTAATAGAGAATAATACATGGGCGCACGTAAATATGGAATTTCTCTTCGAGTGTTCAACTCGATAGCTCACGAGTGAGATGTTGAGTTGAACACGAGAAGAGAAATTCCATATCTACAAGCGACCATGTATTATTTCGTTTGTCATATAAACACTATAGCCCTTTACTGACAAGAAAAGCCGACTTCCCCAATGAATGAAAATAAATGAATCGACAATCCCCAAATAATAATCGTAAAGTGCGTTGGCGCTAACTCTTAAATGGAAAAATGCGTTGAATAATGATTACAAAAACAACAATGGTCGTAAATTTTAATTTTCCAAATTCTCATTTATTGACTTTGTCCTTACCGACAGAAGAAGTCTTTCAGGTAAACGGCCAAAATAGGCTAGTGGCAAATCTTCCAGTTGTCGATTTTCATTCTCAGCCGAAAGAAATGCCAACACCAAAGCCACTGAATACGTAACTTTCAGTTTTTCTTTCAGTAATTGGTTTTCTTCCCCTTCTAAGAAAGTTTGAACCTCGCTGTCTGTCAGCGATACGGAATTTTTAGTGTTTTAGCCGCCATAATTCGAGAAAGCTCCGACAAACAACTTGTATTGAGAATCATGAAAACTTTGCCGTTCATTCATCAACCTGACCGAGTGGCACCAAAGGCGAGTGACGTGTCAGCAGCTGATTGGCTATATCAACACACGTGAAAAAATACGATATATTTTCACGTGTGTCGTCACGGCTTTTCTCAGGGCCGGAAATCCCTGTATAACACCGCAGTTTATGCGATAAAACATTTTTAAACATCGTTTTGAATTTTTCACGTCGTCAGTAGTTCCCAATTGCAATGCATCTTTATATACTAAAAAAGATACTTACAAAATATCGAAAATGAAGCTCCAATATCTTATAAGTTTTTTGGAACTGCAATTCTTCCACTTCATGCTCTGGTAATTCGCTCTCTGTTACATTTTATTCTTGACAGTTTTTTTTTTAGCAAGTTAGAGGGTGACCTCGCCAGTATTTTTTCAGACTAGTTTCAGTAATTCATCTCACGGTGCGTATTTCCGATGTATTGGTCACCAATAAATATATTTCTCTTGCAGGTTGTTCAAGTGAATGTTCTAACTCGGTCCTATGTTCTCCTCAGTCTTGTCCGTTACATTGTTGTAAGCGAGACGAAAACGATTACATTGACGACGACGAACTTATACAATAACAAGACTGCTTTTTTTAAATTATTTTTTTATTTATAAACGGTATTCAGTGAGGGAAAACCTTTATAGAAAATTAATGGTGGAATGAGAACGTTGTAATAAGCTTCCCTCTCTACTGCGCCCTCCGTCTAGCACTAAAAGTTAGTAACGAACCCCACCCCCATCCTCTTGTAATCTCCTTTCCTCTTTGCCCTCTCTCATCAAAAGTTTTTTAATGGTCGTATAGCTATCACTTGTTTGGGTGGGTGGCTCTTTATTGTCAATTTTACCTTTATTCAAAATCCTGGATTAGTTCTCATCGTGAATATCCTTGGTTTTAGACTTAGTTGTGCAAGTAGTAAATACATAAAACGGTATGTTTATCGCGTACTCAATGTTAGTTTGGAAACACTGTTAGTTTTACTAATTTCCTACAAACTTCCTTTTAATTTATGTTTAGTTATTATGTAGTCAATTCCATGGTCTAAAATGAACGCGTCGGTGGAAATCGAGATTTCCTGGAATTGTATCATAACTTTGGATCTTTGCTGCCTGGGAAGTGTGGGCGCTACATTTTTGCAACACCTTAGCCTTCTTCACGAATCATAGCCTATAAAAGTACGACGCACACCGTTAGTTAGTAAAAGCCTGAAGTTAGTTGAAGCTACACCACTACTTTTGCTACTATCAGAAGGATCCGAGCTACCGCTACCTCAAGTGTCTTTGATTTCAGTGAGCCACAACCTCTAGAATCTTCACATTTACACTCAGCGTCCTCATAATTCCGAACATAATGTGCATTGTATCGTGTAAAGAAATGCGTGCTGCAGAAAATGAAGAATAATTGATGCCATTAAGTACCTTATCGCGAACATAGTTTACGCTGCTTCATCCTCGCTACTTGTAAGGTAGGCGCTTATAATCCATCACGCATTTTTGCTGCACCCGATTGGTTCGCTAAAAGCATCACGAAATCGAATATGCCTCAGCTAAGATAATTGAAGGAAAATAAGCACAAAAGGCTCCATTTGACTCGAACATATATTTGTATATATGTCTTAAAACATTATCTGTTCCTTGAAGCTCACAGTTTTCCTCGAGCCTGACTCTCGGGGAACTGTTCGCATCTCGGAACGGATAATATCCGTGGGCAAATATCCGTGCAAATTTTCGCGCCAAATGAAGGCTATTGTTTACTTTAAGTTTACCATTTGAATTTATTTGTAAGTCATAGAAAACCATCCTTAACGACTGTTATTGCCTCTGTGCTGACCTTTTTTTTCAAGTAACTGTCATAAACTATAACCAAACAGACTGCAGCTATTCTTTGAAAGCGAAGACACCATAAACTTAGCTTTATTTCTGAACTTCAAATGAAAGCAAAGCTGCAGAACTAATCGACAGCTTTAAAACATGCAATTGGCAAAAAGAACAAGAATTATGTCATAAAAAGGAAATATTTCAATAATTATAGTATTCTGTTATCGACGTCAATCTCTTGAACATTAATAATTTAAATGACTATAAAAGGGTAACTTTTTTTCAGTTAAAGAAGAGTAACCTTTGGAACAGATTTGCTACAATTGCAAGATTGTTGGGAAATGTTTGTATTTCGTTTGCCAGGCTGTAAACGCCAAGATACCTTTTTTTTTTCGCTTTACAGAAAAATCGATCACCTAGTAGAACAGAAGATTATCTCCCATAATTCTTTTCACTACTAGATGAACATCATATCTTCATAGTTCTCTTCATCCTCCTCATTTACATAGGTAGGTGCTTTTGGCCCGTGATAATGGTAATGATAGTGAATTGGATGAGTATCACCTGATTGAAAGATATCAAAGAAAAATAGGTATTAGATAAATTTATAATTGTAGTTTTATTTTTCCGATTAAGGTACCTGATTTAGCGTGATTTTCATTTTACCTATTATACATTCATTCAGGTCTTAATAAGTCTCATAAGTGTAGATACCTTTGTCATTGAAATTATATGGAAAATTGCGTTTCTTTCTCGTGTTTGTTTTTCTCTTTTTCTTAATTTTAGCTCCCATAAGCAAGCTCTGATTACCAACGAGCTTGTTGTATTCTTTATTAAATTTGCATCTTTAGTTAGTTAGAGCTGCATCTGTTAAAAAAGTCTGGCAATTGTGACTGATCACTACCACTGATACACGCAAACAATCATGCTCACTGAAGCACGTACCTTCCTGAGATGTCGTGACAAGAACGTTTGGAGCTTCAGGAGGAGAGGGCGAGGCTACTGGTGATGGAGCATTCGTTTGTCCCGGGGGCGGGGGAACGTGAACTGAAGAAACTGGAGGATGTGGATCTGGGATGCAAGGGGTGGCAGGCACGGGACACATAAACACAGGAGAAGGATGAGCCCCAGGTATAACGGGATTGGCTGGAACTGCTGCGGAGACACCTTGTGATGTAAAGTGCAAGTATCCATTAACACTTATAGGCTAATGGGACCATACTCCTTTGCCATCTCGTACAGGGGTTGTGGAAGAAATAGTGTTACCTAGCGAGATCTACCTTAACTAAAATTCACACTAATGTTGGTGCAGGTCCTGGCTTATAGCGTTGTCAGGATTTGTGATTCTACACTAGATAGTGGATGCCCAGTCATTTCTCAAAAAGTCTTCTTCACAGTTATAGTTACCAAATCAACTATGCAGCCTAAAAGAAAAACCTTAACTTTCCTTCTTTGTGTTGTAACTAAAAAACGAGCTGAATAACTCCCTTAGTTTATATCTGAATTGCATTTATCATATCAAGATTCATACTTCGGCAAAATTAGCAAAGGAATCTATATCTTACAAGTAGGCGCAGAGCCACCTAAAATTACTCGATAATTTGTCTTGCGCTAGCATGCAGACTAAGTATCTTGTTACAAGTTCGTGTTTCGCACCAACATAAATCCTTTCTTCCCCAGCCTGCTTAAGCTGTAAAAATTACAGAATGCAGCTAAATTTTTATTAAGAAAACACTGAGCACTCCAACTCCAAAATTACGCCTGCTATGCAGATAAACACTTCTCTTGAAAACAAATAACAAATAACGAAACAACAACAAATTGCCATATCTTCGTGTGTCTGACTTAAGCATAAAAATCTAAGTGAACAGATGTTCGATTCTAACTTACCTGCTTGAGGTGGAGGACGTGGAGCCGCAGGCAGAGAGACGGGAGCTGATGGCGAGGGAGCGGGAAGGGGTGGCGCCGAAACCAGAGAAGACGAGGAGGCAACGGCTTGAGTTCCTACTGAAGGAGAAGGTGCCGCTGATGCTGGTTGTGGTGCCGGAACCGGTATTGAGGGGGATACTTCGGGTGGAACACCAGTTAAGTAATTATGATGGTAAGGGGGATGAAATGAATTTTAAAACAGTATAACAATGCATGTAAAAGTATTAAACCCAAATTTGTTCTAGTCAATTTTTTATCGAAATCCGTTTTAAATCCACATGAATTTTTATCGTTCATTATGCCATTCGCCATATTTTTGCACTCCTGTTCAAACTCACCAAAAATGAGGGAATCCCGGCTAAAGTTAAAATTATCCGAAATCCGTAATTTTGGCGGGCGAGTGCTCAGTATTTTCTAAGCGATAATTACAGCCGCCATCTTTTATTTTAATGGCAACGGAAGGCTGGGGAGCGAAGGAAACTTGTACCAAGGGAGTAAATATTATGCCTGTCCGAGGTTATTGTTGTCTTGCGAACCTTCGTTCGCCCATGAATGGAATTCCTGATTGGTGCTCTTAAGCTTTAGCTGTCAATCACCTGCGAAATATGTAATTTGGACGCTTCGCTCTCGGTGGGAAAATCGTCAAATGTATTAAGGGCAGTTACACTCAAGAATTGTCGCCTGGAAAATGTAGAGCCCATAATTTATGACCGCGGAGGAGGTTTTTTCGAGGCCATTTCTTTCCCGGCTGAAAAAATTGTTTTACCGTTTCACTCATCGGCTCTGCGTGTGTTTGTTTTTGTCCGAAGGTAACCAATCAAAATGATTGGTTACCCACTAATTTCCGGAAATGAAGCGACGCGCAACTAATTAGGGGATGTTTCGCTTCCCAACAGCCTTTTCAGGCGGGCGTCTTTTCGCATTGCCCGCCTTCTCCCCCCCACCGTAGGGCGGGTTGAATAAACTGTCGCGAACTTCTTAACGAAATTAACTCGCCGTAATAAGACGCCTGTATTGCAGGTTATACTTTTTTGACGCCAATCATTAATCTACGTATTGCATTGGGAACGAAAATATTAGTTGTTTATATATATTATTATAAGTGAAATCACCAAAATATCTCCTTTTGATCATACCTCGCTCTGCCGTAACAAATACGTCCTCGAATTGGGGACAATCAGCGACCACTGGCTTTGATATGCTTAAGCGTTCATTTAGAAGAATTCTTTGTTTTCTGGAAAGATCTTCGGCGTAGAATGTCACTTGACTATGCAGTTCGGGTCGATTTATTATCAGTTTTAATTTAAAGCTAGGTCCAATGACTAGATATCCCTCGTGTTTAAGAGACGAGTAAAGTTTAAATGGAGAACCAACTTTGTTAATGAAGTTTACCGCAACACACATCTCTAAAAGGGAAGCAAACATGTAATTTATCACAATTTACAATAAAAACACACCAATCTTACATCTTTGAAGAGTTTAGAGTGTCGGGTGTGATAACTTTAATATACGTATCCTTTACATTCCTTTTCTAAAAAAAAATCAATAGCAATATATCACACTCAGCTGTCTCCTATCCTTAACGCTAAGCGATTAAGAAAAGACGCCTTGGATTAGGAAAACATATACAAGAGACTCCCTTCCCAGCGTCTTCCCTCTACCATTTGATCATGGATAAAAATATCGCCGGTCTATCAATCATTGTAAAAAGTGTTGAACACTTACTCGGGAGGAAAGATGGTCCATGTGAAAATTCAGGTGGTGAAGGAATAATTGGTGTTAAGGGTCCAACGCTTGTTTCCTGTTCAATTAATCCACCCTCAGTCCCTGGAGGACATAATGGTATACAAGAGGGAAGGGCAGGGGCCTGGGCTGTTGCCGGTGGAATTAAGAAGGGAGGATGAGGCAGCGGTTGACCACTTATGGACGGAAATTCTACTGGTCCTAACACGTTCTTACACCACGTCAGTTTATTTTCATTTTGAGCGATGGGGTGAAATAAAAACGTGCAGCGAGCGAGGACATCTGGATCTCCATTATAAAAGTCCAGCAGTATGGTAGGGTTCTTGTGTATAGAATTGCCTTCGTTAGGCGTCTGACACATGTACCAATCATTGTGAAATGACTGCAGTAGAAGATTCCTGGTATACTTCATAACAGAAAAGGGAGTGAATGAACTGTCTTTATCTGTAGGGAAATGATGTCAGGAAAATATTGAGGGATAAAAAATGCAAAGAAATATTCATTCTAAGAATAATTTTTGATTCCTCTTTCAAAGGAGAGGTGAACAATGCAAAATAAAAAAAATATTTTACCCTAACACCAAGTAAGATCGTAAATCAAGAAAATGCGTATTTATGATCATGCCTATCACTTGTGAAAAATAAAATTGGTTCCAACGTTGCAAAATTTCTTACCAAATAGTTCTGATCCATCTCTTTTCTGAAGAATAAAGTGGTAATTTTTCTGCCTCACAAAATATCCTGGTAGACAAACTGACTCAAACGATACAGTGGTATTTTTTTCTTCAGCTTGCTTGTACAGCCCAGGAATATGAGCTCTAAAGACATGGCAGAAGCGATCTAAATTCACGTCACCATTGAGCGATCGCCAGCAGAAATTTAGGGTTCCGTTCTCCTGTGTGTAGGGAGTGAAGTACGAGTGGACGCTGTATAATCCTCTATCTACAACTAGGGGCAAAACGTGGTTTAAATAATTTATTTCACTTAAGTTATATTTTTGTACAATTTCAGTTCTTATCTGCATAACCTGTATACCTCTGGACCCTAGTAAACTTTCCTGAGAATTTGAAGGGAAATACAAATGTTCGCCCACTGTGACCTAATGATGAAGAGATGTATCGTCCTTCAAACCTCGCAGCAATTTGAGTGGAAATCCTTCTTAGCATCACTCGAACACGACAGTTTGAGCATCGCCAAATCACATACTGATACAGTGAAAATAAGTATTGACAATAGGCCTCTTTAAGGAATGTTTTGGTATCAGAAGGTTTAGTTTTTTTAATAAATTACAGATAGCCCAGACTAGAAATAAGTCCTTTACACTTCACCCGATTTCCCCCCTTTTTTCCGAGGTACATATATTTATTTGTCAATGATTATATTCCCGTGCTAGTTATTGGCATATTGATATCGTCATTGACTCACTTTTGCTCGCAGCTCCTACTTTCCAAACTAGCGCTCGAGCAATGGTCTGTGGATCTTCTCCTGCTTTTGGTATGTAAGTGACTACACGCCGTGTTGAATACCCACTCGTCGCTCCGCTGGTTGAAACCACACCTACAATTCCTTCTGCTTCAGAACCACCTACACCACCAATCGTGCTCCCAATCCCTCCACCACCAGCTGCGCCACTTGCTCCAGCACCATTTCCAGCAGCAGCTCCACTAACAGCTCCACTACTAACACTAGCTTCAGCAGCAACTCCACCTCCTGCTCCACTTATGGAACCTCCCCCTCCCTCTACTCCTGCTCCTCCGCCTACAACTTCACCCGCACCTCCGCCTGCAGCCCCACCTCCTGTAAATCCAGGCATTCCCGCTACACCAGCAGCAATACCAGCTGTGCCTGATGCACCAGCTGTTCCAGCCATACCAGGCGAACCAGCTCCAATCCCTCCTCCCCCTCCTCCAACACCACCACCTCCACCGCCACCACCGCCACCACCTACCCCAACACCAACGCCAGCCCCTCCCCCGCCACCACCTCCACCCCATCCCGCACCAGTGCCTGCACTTGCCTCTCCAGTTGTGGTGGTACTCAGTCCACCCATTCCTGGACCGGTAACGGCCGTGACGCTTCCATTGTTTATGATTATGTTAAATTTGTGCAAAGAGTCACCATGAAGAAGATTTAGAGAATCCTCTAGCGCTTTCTTTATTGTTCTGATGGCAGCTTGCTCGCCTGCTTCAGCTCCAGCCGATGCCCCAGCCTTCACTCCTGCCATCGCACCAGCTTTAGCTCCCGCGTTTGCTCCACTCTTACTCGCCCACTTCGCCCCGAATGATAAACCAGCTGCTGCTCCGGCTCGCGCTGCTGTCTTAATCAAAACTGCCAGAGCGGTTGCGTTTTTTGCTAAAAAGAGAAAGAAATCTGAGTGTCTAAAATGAAAAAAATGACGGTTAAGAATATCTCAGCGTTTAGTGATACAGTCGCCTAATGTTTTTGAATGAAAGCTATTGCTTTAGTGGACGTAAATGGGATAATTAAAAATCCTTGACACACTCAAGCCTTGCAATTGTTGCTAATGTTTACAAAACTCAGTGAGAAAAATACATTTCTTTGAGTCACATGATAGTGGCTCATTTCCTTTGAGATTCTCAGATTTTCAGATTCTTAGATACACGCATGCCATGAAAAAAGATTACAAGACACATTCCATGATCCAAATTGGAGGAGCAAATATTTTAATATTATGTGGCTCAGAGAATTCAGTTGTGGTAAAAGCAAAAGAAGACCAAAAGGCACCAGGAACTTTAGAGATTGAGGCTCAACGCTTCATGACGCACCAATTAAGATGAAAAGAAAGTCACTTAATGTATATTCTGCATACTTTATCATCAAAGATGCAATTTTGACATTGTAGGTACTCACTTGATTTCGCTTCGGTCCATAAAAACATGGAGGGTATTACTTTGTAAAATAATCCGTTGGGTGTCTCTAATCCAACTTCCAGGTGATCCTTCTGATGATCGTCTTTGAAAATAGCCTCCATGTAATAATATTTTCCTTTGATCAAACGAATCGGCAACGACTTTTGATTGAGAAACCTGCGGTGAAGATAATTGGGAATTAAACAGAGGCATGCGTAGTATGCAAGAGATATTTTTTTCAGCTGGGTAAGTCGAGATGGGACACTTTGTGTTCCTGATGTTTTCATAACTTTCAAAAGAAACGAAATATCTCATTACTTTACTTCAAGAAAGAAGAAAAAACATAATTTATCTTAACTCACACAGGTATTTTGTGGTCTATTGTCTCTATTGCCTAAATATTTCTGAGCAAAAATAAGATGGATCGCTAACACGCTTACTGTCTCCTTCACCGCCGTTGTTTGGTCTCGTCTATTCCCCGTCGGAGAGACAGTCATTGCGTGACGAGATAAAAAACGATTGCAAAAGAGACTACGCTTACGGCCGTTCCTCTAACAGAAAGAAAATCAAAATTATTCGTCAACAGCTAGTCGCCTAAAATATATAATTCCACGTAATTTTTACTGAGAAAAGCAAACTGAAACTGTTGCATCTCCAATAGACCCTAACCAAAGATACATTGCGATCACGTAAAAGGGCAGATACACTGAGCATGAGAAAAGGATAATATTTAAAAGAGGGCTCCTTTATATGTTGTTGCCTATCTGGACTTTGCCCTCTGTGTGTGAAATACGTAATAAAATGCAATTTGTTTACATTTGAATTAACACGCGATTGGGTTAATTCCAAGGTTGTTAAAAGCGAATTTTATTCGTGGAAAAAGTCAAAACGCAGGGGAATGTGTGGAAAATTCACTATAAGTAGCTTAAAGTTTCATGTAAATTGTTTTCAGTGGTGTTGGACGATGTGGTTAGAATACGTGATAAAATGCAGGTTGTTTACAAGGAAATGGTATGTGATGGAGCGAAGTCTAATGTGGTATAATGGAATGAATTTGAATGGTAAAATACAAACCAAACTCATAAAATTGTCTACTGTTCATGTAGTGCAATGATTGGGTATGTTCTGATTGGAATTTGAACGTTGTCTTCATCGTACGTGATGGAATGTAAGTTGTTTGGCGTGTGCGTTGTGAGAAAGGAGCGGAAAACGCGTTTAACTTAAAAATGATACAATTAAAATAAATGCGAACCTTTTATATCCGGATAAATCTCGACTTCACTTGACGAGGCTCTTGCAAAGGCCTTAATCATAACACTTATTGAATAAGTCCAAATTTCTGGTTAACATCATTCCTTACAAATGAAGATGATTGCAAGCTTTGAACGATATCTCAAAAGAAAAAACTATCAAGCTTGTATCATCAACGGTTTAGCGTATAAGAAAACACGCAAGTTTGCAAAACCGAGGGTGTGCCGTTTTCTTTGCAAGTTTTAAGCTTCAAAATTGCAAACATCTGCAAATTCGCGATGCCATTTATAAATTGAAGTTTAAAAATATGAATTATCTTTGTCTCTCTTTTAAAAGTAAAGTCACTCCTTTGGCAAATTAGTTTGAAAACAAATAAGAAAATGGAATATATAGTTGTCAACAGAGATTGAATATCGCGCCACGTTGCGGATTTGGCGGTGTTAAAATTTGCTCTTGAATTTAGATAACTTTCCATCTTTGAAATGTGTCGGTCAGTAAGGAAAAATCTCAGTATGTATGAAATAGAAACATCTCGTCGTGGTGCATTAAAAAACTTACTCGTTCGTTTTTTTGCTACATCGCAATTAGTGAATAAAAATCGTTCGTGCGGCTTTCCGTGGAATTATCTCTGTTTACGTCACTCGTCATTTACTTCATCCCTGAGTGGTGCACCCCTTCCTAAGAAAAATCCTGGATCCACCGTTAGAATGGATCCATTAGTTAAGAAAATCATGTTTTCGTTTGATCAGTCATTGAATCAAACAGATGTTCAATCAGCCAATGATCTAGTGACTTGCCAACTCAACCAGCCAGCCAGTCTGTCAGTCGGTCAATCAGTCAGTCAGATAGCCAGTCAGTCAGTCAGTAAGTCAGGCAGTCAGCCAGCCAGCCTGCCTGCCTGCCAGTCAGTCAGTCAATAAGCCAGCCAGCCAGCCAGCCAGTCAGTCAGTCAGTCTGTCAGCTGGCCAGTCAGTCAGTCAGTCAGTCAGTCTGTCTGTCAGTCAGTCGCTCAGACCTTCATTTATCAATCCATTTGATTATTCTTCCATCAAATCAGTCGGACAGTCTATTGTTAAGTTAGCTTGTCAATCACGAGTACAATAATCACTCTCACCCCTAAGAGCAAAGGAAACTTTGGAAAAAAAAGCAAGACCGTAGTAACCGGCCAACCAAAAAGCTAAAATCTTTCACCAAAAGAAAAAAAAATATTTTCTGTATTATAATAGTTTTGGTATGTTAAAGATCTTAACTGATCGTGCCTGTCATACTCATACTGGCCAGTGGGAAATCCTCCATCTACGTAAGTAATCATTGTCTTGGTCTTTGGGTTATCGTTTGTGCTCATAAACAGTTCGCTCCCAGCATTGGAAGCTAGAGTAAGTAATGGATAGCAATCAGATGTGGCAATCAAATGAAAATAATACAGTGTATACTATGTTTTGCTCTTCTTTCCCAATTGAAGACTCTAGATAAAGAAATAAATGGGCTAAACAAAACGAAAATATGAAAAAAAAAGACAATTCAAAAGCGTGTTAAAAACCACTTGATTGTTGCGAACAAGTAAAAGATGAGGTAAATCGTGACACCAGAAACTATTTAGGGCATCTAATAGCTGAGCCACGAGGACAAATGTTGGGGCGAGGCAAATTAAAGTGGGCTCTTCGAATTTAATCCCGTGCAGGAATCTGCTCATACTTAAATGATAGGCATGTGATGATATGATCTTCGTATGTGTACTTCATTTAAAGAAATGGCTTCCCTCCAAAATGTGACGTCGTGGCCCAGCCAGTAGCCGAAGCAGTGTCTGGGAGGCGCGGGTTCGAATCCTGTCGAGTCCTGAATCTTCTCGGTCATCTTTTCTGGGATGCTATCAAATTCAGTTATAGGTATCAATTACTACATTATTCCTTACAAAGAAAGAAGTAGTGGTTTCCAGTTTGAAGAGGAACAAAATACGTCCTTAAACGTGAGCCAAAGAAGTCTCCCCAGTTTGAGGGCTGTTCAAACGTTGGAACACATGTTGAAAAACTTGGCATGTTTGGAAATCGTTCATCAGCCAACAGAAACTTAACGCGTTTAAAATCAATTCGGTCCCATTTCTCCAGGTATACGCCATTTTTCACTAGAAAACAACATACACAAATAAGTGAGAAGTACGATATCATGACTGGGAACTGAACTGACGATCGCCATGGTTTTCGAAAGTCCTTAGGTAAATATTACTTCATGTACAATCAAAATGAAGAGCCATTTACTTACATCCACAAACTGCTTTTCTAAAGCCGAAGCCTCGTCGCAGCCTGACGGGCTCATAGTTATCTATTGATGTCAATAAATGAAGAATGAAAATTTTTATCATTTTGTAACTTTCGTTATACAAAGAGGTTTATATCTTTTTCATAATTCATGAAAGGAATACACTGTTAAAGAAGATTAGAACTTAGAGCGAGAAAGAGTTGAGTAAATTTAAATGTCAGTGAATCTCAACAGACATATAAGACATCAGGTGCAGGGAATCAAACAAAAAAAATTAAGTAAAATTCGAGAGATTTCACCAATGCATCATGCCTGCTCTCTCTTATTCGCATTTTGGTTCAAATTAGGACCGAAAGGTGCATTTCAATTTTCATTCTTCTCTACGTTCGTTAAAACGAAATTGAATTTTACGAACATAAAATATAGCAGAGAAAAGAAATGATCAGCCTGTGTCGGCGGGAAAAGGTTGAAACACGTTCGACTTCAACTAGTTTCCCTCCCCTAGAATTGCAATTCAATTGACCTGAAAAATCTGATATTGAAAACTATTACGCTTTGCGCTTGAAAAGACCCATAATCATCTGAAAATCTTTGTATGAGATGACACTTGACCCTCTCAAAAAAGTGACACAATTTCACTCTAATTACTACAACACTTGAATAACCCACCTGATGTTTCCATTACTGTAGTGATTACTTTGGAGAATGGACCAATGAAGAAGCAAAATAACATAAAGTACACGACTATCAGGGAATTCATTGTAAGTGAATGGGGCCCAAAATGAAATCGCTGGAACTAAGTCATTTTCGTCATTCAAAGATATTGCATGGTTGCATTTGAAAAGCCACCTGCTGTGAAAAGCGAACAATGAAGGCTCGAAACGGGTAATCTGACTGAAAGACTCATCGTCCTGACATATTATGTCCTGTGGTGTTATCAATTAGTAGAAACGATTTCACCTAAGTACATATTTTATCTAATAAAATCGATTCACCGACATTCACATGAATGTCGCACCCTGGATTCTCTCGTTAAGTCAAGAACAACAAATGACCTTTTTCGTTAGAGAAGAGTACCCAAATATACGTAAGGGTGTATCTTCGTATTTATTAGAAACTGAAATTGGTAAATTGATTCTTGCTTAGGGTGTTTATATCTACAGCACCACCATTAAAATTCGTTTAGCTTTAGAGAGTTTAAAGTTTTAACTTTCATGCGCATGCAGTCAAAACAAGACACACATATAAGGCGAGTATGGACCCTTTCTACGATTCTTATAACACTAGGAACTACAACATCATTTGACGAGAGAGATTCTCCACTAATTGATCCTCTTTGTTTCACGGGAAAACAAGAACAGAGTAAGTAAAATGACACCATGCATATCACTCATTTTGGTTTTTATGATAAATATTAATGTGAAGCGTTCTTGAAACTCGCTACAAAAACAAAAAAGGAATCATCAATTCAATTATAAAAATTGTCGATTTAACAAATCGAAAGTGGCTTAGCGTGGTCTGTACTCCTATCGACAACGACATTCGTCATGACAGTGGTCAAAATGTTGTGGATTCACGAGGCGCAGCAGCATAATCTCGACTCTTATTGACAACGACAAATTGGCCAATCAGATTGCGACATTACTGCCAATTGTGGTAGAAAAAGTTTTAAACGCCACCTAGACCATAATACGCAAGTTGTAGTTTGAAGCTGATGCTGTTATGTTCAGATAAGGATCCATTAACTCACGTTGTAATTTTTCAGTTTTAATTTGTATTCTTCTTTGTAAATATATTTGTTTCTTCATCTATCTATTAATCTATTAATTGAAGTTTGTTTTTAGCTTAAAGTAACTCTTGGTTAAAGATATTTTTCAGGAACAACAAATGTTATGGAAAATGCTGAGCTTTCAACACCTTAACCTAAGGAAAATAACATCCTATATCTCAAGTGGAAATGTTAATAAAAAAACGCATGTTCCATATAAATCCGTGAACGTTTTAGGTTTACGTGTTTTATACAACGCGTGTTCTAGGTTGATGTAAACTAGCGAATTTCGTCAACGGATTCTCGCTGAGAGCAAGAATAGCAATGCCCCGCAAGTATTGTTTGATGATTTTTCAGAACATGTAAACCGGTTAAAATTGCTCATATCATGGTTTTACGAATCTACTGCCTGCTTCCTACATCTGGAAAGTGACAAGCAGCACAGCCACAATAACTGCGGCTTCAACGACGCAAGAGCAAGGTCCTTTGACTGATTTTCTTCCGTCCAGTTTATAACCACATTGAAAAGGACGATTTTATGTCCTCGTTCAATCTGCACTCCAGCGTAACAAGGATTTTACCGACAACAGGATGGCGGACAGGAAACTGGGCACCCAGTGGAGGAACAGCTCGTTGGACAACCTATTAAAAAAGGTGTTAAGTGGTTAAATATATTTACATTAAAACGACTAAACAAACAACAGTCCGAATTTTCTGCTTTGCAAGATGAACTATGAATTTGTGAAAAATCTTATGATCTCAATTTAATTCAACCGCTACGGAGACAAATATACCGATAGTTTTTTACACTTATTTTTCTCGTTAGATCTGAGTTCATTTGATTTAATAAATGTTGAAACTCATAAATGCGCACTAGGGCCAAGAATTTTTTTTTATTCAATGTCGTAAAACCATCAGTTTCAAGTGCAGGACAAATGTTGCATTTTGATAGAAAAGAGAAGATGAACTAAAAATCTATTTTCTATTTCTTTGTCCAATTAAAGAAATCATTCGCAAACGCTAAACGTCTTCTGTTTAATCTATCTTTTATTGACATCAGTATTTTTTATATTAATCTTTATAATGAATCATTTAGATCATTTGTATTTTGGAAAATATTTCACCTACCGAGAGTACGGAAGGGTGTCCTCGTGTAATGGTAATGATAATGAATGGATCCAGGCCCTTTTTCTTCAAAAAAATAATTTTAACTTTCAAACTCCCCTGAAGTCGCATATACTTTAAAGGGTTATAACGTTCTAGCGAGAGATTAATGGATGATATCATAAAAAGGTTTACTTGGGTATGGTTGAAAGGCATTAGTCTCTGACGTTTTTGAAACATAGGAAGTGTCACTTGGATGACAAATGATAATGGTCGGTTTGTGTTTATCAAATGAAATAACCTAACTCTCTTTTTTGTCTACAAAATATGTCTGTGGACATGGCTAACTTCAATGCTATTTACAGTTTGATCTCAAAAGTTGTTTTTGCCTTACTGCTCCTATTGTTTTATAACTTGCTGTTACGCGAATTGTTCATCCTTTTTTTGGTGCGTCATTGTCGTTTATCTTAGTTTGTAAAAAGCACTCTATTTGCTGATATCATTTCATAGTGCAGATATTCAAATCCTTTTCGAGAAAATGATGACCATGTAAGCCACATCAAAACCTTGCTTTTTAGATAAAAAAAAGCGATGAAATAATTGTGTTAGCTTGCACAAAGTTAATAAGTGGCTTACCTGGAATTTCCGAGGCTGCAGGGACTGCTGAAACGACTGATGCAGAAGAGGCTGGTGATAGTGATGATGGCGGTGGAAGAGGGGACGGTGAAGGAGGAAGAGGAGGAGGAGGAGGTGCAGGTGCAGGTGGAGGAGGAGGAGGGAAAGGAGGAAGAGGAGAAGAAGGAGGAGGAGGAGGTGGAGGAGAAGGAGAGGGAGGGCGCAGAAGTGACAAAGGTGGTGGAGGATGAGGTTGAGAAGTTGATGTCGAGACGCGAGTGCCCAAGGAGAAAGGCTCATATTTCCCAAGCCTTTCTCGTGAATCACTACCTGTAGTTCAGAAAAATAGTAATAATTTATCGGTTTTCCATCATGAAGAAGTTTTAAATTTGCCCTTACTTATCTTCTATACAGTATCGAACTGACTTTTTTGCCGTATCGTCATTGTAATTTAGATAGGTATTTAGTGAAGTTAAACGTTAGTAGCGACTGACTGGGTTTACTGATGTAGTGGATACAATGTTCAAAACAACGAACGTATAGCAAACGCAGCGAACTCGAATCACATATGTATGATGTTCGTATATTTATAGTCATTTATTTACCACTTGGAGAGTTTTTTTGGAACCAACATAATGATCAGCACCCAATTGGAATTTTTTACTCGCTTGACTCTACAAACTTACCACCTTGCTTGACTCTACTAACTTACGAAATATCCTAGGAAACAATCGAAACAACGCGCGAGTGCGTGAGATATTTCTAATGCATTAAAATTGGGACAGGTACGAATCGACTAGTTTGAGTACGAACCGAATCCCGTTGATATGTTAATAGCTTTGAGACGCGAATATCTACAAGGAAGACTTTTTGCGAGGTCTTTTCCTATCAGTGCTAATTATAGGAGAAACAAACCACATGTGGGACACATGTAAAGTAAGCACAGGAAAATGCCAGCTTTTGAGAATAAATGAAAAAAAAGCGCCTAAATTAGACCGCTTAGCTATCCTAAATTTTTTGTCATGTGCTCGTATTTAACCATTAGAGGCTGTTATCAATGCCTTAATAAAATTACTTGTTCGCAAGCTATCGCAGTTAATCGAAATTTTCGATCTAAATATTGCCCTTGAGGCCTGCCTCGTTTCCTAATGTTGTAAAACTTCATCTCCGTCTGTCTCGAAAAAATATATTCTGCTGCTTTTAACATGATGAATCGCTGGAGCGATATTTCACTGGAGCAAATAATATTATCGTGATGATGTACTGTGCGCTCTACGATAAATGTATGCTAGAAATATATCGCCGCAACTATATATCGCTTAAACTATTCAATCGCTGGAACAATATATCTTTGAAACGAGATATCGCAGGAAAACTCAGATGTCTCGTCGATATATCGCCGGAACGATATATCACCGCAACGATTTATCTTTGGAACGAGATACCACAGGAAAGCTCTGATATCTCGTCGATTTATCGTTTTGAGGTGTCTATAAAATGCAACATAGATCGCTGATATATGGGGAGAACAAAACCCAATATTCGACGATAATTGTTTGCATTACCTTTGCACAGTACTTTCTGACTTTGAGTTCGGCATTAACTGATTGAGGAGGATCATGCTTAAGGCTGAAAGATTGTCCACGAAAATCTATAGCTGATTGGCTAGGAAGAGAGACTTAAAGGGAAACTGAAATATGGCTGCAATGAATTTTCAACCCCGGGGAATTTCTTTCGACATACCAGCAAGCCAGAATGCTTGAATTCTCTAATGGTTTCTGATAAAGTGAGGCTCAAAAGGTAACCAAACTAAATAAATTTTAACGCAAGTTGATTATCCTGCTCTATTGACACAGGACAAGTGTTTAATTTTGTATACACATCACATTGTTATGTTTTCCTGGACGAATGATAAATCGAAAGGGGTATACCGCTTAATACATGCCACAGGATAATTAATGCGTCGTACCTTGCCTGGTGACTGAAATATCCTTAAACACAGGACAACCAGGGACAGGTGATTCTGATATGCTTGTTTCTTCATTCAAAAGTAACTTGCTTTTTCCAGTCGGATCCTCAGCGCTGAATGCAACATGGCTATGTAGCTCAGGTCGTTCTATAATGAGTTTAAGCTTAAATCCTGATCCAGTGACAAGGTACGCTTCATGTTTAAGAGAGGACAGGAGCTTAAATGAAGGTCCAAAGTTGTTTATGAAGTTTAATGCAACGCACATCCCTGAAAAAAGAGGGATCGAAATGGGAAACAGTAAGTGTTAAATTGATTGGAAAGCTTTACATGTTAATCATTGGAAGGCATTTCAATGAATAATAATTTATGGATTGTGATGGAGAATACTCGAAGACATTTGTTGACATAATAATTGTTTAGTTCGTGATCGTTTCAAACTAATTGACTCAATGGTCTGTGTTTGTTAAGTCTGACTAATTCCTATACCTTGAGTCTGAAATTTGACCAGGATTAAAATGGTGTCTGCAAATTCAGAAAGAATCATGCATTAACATGTACCATGAAAGAGCAATGACAGACTAAACATGTATTTACTTTTTCCACTTGCGACAGAAGGCTCCGAAGGACCATTTATGGTTGATCCTTGAAACATTGCCGGTGCCGCCGGTGTTAACCCTCCAGACGAACACAAGGGGATGCAGGAGGGTTGGAGTGGTTGGGCGCTGGTCTCTGAAACTAAATGAGCAGGATGGGGTTGTGGTTGTCCTACGATGGTTAATGGTTTCTCCGGTCCAATAACGTTCCGACAGTTCTTTTGCTTGTTTTCGTATGGTGGAACTGGCCAAAATGAAAATGTACACCTCTCGAGGACGTCGGGATCACCATTATAAAAGTCCAGCTCCAAAGGTGTGATGTGATCACGTTGCCGATCTCTACTTTGGCAAATATACCAATCCTTGTGCATTGATTTCAGCAGGAGATTCCGACTAAACTTCATCACTCTAACTAAGTAGAAAGAACTCTCTTTATCTGTTGAGGAAGAATAAGTTATACGCACTTTAACAATCACGTTTATGTTATTGTTCATAATTACACTCTGATGTGCTCAGTTGAGGCTAAGGTCGTTTCTTTACCAACAAAAAGACAAATAAAACTTTAACCAGCAAAATACGTTAGACAAAAACTTAACTACGATGAGAATAGTTCAATTAATCTGCTCGGTGAAGTAGTTCAAATCGCGGCAAAAAAAGATTGTACTATCAAAAAGGAAAATTGACTTAAAGATCTTAAGAAATGTGGGCGTCAATGTTACTCACCAAACAATTCTGATCCATCACGTTTTTGCAAAATAAAATTATAGTTTTTTTGCCTCAAGAAATAACCTGGAAGGCAAACTGATTCAAACGAAGCGGTTTCTTTCCCCGCTTCAACCTTTTGATGCAATGCAGGAATTCGCACGGAGAACACTTGACAGAATGGTCTAAGAGCCATTTTTCCATTGTAAGAACGCCAACAGAAGTTAAGGCTGCCATTTTCTTGTGGGTATGGTATATCCCAGGAGTGGACCGTGTAAAGTCCATCTTGAACAACTGAAACATGTAAAATGCAAAAATTAATTTAGTGAAGCTTCATGTACAATCTACTATTGTTAAATATAGCCCTCTAAACGTCTAGTTCTCACTTTTACACCGGACCCGGTCTGGTAGGAAATTGACACGGAAACAAAAATTATCATAGGGAATCTATGTTCTGAGATCGCGTTCGCTCAAAACATTCTTAAGCTGAGACTTCAGATGGATTAGGAAAATCAAAAAGGGTCTTCCAGAGAGTTGATACCACCTCATTAACAATTTTCAAATAATAGCTGTGTTAATGTTACGAGTTTTCTGAGCTAAGACATCCACTTACGTTTGCTTGCAGCCCCTTGTTTCCACACAAGCAGTCTTGCTATTGCTTGTGCGTCTTCTCCAGGTTTTAACATATATGACGCCTCCTGGAACCCCAAAAATTCATCTGGTTGAGAGCTAGCTTTGTTGCTACTAGAAACAGGAGAAGTATCTACTCCCTCACCGGAAGTCACTTGTGAACCTTTAGCAGAAACTGATGCTCCATTTCCTGCTTGTCCTGATGCGCTCTCACTTCTTCCAGCACTGACTTGTCCTTGGCCACCTCCGTTCACCCCTACAGTAAGTGACGAGCCACTTCCTCCTTTTACAGCCATCGATGCTGCTGCTCCCCCTCCATACGCTTCGCCCTTTGCGGCTTGCGACCCCATTGCGCCTCCTGTACCTCCGAACCCTATACCGCCCTCGCCCTCTGCTCCTCCTGTGCCTCCTGTGCCACCTCTGCCTCCTACGCCAGCTGCGCCCCCTGTTCCTCCAGCAGCACCTGATCCCCCACTTCCAGGAGTGCCTCCTGAAGTTGGATTAGTAACGGAAACCACGTTCCCATTCTCTACAACAATTTTAAATCGGTGCGAGTTCTGTCCATAGACGTTATTGAGTCCATCCTCGATTGTTTTTGTGATCACTTGTAGGGCAGCTTTTTCTCCTACACGAGCTCCGGCGGATGCTCCTACCTCTATTCCGGCCAAGGCACCTGCTTTAGCTCCTGCTTTCGCCCCACTCCTCTTTCCCCAATGAGCTCCAAATGCCAAACCAGCTCTTGCACCAGCTCTTGCAGCAACTTTGAGCAACGTTACTTGATAGGTTGAGTTTTTCTCTGATAAATAATAATGATGGGTGATAATACTTTAATCGCTCCTGTTCTTTATATTACACCATACGTAGAAAATAAGGAAATAACTAAAGTGATGAACTGTTTGAATATTTGCCTAGGGTCTTGTTATTTCAAATATTGTTGGTGAAAGTGTTTAGTGATGGCTCTTTACAAAAATGATTTAAGTGACGAAAAATGCCGAAGTAGCTCTTTTTAGATTTTGGTACACTTACCAGCCACTGATAAAATACAGCTATCAAAATTTATTTGAAAATATACCAACCAGGCGGTAGTGGCAAAGTTGTCCACAAGAATTTTGAGGGTATAACTTTGTAAAATTGTCCGTCTGGTGTCTTAACAGCAGCCTCCAGGTGATCTTTCTGGTGGTCATCTTTCATCACTGCCTCCATGTAGTAAAATTTACCTTTCTTCATGTAAACAGGTAGAGATTTTTGATTTGTAAACCTAAGAGCGCAAAAAGGAAAAACATCATTACGCTGAAGTGTGGATGTAGTGGATGCTGCGTTCAAAAAAAAAAATTGACATAAACGACCAGCAAGGTTATACCACGTGCCTGTATTAAAGTAATAGGGAATATTAAGAGGCCATGACGGAATATGAATCTTAACTTTGAGAGCCAGAGATATTCCACAGATGAGAACTGCGAATTAGCAAGCGACTCTTTTAATAGGAGAAAACTGCAATTCTATTTTGAAGTTATTTTCATTTGTGTAATGACACAACCACAGAAGAGATGCAAATTCTTACAAGAGAGACAAATAACTTTCATTCGAAGTGATGGTTCAATTTTCTGTTCAGTTATACTAATCACACTTCTGCTAATAAAAATTAAAAGCGCAAACGCCGTTTTGATACCCGTTATCAGGACGACATTTTTATCTTAACATGCACGCGGTTAACGTATCATATATTGAGAGGGGAAATAATTTGGCAATATCCATGCAACAGTTTTGTTAATTATCGAAGCAAAACCAATTGCGTTCTGTATATGCACATGGCAAAACCCGACTCTATCAATACGAGATGAACTTGTAGGAAACTATGTTACATTATTGTGAGATTTGCGTTACTGCAACAGAGATAAATATAACACTCTGAAACTGCATTTGTGCTCATGGTCTCACCTGTCGTACTCATACTGATAGGTTGCAAATCCTCCACTTACGTAATTTATCAACGACTTAGTTTCTGGTTTTTCATTCGTGCTGAGGTAGAGCTCACTCCCGGCGTCTGATGCTGAAAAAAAAATCAAACAGCAAAATTTTAACACCCACATATTGAACTGCAAATGAAGCATATTTGAAGAGAGAGAGCAATCGAGAATTTTGGGCCATGGAAGGGGCTTGAAAGTGTGCCTCCCAAAATCGATTGTTTCCTTCTACTAGGCAGAGTGTAATGGGTTATTGTCTACCTCGTGAAAGAATTCCATCTCACAATTGAATTAATTGGCCATGTTGAAATGAGGATTAAAGTGAAAAGTCTGATGTAAAAATAATTACATGAATCGCGTATAACATTATGATGAACAAAGTTTAAGGAATATCGTACAAAGATAGAAATAGTGGTTTCCTGTCTGTAGCGGAACGAAATATGTTCTTAAGCGTGACCCAAAGAAGTCTGCCCAATTTGACGGCTGTTCGAATGTTGGAACACATGTTGCAAAACTCGGTAGGTTTGGGTATCGAGGATCAGCCAACAGAAATTTGACACGTTTATAATCGATTCTGTCATATCTCTCCAAATAAGCGCCATGGGTCACTGAAATGAAGACAGAGACGGTGAGGTAAAATGGTGTAAGTTATAAGAGACATATCTATTGCTCAGAACACTTACTAATGATATACAAGCACTACATACAGAGGGTAACTTACAGTTACAAGTCGCATCTTTGACGCCAAATGATCGTTTCTGTCTAAACGTCTGGTATCCATTTCCTTCAAAAAAATGAAAAAAGAGAAAGAAATGTACTGTCGATCATAAGAAACGTTGCAAAATTGATCGCTGTGATTGGTGTTGATAGCTACTCGTAGATTGAAACAATGACTAAATGATTGCAGAATGCTGATCAATGATATATAGTGTTTGGGGGCTGAATGGCTGAGGAGAAAGACATGGTCTTATCGCGAGTCACGTGTTTAAGCGACCGCTGGTATCTGGTGCCTCCTTAGCGAGGTCATACCCTTTCAAAAAGGAAATTATGGAGTCGTAGTGACTAGCGAGTGAACCAGAATGATTTTTGTATAAAATTAAAAATAAAATAAAAAAAAAACCTTGCCAGCCCCAGGGCACATAAATTCAATGTTTAGTGTATCTGGCCCTTTAAAATTAAGTTATTGACATCGTCTTTGTCAAGGTTACTTCGAGCGTTTATCGTACACCATACAATCGCAAGGATTTCGACATTTTCGCTTTACAGTTAATAATTGTTCATGCAGAGTAATCAGTGATGACAAAATAAGATCTTTTCGAAACTGCATTGGATAATTAAGCGCTTAAAACCTCAAATCGTGGAAATGTGAGAAAAGAAGAGCACATAGTTTCGAATGTCACATGGTTCGTTATGCGGGTGGCGTTATTTTAGTGGCTGTCTTCCTAATATTTCCTACTGGTGCTCTATACATCATAAAATTCCATTTTGTCCTCTTCTGCCCCCATCTAATATTGATAACAACTCCAACTTCACAATTAAAAAAGATTCACGTGATTGTCCCCGGAACAAATGTTGTCTCTGCATTGACAGAAAAAAGGAGGCATCGAGTTAAGATTCTTCACTTTTCAGCAGTTCAATTCAGCCCCTCCTTCCCCCCCTCCCCCCTCCCAAAAAAAATCCATTACGTGATCACACTGCGTGCAATCTATGGCGGAGATAGTTTTACAGGCTTTGCTCTAATTGCAGTTATATGGGAGAAACACCTAATTTGGTCTTTTGAGATATATTCAACAAACAAAATCTGGTAAGGCAAGAAAATAAAATAACAAAAAGGTTGATGTTCGTCTGAAATACTTCCATAATTTACCAAGCATGTATATGTGAGCCCTTCACCTTATGTCTTCTCTCCCAAACTTTTTTCAGTAAGCATCGATGTAGAATAGAATTGAATTAAGGAGGTTGGTTGGGGTTTTAAGGAACGAATACGTCATTACAAATTACGAAGGCAATGGATATATAGAAATATGAAACATTACTATTAAAGTAAAAAGGAGATGGAGAGATAATGGGAGAAAGACCGTTTTAGTACGAACATCGAGTCGACAAAAGGTGCACAGAAGTTTAGCACTGAAGGAACACGAAGCCAACGTATTGCAAACGGTGTTACCAAATTAACGGCCGTCGTATGTGATGGATAGCAATTTTTCATTATACCAGCTTGGAGACTTCGATTGAACCTTTCTCCATGAGAAAAATGTACTGGAAAATTAGGAAACTGCTCCACTTACATGGGCGATAAATATTCCTCATAAATACCTAAAGATTTTTTGAATCATGGCTCTGGACCGAGATTTCACGAGCAAGTAGGTTTTTTCAAACGGGAAATAGATAAAATAGCTCTTAAAGAATAACAGCGACTCGTTACATTTGCTAATTAAAGAGCATAAAGTCTCCTCACCTGTTCGGGTACCGTTGTGTGACAGAGCAGTCAAAATATGAAAGTTCACTATTGAATAAACAAAAATATTTGGAAACTGCATTTAAATCGATCACTTAAATCGATGAGTCAAAAACTCGAACCAGGATGTTTGAGTTAATTGGATGTGTAGGTGCTAAAATGGAGGAAACCATAAAAACCTGGCCACCTGCAAAAATAAGCGATACTGTTTCATACAATGGGTAACGTGGTTTTAGAAATATTTCTTTTTATCTTAAGCGCTAAGTGTGTTTCATTGTTTCATCGTTGAGTGCTAAGTATGAATTCGCGCATAAGAACCTAAGAAGGTCGATAAATAACCGTTAAAACCATAGTTATGGTCAACACATTTTAAATCAACATCGCGCATGACAAGCTTTGGTCAGAAAAAAAAATTCTCACCTGGGAAGCGTATGATGATCCATGAGGTTGTCATTATAAAGCGAGAGGAATCAATTAGCAAGTGTACGGAGCCCAGTTGGTGCCATGCAAAACTCGCGCTCGATTTTTTTTTCACGGGCTCGACTTTTTTTTCACGCGCTCGATTTTTTTGTCGCGCTCGATTTTTTTGTCGCGCTCAATTTTTGTCGCACTCGATTTTTGTCGCACTCGATTTTTTTTGTCGTGCTCGCCTTCTTTTTTTTATTTTGCCGCGCTCGACTTTTTTTCTCTGTAACGCTCGGTTTTTTATTTCTTGCGCTCGATTATTTTTTGTCGCGCTCGAGTTTTTTTTTGTCGCCCTCGACTATTTTGTGTCGCGCTTGACTTTTTTTTGTCAAGTTCGACTTTTTTTTCTTGCGCTCGATTTTTTTTTGTCGCGTTCGACTTTTTTTGTCGCGCTTGGTTTTTATTTGTCGCGCTCGATTTTTATGGTGGTGCTCGATTTTTTTTTGTGGCGCTCGATTTTTTTTGTCGCGTGTGGTTTTGTTTTCTTCGCACTCGACTCTTTTTTTGTCGCGCTCGATTTTTTTTTGTCGCGCTTGACTTTTTTTGGCGGCCTGACTTTTTTTTGCCCCGCTCGATTTTTTTTGCCGCGCTCGGTTTTCTTTTGCCGCGCTCGATATTTTTTTCGCGCTCGATTTTTTTTCCTCACGCTTTCCTTTTTTTCGAATTTTTCTCTTGACTTTTTTCTGACTTCTTTTAGACTTTTTTCTTGACTTTTTTCTTGACTTTTTTCTCGACTTTTTTCTCGACTTTTTCTCGACTTTTCAACCGCTGATCATAAATTACATGCTTATTCCCGCGTAGTGAAAATGAATAGAAGGACTTAAAGATGACTATTCTATTTGTCACTGGAAATGTGTCACAGTGTCGAGCAGTTTTACCTTCGTATCTGCCTATCTTACAACAAGGCATGCAATGCTGAGCTTGGAGATATCATTGACGGTTATTATCATTTGAGAATGAATAACAAAGAGATCTTGCTGCTTATCGAGTTAACCTACGGTTTTTACCTTAGTATGCGTCAATTGAAGAGGATTCTGAAGTCTCGAGGTCTTAGGAGACGGAAAAATCGTAGCGATCTTCAAGAGGTTTGTGGATGCATAAAGATAGAATTGCGGAAGTACGATTGGCCATAGACAAATGGCTCAAAGACTCTGACAGGTCTACGGCCTTTGTGTTGACAAAGATACTGTCAGGAACCTCTTAAAAATTCTTGACCCAGACGGTGTAGAAGCCAAACCATTTTTGGCACACAGATGGATACAATAAACTGAACCCGTTTGGCTTCTGTATACATGGAGGTATCGATGGGTATAGTAAACGAATCACGTGGCTGGAGGTGGGCCCATCAAATAATGATCCTTTTATAGTTGCTCAGTATTTCATCGACTGTGTTCGACAAATTGGTGGAACTCCTAGGATTACAAGGGCAGATAATGGGACTGAAAACGTTAATATCGCTGCTATACAACATTTTTTCCAATCGGAGGATAACAGTTTTCTGTATGGTAAATTACGCGCAAACCAGCGTTTTGAGGCCTGGTGGGGGTACTCTTAGAAAAGGGCGCATAGATTGGTGGATACGACTTGTGATGCTAATGTCATACATTGTGAGTGTCTCAAGCTTTGCTTTATGCAAGTGTTGCGGGGTGAACTTTACATATAAACATGGAATTAGTGTTATTGAACTGATGCAGGAGCTAAATTTATTTGCATCAACGCGTTGAACATATAATAGAAAAGCTAGATACATTAAATTTGATATTATGAAGCAGTAAATATTAGACTATATACCGCAATAACAACTTTAGGACAGTTACACAGTGATAAGCAATACTTAACCTTTTGTCTTATAATGAAGAATGGCGATAACACAGTGGCTCAAACAGGTCAGGTTGACTCTCGGCTGAGTGCATTTGCAGAATGGTTGCACAATTTTTGTAAAAAAAAAAAAATTTTTTTTCAATTCTGTTTGAGTGATATAAGGCGTACACTTTAGTCTTCAATACGAAACAATTCAGGAAAAAAAATGAACTATTCTTTATTTGTAATACGTACTCTAAAAACACTATGATTGTTTAGGTAAGAAACTTACCTGGTTACAGAAATTACGATAAACGTTATTACTGAGTAACAATTACTGTAACTGGAACTGATCTTACATCACTGAAAGTTCGACATAATAAATGCTCGAAAATCATGTTTATACTACTATTTTTGGCCAACTCTGAAATTTCCCGAAAGTGAGCAATATACCGTATGAATATAAAGCCATTAACACAACTCATGCAATTCAAAATAATTTCTTGAGCACATAAATTTCCCCTGTGGTCTCACCTTGCAAATACCATAACGTTGCCGTTAAGGAACAATTTTTTTGATTAATAATATGTTCATTGTTAAATATAGTTTGAACGAGAAAGGGAATCTGAAAAGCAGTGTCATTAAAGTACGAATGTCCTACTAGGACCAAACATAAGATTTTTTTTAAACTGGAACAACTAACTGCGAACTAGAAGTATAGGTAAAGAGTAATTTTAAGAAATGTTCATTTCCCAAAATTCACAGTCGATGATGCTGTTCATTTCTTATCTCTCTTTGGTATGGTGAGGGCAACTTTAATGATGGTGCACACGTATGAGCAATGGGACGCCTCTCAAAGCCATCTAGACGAGTGAAAGTAATCTTAATTTTGTCCACACATATGGTGTTAGCTCCTTTCAGAAACCGCAAAACTTTTTTTAATCTTTCATTATCTAGACCTCTCAGGTAACGTTTAAAATAGGATATGGCATCTCTTTGGGCATTATTTTGCGGCTGTGGGATAACTTCGAGGAGATCGATCGCCTTTTTTGGTTTGAATGGCTCTATTTAATAAATCTACAAGTTCCGTGATGTTAAGGGTAGCTGTCTTCAAACTACGTAATGGTTCATGTCAGCAATCAATAATGTATTGACAAGCTTGTATTTGCTCCTTGTGAGCGATTTCTGAAATTGTATCCCTGCACTGCTCAGGCTTTGGAATTCGCTTACATCCAAATCTATCTAAGAAATCAAGCCACTCGTCACTATGTTCATCTTCCAAACTACCGTTTAAAGCATGCACAACCAAAGCCCTTTCATCCCTTGACAAATAGGCTAAGAAAGAAACGAGTAGCTCCTGCTGTGTCACCTCGGTTTCCCCAAAAAGTGTAGCAATCAGGAATACCCTATTTAACTTAACAGGAAAAAAGTTGAGTTGCTCAAATTCCTTAACAAGGAGTCTAGCTGTGGCCTCCCACTCTGGAGCTTGAAAGTCATGTCATATGACTGGTATTCGTTCATCTTCTCCAACTGTGCAGGAATTCTCAAATGCTGTCTAAAACGCAGACAGTGCGTCCCTGAAAACTTCATTTTCATCTGCTCCGGCTTCTTCTTGGCCATGTGCATTAACAATTTTGACTTTTAGTTGAGCTGCCATAATTGATGGATCCTTAAGCACTTCAGTCATATCAGATATAACCTGCAACCTCCGAATTCTGACGAATCTACACAATAAGAAAGCATGACATAAATAATTATTAATTAATAACAAAGGTGAAGGTGCACACGGGCCAAGGAGACCCATGCTGCTGGAGCTTAACCTAGTCTCTGTGGTATGAAGCACCAAGGAGCACTCTAGATGAGATGTCAGTACACATTAGTACATTGTGACTGTTATTGACAGATTTCAATGCGTGTCTTCTAGGAATAGGCAGAGCAGAAACAATTATTTTACATAAATCTCTTCTCTCATTTGTATTCTTGATTTCAAGCGGAATTATTTTCAAACGCACCCCAAAAATACTCTCATAGGTGATGCTAATATCATGCAAATCTCTTTTACAATACAAATCTAAGAACATCAAAATTGAGTTGTCAGTTGAGTGCATACTGTCTATTTTGATTGCATGGTGTCTATAAATTTAAAAAATACCCGATACATGATACCTGTGGTTGGATAGAACTGTCCATACATGTGCCTGTGGTTGGGGATGGCTGTCCAGTAGTATGGCTACTGAAAAAAGTGCTTCCAGCCAAGATACACTTTCTTACTTTTGATTTACTCTTTCTTCTCTTGACTTGTTTTGCGCTGCTTGGTTTTTTGTGACGACTTTTTCATTTTTTTTCTTGAGAGGAAGGGTTCAAGTAATACCTTTTTCTTCTCTTGTGATTTTTCCGGTTTTGCAAAAGGGGATTAGCTTCAATCTATTTTCTGCCTTAGAAAGTCCTAACTGCTCAAGATACCCTTCAGATAGCAGATAGAACAGCAGAAACATCCATCTAAAACATAAAGGAAATGCATGTGTAATTGTACATCCTTCTACATTAGATCCATCATTCCACTCAGTAAAGCTACTTTACAGGAAATCAGTTAAATTTAGTATGATTAAAAATAGTTAACTCTCCAGTTATTTTAGGAAACCAGTATCCTTTTTCATTTAAAAGATTGAAGAGAAACCGGAACCCAAATAGGTCAAATAAGAAAAGCCGGAAACCGCATCGGATATCAAATCCGAAAACCCGTTAGAATTTTTCGCGAAAACCGAAAACCAAATGCTACAAAACGGAAAATCCGCAAACCACAATGAATACCAAAATCGAAAAACCGAAGTTTTTTGGCACAAAAACCGAAAAACCGATCTAAAAAATAGCCAAAACCGCAAAACCGAAAATCCCCCAATGCCCCCCTCAGTTAAATATTTACACACTTAATACGGCAAGTTGACAAGAAAATGAAGTTCGCACGGGCAAGCAAATCGTTAAGTTCGGATTTAAAGATGAGGTTTCAGATCAGGTTTATATAAATCAAAGCCTGTGACAAACAAATATTACATATTTATAAGCAGTTCATAAATTGCTTAAACGATAGGAATTCTGAGCTTACAGTTTCGGTAGAATTCTTGTCGGGATCCGTCGAGCAGCAGATTAAGTTGGCCATGATTTCCCTCGAGCAGGAATGATCCTGTGATGTGTGTGATCAACAATTGAAAAAGTCAAGAAGAAAGTCGCGATAAAAAAATCGAACGCGAGAAAAAAAAATCGAGCGCGAGGAAAAACAAATCGAGCACGAGAAAAACTAATTACCTTCATGCCGAATATGTGGTTGGGCATGTAAAGGTAATAATAACAAATTTTTTAAAGGGAATTCCCTATTTAGTGGTTCACAAGTGAAATACTTTCCCAAAGTAATAACGCAATGACATTTTGCCGTACTTATAACAAAGGAATACAAATATCTATCAAAGCTTAATAGAGCAGTTAAAGTATTTCCTTCTATAATACTGTTTGATAATTGATTATGAAAATGTTTCTCTATAGAACGTTTCATTTGGGAACGAACGGTATGTTTGAAAACGTAAAGGAGATATTCAGCGGAAATCCTCTGAAAATGCTTTTGTGAGATTTTTCGCATTCGGTTTAATAAATAAGAGCACAGTTGATTGACGCCTCCGGAAAAAAGACGCATCTGTGTTCACGCCTTTGGAGGCCGCCTGTGTGAATCAGAAATATCTGGCTACTATGAAAATGAGCTTATCCGAAGTTGAAGCTCGCATAAGCTCATCTGTATAAAATGATTAAGCGGCACAAAGCTCGTCATGCCACGCCTATAACATGCGACGGTCACACGATCAAACTTATTATCGTGTAGGAGACTGTACCATACGAATTTTTGATCGAGGTCAACTGGGTGGAGGTTAATTAAAAGCAAACAAGCTTATAGGTCAAACATGCCCTTTCGATATGATGTTGAACGAAATCGTCTCATCGTTTAGCCGGGCTATTGAATGAATTTTAAGAGAGCCATTGGTAGGTTAGCTAGAATGAAGCTTTAAAGACCTCTCGGTACAAAGCGTACCACTTCGGTGGAGAAAGTTAAACTATAATGCATATACAAGTGACTTTTTCAAATACCAACCTTGGACCGAGGAGCATCTGCATCTCAAACCGCATTAAGGACCATAATCAAATCAAACTTTTGTCAGTTAGACTTTGATACTTTTTGACCATATGTAAACCACATTTTTTTACAGGCATTTTAGACATAGAAGGATGGATTTTCAGTCTAGCCTATGACAACCGCAATACGCGCGCTGGCATACACGCGTGAGGCCGCCCATGACACGCAAATCCGGTGGATATCCCAATCAAGGGGGCACTGCACTGAGACTACAACTACCTGTAAAATTTATGGTTCTAGTTTGGTGTAACAGATAGCATGAAATTTTTGATGAAGACCGTAATCGTGAATTTTCTAAGTTTCTTTTATTCAGAATATAAGCTCAGTGTTTACCTTACTTACAGTATGACGTTCCTCACTTGACTTCTCCAGTTGGAAGGTCATCATACCAATGATAAACTCACGGGTTTTAAGTCTCGTAGACTACCAATGCCTAACTTCCATTTTGATAAAATGACGCACCGCAGATCGCCTATTGACTAGTATCGCCGCATCAAAAGCGAGTGCTCAATTTCATGAGAACTTCTTGAGCAAGGTTCTCAATCTGACGCATCCTCTAAAATTCAATGTAAAAAAAGGAAAGATTAAAAAGGAAAAAATTGGGTTCGTCAGCGAAGTAGTGATCAATGCTTTAGAACACCTTATGTCAACTAAACTATGATTTGGTCCTATTTTGACGTCATATTTAGACTTCCTTCATGCCAAATTCTTGAGCAATGTTGACATAATTGTTGCATTTTCTCTTGATCACAAAATCCACACCTTTTGTGTTTGACTTCTCAATAACTTCTCTTTCCGGTGGCTTATGGGTTTCTCTCACAAATATCCTCGCAAAGAGTGCATTGAATTTCCCCATATTTAAATCATTTAGTGTCATAACTGACAGTGTTGTTCGAATAGGAGCATTAATGTATTGAAGTTTTCCCCGAGGTATTTTTCCTTAACTGTGATATTGACATAATTCGTAATAGTTTCTCTTTAAATTGAATTTCACGCCATTCGTGTTAAACCTCGCATTCTTTACAAGTACCTTCTCTTCCGAAATTTCTTTTGTGTACTCCACGTGACATCGCTTAAATCCAGTTATTTGTGTTTTTGTCATGGATCAAATACAAACTGACCATATGTTCCATTCGAGTGTCTAATTTGATCGTTTTAGTAGGAGCGGCGATGATTGTTTAAAAATGATTGCTAAATATGTCATGCTTCTTGGATATCAGGTTGCAGGTGTTCTTTTGTTTGTTTTCAGGGCAATCAACAAAGAAAAATCCAGTATCAATATTTAAAAACAACAGTGACCTTGTTTCTGCCCTCCTGGGTTTTTTTCGCCACCGTTAAAAATCGTCGGAAATGTGGCCATCAGCCACAATTTTCCCTCTGATATGCGGTTTTGTTCTACTATCAGCTTCTCAAAGCAAAGGCATTGACATCAAGAACCGTGACGGGAAAGGTAAGCTAAGCTCTTTTTGCTAAATGAAAACTTGCAGCACCGATTCACTAGTGACAATTCACCTAAAATCCATATAACCTGCAGTCTGGACTTGGTTCGAAAGCTTTCTGTCGGTGTCAATAGGAAATAATTTTAATACTTCTGTCTTCTTCTGTAAAATTCCTTTTGCTGCATACAATAAATTTGAATACTGTGAGGCTTATCTGGTACTGACATATGCCTAAATGTGACTTGATCCCCTTTAAATGTGACAATTTGTGTTTGCTTTTATTTGTTAACACCCAATGTATCGTGACTTTTGATGATATCCGTGACTGTTGTCAACAAATATCTGCCCTCTAGGTTTACTGATCAATCAGATAAACAACCATATGTTACACACAATACATAGAGACGTTTACTTTCACTCGTAATCCTTTTGAAGAATGTGCTCAGCTTTATCGCTTGACAGACATCCGTGTAACTGAAAAATCAAAGGTCCTTACATGTCAAATTCAACAGTATTATGATTTGGGCCTGTACTGTTATCATACCCCCGGGAAATTTATTTGTTGTGAAAAATGAAAAGCGTAAACTAACGTAAGTTCAGCCGAATATCGATGAAATTGAAAATCCCAATGAATTGTGGAACTGGTTTTGGTTTCGGCTCAATAAGTGACTTTGACTGTTCTACATCTGCATTGAACTAGATATGGGAGTTAGTCATTGGGTATTAAGAGAGAGAATTACAACTTTAAATAATCTCGATTCTTCGAATAAAAAACAGATGTTGATACAACTCATTTAACTTGTGCATAGTTTTCCCTCATTGCAGAAGACAAAGAGCAAGGTGTTGTTCGTCAAAAAAGGACGTTTGGTAAAGTTGAACCGCCATGTAACTGTAAGTTTTCTATAGTTACATAACCCACACTAGTTTTCAGTTTTCAGTTTTCAAGACTCGATTTGTAATTTCCTCTATAACTTTCATACATTTTCTTGTTAACAGGTTACAAAAGCTAAAGGTATTAGAAAATAATACGCTTCTACAGTAAAATTTTGTGTATTTCCATCACGTTTTGGCTTTGTAATGCACTGAAATTATGAGGGGGATTTCAAACGATATTCACCTCTGGGGCTAAAAATGTTCGGTCGTGGGTAAAACTCTTGCGGTAATCATTTCCAGCAATATACGTTCGACCTGCTGCAAAAAAATGATTAATCCTACTGATATTGAATCAATTTGTTTGCCTTCATTTAGTGACCCGTGGCGTGTACGTGGAAAGGTGGGACAGGATAGATTACAAGCGCATTAAATTTCTGCTGGCGGATCCGCGATTTCCGAACCTGCCAAGTTTTGCAACATGTTTACCAACATTTGAGCAGCCAACAAACTGGGGGGACTTCTTTGGTTCGCGATTAAGAACCTACTTTGTCCCTCTTCAGACTGGAAACCATTATTTCTTCATTTGTAAGAATCCTGCTTTCCTTAATATGTAGTAAAAGAACGACCAAAGGGAGCAAAGGATCACCTGATGATCCTGACATAATAATGAAACTTCACCTAATTAGTTCTTACAAGATCAAGTAAAACTCAGGGTCAGGCATTATTGAACATTAAACATATACTGTTCATCATTACCACATTATTGGCTGCAGGATCATCATAGATAAACAATAGCCTCCATCTGGTGTGAAAATATGCACGCATAACTGTCCGCGTACACTACCTGTTTCCAGATGCGAACAGTTTTGCTAGAGTCAAGCTCGAGGAAAACTGTGAGCTTTGAGGAACAGATAATGTCCAAGGACAAATATGCGAGCTTATTTTCGCACCAAGTGAGAGCGATTGTGTTTATTATCCTTGAGATAAGTTTGCAATATGCGGGAAAAATGTTTACGAACAGCTTATTGTTTACTGCGTATGATGTTCACCTTTGTTCTCTGGTACGACTTTATGAACCAACAAAATGCTCTCTCATCTTATTTTATCTCAAACTAGAAATCACTCGAATACTTTTCGTATTGGATATAAGGTTTGAAAATTAGGGAAAATCTTCAGGGGTGCATTCTCTGATATTTCGCACTTTTAGGTGTGGAATATGAATAATCGGTCACGTGATAGTTTTGACTAATCGCACATGAACAAAAAATATTTGAAAATCATCATATCTTCGAAAAACCCGATTAGTGTTCGAGAAGATTGGCAAAAAACGTTCAGATATTGGCTACGGAAGGGGAAGACTTCTAACTAGTACAGATGTTGAAATGAAAAAAGGCAAAACGCAAAAGCAATTTTTGTGGTTTTCTTTTACTTAATAGTACATAACTACGATACAATTTCGCACTCCTTTTCTTTGAAATACAGCTTCTAATGCAGGAAGTGAACTGTACATAAGCACAAATGCCAACCCAAAAGGTAAAACAATGATCACTGGAGTAGATGGAGGATTTCCTACAAACCACTACGAATATGACAGGTACACTTTCAACAAATTATGGTTTAATTTGGGATTAATTTTCCACCGGAGAAGCGGAGGGTGAAAGTGAAATTAAAAATGATCTTAGATTGGCGTATACGTTGAATGGGGAAAATTTATTTTCGCTACATCGCCCCTCAATATGACTTTCACCAAGATTCTATAAGGGCAGGCGAAACCTTAATAGTCCATGGAAAGGAAAGGAAACAGAAAGAGCCAACATCATTCGATCTGATGTTCACCCTGTTCAAGTATGAGTAGCCTTTCTTTTAAGTACTCAAGAGAAATGGTCAATTGTGCAATGGAATTCTTTTTAAAAAAACATATATTTTGAAAATGAAGAAATTTGTAATTTTTGGACTCAATCCAGTTCTCCAGGACTACGTTAAAACATATCAAAGGTGATTAAAGTTGTATTTAGCTTCGGTTTTAGACTTGTAAATGACCAACACGCAAAAGCCCTCAGCTAAATAAGCTATAAATATTAAAACCGTTACAGGTTTACAAACCAAAAGTCACTCCCAGTTTACCTAAAAAAAGGCGTGTACTACTACATGGAGGCAATCATGAAAGATGACCATCAATGGGACCACTTAGAAGTTGCTTTACAGACACCAGATGGAAAGTTTTATAACGTGATTCCCTCTCAATTCCTGTGGACGATATACCACCCATCTTCGGGTCAGTAGCTCAGTGCTCTTCAATTTGAAAATTTCTTTCATTTTTTTTTTCTTGCTTAACTTTGTATCCGTAAATTCGCCCATTCAATTACAAAAGCCCCCACCCCCCCACCCCCACACATAATCTCAATTATTCTCACAATGTATTAAACGAAATATCTGCACTATTATTCCATAAATTAAAATTAACTGTACATTTTTATCGTATAATGTACGTTCTCCAGAGTACAACTCTACGTATCAGGCAACATTGATCAGAGCAGCAGCAATAGCTGGTGCTAAGGCTGGTTCGTCATTCGGAGCAAAGTGGGCTATGAAAAGTGGAGCAAAAGCTGGAGCAAAGGCTGGTGCAATGGCAGGAATGAGGGCTGGAGCATCAGCAGGAGCCAGTGCAGGGGAAAAAGCTGCTGCGAACACGATGACAAGGACTTTAGAAAATGCAATGAACTCCCTTCACGGTGATGAACTTCATAAGTTTAAGATCACTCTCAAAAGCGGAAGTGAAGTCGATATTACTGGCCCTGGAATAGGAGGGGCTGGAACCGGTGCTGCCGGAGCTGCCGGTGCTGCGGGGGTCGGTGGAGCAGGGGGAGCGGGAACTGCCGGTGCTTCTGCAACAGCTGGAGCAGCTGGAACGGCTGGATCAGCTGGAACGGCTGGATCAGCTGGAACGGCTGGATCAGCCGGAACCGCCGGTGCAGCTGGAGGTGCAGGAGGAGGAGGGGGAGGTGGTGGTACAGGAGGAGAAGGCGGAGGCGGAGGAGGAGGAGGCGGTGGCGGAATAGCAGGAGGGAGTAGTGGAGGAATTATTGGCGCTGGATCAAGTGGGGCTTCGAGTGTAGGGGGTGGCAACAGCGCGGCAGGAGGAACAGGTACAAGCATAGGTGGTGGTGCTAGTGCTGGCGGAGGCGTGTCTATAGGAGGAGGAGGAGGAGGAGCTGCAGTGGCTGGATCATCTTCTGGGATGGCTACTGGAGGCTCTAGCGCTGCAGGAATCGCAGGTGGGGGTGCTGTCGGTGGGACTCCTGGAGAATTTGCCTACTCTTCACAACGTGAGGTCACGTATATTCCAAAACCGGGAGAGGATCCACAGACAATTGCCCGACATTTAGTTTGGAGGGTTGGAGGCGCAAGCAAACGTAAGTGAAAAATTCCCCTCATATCTCACTGAAAAACATCAAAGTTTCACAAAGTAATTCGTCTAATTGAAAAAGATGAATTCCGAACACAAAATAGGGACAAGATTCTTTTCAGACGAAAACTTTAAACTTTAATGCTAGTGGTTTCAAACCTGTAAATATTTATCAGCGTATGGAAATAAAATATCTAGTCTAACAGAATTCCGAAGTCCCAGAGCGATTTTTCTGCAATGAAAGTATCTGGGGACTTACTAAGCTTGATTTAATTATGCAGCGGTGCAAGTTCTGAATACTTAGTAGATTGTTATCAACTAGGGAAAATTTTCTTGAGCGCATAGAACAGTCAATCTCAGACACTGCACAACTATGAGACCTGGAGTTTGTCAGTTGCCTGAAATTAGACTATTAATCTTTAATTGTATAAATCCTGACAACAGATGTCTGTCAAATTAAAAGAAATTTTATTCGTTCCACTCTCCTTAGTTGTGGACAAAGGACTATACACTATTCATTCATATGACATTCCATATGCCCAAGAGAACAGTACACTTAACTTCTGCTGGCGTGCCAAAAACAGTGATGTTGCGCTGGATCACTTCTGCCAAGTTTTCAGAGCTCATATTCCAGGCCTTTTCAAGAAAGTTAAGGACAGTGACGGCACAGTTTCATTTGAGTCACTCTGTTTACCAGGACATTACATCAAGCAAAGAAACTACCATTTCATTCTTCAAAAAAGGGACGGATCGGAACTCTTTGGTAAGGATTAATTTCAAATGCTTGCTTGTTACGTTCTATATTACATTTCCCCCCTTTTCTTGGGATACTCAATCGTTATAATTGCATCAGAGGACTGCAAAATCGGCAAGTGCAAGTTCAATCCTTGAATCAATTTTCGCTTGACATTTTTAAGTACTATTTCACAATCTTTGTGCGTCTTCTTTCGTTGGATTGTAAATGGGTACATGTAAAGATTTATAAAACGCTACTGAAGGTCCTCACTTCTGGTCCGTCCGTCATGTTTTAGAAACCGGACAACCAACAGCAAGAGTACAGCAGAAGATGCCTTTGGTTCACAGTTTCATTTCTGTTCTTTACTTTGGTTGCGTAGCTACTGTCCAATGTAAATTATCCATTTTTTTAAATATGTATATATACTTTTTTCAAATTATACCACGACAAAAGAACGATGCTCCTATACAGAGATCTTTGCCAGCTTTATTGATTTGACCCTTTAATTTCAGATAAAGAGAGCTCCTTCAGAGCTTTCTCTGTGATGAAATACACTCGGAATCTGATGCTGCAATCTATGCATAAGGATTGGTATATTTGCGAAAAAAAATCGAAGTCGATCCATATAGCATCTGAATTAAAGTTGGACTTTTACAATGGTGACCCTGATGTCCTCGTTCGCTGCACGTTTGTCTTTCATCCTATCGCTCAAAATGAAAATAAATACAGGATGTGCCAGAGGGTAGTAGGACCTGTGGCACAACCAGAAATAAGTGGACAACCTCTTCCGCATCCTCCTCACTTAGTTCCGGATGCATCACCATCCCCTGCTTTGCCCTCGTGTATACCAGTATGTCCAGCAAGGAAAGGGGAAGGAGCCTCAGCTCAACCAGGAAATTTTGAACCATCCATTCCCGGCCCTCCAACGTCATCTGGGAGTCCTTCTGTCGCAAATGTCAAGAGTAGGTGACTCTTTTAATGCATATATTCAATGTGTTTTGCTTTACAGATATCTCTTGTCTCCTGTATCTAACAAGCATAGAAGAGCTGTCTTCAAACTTCCCCTGGGGTCAAAGTTTTAATAAATTTACGTTCCTTTTTTTGTTAAATTAACAACTTTATGCAAAGTCAACACTTTAAAGTCAGTTTGAACAGAAAAAATCCAATATGGGGAGCGAAATTAGTCGAGTGGTTTGTAATGTATTGTATAATCATTTTAAAAATCTATTTTACGTTAGTACTCCCTCTTGATTTTTTTTTTGTCGGCAGAGGCGTGTGTCGCCGTGAACTTCATAAACAATTTTGGATCTGAATTCAAAATTTTATCATCCCTTAAACACGAGGCATACCTAGTAACTGGATCTGGCTTTAAGCTGAAGCTTATGATAAACCGGCCCGAACTTCACAGTCACGTGACTTTCACCGCTGAAGATCCTAAATGGAATCGGGAATTGCTATTGAACCAAAAACCAAATATATCAGAGGCAGTGGTCGAAGGATGTCCTGATTATTTGGATGTCATAGTGACATCAAAAAAAGGTAAAAATGAGCTATAAACTGTTGATGATAATCGCTGAGCAACTACCCTTTACCAGCAGGATTGCAAATGATCAAGGTGGACCATGATGATATTCCCACGACACGGTAAATGAGCCTTCCAAAAAAGACAGCCGACTTGGTTTCTGAGCGTTTAAAATGACTCATTTAAGTGTAGCATTGATACTACTACTTGACTGTTATTCTACATAGATATCATCTTATCTACATACATTTGGATACTTTTTTTTCTCCGCACAGGCGCCTCAACAAACAGGACCGGTAGTCATGTTGCTCCTCCGTCACTTCCGTTAACACCTTCCTCACCGGCTTCAATATTCCCTCCACCCTCTCCCCCTGCCTTATCTCCAGCTCCACCCCCTCCCCCTGCCTTATCTCCAGCTCAACCCTCTCCCCCTGCCTTATCTCCAGCTCCACCCTCTCCCCCTGCCTTATCTCCAGCTCCACCTCTACCTCCGTCCCCTCCATACAATTATCGAAAGCCTCCTTCTTCTCCAGTCACAGCACCATCTCCACCCTCCCTGCCATCATCACCACCTTCTTCAGCTTCAGTATCAAACGGAAGTAAGTTTACACACTGAGGAAGAATTACCACTTCTGACCAGGATTGATATCCTCAGCGAAATTCAAAATTTTTTTGGTAACTTTCGCAGTTTCGCACCGCTGTCTTTACCTTTCATGAGATTCCGTTTTTGTTATTTATGTGAAACTAAATCCCAAACTTATGTCAGAATAACGTAGCAACTCAAGAGGCAGTTATACTGATGAACGCTGTGTTCATATTTTCATTGATAGAGCAAAATCTCATGCACACAACAAATCCAAAGTCATCATATCCAGGGCTTTGGAAATATTGGGACTGGATAACTTAAACATTTTCTTAATTGTTATTATGAACGCGTAACTAACCTTTTTTGATTTAATTCATTCAGAACAGGAACCACAATCACTCCACTATCACTATCACTTCCATGGTCAGAAAGCAACGGCAGGTACATCAGGTAAAATTTAAGAACAAAGAATATACGTCGATTCTGTTCTTACAACAACCTAATGACATAATTAGTGATTATTCAACGATCTCGGATGACCTGGCCGGATCTCTACCAAACAAACCAACAGACAAAGAACACAACATTAATACAGCCATAATGTACGCCAACATGCCTAAAGTATAACATTAAACACACAAGCTGGAGGCTTGACAAGATTTAACCGGACTATTTTTTTAAATATGTTTGTTTCAGCATTTTGTCCCAACATGTGCTCGCAGTCTGCAGAATGTCATCCCACTTGTCCATCACACTGCTGCAAGCGCGACTTCGATGAGGAAATATCAGACAACGATGATGACGAAGATATAACGGTGATTTGAAAACGTCCATTCATTGCATGTCGCTATTTTTCTCGTTTAAAATTAACAAAGATTGTTGATTTGTATATTGATGGCGGATGGGCGTGCTAGCATAACTCCTGACCTTAGGAAACTTAAAAAAATGGCTTTCGAGGCTATTCTAGCGACTCCTGCATCGCTTGCCTGGTGAAAAAAACAGAAGACATGTGTTGTCTCTAAAATAAGTGCTCATGTATCTGTCTCCACTTTGATTTGTAATTTCTTGCGATGGAAATTGTCAAAGAAGTTAAAACTTACAAATAAACTGTTTAGAATACTACTAAATGTACGTGTCATGAAGTACCTGTCTCGAGTATCTAATCTCAAAAACATAATCCCAGACTCTACTGCTCCAAACTTTAAAAAAGTTAAGTTTGAGACCTCGTATACGATTTTGTTTTGAAGTTCTCGCTATCTAATCCACTAATCTGATACAAAACCAAAGTTGATGACGACTCAATAAATCCCGTTTTCTTGCACACGGCGTACGTTACGCGGTTTTCTTCGTTGGTTCCTTGTGATACTTACGTTTGCCACGATTGACTGCTTTAGATCAAATCAGTCTGCGTCTAATTTGACGATACTCGAAAATAAAGCACACACCAAAGTATGCTTCCTACATCGTTTACAACGCCTTATTAGCGTAATTGCCCAATTGTTTAACTGAGAGCCACAATAAAAGTGAGACAAGGAGTGTGCCAAATGTATCATGGTACTTCACTATTCGCTGCGGGTGTTCTTTTGTTTATTCAAAACACATCGACTATTGAGAACTAGCATCAATATTTATAAAAAAAATGACCTTTCGTAAAGATTTCCGCTTGGCATTGGCGCCTCTGTAGCTGAAGACGCTATTGAGATGAGCCGATCAGTCACAGTTTGCTTTATATTATTTGCTGTGACTTCACTCACCGTTTCACATGGCTACGAAGTTGGAATCCAGAACCGAGACTCTAAAGGTAATTTCCAATAAAACTGCGTATCACTGTTTTCAAGTGACAGGTTAGTTACTCCTCCAACCCGTAATATCCTCTACAAAGTCAATCAAATAGAATTGATAAACTTTGTCTTTCTATAGTCTTGAGCTTTAGACTTGCGAAATACTGAATGCAATGACTTAGTTAGATCAACATCTACGTTACTTACTACTAGATGCTAAAAAATGGGTTTCGCTACAGATGTTGAACTTTATCTCCGAATTTCCTTCAAATTCAAATCGTAATTGTTACATATCATATCTAGCACAGACGGGATGTAGACAGTTTGCCTGAATGAAGTTTATCTGATTTGACAACACCATTTAAGAAAAAAATCTAAGGAATCTGTGATCATAACCTAGCTCAAACGCTTTATCACGATATACTTGATCTAATACACCTCTTAAATACATATTAAATAAAGTGAACTCCATTTTCTTTTCATTTAATTTAGCAAGGGAACAAAAGCCATGTGTTTTGTGGTGTAATACTGAATGTTTGTTGTGATCTATACATGGAAGAATCAAAATCATCAACATCGTTTCCGGTTCAGTTTCAATTGATGCTAAAATCTTCATACTTTTATGGAAAATATATGCAAAAAATTTCATAGGAAGCTATCACTTATTGAAGTACGTACATTTTCATGATAACGGTTTCAAACATTATTCATTCCTCGCAACAGAAGGTGAGCACGATGTTGCTCGTATAAAACGGGCATTTGGTAGTTCTGCACCACCCTGTAACAGTAAGTGAGAATTCAATGTTTTTTACTTTTTTGTCTCCAAATAATTGACGTGCTTTACCTGTAGAGTAGCAAATATCTTCTCTCTTGAAATAGAGCCTGGAGTAAATGACGTTAGAGTACGGAGACCTTTCGTCCGTAACTTTGTGTTCACACATTATTTCCCCAAAAAGAATATTTTTACGTGACGCCTATTCGTGCTTCATTTCTGATTCAAATCTGAAGGGTTTTTTCTGTAACCTCTTTAAACCAAGTCAAACTTTTATTACTTCATCTTTTTTAAAATCAATTCTGTTTCAGGGACGAACGGCGTTTACTTAGAAAGATGGGATAGAATTGATTACAAACGAATCAGGTTTCTACTCGCGGATCCGCGATATCCAAACCTGCCAAGTTTTACCACATGTGTGCCAACATTTGAACAGCCTGCTAACTGGGGAGACTTCTTTGGCTCTCGTTTAAGAACTTATTTCGTCCCTCTTCAAACCGGAAACCATTACTTCTTTCTGTGTAAGGGTCCAGCCTCTATATGTAATGGTAGACTGCTTTTCGAAATATGAAATACTTTTAATGAGATATGTAAATAAGTTCAGCAAAGGGGGTCTTCCATACATAAACAAAAACTGTAAACGTCTATAAAATGACCCCAAAGCAACTCCCGCGCAATCTTACTGGATGAGCTCCATGATTAGTGCAAATTTGGCGAAGAAGCTGTCAGCGTTGCGCTCTCTCCAAATTTTCTTTTGCCTGAATTACTCGACTGAAAGTTCTTTCCTGAACATAAGTTCTCATTTTGACTGAATTTCATATCGGAGGGCATGACTGATAGTAACGTAACTACTGGCTGCATGATGCATTATGACCTCAATTGTGTGCAACATGAACGGGTGTTTCACAAACTGAAATTAAAAAATAACATGTGCTAAGATTCATATCTTACTAAGGGCCTCTACGGTTTTTTTCCTTTTTTCATTTCCAGCTTCTAACGGTGGAAGTGAACTTTTTCTAAGTACAAATGATAAGCCAGATGGTAAAACTAAGATTGTTGAAGTAGATGGAGGATTCCCCAGCGACCAATATGAATACGACAGGTAAATGGGAAAACACACTGTCAGTGAAGATGAAGCACAGAAACAAGTAAAACGCTTCAAACGTTTCTCCTAGATATAAAAACTGTGAGGTAGATTTTTGAACGTCCGATGGTATTTCTTTAAAGGCCACCAGATAAATTAATTATTGACATATGATGATATGCCTTAACAGATTCTTAAATCAAAAGTCCCTGCCGGTATCTTTGAAAAAGGGTCTTTACTACTACATGGAAGCAATCATGAAGGACGATCATCAATGGGACCACTTGGAAGTTGCTTTACAGACACCAGATGGAAAGTTTTATAAGGTGATTCCCGCTCAGTTCTTATGGACAACAAACCGTCTATCTGCATGTAAGTAAACTATGTCTTTTTTATGAATACATTCACCCACCAATGCAACTTCTAAAAACCGATTAAAGGCTATCAATTAACCAAATAATTCAACAGCCTTTTAAGCTTTTAGGTAAACTTGAAAATGTTGCAACTTGATCCTAAAAAGTCAAGTCTCTTACTAGCTACCAGACCATAATTATTCATGGTTAAATTTAACTCCAAAGTAACGTCCCCCTCAATAAGTGTTATGATTTCCAAACAGATCAGAATGCCACCTATCAGGCAATTATACTTAAGGTGGCGGCAAAGGCGGGTGCTAAAGCTGGTTCATCATTTGGAGCAAGATGGGCGATGAAAACTGGAGCTCACGCTGGAGCAAACGCTGGTGCAATAGCAGGAATGGAAGCTGGAGCATCAGCCGGTGCTCGTGCAGGTGAAAAAGCTGCAGCCGAGACAACGACAAAAATGCTGGAAGACGCACTGAACACCCTTCATGGTGACAACCTGCATAAGTTTAAGATAATCCTCAAGAATGGAAGTGTTATCGATGTAACTGGTCCTGGAATGGTAGGTTCTCAAGCAGCAGGATCCACTGGTGGAGCCAATGCAGTAGGGGCCGGAGTGAGTGGAGGTGGAGGAGGAGCTAGTACTGGCGGCACACCAACAGGGGGAGCGGGAGCTCGAGCAGGTATGGGAGGAGTGGGGGGTGGAACAGGTATGGGAAGTGAAGCTGGAGGTGGGGCAGGTATAGAAGGAGGAGCGGAAGGTGGTGGAGGAGGAATGGGTGCAGGGGTGGTAGGTGGAGGAGGTATGGGAGGAGGGCTTGGTGGAGGGGCAGGCTTGGGAGGTGGAGCAAGTGGTACTGCTGGAGGAGGCGTAGGCGGTGGGGTGGGGGCAGGGGCAGGGGTAGGGGCAGGGGCAAGTGCAGGTGCAGGTGCAGGAGCAGGAGGTGCTGGAGTTCAGTCCATTACCGGGAGTGCTAAAGGCGGTGGATCATCATCCCAAATAATCAGTGGGGCCAAAGGGGCAGCAGGTATTGCTAGTGGAGCCAGTGGCGGTGTCCAAATTTCAGGCCAAGAAAGTTATACAACACAACGTGAAGTAACTTATATTCCAAAACAGGGCGAAGATCCACAGGCCGTTGCTCGGGAATTAGTCTGGAGAGTTGGAGGTGCAAGCAGACGTAAGTAAAACGTTATCATTTCGTATCAACCTTGAAAACAAAACATGAATACGGAAATCAAATATATCTAAAACAGGCCAAAACTTTTTAAATCAGAAAGGAGATATAAATGTTAAGAAGACAAGAGGCTTTTTACTCCTCAGAGCCTATGACTGATTCTCCCCCTCTGATTGTCGCTGATTTACTTTGACAATCAATTTGGAGTCAGGTTCAGGCCACTCATCCATTGTGGGGTAAATAGTGTTTTCATTTTCATAACATGTATGAGTATTAAGGCTGAAGAAATAATGCATTACTTATTTAAGAAAAACGCCTGATATGAGTTAAATGGTGTTGGGTATTGTATCTCTTTACACACACTTGCTAACCACCTCTAATATTTTAAGAACACGTTTCAAGCGTTGTTGTTCTTTTCACAGTTGTTGGTCATGGATTATACACCATCCATGCATATAACATTCCATACTCGCAGGAAAATGGTACACTCAACTACTGCTGGCGTGCAAAAGATGGCGACCTCGGCTTAGGGCCTTTTTGCCAGGTTTTTAAAGCTCACATCCCAGGGCTTTACAAACATATCAAAGAAAGAAACGAAACGGTGTCGTTTGAATCACTCTGCTTGCCAGGGTTCTATCTCAGACAAAAGAACTACCACTACATTCTGCAGAAAAGAGACGGGTCAGACCTTTTTGGCAAGTATAAAGTTATTTATTGTTTCCATAAACATTATTCCTTTACCTATGTGGGTGATACAGGAAGTAAAGTTCTAGTCCTTTTGTCGAAAAGAAAAAATGAAAGGTAACATGTTGGGTGATATGACCTCTCGCAAAGATTGCTGACGACTTAAATCAGTCCAAAGTTTACAAGCTCCTGGCTGGGCTCAACAAATGCTTTTTACACATGTCTTATTGACTTCTGGCTCGCTGCCTGACGGAATGTACCACCTGATCGCATGCCTTCTTACAAATGACACTTTTTAGCTATCTTTTTTCACTATGTTTTCACCTTTAGAGAAGTAGAACATTTTTGTTCCAAATTTCGAGTCTATTGGAGAAGTTCACAATTTGTACCTCTCTTGCATCACATGCTACGCCTTCCTCTCAAACTACATATTACAACAATAATAAGAGAGAGATGTTTTTTTCGTCTTGTCACGAGCGTGGGACAAAGAAAAAATTCTGAGTCCTCATGAGGAATCGAACCTCAGACCTTCGAGTTCCGCGCTCCGATGCTCTACCATTGAGCCACGGAGACTCCACGATCGTTTAAGAAGTTCATATGAAACGCGTCCCGCGTCTGCTAGGATCAACAATATCTATAGCGTAATGTTTATAAATAGAAAATAAGAGAGATGGTAAGTTTTGAACTCGGTAAAGAAATAGAGATTTTCACTGCTGCCTAAGTAGTGCACATTACTGCGAGGATCACTTTCATTCACGTCTTTATCCGCAGTTCAAATGTATGACTTTCATATATTCTTAACAGTTTATTTCATCACTTCACGGGTTTATTTAGAACCAACATCATGACCAGCTCCCAGTTGGCTTGTTAGCTCAGTTGGTAGAGCGCTGCACCGGTATCGCAGAGGTCATGGGTTCAAATCCCGTACAGGCCTGAATTTTTTCAGGCCTTATTTTCACTACTGCCTTTCATTCACGTCATATTTCTTTGTCCCACGCTCGTGACATGACGAAAATAAAACATTTTTCTTTATTTTTTCTTTACCCGGCTAAAAACCTACCATCTCTATTATTTCCAATAAAAAGGCTGTTCTTTTGCAGATAAGGAAAGTTCTTTTACTGCATATTCTGTGATGAAGTTTACGCGCAATATCATGTTGCAGTCCATGCATAAAGATTGGTATGTTTGCGACAAAGGGGAAAGAAAATCGATACATTCAACCTCTGAGCTAATGCTGGACTTTTACAATGGTGACCCTGATGTGCTTAGCCGGTGCACGTTTTTATTCCATCCTATAGCTCAAAATGAAAATAAATACAAAATGTGCCAGAACGTTTTAGGGCCAGTGGAACATCCCCACATAAGTGGACAACCTCTACCGCACCCCCCTCACCTGATTTCAAACAAACCTGCCTCATCCTCTGCACTTCCTTCTTGTATACCGATATGTCCACCAGGCACTATAGGTACAATACCAGGACAACCAACAAATTTAAAGCTATCGAATAAACCTCCTGCACCAACTGGGAGTATGAGCCTTCCCTCGAGACCTGCTGTTAATACAGTTAAGAGTAAGTGCTAGTCTGTATTTTTTTCCAACAATTTTTTATACCACCCCTTCACTTTGGCGAAAACTTTATTGTCGTTTTGTAATGTAAAAGTCTGATACGTTATTGGGGCAGAAAATATTTTTAATTCATTGAATTGTTTTTTAAAATTTGAGATTTTTGAATCAGAGTGATACACATTTTGAATCTCGATTTGCGTAGATACGAGACGAATTAAAGGCCGTTTAGCTTAACTAGCATTAATGTTTTTCATTGTGATAGAAGTAATACTGATCGAGCGAACAGCGGTATTCAAAACTGTAAAAGTAGTCATTATTGGAGTGTTCGCCAATTTCATATACTTTTTATGCTGCATCGCTAATGAAAACCTTTCTCATGTTGGCAACAGAGGCCTGTGTGGCGGTGAACTTTGTAAACAATATGGGATCACCGTTCAAGCTTTTCTCCTCACTCAAACATGAGGGATACCTAGTCACTGGTTCAGGAATTAGACTTAAACTCATAATAGAGAGACCTGAACTCCACAGCTACGTGACGTTCAATGCTGTGGATCCGCATGGAAAGACTAACATCCTCCTGAACGAGAAACCAAGTATTTCAGAGCCAGCTGTGGTGGGATGTCCTGTGTTCGTGAATGTATTAGTTACAGCTGAGCAAGGTACAAACGAAGAGACAAGGGATTACTGAGCACACCTGTTGGCCTAGATTAAAAAAAAGGCCCGAGAAATGGCTTAAACATCTATCTGGAAATTCTCCAAAAAGTGTCTTAAAATCTCATTTTATCTCTAAAAATCTCTAACCTTTTTTTTCTAAAATCCCGATTTATCTCAGTTTTTTTTTTCGAAATAATCACATGCTTTGCATAAAATGGGAGATTCTTGTGGTGAAGTTGCATGGAAACACCTTCCATCTGATTCAAAATGATCATTTTTTTTTACTAGACCATCTAAGTGGATCGTCTCCTTTCATATTTCTCTCTCAAACAAACCAGAAGGCCACTAATAGGCTGTATTTTTTCTTGAAATTATTGTCTAAAAATTCTTAAATGTTCTAAAAATCCTCAAATTTTAGAAAAACTCCGTTTGACTGAAAAAATCCTAAAAAATTCCAGATACTAGTATCTAGCTTTTACACTAAACGATCAAGATAGTTCACGTTGCTGTTGAGTGTTTCACAATGTACATCGAATGCAAAATGTCTTTTGTATTCCACCACAATTTACCTCTCTTTTAACGAATTCTTTTATATTGCGGTGAAGCCATTATTTGTCTACTAACAATTCCCTTTTTGCTTCGAATGGTGACTTTAGTGCAGTTGGGAAAAGACTTTCAAATTTCGTTTACTAGAACAACCTATATTCCGATATGCGAGTAAAATGAATTCATTTGCTTTACAGTTTAGAGTAAGTTTTACAAACTTATTCCAAGAGATCAGAAAAAAGATTAACTATCATGAATGTGTTTTAAATGGTTTCATCACGCAACTTTTACAGTCTTATTTGTTTATTTAATCTTGGTATATCCTTTAGTTACCATTTGCGTTTATCTTTCCCGTTACTTTGTTTTAACTCACTTTATAGTTCACTCTGGTACAGCTCCAGCAGCCCCTGCATCGCCTTCTCTCGTACCTCCCACGTCAGAAGGTGCATACCATTATCATCACCACCCTTCTGCCGTTCCATCACCAGTGGGCCCAGCAGTTTCAAAACCTTCAGCACAGCAAGTAACTACACCCAAGGAAGGTAATACTGCATGTTGACCCGAAAAACCTTCACTTGCCTGTTTACTTGATTTCGGGGACGATATTAATTTTATGCCTTCTGCAGTAAGTAAGTGACATCAATTTAGATCAACCAGAAAGTTGAAACAGTGCGATGAATAGAATTTTTTCCTACTGAAGCGTCGTTTTCGTTCTTTTTCATAAAGGGGAAGAGTCAAAAGAAGTTCACTATCACTACCATTATCATGGTCACAGGGTAGCCAATCCCACAGGTAGGAATGTGACAACATTGTGAGGATATTTTAAGTGCAATTTTATACTACTAAGCAGCAAGGGATACTTTCAACGATGCGAAAGCCTAGGCATGTAATTTAAAATCTTGGAATTAGAATTCAGTATAACAGGAAGATGTGGGTATGTTACTGATTTAAACACTTCTTTGCCTCTTTTTCATCTCTTTATAGTCTGTCCTAACACATGCCTCACCTCTGGAGAATGTCATCCCATTTGTCCATCACAGTGCTGCAAACGAAACTTACCCGTGGAAACATCGGGTGAAGAAGGAGACGACGATATCACAGTGGCGTAAAAAAGGACAAAACTGAACTGTTTCGATTTTTTGCCCTTCAAAACGATTTTAGTTACAGATAGAAGAAAGGAACTCCATGAAATACTGAATTAGAGATGTGCGTCGTCTTCGCTTAACCTCTACTAATTTACTTGTAATCACTATACCTGGATTTGATAATCGTGCGCTATCCTAGTATATGTCGACAAGACATATGGGTGAGACATTGCTTGGTTGGCATGACCACCATTCTGGGGCCTGATTCTGAGCGAAATGGCAATGTGCGATTATTTAAGCAATAGGAAAAACCCTAGTAGGGTGCACAGTGTTGTAAGTGTTTCAAAATATTCACAATTTTTTTCTCCGTGTGGGATATGTTAAGAACACTTGTAGATAATAAAGAACGACAAACTGTTTTCATGGTGGTAATTACATACCTGGTGAGCTCAGGATGTGATTACTTCTCCTCTGTTAGTCTCCTCGGTATATCCAAATCAATGATTTAAAACAAAATTAAAACGTTTACATACCGGAATGTAACTTATCTTCATCACAGTTATGGGTGTTAAAAGCATTGACATTCGTCGAAGAATTTTGTACCTCGAAGGGCTGTACGTATTCCTAACAATTGTCTATTAGACTTGGCCGGAGGCCCATTTTGACAGGGCGAAAGACAGGCTTCTTAGAGACAAAAGTTTACTTCGACTTGATTCCACCGGAACAAGCATCATCTGTAGGCTGTTTATTACATTTTAGCCACTACACGCACTGTTCTAGGACGATGTACTGTGTGGTACTCTTTTACACAGCCCCTTAAAATCTAAGTCTGGTATTGTTTCTACAATCTCTCGTTATCTAACTCTGGTCAATCTTAACTTTGATGGGAAAAGGGTACTTAACACTCTCTTTCTTTAAATTGCATGTTAAAAACATGCTAGCGAATTTTATTTCGACCATGCCGTGATTTCTAATATCTGTATTCAGCTTTCCACGCACTTTCAGGTCTCTTGAAGCCGTTCAGCGAGACAAGAAATCGATTCCCAAACCAGTCAGACACGTATTGTCTGACTGCTGAGAGAGTTGCGTTTATCCGTTTTGTCCCTCTCCATTTAGGACCGTGCATGCGTTTGGCGCCCGTGTATCGAAAGTAAACCCTCGTTCTGAAACTTAAAGAAAGAACCTCGAATTCGGCTAGAAAGAATTGTTTTCTTTGGAAGGTTTCACGTTAGACTCAATACTGGAGATTCTTTTGCTATTTTAGAGGCACCAAAGCGTGGTTCATTGAGACGAAATCAAGGCTCTCAACTGGTTTTAATTTTTCCGGATCGGTTGAGAAGGTTACACGAGTTTACGTCCACCATTAACAGACAGTAATCAGTGAAGCAGAAAAAACAAAATTCAGGGTCAAAATTTTATAACTTAACTAACTGGTCTAAATAAAGTCCACTTCTTAAGCTCAGAATTTAACGATATATCATGATCGACCTGGCTGAGGAGTTTATTTTTCAGTCAAGACTCTTTCATTTAGATCCATCCTTTGTAGTGTTAAGAAATTGCATGACGGACTGATCGTTTGTGAAAATAAAGAGGACTAATATCTCTCTGAAATACTTGACCTTAAATTCAATTCCGTCAATTCCCAATAAATTCTGAAGATTTTCTTCTTTACAGTAAATTTTACACTTAAAATAATTGATTTGGGCCCACATTTAAAGGGAAATTCAAATTGCTTGTATCCTCTTCGCTCAAGAGTTTCGACCAATTTGCTCTTAAAACACCATCGAAGTTCAACCACCTAGGGAGGATCGATTAGCTATGCCACTTTGCTATGAGGTCAGAAATAAGTAACAACAAAATTAAGTGAGAAGCGTTCTGCGTCTATAACCTGGTGGTTCACTGTGAAAAGTGCCTTCGTTCATAACGTTCGTGTAAAAGGAGTAAAATTTCTTGACATTTGCTCGAAAGTTAAAGTGATTCGACGTTTCGATGTTTTAAATGACATTATTATCAAGAACTGTGAGTTGAATTTTTCTTGAAATGACTTTCAAACTCAACCGTCATTAAGTTTCTATGAACCCTTAGTTACTCATAAAACTGCTTCACTTACAACTGTTGACTAAGGATTACATCATAACAACAGAGAGGGTTGAGTAGCACCACCCGATCAGTCTAAACAGGTGGTTAGTAACACCTACATGTCATAGCTTAACAGAAATAAGCAGGAAAAAACCCAAACTGTTTAACACCTAACTAAAATATGTTGCTCTTACAGCCGCCACCACAAAGCTAATTTTGACTTCATAAAGATGCAGTATGAGAAGTGTACATCTGTTGATATGGATAATTATTTTCATGTACGAATCTCCGGCGTCCTGTTTCACGTCAAAGAAACACATGGGTAAGCCGCACTTTGATTTTTGTCATCAATTTAATAAAGCTTGAAAATGGGTAACGTTTTTGACCTGTAACAACGGACGCATGTCTAACGGTTCTACTTCAGTCAGGCCAACGGATTTATTTTACTGCCATTTCCTGGGTTATTTCTCATTCTCATCCCTGTTCTTCTAAAATGTAAGATTCTCGGATTGCCCCAAGCTGTGTTTACGAACCATAACAACAACCAGCCGTTTGTTTAAAAGCCGTTAATGAAAAAGCATCATCTTAACAAAATTGTGTATGAACACTTCATCAGTTGGTCAAAGCATTTGTGTTAATGATGTAGAGAAGAGTAATCGTGAAAGTTATAGCAACCGTTCTATCATTAGACCTGCAGTGAGACTGAGTTGTTTGATAGAAACAACCAGCTGTTTGTTTAAGTACACGTACTTGTTATATGTATGAAAAAAGCATATTTGCTCAAGTGTGTTTTGTCTAGAAACGTCCTTGCACTACAGAAAGGTAAGCATTCTTAGACATAGAAATGCTTTCTCTCTCACGTAAAACGGGTATCATTAAAGTTTTTGATACCTGTATCGATCATTTAGTCCTTTATTCGTTAACGAAGCACAGATCACTCTTCCAATTTCAACGAAACAAATCAGAATTTTCTTCAAACAGAATAATTGGTAAAATACTGGACCGTCGTTTATCCTCCAAACGAGAATAGAATGTGGAAGCATATGGGTAACTCAAATATCTTTTATCCAACCCTAATTTATTTTTCAGTTACCTACAATCCTATTTTTCTGATTTTTAAAAAAAGCGACTAAAACAAATTAGGATTTGTTTAACATATTCTAATATTATTATAACTATTCAGTAGGCAGAAATTTTTATTTTGCTTTGATCACCGCCAGAACATTGAAAAACTGATAAATCAGGCCAAAAGCTGAATTAACATTAAAGTTTATAATCGGGAAGCTTTACTAGTTCATGGGTCTTTTCTGTGTTAACAGGAAAACATGATGGTAACGTTTACTCCACCGCAAGAGAAGAGATTCCCAAGAAAACAACTGCTTTCCATGGTCTGTATAACAGAAAAGATCTGTTCAATTTGCTAGAACATCAAAACCTAAATTTTGAGTTAGCACTACACCATGTAAACTGTATATGGTCAACGTAATGAGTACAAGCTTACAATTCCCAAAGATTTTGTTGGGTACAGTTAGTAAAAAACTGGAAGGTAATTGACATGAGATCTCCCAACACAACAATACGAAAGATCATTCAGGTTAATTGTGTTAAGATAAAGTGTTCCTCCTTCTTCTCTCTAGAGATTCATAGGAAAAAAGGAGTCGTACTGGAAAGATGGGATGGAATAGATGGATATTTGATCGAAAAACTTTTAGAGGATCCACGTTTTCCCATGCTGCCAACATATGTATCTTATACACCGAAATTCAGCGAGCCGGTCAATTGGGGGGACAATTATGGGTCTCGGATCAGAGGTTACTTTGTCCCAAAGAAGAGCGGACAACACGTGTTCTACATAGGTGAGAAAAGGAGACATGAATGAAAGTGATCCTCGCAGTAATGTGGAACCAACTTAATGACCAGCACCCAGTTGGCTTGTTAGCTCAGTTGGTAAAGCACTGCACCGGTATTCGCAGAGGTCATGGGTTCAAATCCCGTACAGGCCTGAATTTTTTTCAGGCCTTATTTTCACTACTGCTCAAGTGGTGCACATTCCTGCGAGGATCACTTTCATTCACGTCTTTATCCGCAGTTGAAATATATGACTTTCATATATTCTTAGCCGTTTAAAAGGAGACATGTTGCACAATTATCGACAATGTCACAATCAGCATATGCCAAGGAAATTGTGGGTGTGGGAAAAATAAGCCACTTAAAGGACCTCTCTTTACAAAAAAATTATAGGGAGCTTTTTCATAACATTTCTATGGCGCATTAAAATTATAGAATAAAAACCTTCTAACTAAACTTGAAATTCAGGCTAAACGTTTAAGATGCGTAAATCATGAGTGAGGCAGATCTATTAAATGACTTTACTCACCCATCAGCGTAGCTTTCTAACCGAAATCTGGAAAACAAAAGGCATAACATGCGAAACATTATCCCTAAACAAAAAATTATACCGGAGTCTATCATTGCTAATAACATGAAGCGACTAGACGTTCTACTAAGCGGTCCCTCGGATAGGTTGTCAGTCCACTTACAGGTTACCTTGCCATACTTTCTTTGCTTTCCCTGCCTGAAGGGGTGGTTGGTTACAATTATATTTTTCGGAAGAGACACTGGCATTTCGAAAGCAAAGTGTTCTGTCATGAACACCACCATCCAGCCTCGATCTGGATTAGGGCATAATGGTGACTAGTAAAATAAAAATTTAATAGAAGCCAAAGATTTTTGTTAACCTTTGGACCTAAGAGTTTAACTACATATCCAGATTGTCTCTTAAGATTAAAGTTTCCTTACTCTAACAGTTTGCATCAATTTCAGAGAGTGATAATGGAGGCCAACTGTTCCTCAGTGTAACTGATAACCCGGAGTTTAAGAGTTTAACTACATATCCATATTGTCTCTTAAGATTAAAGTTTCCTTACTCTAACAATTTGCATCAATTTCAGCGAGTGATAATGGAGGCCAACTGTTCCTCAGTGTAACTGATAACCCGGATGGAAAGATATTGATAGCTCGAGTTGGTAAAGACCACGAATCTCTTCCCATGCAATTCAGAAAGTAAGAGCTTTATTTTAATTCATAACTACGAATTGCATTGGCGCTACAAAATACCTGCAGTTCATCTCAACGTATTATGGAAAGAGTCATTTAGAGAGGAAAAATGGGCTGGAGGAAGACGACAAAGCTCTTATCCGTTAAGCCAGAATCTTAAGGGACAAAGGATATGAAAGTTGGATTATCCAGGAAACTGCAACATGGTGCTTGTTACCAATATATTATTTCCTTATCATTTCTGCAGATATCCTGAACAACAATCATATCCAATAAACATGAAAAATGGCTCCTATTACTACATCGAAGCCCTTCATAAAGAACAATACGGGAACGACTCCCTGGCAGTAGCCGTAATGACACCTGATTTTGAATTTCTTGCGCCAATTCCTTCAGATTATTTGTGGACGCTGCCGCCTCCCAAGCCGCACGGTATGATCAACGGTAGATAGAGCCCTTTTGAAAGAGACAGGCAGATAGACAAGAGGATGAATTAAGACAAACATAAATAATTAATCATTCTGAAAGACAAAAGGATAGGCAGACATGAATAGAAATTCAAAGAAGGATAAACTCGTCCATCTAAGAGACTCGCAATGATTAAATTAAAAAAACCAGTGCCCGAAGCGAAGAAATCCAAAAAAACTATTGGGGTTCAAAATTTGTTATAATTGGATTAAAGGGCAAATTTTGAACACTCATTGCTAAATTGAGCATAGTCGCATGGTGTGTTGAGGGATCAATTTCAAAAAATAAAAAAAGTTCTCCTTTTAGAGCTACCGTTTCTTAATTTGTTAATCACATTTGACAACTGCACTTTCAGTCAACGACAGTGCCTCCTCCTTCTATCTTGTGAAGATAGCAGCTAAAGCGGGAGCTAGAGCAGGTGCCACCCTTGGAGTGAATGAAGCCCTGAAGAGTGGTGCAAAGGCGGGTGCATTAGCCGGTGCTGAAGCGGGCACAAGGGCTGGAGCCCAAGCAGGAGCAGAGGCAGCACGAAAAGCAGCAACTGAAGTAGCCACGAAAACACTGAAGGAGGCCCTTTCCAAACTGGGTACATTTCAAAAACCAGTGGGTATTCGACGGTGGCCGGAACATTTTTTGCATTTTGAAAATTAAGATAGAGAAGCCTAAAGGTATTTGAGCGAAGTTAATGTTCGAAGTTCCACGAGATGTCTATGACTCTGTGGGTGAACATCCAACAAACTTTTATTTTCTTGAGGTTACATACTTAAATCATCAACGTGGATTCTGATTGTTTTTCTTTGACTCGCGCTTACGATGAAAGTTCATAAGATCTTCATTCCAAATAAAAAACCTTTGTGCATTACAAATGCGAATATGCAACACTCTACCACATATCGTTTTGGTAGCTTCTTTCATTACGCTTCCCTCTTACGAACTTCTTTATCACTTCAACTTTTTCAGACATTTAATATTTATGCAGCAAACGGTAGCGTGATACCGTTGACGCCAGGATCAGTGTCTTCATCTGGACAGACAACAGGCACCACTGGGTCAATTGGAATTGGAACTGCAAGTGCTGTGGCGGGAAGTCAAACTAGTCAAATAAACCAAACAGGTCTAACAGGTCAGACGAGTCAACCAGGTGAAGGCGGGGTCGGAGGATCAATCAGTGCTACCATAACAGCGGGAACGCAAGGGGCAACAAACGCTGCTGCAGCAGGTCACTCGGGAGTTTTTCATGGCGCTTATGTATACAATCGAGAAAAACCATATTACATTCCCTCTCCTGGCGAAAATTCTCATATCATTGCAAGAAAAATGGTGTATCTGGAATCACGAGGGCTTTCCAGAGTTCGTAAGTATAAAAATTCACCCAATGCCATTCATCAAAGTATGATTCTGTGCACGCTTCGTTTGCAGTGCACATGGATTAGTGCTAGCCCGATTCCTTCCCTTAAAGATAATTAAATTTTGAATACCTCAAATATCTTTCCGATTTCTAATATCACAAATAATGTAGTCACGGTTTTTCTTTGTGGACCTTAACAAAATAGTAAAGCCCTCTTAACATTTGGATTGTGCTTCTCCCGCTTTTATAGTCGTCAACGGAGCGCTATACGTAATTCATTCTTTGGATGTTCCCGCGAGTCAGAATCCTATCTACAATCTTTGCTGGCGAATCACTAATGGAAAGTTAGAGCTGACTCAAAACTGTCAGGTAGGGTTAAATGAAATTTACTTATATACAGTAATTATCGACACCGACGGGTTTCGCACCATTATATTCACATTGACAAGGATTAACGTGACGTTTATAAAAAAAGAGTGTTTAAGCTTGTTTTTCTAATTCCTAATCTTTATTTCCTCTTTAATTTTCTCAAATTGTTACTTATTCATTATTTATTCGAGGGTCTCAGTGGGGTGATGGCTTTTACGGCTATCGGTTAAAATTTTGGCCAATTTCTGGCTAACGGTTAACACCTTTCCATTGTTTCCACCAGAGATATTTTTTACGGTTAACTTTTTTTACGACTAACGGTTAAAATTTGTCAATTTTTACGTCCAACGGCTAAATATTTTGGCCGTTTTACGGCTAACGGTTAACCCCATTGGGACCCTCTTATTCATTATTAAACATTTATTTGATAAATCTAAAAGGCCCCTCTGAAAGCAACTTTATCATCATTATTATTATCATTGTTATTATTATTATTATTATTATTATTACTATTATTATTTTCATTGCCACTCTTATTACAGACTATTTTATTTGAGAAAAAATAATTTTTTTTAAAAAAATCTGTAGGCATTTGCCATCAAGATTCCAGGATTCGACAAAGGGACCGGAGAACACCAAACCATCTCCTTTGAGTCCATGTGTTTACCTGGTCACTACATTCGACAGAAGAACTACAGATTCGTTTTGGGGCACCAAGGAGATACAAAATTTGGTATAGGGCAAATATAGCAATATCAATGATTCTAACAAAGTTTCAATCATAACACACTGCAATACCTGCGTTTGCAATTTTTGCATATGTCAATGATTCATCATAATTTGAAGGTAACAAGAGATATTTAGGTAGGGCGTAGGTCATTTTCCACGAGCCAATAACGCAATATCGTCAGCGTCAGGAAAAAGCGATTATGAATGTTTCTAATCCTCGTGGTCAGGATGCTGGTCCACTGCAAGTAGCCCTCGCGCTATTTATCGAGTTTCCCTGACACATCCATTTATACGGCTGGGAAAAAAGCTAACAAAAGTCTGCGCATGTCACGAATATGTCTATAAGTCCATAGCAACCGTATATATTAGTTAATATGGCGGGGATTTTAAATATTTTGAAAAACTAACTAATAAACCTTTATCGATTAAGACTGCTATGCAGCAAATTTCAACAGACTGAGTATCGCCCAGTACGCGTATCGATGCTATGCATGCGAAATACAACAGTTTGCAGCCACATTTCAGCAAGTATACAAAGACGACACTATGGTGTGCAAACGACATTTCAAACCCCTGTTCAAGGAGTCTGTAGCTTAAGTTTTAAGCTTGAACTCCTTGCCTGTGTCTTAACCAGGAAGGAAAACTTCGCCGCTTGTCAATTTTTCAAAGATTGCGCTGTAATCGCTTAGTGTTGCTATGGTTTCAAGAGTGAATCCGCAAAAGTCCTAGAGATGCGCCGATGCTTTGGGACTCTGTCACTTCAGGGTGGGGAGAAGCACCTTGAGTTTAATTATTTAACACGCTGTCCACCTTGCCTCGGTTTAAATAGGGGAAAAGTATAAGTTTTCAATTATTCTTTTTAAACACCAGATTATGATGCAAGTTCAGCCTTCTTTCAAGTATTTTCACTTCCTGGTGCATTCCAGTTTAGCCTCATGCGAAAGGGATGGTACATTTGCAGAAGCATAAATCGAAACTATCATCGCACGGAGGTGGTTACAGACTACAACATGGCATCATCCGAATGGCTAAAGCGTTGCTCGTTCGCTCTAAGGCCTCTTGCAGCCAACGAGAATCCTCTGATGAACTGCTACGATACGATTGAACCATCTAAACCACCTAGTGTTGCTTCTACCGACACAAAACCACCACTTACAAACAAAACAACAATTAGAACCACCCGTCCTACAACTGTTCCAACCACACCACACAAGGACTACGGTAATGATAATCATTGTCTTTAATTGTAGAACAAAGATAATTGCTAAAATTTGGGTCTTATTCAAAAATTGCCTGTCACCAGAGCAACCACCAAAAACAATAAAAAAATTGGCAAATTATTACATAAGGGACAATTAAAGTTTGGCTACGTCTCCAGCTCGTCATGCATAATCAGAAGTTTACCTTTACTAGTCTCTCCCGTTGACACATTTCATGCGTATCATTCAAATAAGGGAAACACACATTACTACTATAAGTCTGCTTAGAAGAAGAGTGAGGTCATTGCATGATTTTTTTTAAAGTCGCACTCTAACGGGATAACTTGAGCTGATTGAGAGTTAGGCAGTGTACCACCGACTCATGAACAAATTCCAACCGTGTAGGAGTCTAAATCTATTACCATTTTTTCAAACCTGGAGAAATTGTTGTATATTGTTCGACGTTCAGAAAACATTTATATAATGATCCCAACTACTTTACGTGAAAAAAAAATCAGTTAAACACTCGAAACGTTGACGGAATGATTTGATTGGTCATTTCAATGCAAAATCTAACCTTAACGGATATATTGATATCGGTTGATACATTTCTCATGAATATAAGCCTCATGCAAGAATTTGATAAATAAGATATAAATTTCCCGTCTACCCTCCAGAACCCTGCGTGAACTTCACGTTTTGGAATACAGCTGGGGTGCCTTTCATCCTTTACTCCAGTCTCAAACCAGAAGGGTATTTAGTCACTGGACCCAAGCTACACCTTCACTACGTTATTCGCGATCAAAAAGTAATCGATTTGAAGGTTCTTCATGTGAAAAGAACTAACGTTCCAAACCAAGATGGAGATGTTTTATCTGAGGTGGGCCTATATTATGAAAGGGTAATTTCGTGTTGACAACTGAGTTGATAACGTAAATTGGCCGCAGTAAAGAGCAAAAAAGCTGACGTTTCGAGTGTTAGCCTTTTATCAGAACGATTGGAGGAATTGTGGATTATGTGTGGGTTTATATGCAGAAAATGGAGCTACGCTATTGGTGGGAATATGGTGACGAAAAAAATAACAATGATATCGTTGATACCGTGGGGATTCAGAGTGCCGATTTGGAAGAAAAAATTTTGTTCTAGTGTTTGCGGCTTTCCGAACTGCCTAGATGTAAGGAAAGACCGCAAACTGCCATATGTTGTTTTGAATGATTAGGGAGATTAAAGTGTCTAGCGACGGGTTTGGGTGCGTCCTTATCATTTCTTTCCACGTTGCGAAGGTGTTCTCGGAATCGGTCACTTAGTCGTCTTCCTGTTTCGCCAATGTATAACTTATTGCAAGAAGTGCAAGTTATGCAGTAAATGACATTGGCGGAGGTACTCGTAAAGTGATCAGTGATCTTAATGGACCCATTAGAAAACACTAGAACAAAAATTTATATTCCAAATCGGTACTCTCAATCCCCACGGTATTAACGAGCGCTTTTCATTCAACTAATTTATTCCTGTTTTCTCGTCATCAAACTTCCACCAATAGCGTTGCTCCACTTTCTGAATATAAACAAACATACAACCCACAATTCCTCCAATCGCTCTGACGAATGGCTAACGCTCGAAACGTCAGCTTTTTTACTCTTTACGGTAGCCAATTTACGTTTTCAACTTAGTTGTAAAACGTAAATTACCTGCTATACTCTACCACCGACGCAGCACCACAGTTTCTTTACAAACATACCCCTTTTATTCATTCTACATCATTAAAGCTTACTTGGTTGTGCTGAACAAATATATTTAGCCTAATGGAAAGTGCTATTAGGCGTTGAAAGTGTAAATGGGCCACTCTCATAGAACAAGTGACTTTCGAAGGACGTGCGTGAATTTAATATTAATAGATAGGTTTATTCATATTATTTGGTCAATGATCTGTTTTGTTGGTCACTGACGTTATTAAGCGCTGTGACCCAGTGATGCAACCCCTAGCCTATGGTTCCAGTGGTCATACGCTATGATACTTCGTTGATAATGTAACTAAAAATCTTTACTAATCTGATCCGGCGCCTTCAGGATCAGATTGCCTTCATTATCTTATTCCGAGGGCATAATTAATATCTGTGATTTGTCTTCAGGTTATGGATGAATTGACCGATACTCAGCAGTTGTTCCTGGACAAACCCAAAATCGCAGCCGGACAGATTGTGTCTTTCTGGGCCAAAGATCCAGAAGGGAAACGCGAAATTCTTCTTGATGGGAAGAAAATAATTTATGCGATTCCTGGACTGCACTGCTGGCACTACATAGAAGTGAAAGTCACATCAAGGCCAAAACATAGTACGTAGATAATACAAACACAACGAAATGGAAGGTGATCTTCGCAGTAATGAACACTACTTAAGCAGTAGTGAATATGAGGTCCGAAAAACATTTCAGGCCTTACTTTCACTACTGCTTGAGTAGTGTTCATTACTACGAAGATTGTTTTGAAATTCGTTTCTTAAGCCGCGGTTCACAGGTGTGATTTTCATATATTTACATTAAAAATAAAAATATTATTGTATTTATTTTGTTAAGGATATGTATTGAGGTATACAAGGCGCTTTACATGTTAATGAGTTTTTCCATCCTATCCCACTTTATCGATTACTTAAAGAATCATTTTGTCCCAAAAATAGCAAATGAACAAAGTTACAAAAGTGATGGGAAAGTGGAAGATGATTTTTGTTTGTCGTAGGAGACTTAAATATTGCATTTCATCGAACAAGTTTTCCATGCTTTTCAGACTAAAATAGTTCCTGTTTCCTTTTTTTCATTATTACAGGTCCTTCGACGACTAAACCAACAACACGAACAACGACAGTCAAACCTACAACTCAAACCCCGCGACCTGCCACAACTAAGCTGCCCCCACCACCTCCTCCACCACCCCCACCTCCTCCACGCATACCTCATATCCACGTTCATTTCCACCCCCCGCATTTCCCGCCACCTCCCAAGCCGACTCACCCACCTCCTCCTCCTCCACCAATACTAACACCTCCATCAACGAAGCCAACAGAAGCACCACCGCCACCCTCCACTCCTTCTCCGCCAACCCCTCCAACTACTAAAACTACACCTTGCAACCCGGGTGTATCAACGACCACAAGTCGTCCATGCTCCATAGTAACAACACCTACTACTAAGACTCCACCTAAAACAATACCTCCCTGCACACCAAACGCTAGTCCTCCACCTGCTGGTTCTCCTCAATGCAAGCCAATCAATAGCACATTTGTCATTTCTCCATGTTCCGCTGGGTCACCACTATGCTTCAAACCATTCCCATCAGTCACCTTACCAACGTTACCCCCCGCACCTTCCCTTTCTCCTGTTCCCGGTGAGTAATCTTTGTGCTAACAGCGAAGCAGTAACATTTTCATTCATTATATACCAGACAAGTGAAGTCTGCTTTTCGGCCTCCCTATTTGGCAAAAGCTGAAGTGATCAGCAACTGCTATTCAACTCCGACTTGAACAGGCAAAGAGACAAGATGGCAGTCGGTTTTCGACCATTTTCGGTATACTGACCAAAAACTAAATTAATTTTTTTAGTTCTTGTGTGGTTGATGTTAAAACAATCACTCCCCTCGGTGCCACCTCCACTCCGGTGAATATTCGTTAAGTATATCAGACGTTTTATCAGAACACATACCGATATATCTATATGAAAGACTCTAAGAACCAAAGGTCTATTAAAACTGGTACAAGGAAAGATAATTTCTAAAACGTTATTTTCATCTTTCGTAGAGGTTTCAGGATCAGTGATAATACAAGGTAGGCAGGACGCTTAACTTTATACCAAGGTAGATCTCAGCCCAGCTGAAATCCAATTTCTTCAACCACGACAAAATGAAAGGATCAAATATTCCATATAATTTAGCATTGAAGTCATTTGTAATTCGCGAACAAACAAACAGGTTGTATGTCCACCCATGGAGGAACTTCAAAAGGCGCCTGTTGCGTTTTCCCATTCATCTACCGAGGAAACCCGCAGCACCGCTGTACAAGGGCTGAGCGAGGTTACCGCTGGTGCTCAACAACCAATAATTATGACAAGGATAAAGAATGGGGATTTTGTGCGGCATGTTTTCTCTGTTACGGAGGTAGTTCAAATGGCAACTGCTGTCATTTTCCTTTCGTGTATGATGGTAAAATGTACACGACCTGTACCACCCAGGATTCAACTAAGCCGTGGTGTGCCACCACGTACAACTATGATGTGGATAAACAGTGGGGCTATTGTGGAGGTTAGCGATGATTTTTTTTTTCGTTTGTTTTTGTTTGCTCGCCGGAAGCTTACTTCAGTATTTTTTTGGGTGATAGCTGTGTTTGCAATAAAATAATTGAATCCAAATGAATTTGAAACTTCCGATTATGCTTGTTTTGGCATGAATCGTGCCATCATCACTTTGTTGTATTGTTTTACACGCTACATTAAAACTACGTTAACAATCAAATTACAAGTACTATTACAATAGTCAATTTGATAACAATGCCCGTTAGTGCAACTATTAGAAGGATAGCAGGCGTGTCAAATATAGTAATGGAACGGTAAATGTTATTTGAAATTATGTAATTTAATCTAAATCTAAGAACTGGTGAGTACAAAATTGTCACATGTTACGTAAGTAGAACTATTTATTTGTTCAATATGGAAACTAAGCACAACAAAAAGGACAATTCGCTACAAAGTGTCATTTAAAATGTTCGTGTTGCACTTCTAATGTGAATCATTTTTAATATCGACAGCTGACGCGCCCGGCTCAGTTTCCCAGCCCAAAATTGCCTACGCACCATGTTCTGCTAATTGTGATGGTAAATGCGTGGACACGTGTCCCGACTACTGCTGTGTAAAGGGCATGATAAGTACGCAGGAACAACCAGCTCCAGTAACACCCCCACCCCCTCAGGTAATTCGTTTATTAAAGGAGACGGTGCACTAAGGATTAGTATTTACCATTCCAAGCATGGAAAACATAACAAAATTATCTCCGCCTGTTCCGGGAGTTCCGTGAATTCAAAGTCAGAATCATTCGCTCAAACTTCACGGTCGACCGAATTCCTAAGGGAAATATGCAGTAACACACATTGAGCTAAACACTTTATCAGCGTGTTCACTTTTCCTTATCAGCAGGTCGAGCAGGTCCCTCTGGTTCAGCAGACCTCGCAGTCTTGTCCAGCCATCTGCACCGAGACATGCGCACCAGACTGCCCCGTTCGTTGTTGTAATTTCCTTCCGCCTTCGCCTTACATGGCAAGTCCTCCTCAAAGACCTACGAACTGCCCTCCGATCTGCTTCAACACATGTGTTAGCTACTGTCCAACGGACTGTTGTAACAACCCACAGCAAGGCGTAAGCCGTAACACGTTATCTTACACTCTTAAACTACCATGCCCTACTAACTGCTACCCTACATGTCATGGCAACTGCCCACAGCAATGCTGCAAGGCAGCGCAAAAGGAAACTAGTTCTTTACTTCACTCTGCTGTGAACAACAAGGGTGTTGGTTTCTATCAAAGGATTCAAGGGGAGGGTATATCCCCCTCTATGAGCTTACAAACACCTTCAGCGTCGCCGATTGTGATCCGTTCGACGTTACTTTGTCCAAAAGTATGTAACAAGATTTGCACAAACGCCTGTCCTACCGAATGCTGTAAAAGACAGAAAAATGGAAACATCAATCAGCAAAAGTGGAGAAACACCGCCCAGGGTAAATAACATTTCGTGTTTTGAAAGAAGCCCCCCCCCCCCCCCCAAATCTTCGCGAAGTAACTATGAGTACTCAGCTAGGTGAAGGTATCAACTATGTCCACGAACGCGAAAAAATAACTGTATTTGTACTTCCGGCTTCTGGCTTTCTCATGGCCGTGAGAGACTTCGTCAGCGGTAATTACGAGTAGAGGTCTTTGTTTAGGGAAGCCGAAAATAATCAAAGTTCTAGCTTAGGTTAGATGAACAGCCCTTTTTTGGAATAAATTAAGAATTAATTAGTGCAAAGGTTCTATTCATCACTCTCTGCGAAATGATTTGAATGCAAATGAACATTGTGCAATGTCAGGCGTAAAACTCCCTTAAGAGATAAATTTGTGTGTGGTTTTCAGCTGTATAGCAAAAATGGGCAGATCTTTTTCGCACTGTGATCGGACGTTCTCAAAGCAATTGTGCGCGAAAACTAAGCTGCGTCAACATAATAAGCAAATTACGATTCTTTCTGCACTGTAGATACCTTTGATTTTGAACTGCTAAATTCTATCTCTAGATTGCAAAAATGGTGCCATTACATTCGGAGGAAACGCCAAAGGAGCCTGCTGCAATTTTCCTTTTATTTACGATGGTGCGGTTTATTGGAGATGTACAAATCAAAATGCAGACAAGAAATGGTGTTCGGTGACTAAAGTGTTTGAGCTCGACAGAAAATGGGGATACTGTCCTTGGTAAGTTGTAAATAGCTAGTGCACCGATGAACCTGAATTTATATACATATATATATTTATAATTGGTACATTTAATGTTCGCTGAGACGTTTTCCTTTTGTTTAATTTGTCAGATTGTTGTGATATGATGCAAAGCAGGATACTTCAAAACGCTACACTGATTACAGCAAATAAACGATGGTTTGCGAAGAGAAGAATAAGTCAAATTTATTGAATGATATTGCGATATAAATGAACTGACATACGCCCTAGAAACATTTTTACCTGCGAACTTTTATTATTTTTTTATCTCAGAGTTTTTTTGATACCTGATGTCTGAAGTAATTAATTCAAATCGGGTCGGTACATGTATACAATACAGAATGCAAGTCGTACTCATAACCTGATAAGAATAGATAGTAATAATAATAGTGATAACCTATTTTTATTATATAAGCTCAATACACTTTCGTGTTTCTATTTTAGTTGGTCGTTTGTAACTAGGAAAAGGAACAGAACTCAAATGAAATATGAAAATCTTTTGGAGAATATGACAAAAAAAGTCTGAAAAGTAATGAATGTTCATCCCTTGCAATCAAATATTAAGAAGAATAATATTAACTATACTGAACATATGCATTATCAGAGACCACGGTTGATTGACAACATTTCACGAAATTAAGAAAGTGTGGCGGGCTACTGTAATTGTTAAAAGAAGCTAAATTTTTAAATATAAAATAAACATACAGTTCAAGCTGTGTTTGTTTCATTCATTCTATTCAGATATTACATAACACAATCACACTGCGATATTATTGATACCAGTGAGAGAAATGTATTTTTGAATCCAGATTGATTAAATGTTAGCTAGATGAAGACAGATTTGCCAATTTTGTGAAAAGTGTGTAATTTTCAGGAATTGGCTTGATAGTTGAGAGCAGGTTTCCATTATTAACAGGTCTTTAAATGTTCAATCCAGTTATTAATGTGTTAATAGATCCACCAAAAAGCCATTAAACAACTGCAACAGTTCACTTTTAACAAAATAATCAATGCTTGTTGATCTAACCCTGGTTTTTAAACGACCTGACCTAGCCCTCTTTATAGACTGCAAAAGCCATATCTTTAATTGGCAGTCATGACAAAAAAACACAAGGAAGACATTTTGGGCTGTACAATTAGACATTATAAAAATGCTAGTTCACTTTTTTTTTTAACTGAATTGAACATTTTATGACCTGTTCATGAAATTAATACAAGTTGGGGAGGTGAATAATAAATTAACTAATATGAAGTCTGCCATTTTCGTCGTTCTCAATTCCAGGTGCCGTCACAATCCTTCAAAAAAAAATCAATGTATTTACAAATCATAACATTGTTCTGCTAATTATAATTGTAAATCTCTTGTCAGCATGTTTGATTTCAGGAACAAAAGCCAACTGTTAGTAGCCTATGTACATAATCCATTTTTGATATTCTTGTTTTTCCTTGACAGACTTTTGATTGAAAGCTTTTCACTGTTCCACGCATTACATAAAGAGTTTAAATTTGTGTTAATTGCTGCAGCATTTATCTGTATCACACTTTTACACTCTGCATACTCATAATCTTACCAAATTTCTCTTATGTTGAAGGGTCCTTTTTGCCTTCTTTCTTTTGGCTGTTGTCCTCCTGTCCCTCCTTCTTTTCTTTGTACCTTGTTCTTTTTCTTTAATTTCTCTCTCTCCTTTCATTTCCTCATGTTCTTTTTCTACTACTCCAACTGGTATTCCTCCATTCCCTCCTTTATCTCCATTTTCCAATGTTTCTTCTTCATTACTTACTCCTTTTTCCTCTTCCTTTTCTTTTTCCTGCTTTTCTTCTTGATCTTCTTCCTTAGTCCCTTCTCCTTTCTCCACATCTCCCACAGCTTGGCTTTCATCTATGATCATACAGAAAATGTTGAGTTACTTGGTTCTATGCGTTTCTTGTTCACAATTTTTATGTTTAGCTGAAACCCTGAGTTTGTTATTATTAAAAAAAAAATATATTTTGTGGGTCACTGTCATATCATGAACTATGTATCACCAGGGGGTGGTAATCGTTCTACAAGCATTTTCTTTGGTGGACCAAGAATGCTATTTCTTTTACAGGTTAATGAAAATCAAGGTTTTCCTACCTACTACAGTTGCAGAAAGGTTGTTGTTGTTGTTGGCAGGAAAATTCCCAAAGAAGGACACCTGCAAGTAAAACAAGGGAAGGGAAGTGTGCTGCTCAAAAGAGTCCTGCGTAACTATCATAATTAAAATACGCATTGTTCCTTTGAGCATCACACCATCCTTCATTGATTAAATTTACAAATTTTAAAACACTTCATACACTTTATACAGTAAAACTGACTGCTACTATCCATGGAATTGCTTAAACAATAGAACAAGTGACATTGTTTGTGTCAATGCTTGTCAAGAGGGAGGCATGTCTGTCTACCCAAGTGTCAATGCTCACGAAGACCCTTGTCCCGAGGAGCTTTTCTGTCTACCCCAAGTGTCACGGCTAACAAAGAGCCTCATCTCAAGGAGCTTTCCTTTCTACCCCAAGTGTTGTGGCTAACAAAGTGCCTCGTCCCAGTGAGCTTTTCTGTTTACTCCAAGTGTCGAGGCTAACAAAGAGCCTCGTCCCAAGGAGCTTTTCTGTCTACCCCAAGTGTCGAGGCTAACAAAGAGCCTCGTCCCAAGGAGCTTTTCTGTTTACCCCAAGTGTCGCGGCTAACAAAGAGCCTCGTCCCAAGGAGCTTTTCCGTCTACCCCGAGTGTCGCGGCTAACAAAGAGCCTCGTCCCAAGGAGCTTTTCCGTCTACCCCAAGTGTCGCGGCTAGCAAAGAGCCTCGTCCCAAGGAGCTTTTCTGTCTACCCCAAGTGTCGCGGCTAAAAAAGAGCCTCGTCCCAAGGAGCTTTTCTGTCTACCCCAAGTGTCGAGGCTAACAGAGCCTCGTCCCAAGGGGCCTTTCTGTCTACCCCAAGTGTCAATACTCATGAAGAGCCACATCCTGAGGAGCTTTTCTGTCTACCCCAAGTGTGGATGCTTATGAAGAGCCTCCTCCCTAGGGGTGTGGTTGACCATTTACCCCCAAGGGTTGTGTCTGTCCACTTCAACTGTTAATGTTCACAAGGAGACTGGGAATAAGTGGATCCTATGAGAAGAAGCTCAAAGAGGAAGGAAAGAGAAAAAATGCTGAAGCTCAAGTTCTTGCTATCCCATGAGACACATGACGTCGTCAACCAAACTGCCTTGAACAAGACAGCAAATTAATTTCCCTTCTTGAAAGTATAGGAAGTAGATAAAGAGTAACAAATTATTCTGTCATAGAAGGAACTGGTCTGGCCTTTGTCAACAGAAATCTGTATGACCAACTACGGCTACGGCTTTCTCATTTTTCCTTACCAACAGTAGTTAAAAAATGTGCCAACTGACTTTGATTTTCACCAAAAAATTAGAATACCTAACGAGCGGAAGCGAAAATATTCTAACATAGCAAAACTCAGAACGTTCAGCATGATTAGATTATCATTTGCGTCAGTGCGCGTCGACTGCAAGCGCAAGATTTCATATGTAGCGCTCGCACGTTATAATGCAGATTTGATCCTAATCTATTAGGCCGGGAGATTTTTGGCGACCAAACACGATCAAACATCGTTTGTTTACCAAACATTTTGATACTGTGTTTAGTGGCCTGACGGTGTCAAACATGTTTGAACAAGCCAAATGTTTTACAATATTTGATCAAATGCTTGTCGTCATTTAAATTTTATCAAATTCAATCAAACAAAGTTGACGAAATGGGAAAAAGTTTGGCCACCGAGCAATGTTTGATCGCCAAACATTTCTCGTTTGGACGGGGCTTGACAAGCAGAATGGCGCGCGCGGCTGAAAAACTTAACCTCCTTAACCGTTAAGGTTAATGTGACATTGAAAAGATTCGAAACTGATGACCCAAAACCTACTAAAGAATCCAAATTAGCAAGAAAGCAAGCAACCAAATGAAACTAGCGTACCAAGGACGCGTACTTATTAAAAGGAGGCAAAGTAAGCGAGTTAAATTATTACCTCAAGTAATCGGCAGTTAGATCATTGTTAAACGAAAATATCTGGACTCAAATAGTGTCTATTTCTGTCAGTTTATGAATGAGTACCAGTGAATGGAAAGGGTCTACTGCGATAGGCTAGCATTCCTTCCAGTGGGAGTAAAAGTACTCCGGGTTGTTTAACTACCAGGCTGATGGGCCAATTGAATCAAACGCAAAATAAAGCTAACCCCATTTTCATTTACCACAACGCTAAAGGAGGATGTTCAGCTATAAATTATTCTCATGTTTACCTAGAAATTTTTGCCGCAGTAGGTTCATTCTGGTCACGGAAAAAGACGTGCAGTAACAACTCCGTACGTCTCTTTTTTTAGTTCAACCGAGGAAGAAGAGCATCCAGAGACGCGTGGGTATTTGGTATAGTCACTACCGAGTTTAGTCCAGCACGGGGTTACTTCCAAGTTGTAGAGAGACGGGATATCGCGACACTTGATCCCATAATCTCGAAGTGTATCCGACCAGGAACAGAAGTCTACACCGATGACTGGGCTTCATACAGAGGCATGGAACACCGTATAAATAACGTCGCCGTGCACCGAATCGTCGTGCATGCTCGACACTTTGTTGATCCTGTTACTGGTGTCCACACACAGGAGGTAGAGTCCTGCTGGAATAATCTTAAGTTAGGGCAAAAAATACGAAGGGGTATGAAAAAAGAAGATCTTCAATCATACCTCGACGAACAGATGTGGCGTCAATGGAGAGGGGGGCCTTACAGGCAAATTATGCAAAATTTTCTGGCAATGTTGCTCTCTTTGTATGCATTTACCTACGCAGCACTTTAATTTGTTCGTTTTAAGGCCACGGGAATCACTTGGCCTTGAATAAATTCGCAAGGTAACATTTTTCGGATCAATACCAGCATCTGGGCAACTGCCCACCTACCCCTCCCATAACTCAACAACAGTCAATTGATAACAAGTCAGGGTTAATGTTGGGTGAAGGGAGGGGTACGTGGGCAGTTGCCCAGATACTGATATTGATCCCATTTTTCTTTTGCTACATCTTTCAAAACTTTTATATCTTGGCTACTTTCGATGCGACTGAGCTCAAATTTTTCAGACATAGCAGACTGGTGGAAGTTTATGGATGTCGTGTTTAGACAGATGATTTTATATGAAAACGATCAGCAAAACAGAAGCGGATTTTTTCAATTCAACGTTTTCCAAAAGTTATAATCGCTAAAATTTGCAAAATTTGCAAAAGTGACCAATGGGAAAGAAAAATGTCAAATCATATTACAAAAGACTGTGTTTGTTCATTTACGTTTTTAAGTCTTCGCAAACTAATAAATTTGATTTTCATGGTCACTCAAAAAACAATTTTCGCATAGCTCAATCATGATATCCAGTGATCCAGCGGTAACTGTTAAATGATTTACTTACGACTATTCCATACGGTGACCAATTTACGTTTTCAACCCAGTTGTTAACGCAGAATAAATTTAGCTCGGTGATTCAGGACAGAACACCCGCCATACCTCCGGGTATCAGGTGCCCGATTTCAGTACTGAAAACACTGTTCAGTAAAAAAAAAAAAAAAAGGGGGGGTTTAGCTCTTGTCAGTGTTAAAGTGTGAACATTATTAATCTTCAGGGACCGATTCGTATGTCAAACTCCCTGAAAAAGGTTAAGGTATTTTAACAGGTTTTTTTAAAATAAATTTTTCTCTTAACGGAGTTTACAGCGTTTCATTTTAAGATAGCTCAAAACAGATTGCCCTTTTTCGAGAAAAGTTCTTCAAATTATTTCTCAAAACAGCTTGGCTCTTCGTAATAAGTATAGAAGTAAACTATACTACTAGTATAAAATTCAGCACAGAAATAAAAGAAACACCATAACATCATTTTTCCCCAGATAATTTACAATACAATGCATGTGCACCACAATAAACCTTATTCAAACATGGTGAGGTTTAAAGCTGCAAGCTTGTGGGACCGTGTAGAAAATAAAGTAAACAAAAAAAAGAAAAAAATTGTCACCATGGAAACCATAGGACACATCCAGTCGTGCCTCCAAAATCGAAACTAAATCAGTATTATGGTGGGACGGGAAAATATTTAGCTCGAAGTCATGACGTACGGACCGAACGCAACGAGGTCCGTGTCTCATGATCGAGAGCCAAATCGATATCGAGCTCGGTTGCCCAGAAACAAATATTGATCCCGTACCCGATTAGCGATCGAGCTCGACTTGTAGTTATCGAGCTCGATTATCAAACGTCGTTTGCTTATCGAGCAGGAATGGTAATCGAGTACGACAAATCGATATCGAGCTCGGTTGCCCAGGAACAAATATTGATCCAACGTCGTTTGCTTATCGAGCAGGAATGGTAATCGAGTGCGACAAATCGATATCGAGTTCGGTTGCCCAGATACAAATATTGATCCACATTATGAATAAATAAATAGTGTATAAAAACTCCAACTGACAGGAGGCAGACCATTTGGCCATATACAAAGCGCAGCCAAGGAGATGAACTCAGGACAACCGAGAACAATCCCAGTGAGTAGCAGGGGTTGAGGGCTTAAACCCAGCGCTTTAACCACTCAGCCACGCTGTCTCGCCTCTATGTTAGTAATAATAGTTGTTTGTTGGTTTCAGTAGTACAATCAGAGGCTTATTTCCACCTAAACTTAAAGATTCGTATCTCTCCTCACTATCATAGCGTTTGAAATTTTGATAGTCATGACAATGATGATGTTGATTACGATGAAGAAGCTGACATTTCTTACGGGAAAGATCACAATGGCGACTGTGATGAAAATGCTGTATTAGGAACAAATTCCATGTTTGCCTCAATGGAAGTGCTCTTTACAAGGACTTCTGTGTTTTCTTCCATGTTATGCTGATAGTCAAATTGTAGCATAATTTTCGAGCCGATAATTATCGCATCAGTGACCTTAAACAAGAGTTTGCTTCGTTTTATACTGTAGTTACATTTTTACTTTTATTTTGCGTGACCTTAGATGCACCATTCCTTCCTCTTCTTGTTCGTGTTAAGGTCACGAAAGTGTGCAAACAGAATTCTTTCCCACTTAAAAAATTATCATATTAATTCCATCAACGAACAAGTTCCCAGCCGGTAAAGTGTCGACCTATTAGCAAGGACTCTTCACTTTGGATTACATCATGACGTGTTCGGTGACACGAACAAATAAGTCAGCAGGTGGGGAGTTAGTACGGATATTTACACTTTAAATGAATAAGGAAATTAGATTTATTATATCTCACGTTTGTAACAATTGAGAAGTGGATCATGTATTTGGCACAGATCTGATTGGTGTGTCATGAAAATGCAGTATGAGAGGTGCACAGATTTTTCTCTTTGGCATTTTCACGAACATGTTCAATTGGCCTTCCTGGGCGGCAAAGATAAACGAAGGTAAGGATTGATCAGCTTGTGTACTCCTCTTTAGTAAGTCATATAGAAAACATTATCTTCGAACACGTTTACATTACATTTTCGATGTTATTGACATGCTTAATACGAAAAGCCCTTGTAAAGTGAGACGTAAATACGTTTGAAAGAATATTATTCGGTTATAAAATACAGTTATCAGTATATCAACTGTGGTACTAATCCACGTAAAATTCAAAATATCTTTCAGCAGAGAAAATGGCTCGAATTCGAACTTCTAAAATTTGCAAAAATTTTCACATGTAGGTGTGTCAGCAACACGACTGGTACCGTAAAGTTTTAAATTTCTGCCTTGAAAAGCAGCTTGAAAAATCACAGATTTATTTATCATAATAGCAATTCAAAGTACAATTCTTTTGATAAAATTCTAGCGTAAACCAATGTATATTTATGAAAAATTGAGCTGATCATATTTTAAATGTGAGAATGCTAAAGAAATAATCAAAATCTGATCTCCCAACGTACAGACCATATTTTATTTATTCAACTCTCAACACGGCCAAGAATGACTTAAAAAAAAAATAGAACAATAGTTGTGAATACGAATTTTGATTTAACTACTGTGAAATCAGCTTGAATTTCCCGTAAGTGAGTACTATTTGTCCTCATTTCTATTTTTAATCATGGCAGAGAGAAAGGAAACGCAATATCGTGACCTCTTTGGGCATTTTCACCCAAACGAAGGTAAGGAAGTACATTAGGAGCGTAGTGGAGAGGAGAGTGAAGCAAAGATAATCCCCTCAACATTTTTCCGTAGAGCTTGGCAAGTAGAGCATAGCTATAAGATACTTTGGTTTTATCAACTGAGTCGATAAAGTGAATTGTTTCCCGTGAAGCGTTTCTAAAGCTGACAATTCTAGCGTTCGCCCTTCGTCGTAGCCGACCCCTTGTACTACGGGTATAAGTGGTTAACCTGTACTGAATGTAGCTACAGAAGTTCAGTTTTTTAAAGCACGCGGAAGCGCCAACGTCGACAAACTGTAGCCTTAAGACGGTTCAAAAAGCTCATAGATAAAATGCCTAAAAAAGCAGAAAATGAGTTCGGAACTGTATCCTTTGGTCAACGCAAAACGGCCTTCGGCTTGGCTATAAGCGCTGCACGGAACCCAAAGAAAACTCGCAATCTAACCCTACTGTTAACTTGTCCTCTCCTAGAAATCAGATATCAACAGGGAGTCATCGTAGAGAGATGGGATAATATTGACGGCTATTTGGTTGCAAAACTTTTACAAGATCCCAGATTTCCCAAGCTTCCAACATCACTTCAATACAATACAGAGTTTAGCGAACCGCACGACTGGGGAACTAATTATGGATCAAGAGTCAGAGGTTACTTTGTGCCTCTTCAAACAGGATATCACATCTTCCAAATAGGTATCAGAAACGGGGAAAAACGGGTAAAAACTGCAAACTATTTAAATAATTTAGCTATCTGGCTACCTTCTATTCAGCCAAAAAAAGCAATAACCCAATGAATCCAAAAAGGAACGAGGCTTTTTTTTTTTTAAGAGAATGGCGTTCAAGGCCCTTGATTCTTACATAAAAGTCTAAATGTAATGAAATTTTGATTGACTGGTAATGTTTTACATTTTGGGTGACTGCGTGAAGGTTATTAACATTATTTTGTACAACTGGGCTTTCGCGTTGAAAACGTGAAACCATGATGTCACCGCCATTTAATTTACCATGATGTCACCGCCGATCAATTTTCAATTTATTGCACTAAATGCTATCCCAAAGACTTCACAGTCAGTTTAAATAGTCATTATAAATTCCAAATTTTTCACTCCGGCCAATCGTTCAATTTCTCTGTCACCCAAACTGACAAGTTTCACTCCTGTCACTTAAGAGAATCGCTTCATTTGAATGGTAATAAAAAGATTTTATTACCCTCCTTTTCAGCGAGTGACGATCAGGGTAAGTTGTTCTTCAGCCTAGACGAGAACCCTGACGGGAAAATGCAAATAGCTAGAGTTGACATAGGTCACGAGTCTTCTCACTTGGGCTATACCGCGTAAGTTAACACTTTATTTCATGGTTCGTACGTCATGGAAAATGGTCAAACACAGTTTATTTTCTTGTCTGGCTCGACCGAGGTTAGTCAGTGAGCATTTCTACATAGGACCACTGCTTTTCATCTTTCTTCCACTCTTCTTTCGACTCGTATCTCCCGGCTTTTCTGGCCCTGCTCACACATAAGGAGATTTTTGTTTATTGGTTATCAATAAAATCTCGCAAAGGGTCGTTGGGGTCACATGGTAAAAGTCATAATATTATCTTTTTTACATTTATAACGATCAAGAAAACGTTTTTCCTATAGATATCCCGAACAAAAGTCTCAACGAATACACTTAATAAAAGGGTCTTATTACTACCTCGAGGGACTTCATAAACAGCAATATGGCCGTGACAACTTTGATGTTGGTGTAATTACTCCCGACGGCAAACAGCACAATCCGATCCCCTCCGAGTTTCTTCGTACAACAACACCACCCAAACCACGACGTAAGATAAGTCGTCAACTTGCGCTCATTTGTATGGTGATACGAGTAGGACTGAGTGATGACTGTTAAATAGATTTTTTTTTCTTTGACCTGAAAAAATCAATCTTTGATCACAAGCAGTGAGTGGTTATCATTGTCAGGTTTTATCATTCTCATTCTTATCATTAATGTAATTATTCTTTTATCGTTACTTTGACATTCTAATTCATTTTTGAGCGCAGTCAAACGATGAAAAAACATCAGCTATTCACTAAAATGCGATGAAACTATTCAAAGCTGTACCAATGAAGTGTATTCATGTCTCCAACGCAGTCAACGAAACCTCCTCCTCTACTCTGATAACAATTGCTGCGCAGGCGGGAGCCAAGGCTGGCGCCTCCCTTGGCGTAAAACAAGCAATGAAGAGTGGCGCAACAGCTGGTGCAGAAGCAGGAGCCATGGCCGGAGAGAAAGCTGGAGCCGAGGCTGGTGCAATAGTAGCAAAAGAAACGGCAATGAAAGTAGCCACTAAAACACTCAGAGAGGCTTTGTTAAAAATTGGTACTTTCAACAAACCGGTACGGTGTTACTTAGGCATTCAGTGATCCAGTCTAAGTGTCTTATCGCTGGCATTATGACGTGATTACGCATAAACAGGTTCAGTGGCTACGTCTTCAGAGGCTCCCAGAGGCCTGGGAGTTCCTCATGAGTGGAGGGACGGTCAGATTTCTCTTTTTGTCTAACTCAAACATCTAACTTTAAGCGCATGATTTCAACCTGGTTTTATCTTAGCGTCAAGTTCACGTTCAATACACTAACCCTTATTAGAATGCAGTTCCATGATTTTTAACGATTTACACCTACAATTCATTCGTTATTCTTATTATTCCTTCAAGATTTTTAACATTTATACAGCAAACGGGAGTGTTACTCCATTGCAACAAGGAGCAATATCCCATGCCGGAGCACAGACTGGAATTCAAGCAAATGTAACCGGAACAGCTGGAGCTGGAGCAGCAGCGGGTGCCCAAACAGAACTGATTACAGATACATATGTAATAGGCAACGGAGGGTTGGAGTCGCAAGTTGGAGTCACTTTAGGTATCACAGGAACCCATGTGATGACTTCAGGAGAAGCTCAAGGGACGACAATTACTGGCCTTTTTACACACGCTGTTTTCCACAATAAAACACTTGTCTATATTTATCCACCTCTTGGCATAAACGCTTTGATTTTTGCAAAGAAAAAAGGTCTTATAGACCCGCGAGGGCTCGCTTTGAAAAGTGAGTAAAAATGAAAAAGTTTTCCCTGATGTCTCCTTTATATTCTCTATCATGAAGAAAACGTGAAAAATATTTAGCAACTGAAATCCACGATTCAACCAAAATACCGCCGTTGGATTGCGTAATGCGGCCTTAAGGACACTTCAGAACAGCAAAAATTTAATGTTACCAACGACGAAGCCCTACTGATGTACTTATTATAACATTGTTACCGCAACTCATACTTCCTTTAATTTTCGCACAGAACAGCCAGACTATTTACTTAAATTAACAGGAATGATTCTGGTGCTTATGGGATAAGCTATTGTATTGTTGGAAGTTAAATAAAAAACTATCGCCCTGTTATTTAATCTTTATTGTGCCCGATTGATGTTTCTCCCCACCATCACAGTTGTGAGTACAGCCATGTATGTCATCTACTCTACTGATGTACCGGCTGTTCAGGACCCGAAAGTCAATCTCTGTTGGCGAATTACTTCTGGAAGACTGGAGCTGTCTCGAAGTTGTCAGGTTATTATCAAATCGTTTTTTGAAATATCTTCGAATTATTTGTCTTCTAGCAAATGGTATCGTCAATGACTAATACGCGCCTATTGGGAATTTGTTGCTAGGTCTTTGTCGTCAGGATTCCGGGTTTTATTCCAGGCACAAAAGATGAGCAGTCTATATCATTTGAGTCTGTGTGCTTACCTGATAGCTACGTTCGCCAAAAAAACTACAAATTCATACTGGGAAAGACGGGAAACACGACATTCAGTAAGTAGATATTAAAGTTTATCAATTGTCTTCACAGTCGGTCCGGTAGGCAACTTCAGCATAGTCATTGTTTGTCTGCATATGGTTATAGAGCTTATTCATCAAATACGCTGGAAACTTCACTTGTCAAGTCATAACGATGTTAATTTTTTTTTCATCATATTTAGGGCAGGACGCCAGCTTTGCGTTTTCCCGAGCGTTTTCAGCTGGTTTTCAGTTTAACCTTAAAGAGCGAAAGGGGTGGTACATTTGTCGAAGTTCGAATAAAACCTACCACCGGGCGGATTTAGAGGCAGACTTCCACTTAGATAACATAAATTGGTTGAGGCGTTGTGCATTTGTTTTACGACCTCTTTCGGCTACAGAGAGTCCACGTATGAACTGCTTTGGTACAAATAAACCACCCCACCCACCCCACACGACAGACAGACCAACAACAAAGCCAACCCCAGTCAAAACGATCAGCTCAACACCAAAAACACTTCCAACGACCGCAACACCTCATAAACCTAAAGGTAAAGTAAAGATAGCTTCCCGACATGCTTCATGATATATTAAAAAGTATCCCCCTCCTTTGGGGCCTGATTAATCGATTACATCCAAAACCAACGTCATTTATATATATATATATCCGAACAAACCATATTTAAATGCGCCGAGTTCTCTTTAGCAGCTTTCATCAGCCGAAGGGTACCGAAACAAATGACCACACTTCTGATTGAACCATTATTTTTTCTTGCAGAACCATGCATGTATCTAAAGTTTTGGAATAACGCAGGTATTCCTTTTATGCTCCATTCCAGTCTTAAACCAGAGGGTTATTTAGTAAAAGGACGCAGCCTAGTTCTCCAGTACGTTATTGGAAGTGGTAAAGTGGTCAAGAGATCACTTGATGCTAATTACGATGACAAATATTTACCCCAGGTAAAGGGCGGTTAACTTTGGTCTAACTACGCTTACCTTTTAAACTCAATAGTACTAAACTATTGAGAAAAGAAAAAAAACTTATTGATATAGAACAACTAACATATGGGAATGATTAGATTTCTAAAAGATGTTGTCAATTTTGAGATTTAAAGACGATCATTAGTTTATCGGAATTTGCAAATCGTTCTTGTTATAACAAAACATTTATCTGAAGTCTCGAGCTCCAAAGGGAAGTCAATCATAGTTTGAGTTATCAGAGCATGGCAACAGGGAAATCAGTGATAAGAAAAATAATTACGTGCGTTCCATTCCATTAGGATTTATAAAGCGCTCTTCTTCATTGGTTGTGCTAAGGGGAATAAGCCCAAATACCGATGAATATTTTATAATGAAAAAGAACGTAACCGTGACTTGCAATTTTGATTCCATGATTAAAAGAAAAAACTATAAAACTGTATTGTTATATTCCTAGACTTTCACTCAACAAAACAAGCGCTGTGATTGGTTGATTCTTGGTCACGTGCCACCGATCGAATTCAAATGTATCCCGACCGTGATACAATTGCGCAGTTGTTGCCCGCGCGCCGAATACAAAAGCACTTTTTTTTGTTTTTGCCATGATTGTTGAAGGGAAAGTCTAAATACATGATAAAGCACTTCATGTTTAGTCCCTCGGGAAACTGGTTTCTTTTGTTTTCCCTTGAGTCCTGATCGATGTTTCCCTCGACTTCGTCCCGGGAAACATCAGGACTCTCGAGAAAACAAAACGAACTGTTTCGCTGGGGACCATAAATTAGGTGTATAATATAACTTGTAGGTCATGGAAGACTTAGGAGATAGTCAGCAACTATTTCTTGACAAGAGTGAAATCCCATCAACTGGCAAACATTTTGTAAGTTTCTGGGCGAGAGATCCGGCTGGAAAACGCAAGATTCTCTTGGAGGGAAAGGAGACCTTGTATGTGACTCCAGGATTTCAATGCCATCACTTTATATATGTGACAGTTACGTCAAGGCCAAAACCAAGTAAGTTACGATTACTTTAATTTTCACATTTTGTTGCCAAGTGGCCTGTTTCTCGTTAACTCCTCTCACCAAGGTATCAGTTCGCATATTGGTATCACAAAATACGAATTTGCATAAAGAATAATTCAACATCAACCCTTTTATTTGTTACTTTTAATCTATTACTTTTTTATGGCTTTGCAGGTTTTCCAACTAAGAAGCCGACAACACTAAGGCCCTTCACGACTAAGCCTTCAAAATCTACCTTGTCTACCTCTCCGCCGCCACCTATACCACAAACACAAGCACCTCCTGCCCCACCTCCTCCTCCACCTCCTCCCCCTCCACCTGACCCTCCACCTCCTACTCCTCCCCCTTCTCCTCCTCCGCCTCCTCCTCCCCCTCCTCCTCCTCCGCCTCCTCCTCCTCCTCCTCCTCCTCCTCGCCCTCCTTCTACACCTCATGTTCCTCCTCATCATACTACTCCTCATGTGCACGTCCATCCAACTCCTCCTTCACCACAAATACCGTCCCCTCCACCGGTGAAACCCCCACCACCACCACCACCTCTACCTCCTCCTCCTCCGCCTCCCTTTCCCCCTTCCCCACCTATGCCTGTTAGAACTACCAAGCCCCCTATAACCCCACCACCTTGTAGTCCCACAGGGTCAAATTTATCTTATTCTACAACTAAGCCTGGTCCATGTACCCCTAGTCCATCACCATTTCCATGTGGCCCAAAAGCAATAAGTACTCCTGGGATACCCCTTCGCCCATGTCGTACCTCTACTACAGCTTTCACCACGCCGAAAACTACGACACCTCCACCCTGCTGGCCAAATGGCAAGCCTCCATCCCCTGGCTCTCCACCTTGCAAACCTTCTCCTACTTTTCCTCCTGCTCCTCTTTCTTCTTTTCCTCGTCCTGCACCCCCTCCCACTCTTTCTCCCCCTCCAGTCCTTCCACCTAATCCTCTCGTTCCTCCCCCTCGTCCTGCTCCCCCTCCCGCTCCACCTCCTCCTGTTCCTCCCCCTCTTCCTGCTCCCCCTCCCGCTCCACCTCCTCCTGTTCCTCCTACTTCCCCTGCTCCTCCTACCAATACACCTCCTCCTGCTCCCCCTTCTCTTGTTCCTCCTGTTCCTACTGTTCATCCTCCTCCTGTTTCCCCCCCTTCATGCTCACCCTCAGCGTCCCCGAAACCATCTAATACTTTACCTCCATGCACATCATCCACACCAAATCCAATCACATTGCCAACAGTTGCTTCTGTCACCTTGCCAACACTACCACCAATTTCAACGCCTCCCTTGGTTCCAGGTTGGTGGAAAATAAGTTTGTGGGTAAAACGTCAAATTGATTACACTCATTCTGAAATATTCAAAGTTGATACTTATTTGAAGCTTGCGGAAGCTACATTAGCAATATAACTAGCGTTCTGGCCATTGCGCAGCGGTCTCGACTTTTGATCTTTGAAAGACATTGTCGAACTCGCTTGCAGTGAGCCAAGTGATCCCATGAACAAATAAAGAAACATATATCAATGAAAAAGGGTACTTACGTTGCTACAGAGGATCAATTTGTTACATTTTTCACCTCTTAAAGAATAGTTAAATTTCATGACAAAAAATTTATAAAACTCGATGAAGCCTTTTAAAGCTTGCCTTGAAAGGACTCTCATGGCTTTATGTCGATAAAAGCATAAAAAACAGTTTTTGCTCCGTTATTGTGGTTTAAGAAACCTGACTTGTGTTACTACGTGCGAAATGAGAGAGGCTAATTTTCTCACCAAAAAGGAAACAAAATATAGTCAGCTTTGAAAAGGGTCCTTGGCACTATTTTGTTCATGCCAGACCAGAAATGTCCCATTAAACTTTCCTTTTTGCCACCAGCGCGCATAATAACGTTATCAGCCTGCTCGTTGTTAATCAACAAATTGTTGCATAAAGCAAAAAAATACATTCTCGTGCGCCCTTATCTTACTGCCTTCTGAGAAAAATAAATAAAAACCACTGTTAAAATTCATAACCCTCCGAATCGCCTGAAATTTCATCTCATTGGGTTGTTTTTGGAAAACACAGGATGTATGCAGACTCATGGAGGGACCTCAATGGGAGCCTGTTGCATATTTCCATTCATCTATCGAGGCAGCCCGCAACACCGCTGCACGAGGGCTGAGAGAGGTTACCGCTGGTGCTCATCCACAAGTGACTACGACAAAGACAAGCTGTGGGGATTCTGTGCGGCATGCTTCCTTTCTCATGGAGGTAATTCAAATGGTAACTGCTGTCATTTCCCTTTCGTGTATAAAGGTACAATACACCCAACCTGCACCACTCACGATGCATCCAAGCCCTGGTGTGCCACCACGTACAACTATGATATTGACAAACAGTGGGGCTATTGTGGAGGTAAGGTAAAAAAATTCCACCATAACTTTGTTGGTAATTTGCATCAACACAGAAAAACTCAAAGGGACAGCTTCTTTCTCTCAAGACGGTAAACTTTCACACAAGTCTTCAAAGGGCCAACCTCAACCAGTGTGCTTCTCGCGTTGTTTTTGTTACTTTTTTCTGGCAACTCAAAACTGGGTCTCAAAAACCCACGCGACTTTGATGGGTATCAAAATAGCCGTGCCTTTTGCCAATATTTTCATAGCAAAAAGGTATTATCGATTAGAGCACGACTAAACCGCTAGTTTGGAAGAGGTATATTGACTACGTTTTCTGTCTGTTGCTGTTCGTTTCCTTTAAAATTACTAAAGCTGTCTTTCACTCATTCCATGCTTTTAACTCGGGTTGATTCTGGAAGCCACATAATAGGGAGGTTTCCTTTCATACAGGACGACGTCTTCTACGGTTTCATTATCGCGAAAGCGGAATGAAAACGACAAAACAATGTAGCAAATGGACGATAGACTTTTAAAAAAAACTATGTGATAGGTTAAAAAGCCGTTCACATTTAAGACTGCGGAGATCCATTCGAATAATAATACACAGACAGTGGGCTTCCCGTTGCAATAAAACAGAAAATGCTGAGAATTGCCATTCCGTCCGCAATTCATTCTGGTCGAGCGGGTTATGACCTTTCTTTTCCACTTATCTGAATTTAGTTTTACTGTCAACTCCAAGGTGATGCCCCTGGTTCGGCTCCTCAGCCCAAGATTTCTTACGGACCATGCTCCTTTGAGTGTGATGGGAAATGTATCGATTCATGTCCTGACTACTGCTGTGTAAAGAACATGAGACAAAGGAATACGCAGCAGACATTACAAGCAACATTGAATCAGGTAACACTCTCTTAGAAGGGGACGTCAAATCAAAGAAAATAAGGAGATCTGCTGTGAGTAACGATCAGTCAGGTCTACATCTCAGTTTCCAAGAAAAAGGGAACATGTACTTTGTTGCCTTTACAGGCTCAGCAAGGGTCGACAGCCCAGCAAGTATCACCGATTCCAAATACATCATCAGAATGTCCAGCTATTTGCAGTAAATTCTGTGCCCCTGATTGCCCCTTTCGCTGCTGTAATCTTCCTTCGCTTCCTTCTCCTTACGTGCCCAGTGTCGACCCATCACAAGTCCACTGTCAACCTATCTGTCTCAGAGTTTGCTTCAATACTTGCCCACGGCAATGCTGTCCGACGACGCAGTCGGGCGTAACTCGTGATACTTCTTCCTACACACTAACCCTTCCCTGTCCAGCTAACTGCTACCATAGCTGCCATGATAAATGCCCAATGCAGTGTTGCAAGACAGCACAACATGAGAAAAGGAGAATTCCAGTTCTAGATAACTACTCATCATCCCCTCTTAGTGTTCGATCCACGTCAGTTTGTCCTGCTAGCTGCCACACATCCTGTTCCAGATCATGTCCAAAGAATTGCTGTAAAATGCAGATCGACAAAGCAGGCAAGAGTAAACGACGAGGTTTAAGTAAATCTGGTAAGCTATCAATAAAATAATTATAATTACATGATATATCTAAGACGAAAAATGAGTACAGGACCTACACTACATAGTTAAGCTAAATCTGAGAACAATATACGTTCTACTGTTCGAGTGCAATCGTAGTTTTTTCAGTTAAATCGTATCATATCAACATGAAAGGTTTTTTTTGACTAAGTATACATGACAAAACTTGTTAAGGAGCAACGGGGGTAAAGAAACTGTGGTGCTACGTCGGTGGGAGAGTATAGCAGGTAATTTAGTGTTAACAACTAAGTTCAAAACGTAAATTAGCCACTGTAAAGGGTAAAAAAGCTGACGTTTCGAACGTTAGCCCTTCGTCGGATCCAATCGCTCTAACGCTCGAAACGTCAGCTTTTTTACCCTTTACGGTGGCTAATTAACACTAAATTACTTGTTAAGAAGCAGATGAGTTAGCAGGTTAAAACGTTCGAAGAGCTGAAAGAGTTGGTGGGCCCTATAAAGTTTTTTCTCAACCCAGCAAGTGTCATTTCAACTGACCACGTCAAGGAAAACATTGATTCAAGTTCAGGTATAGGATTGACCTTGTGTCATTTTACTTTTAAGTATGTAAAGATGGTCATATTACAGCCGGGGGAAATGCACAGGGAGCATGTTGTAGGCTTCCCTTTATTTACAAAGGCACAGTTTTCTGGAGATGCACAGCTGAAGACGCTGACAAAAAATGGTGTTCAGTCACAAAAGTTTTCGATCTTGACCGAAAATGGGGCTACTGTGCTTGGTGAGTAAATGGGTTTGCCTGTGGCTCTTAATATTCGCCTTATCATCTATAAAGTTCTCGAATCTTTTGACCCCTAAAAGTGATTAGCATCTAATTTCTCCGTACAATATATATAAAATATATTATAATATATCTTATTAGACGTTTTGGTGTGCAGTCAAAATACAAACATAACGTCAATAAATCATTTATAATTCAACCGGTTCGTTTCATTCGCAAGTGGGTGAAGTGAAGCAGATAGAGAAGCGTAGCGCAATCAGCCGACCGTAATCATATTTTTTACAGCAAAAAAAAGACAACTGTCCAATATCGTAGGATATTTGTACTCGATTAGAAAATTTCGTCGTAAGGTGATTTCTCAGCGCGTACGTATTCGGAGAACACGGTATTGGTTTTCAATCAATGAGGTAAACAGGTATGATTGTCTTTTGTTCTTGCTCGAGGATGTAAATCACGACCTTGAAAGAAACAAATCGAGGAGTGTTTTGAGTCGATATCGTTTTAAAATTGTGTCATTTTTCCACAAATTATATATCAAACCGTTACATACGTTTGAGACTTCCTATTTTTCAAGTGTTATTGTCAAAAGCCTTGCTTTCAGCAACCGCGAAATGTAGCGTTATTCGTTTCAGTACGGGTCAAATGGGGTATGTTTGGTCCATCACATCTCTTTAACAATCACGGTGACCAATCTTTTTTTATTGTATTTTTTTAAACAGACATTGGTAGGGAAAATTAAAGGAAATTCAAAAATAAATTGTTCGATAGCCTTTTTTTCTTAGGAACGGCGTTAAAAGTAAGATTTCTCATACCTCTGGCTTCATATACCTATCTCACTAAATAACTGTCATTTTGTACCATTTAGATTGAATAAACGATTGAGTGAAGTAAAAAGTGGTCATCTAACCTGGACGAAATTCTGGAAGGGAACGATTATTGATCGTGGAATACATATGAGGAAGCGTGTGTTGAAAAAGATGTCATTTATGTAAGTCTTCCTTCAAAGTCCTGGAAACAATAAATGGCCTTATGGACTTCGAAGGGATAAAACCACACTTCAGACTTAGTTTACTTCCACTTTGTGAAAAGTTTCAAAGATAATAAAGGATGATTTTTTAATAATTTCTTTGTTTTCATCGTTACGGCTATGACGTTAGTCCTCAGACCATAAACCAAAATTAAATCGAGAAGATGGGTATCACTTAAAATGATGTCGGGAAAAGGCAATACTGAAGACTTTCCAACCCACCCATCCCATCCACTCGAAGAATGTTTATCGATTGGTTTAGAGTTATATTCACCATGAGAACTGAGCAGCGGTTCCCGGACAAATCTTTTCGCCGATAACAATGAAAATTAAAAATCAATTTATGAATTTGTTTGCGGCCATTTACGATCTGCAAAAGCTAGCACACCCTATAGACATTTAGAAAAAAATCAGTCCATGAAATATCCCTACCTCGAATTGCTGGAGTTACTTAACTTTTTTTTTCAGTGTGTGGAGAATCTCTATCACGAGTTGCGCTTTCAGTTTGTCTGATCACGAAAGATCACTAAATTTATTTCTTCGATCGTGGCTTAATTTAAGACTAAAGTAAGAAGGCCGAGATAATTTCTAGTGCACGAGAGAAGAGATTACGGATTCGAAGAGAAAGATTGTTTGTCATCGAAGAATTTTTTTAAATCGCCTTAACCAGTCTCCCAGCAGAATATATACCGTTTTCAGTCAAAACAAGTAACCTCCATTTTGCCATGTTTATAGCGAGCGCAAATGTGGGCTTCTAAAGCCCGCGCTCGACTTCAAGAACTATGCTAACCATGTTTTTTTAATCGTTTCCTCTTGGTTAGAAAATAATGATCAACCATACCAACACAAAAGAGTTATTTCTGCCCATTACATTGCAGAAACTTAACCAAACTTGAATCCATAGATACCAATAGGAAAGAATCTGAATGATGCCCGACCAAGTTAACCAAAACAGCGGAGTGCTGCGCACTTACTTTAAAAAAAAATTAACCTGATCTTTCAAAATCTTAGGCCACATCCTTGTGCGAGTTACTGCAACTCATGATGTTATACCTACAAGCTTAGAAAGTGGACAAAAGCTCAAGAGGGTAAAGTTGATTACGCCAGTTGAGCGTGTCATTCAAAACAATATTCTAAAAAAATTGGCTTCATGTATGTCACCAACTGTGACTAGCAAGGCTAGACCTCCCAATCAAGAAGAAATATATTCAATACCGCTGAGCATAATTTTATGAACAACGTAGACGCACCTTCAAATTACCAGATACTGTTTTAAGTTTTTGAACGCCATTTCCCTCATGTATAAGCTTATTGAGGGATTATTGTCCGACCTTAGGGAAACCTTTTCATTTGGGCATTTCTGCAATGTAAAAATGAAAAAGGAACTCAATATTCGATAACATTACACACTCTTAACAAAGACATCTGCTATTATTCGTCGCTTAAGGATTTTCACATTTTGAAATACAATCTTTTGAAATTTAGAGATATTCTGAAAGAACACATTCCTGCATTTAATAATATTCCTTCGCTCTTACCCCAGTTGTTCTTTGTAGCTAAATAGAGACTGCGGTCTTAGACGATACTAAGTATCGAGACCATGTTAGTTTGTTAAAGAGATGAGTCCGGCATAAGATTTCTAAACTCATAAAGTGGCAAGTTTCATCCAATAAAAAAGGAACAAAAATTCCAACTTTGATTCACCGCTTAGCTATAATGTTCGATTGTCATCGGTTCAAATTTACCTCACTTGCAGTCACCTCATTCTTTAGCACACAGTTATTCATTATTGCAGTGAAGCGAGCAAATTGGATAGTTTAAGTTTAATTGTTTTTTAAATTACACTGTGTAAATTAAGGATATGCCCCTTGGTCACCGACCAGATTCTGCTTCGTTTAAATTCAAGCTTAAACTCAAACGAAGTCGTAGCGACATCAGCAACAAGAGATTCGTAACAGCAAAGAGAAAATAGTTTTATTTTTTGTGAGAACGTTTTTTAAAAACTGTGTTTGGTCTACGGTTTCACACACCGAAGCCTAAATAATTTAATGTACTGAGAGAACAGGAAGGAACAGGTATCAAACAATAGGAGACCAGTGTTCTGCCAGAAGGGACAAATAAAGTGATTTTCCTTAAAGTGCTGGTTATAGTCTGCCAAGAAAGAGGCGTTTAGAAAAAACTCGTTCCGTAAGTGCTTAACTTGACTGCGATATGAGGTAATTATTACCTACATGTTACTTCGCTATCATTAAATTGTAGATATTGGAGAACGTTCGGAAAAATAACTCACAATGAAACGTTGATACCACACAGAGATTACGTCACTCAAAATACGACAGCAAAATGAATCTCGGGGCAGGTGCCCACGCTCAGTTATCCTCGTCTGTAGGACGACCTTCCTTTGATCTTTGACTTAAATGTCTTCGAATCAATTGTTTTGACGGTGTCCCTGTTGTTTTTTTTCTACATTGATGTATTTCTGGAGAAGATAAATTAGTTTGACATGAGAGCTCTTCTAGTTTTGTTTGCGTTTCTTGTTTTGACGGACCAAGTGAGCAGTGGTAGAAGAAAACCCAAGCTACACGGTCGTTTCAGCCAAGCAAGACTGCGTGTCACCGGTAGGTGGGATATATTTGCTTGGATAAATGAACAGATTTTACGCCTGGGAATTCCCTGACGGAACTTATACCGTAAACATCTTACAGTAATTTTCCTTACCATAGCTATAACACGCGAACAATTTTGTCTCTCATAAGTGTCATAGCGGTCATGGTGTTCAACGTTAAGTTCTCAACGTATCTAAGGCATTTTAGGTATATTACTCTTTTTAATAGCTTGGTATAAACGGTCTAATATACAACTTTGTTGGCTAACTTAGTGAGAGCAAACATTACACCTTAGGCTATTTGAACAAAGCAGGTACTAACTCTTTATTCTAACTGTCGCGTTGTCGCTTAGTACCTGGTGGCCACAACTGAATTTTTTTCCTAGAAATTTTACTTAGTAAAGGTAACTCGCACATTTAGCTGTTTTCGGTCCTTTCCTGTTTAGCAGCTTTTTACGCAATAAGCTCCCTTTGCCGATTCCAAACTTTTATTATCACCAAAACCAAAATTTTAATTTTTTTATTGATACAAAAGAAAGTAATGTCTTTACTGGTTGCCTCTATTGGTAGCTGTATTGGTAGAAACAGGATTACCAAAAGCTGTTATCTTGAGGCATGTCATATGTGTCTGTAGATGTCACAATTGTAGCAGTTTCGAAACTTATTTTCACTGAAGGTTCCCGCGTATCTACGTATTCGCTATTTTATTGGGGGTTAAGATAGAATTGACAGTACCTCTCCCACAGAACTATCAAGCCTTACACGATCTTCACACAAAAAGCGACCGAAAAAAACTCACAGCTAAAAAAAAAAAATATTTTCTGTTGCAAAAGCGAGTGAAAGACACCCGTAAGAATAAAAGAAGGTAAGAATTGAAATTGCTCAAAAATTTTTCTTCGATGTAGTACACAAGAAGCTATAGTATCACAATGAGTTAAATCCTACTCTTAGAGTGAGTGATTAAGGTAACCCTGCCACATGGACTAGACACGTTAATAGCCATCAACAACATCTAGAAACTTTGGAAAAGAAATTATCAACGTGGTTTAAGAACATACCTCTGGATAATATTTTAATAGAAAAATAAATAAATAACTGTCATTCCGTTTTCACACTGAGTGGTGTAAAGAAAGCAATCATAGAGTAGTACTTAACTAAAAGACATGGTCAAATGAATCCAAAGGATCAAAATGAAATGAAAATACTACGAGCGAAGTAGTTATCAACTATTTGAGATGCAATATATTTTTCATTTAAAACTGCAAATTATTAGACTGAGCAATTACGGACTGAGTAATACGCGTGGAATATATTAGAACATTTACACTTTGAGTTCAACGAAACAAACGGTCATTTTCGACAACTTTTTTAAAACTCAATGCCTAAAATAATAGGCGCTCCTCAAAAACTAATCATCCATGAAGCATCAGTAAAAAAAGCTGAATAAACGTTTTCTTACATTTCTTCTCCAGATCTAAGTAAAGAAAAAAAGGCTAGTATACCAGGGTTACCATCAGGAATACCAGGTGTTTCTGTTCCTTCCTCCAGTGGAAATGACTCGGTGATACGTAAGTATGGCCACAGGTTTAGAATTTTCGACTACATTTTTTATGCAGGTCTGTGACCAATGACCTTATAGTGTTATTGGCTTCGCAAATTTAATACAGCCATTCATGTTCATTTGCACGGAATCGTTTCATGGCTTAACGACTGGAAAAAAATTTCTGCCATAACGATTAATTTATCTAAACTGCGCTAGAATTATGACGTGTAGAGGAAATTTAAAACTTTACTCAATACCTGATAACCTGCTCCCAAGACACAATGTCACTGAGCCATTGTCGAACTAATGTTCGGCATTCTAACGACTGGAGTATGTCGGATAACCACAGAAGAGTGTGTAGTATTACGCCAGTAGCAAAATTTTCCAAAACCTTCGGGCAAGTTTGAAGTGTTCTATCGTTCAGCAGAAAACAAGTGCATCTTTTGTTACACTTAAGGTTTATTTTGGGAATTAAACTTTGGCCTGAGTTAAACATTTTCCCTCGTTCACTTAGCTGTGATAACTGGAAACAACTCGGTTGTTCACGCTGCAACTGTCGGAGCCTATGCAGGAGCACAGGCGGGAGCTAGTAGTGGTGCTCAAGAAGGAGCCAAGACTGGAGCTAAGGCTGGAGCCGAAGCAGGAGCCAAGGCTGGCGAGGAGGCAGGGTCGAAAGCTGGGGAAGAGGCTGGAAAACGAATAGCCCACGAGATAGCACTGGAAACCGTTCAAAAAATATTAATGGCACAGGTGCAGAGTGGTGGCGTTTTCAACATCTTCGGACAGCACCCCACTCAGAAGCCGACTACAGCAGCAGGTGGAGGAGGAGCTGGTGGAGGAGGGGGAGGCGGTGGAGGTGGTGGAGGCGGAGGCGCTTCTGCAGGAACAGGTGCCACTGCAGGAACTGCTGGGACGGCTGGAACTGCTGGGACAGCAGGGACTGCTGGAACAGCAGGCACCACTGGTGGGGGAGCTGGAGCAGGCGCAGGAGGAGGAGGAGGAGGAGGAGGAGGAGGCGGCGGCGGAGCTGCAGGGGCTGGAGCAGGAGCGGCAGGGGCTGGTGGTGGTGAAGAAGGCGAAGGGTTAGGTGGAGTTACCACCGGTCTGCCCATAATTAATGGCGTTATGGGTTCAGCTGGGGCCGGAGGAGGGGCAGCAGCTGGAGCAGCAGCAGGAGCAGGGGCAGGAGCAGCAGCAGCAGCAGGAGCAGGGGCAGGGGCAGGGGCAGGGGCAGGAGCTGGTGCTGGTGCTGGTGCTGGTGCGGCAGGGGGTGCTGTAGCTGGTGGTGCAGCTGGTGCAGCTGCAGCTGGCATAGCAGGAGCAGGAGCTCAAGCTGGTGGAGGTGCAGGTGCTGTAGCTGCAATATCAGCGGCAGAGATGGCTGTTGCTACGGCTAAGGCAGCCGCTGCAGTAAGCAGTAGTGGAGCAGCAACTGCATGTAAGTCGACTACTCATTAGTACCAGCTGGGAATTTGTTAGGAAGTTTAAATGTAACAAGTATCAGAAATACCCTCGGGTATGTCCTTGAATAAAACCTCGCAGTCACCAGGCCTTCTCCCCATGCGCCTATGGATGGGAAATAAAGCTACAGATAAATATAATCTTGAATTTTTTATATATATTTTACAGTCTATCATGGCGCCATGTATATGATTTATTCTATAAATCATCCCGCCATACAGAACTACAGAAGTAACGCCCAGTTTTATGTCCGCGGTGAAACTCTCTTACTTGGACCAAAGGGCCAATACTTTATCGCTCACGTTCCAGGATTTAGTCGCGATCGAAACACAATCTCACTGGAGTCATACTGCAAGAGAGGTTACTTCTTAAGGCAGAAGAAGTATGGTTTTATGCTCAGAGCCACACATGCAAGCTTAAATTTTGGTACGTTTTTATGATACTTATAATGATAATATAATAACATATGCGGTTATATAAATTCGATAGTCAGCAGTTAGTTCAGTTAAGCGGTTTCTGTGTCCTCAGTAGATCACTAACCCATGGTGACGTCAAAAAGTGGCACAATATTAAGCGGTCGGTTTTCAAAGTCTCGAAATTTTTTCTCCTTAAATACTGTAATTTTCACCTTTATTAAGTGTTCGTGATACCCTTTACTAAGTCCCAATGGCCTGCTTGCCTCGTCTAACACCTGTATTGAATGGTCCCTTAAGGCATAAGCACTAAATAAAACTAGTAATAATCTGCAAGTGAAATTTGAAATTAATCCTGAAATTAACGTTATTATTATTTTGGAGAGAGTTTTTGTATATTAAGTGGTCGTTTAAAACATAGAATGGCGTTTTTTTCTCGTTTTTATAATACATCTATTCTGTGGATCCTTTATTGTGCAGTCACCCCGCCATTCCACGTGATCGACCACTTAATACAGGTCGACTGTCTATGAAAACTACTATTACAGCTCGTCAACTTTTTCATAGAACCGTGGGAACAAGAATTGAACTTTATTGTGTGGTCTGATCGTCTGGATTAAGGTAGTCTGGAAATTAGCAGTTATCGACTGTTACTATTTGGAAGCGTAAGTCACTGTCGCCAAAGTCTCTCCTTTCCAGGATTACCCGACTAGATATGGTTTACACTAAGAATCAAATGGGGAAAGATATATGACCTTAAAATAATTTCCTGTCAATGATTATAGAAATAAGTGATAGTCAAAAAAGAATAGTTTAATCTGTCATAATTTGGACTGACATTTGCATTTATTTCCTAGCCAAAGACGCAACGTTTTACATTGGTCGACGGGAGCATTTAAAAGATACATTTTCCTTTGGTTTGATTCATCAAGGGTGGTATCTCACAGCGTCAGACAAAGTTAGATCTGATTCGTGGAAAACAATAGCTGCCTATGACAACAAAACTAACGAGTTTGCACTCGAAAGTTCCTACGTCGTGGTTCCTTTTTCGATGGACGACCCAAAAATAAACTGCGAAACTATAGGCCCACAAGAACCAGAAGAACCTGAGGTGCCGCCAAGTATACCAGGACAGCCTCCGAGTATCCCTGGCGAGCCGCCACCTCCGGCACCCTCCCCGCCTGCACCCTCCTATCCTGGACAACCTCAATACCCACCAGGACCAGCTGGAAGTAATTATCAACTAAATAATCAATAAGGCATCGCCTCAGCTATTTCTTTGAGCACAAATTTCACATTTTTTTCTTTTAGACATGATATTAACACATCATGGCAAAGATACTTTAAAATAAATAATAGCTGTGTTTTTCAACAGTAATGTATATGAAAAAATTACGCTCTTCTGATCGACTGAAAACGAGTGGATTCTCGTGTAATGCGAGTGAACAGTTGTAACACGAGTGCAAATTACAAATAACGCTCAAATTTCGTCTTCCTTGACTTTCTGCGATGTTTTTTAATGTACGTGCAATTTTTTTGTCTTGTATACTCATGCATTTACACCAAATTGCACTCGAAATCATGTTGTTACCCATACGAAATGGTATTTTCAGATTAACATGTCATTATAATATATAGTGAAATATTTCACTTTATATCTCACCACCCGCGAAAGGCTGATTTCTGTAAAAACATGTGTACTTAAAAGTGATGTACTTCAAGTTAGGCCTGCGCTGTCGGAATGAAAAGAAAACCAATGCTAGCTTTATATTGGAGGCATGTGATTTTCGTTTATCTTACTTTTGTGGCTTATACCACGTCAACTTCGTCAATAATTGTTTGCCTGATTTTTCCAGTAACTTAACTATACTAACGTTATGTTCAAAATTTTGTATCTCCCCAGGTAAATGTATAGCGCTGCGGTTTATTAACAGTGTTGGTCATCCATTCAAGTTAATTTCAGCAATGAAGCCGGAAGGTTGGCTTGTCACGGGAGAAGAGTTTAGAATCAGACTAACATTCAAAGACCCTAATCTCCACAAATTTGTCACTTTTAGAGGAGAAGACCCCTACGGCCAATACATACTTCACTTAGATGGTGACAAAACCATTTCAGTTATGCCCAGAACAGACTGCTCAGATTACATAGACGTACAGGTGACTGGTATTCCGGGTGAGTTGTGACGCAATAACAGTTTAAAAGCAGAAACGGGTCTGGTGAAATGGTACAAACACAACACCAAGTGATCAATGAGCTGTAAAACCACTATTGAGATTTCCTTAACAAGGAACAGCTGATAAATATCATTGCACTAAAAGACGTTGAAGAAAAAATCAGGCCTAACAGTTAACAACTGATAGTTAAGTGTTGTCGTGTGTTGTTATGAAGAAGATTTTCAAAACGATAAGACTTTTTGGTTGGGGTCTAATCAAGGCCATGTATTTCGATCTATACACCTATCTGGACAACAACAACATAATGCGACAAGCTGTTTATATGTTTTCATGTTATTCTTTCAGTACCAGCGCCATCAATTCCTCCCCAGGTAACACCAGTGCCAACCCCTCCACCACCTCCCCCAGCTTCCCCACCGCCCCCTCCTCCACCTGCACCTATGCCACCACCACCTTCTCCACCCCCACCTCCACCACCACCAGTGTTGGCTCCACCATCTCCGCCACAGCCTCCCCCCGCACCTCCACCAATTACCCCTCCAGCAGCACCTGCTCCGCCGCCGCCGCCGCCACCACCACCACCACCAGTAGCACCGCCAGCAGCACCGCCAGCAGCACCGCCAGCAGCACCGCCAGCAGCACCGCCAGCAGCACCGCCGCCAGCACCGCCAGCACCTCCAGCACCGCCAGCGCCTCCGGCAGCAATGCCCCCACCAGCACCTCCAACGCCATCTCCAACTACAGGTAAGTGATGGAATGTAATTGATATCTTTTTTCTATTTAGTTCGATGACTTGTTGCATGCGTGAAAAATTCAGACAGTAAACAAGGTAATTTTGGTCATTTCGTTATCATAATATGTACGAGTAGTATACGAGTCGTTTCGTGCTCTTATGAAATAACGAAGTGAAGCTGGCACCCTGAAAATGTCTTGTGACCGAAAGTGACTACAATACGATCTTGCTGAATAATTTGCCAAACGGATGCATAAGGCGGATTGCATTTGGTGTTAATTTTATTACCAATTTATTAAATTCTATTCCGGCCGCTCCACCACCGGCAAATACTACAGCAGCTAGTTAGTGTGGGATGCTTTTTGAAATATGCTTTTTGCGATGTGGTATTTGCATTTCAATAATGTAATGATGCCTTTGTTATTGTCAAATGCCTACCTCAGCCAATTATTTGGTGCAAAAATAGGAACAACTCCTTCAATGTTCTTGAGCCATTTTAACCACTAAATGTAAATTTGGCTTCACAAACTTGATTGATCTAGGAAACTATTATCAACATTTTCTCATATTCCATTATTAAGTAGTTGTTGTAATAGCGTAACAACAGTAGAGATAAATTAATTTTTTAGTTTTTCAATTGATTTATGTGATACTTTTTTGTTCCAATAATAATAATAATAATAATAATAATAATAATATTAATAACAATAAAATAATAATTCAGCGCCAAAAGGAAGCTCAGTATATACTAAATATAAAATAACACGAAGTGATTACGACATTCATTTCACTCAATCCCGAGTCGTTATACTTTTTCCCTTTGAGAAATTCGTCCAAAAACCATTATGATTATCCATATTTTCGTTTCTTTCTCTTGTTTTTCAGGTGGAAAAGATGTGCACTATCATTTCCATTATCATCCTGATGGTAAATATTCCTTTCGTAATCTAACCTTTATTACCCATTTTGCCAACAAATTAAGTAAGGCTTAATAGGTAATATTTAACGTTCTCTATGCAATTTTCTGTATTTGTAGAAGTCAGTTAGTGGGATAATTATTCATGACACACATCAGAGTCTTCTCTAATGCTTCTAATTCCATTTATCTGGATTCTTTTAAATTGCGTAGGAATTTTCATGAAATATCAAGTAACTCTTTGGTGTAAAATGGCCCAGATCCACAAAAATTGCATGAGTATAGAATCTCGTGTTATAGGCACGTTACTTTGAAAGGGAATTGTTGCGTCACTCAAACCTTACAGTGTAAAACGTTTTGACGTCCACTGGGTAACTGACTGGCTCAGCCGCGAAAGCGAATTCCTAAGGTAGATAATGTGTTAATTTTAAGAACTAAAATGTGCATGTAACTCTGAAAAACCTTGCGAAACTTCTGACGGAACAAAAGAAGACGGTACAAAATAACCTGACTTTGAAACTCCTTTGCATTGTGGCGATGCCAACTAGCACGAGAGTCTAAGTAGTAATAATTTTAACCACAAAAATGCATCAAATTGCTGTTATAAACAAGAGTTCTCGGCAATTTGGACCAAAAATTAAAATGATAAAGCTGGATTTCGCGGCTGCAGCAAGCAGTTTCCATGACACTGAGGTTGGAGGCAAGACGCAAAAGGTAAGAAATTTCCTTCCTTCCTTATTGTTATTCAATTTTTTATTCAAAAGTCAATGAAATGAGCCATTTGAAAACCAAGTTCACTAAATAAGTTATTTTTCTTTAGGTAAGATTCACTCCTGCCCGATTATATGCCATGCATCACATTCACCATGCCACCCTTCGTGTCCCATCACCTGCTGCAATGCTGAAAGTTACGATGAAATCGAATCCACTAACGCTCTTAAGCATTCAGAAATACCAGTTGCTATCTCTAGTAGATCAAAAGTCAAGCGAGAGAGTTGCAGCTGCCTTATGGAGTGCGATGGACCCACGGCAGTGAATAATGGAACCTGTCACGAAAAATGTACTTGCCATCCTGACGATAACGATGCCCTCTCTGTAGCACGGAAGCCTATCTACCCTCATACACAAATAAAAAAGCCCCGAAAAAAGTTCTTGCATCCGCATTTTGGCCACAGGGAAATGAATAGAATTCAAGATTTATTTTCGAAATGGATACATGAATACGGTGATGGATTTAAAAAGGTGACTAAGGTGGACAAAACAATAAAAGACGAAAGGTTCAAATTTCTCAACAATATGATGAGGAACTACCAACATTTCCGGGGAAAAGAAAAAGCCTTGAGGCTTCTAGAGGAGGAACAAAGTGAGCTTAGGAATCAACAGGAACATTTGCAAAATTTATTGACGAAGCAAGAAAAAGCCTTGACTAGGACTGCTACTCATAATGAGGTTGCCACTCCCAGCGCAATGAAGTATGGACGGAAGAGGCCACACGGTGACGATGTTAATATCACCATAACCACTAGCAACACAACCCAAGCGCCACCAACAACGCAAGCCCCCTTAAATCAGTATACTCTCCTTGAAATTGAAGGCATAAAGAAGCAGATATCAGAGATTCAGGTGCAGTATCAAAACCTATCGATAAAACAGACTCAACTTGCTGCAGATTTAGAAAAAGAGCAAGCTCTTTTTGAGCAAGCAAGACAGCTTATTGCGCTTCTCGTTAAGCAAAACCAAGGAGTTACAAATTCTTCACCTGCTACTTCACAGACACAGTCAGACTTTGGAGGCGTGTCAAATGACGAAGAGCTGCGCAATGGAGGGCCGGCCCAAGGCTCTGAATTACTTAACCGGTTACAAAACGTCCTCTCTCAGCTGGTGTTGACAGACGATGGGACAGCGCTGCAAAATGATGGTCGACAATTGATGCTCCTTCAACAGAACCAAGACCAAGATCAGTTTGAAGGAATTAAAAACGGAAACTCCATTAACGACAAATCTGAAAATGCTTATCAGGAGCCAAATAATATGATGTACAGCATTCCAGTCGAAATTGATCGCAGTGATCTCAATAGCCAGGAGCAAAGAAATTCCTTATTTGAAAGAAACGAGATAGGCGATGACGGTGAAAACGATGATGAATACATGCCGTTTGTCATGGACCGAGACTATTCCGATGAAGAGATTGAGCCTGAATCTGCAACCCTCGAGAAAAAGACACTTATTTCACCAAACTCAAACGTCAATACTCGCAAAACTAGCAGGAGATCGAAAAAATATAAAAGTAAACTAAAAGAGAAAGACAAGTCAAGTGGTCAAACTAAAAAACACCGTGATCGGAAAACTTAAGTTGTTAGGTGTTTTCACACCACTTATTTCAGAGGTTTACCGTGTTATCATTGATGTTTGTATTGTATGGTTACACATATTGTTCAATACAATGGTGAAACCGTTTTGCATCATAATAGTCAAATGAAAGCTAGTCATTTCCATATGGCATCCACATTATTCCACAAGTCAACCGATCAAATATGATTAAAGGAAAATGAAAAAATGATTCTCAAAACATTTCATATGGTTCTCTGAAAAAGAGAGATATCTCTCTTAAGCATTTTGTCTCTACGCCTGTGTTTTCTCCCCAAATAAATCGAACCTTAGGTCTCACATTTTGTGAAGTCTTACCTCGGCGTAGGACAAAACTGAAAGGAAAAAAATGGACTATTAAAAATTTCTGTAAAGCTACCAAACTAAATTAAAAATTGTTAACTGAACCCCAGTTAACTCAATTGTGCTTTGCACAACTCGGCCCGGCTGAGCTTCAATTGGGTCTTCTCCTACTTAAAGCAAACAGTCTATTATGCCAGTCTCTAATCCAGTCTTTTATGCCACGGTCATCACATTGCGATGGGCCTTTGGTAAGAAGATAGTTTTTTAATTTGCAAAGGGATCTACGAGTCTAACGGTTGTAGTAAAATCACTTGATTCGCTAGCTCCCTCGACCAATTGAAGACATCGAGCCACTTCAGAACCAGGTTATCTTCCGTTGTGAATATAGAGTACTGAGTTCACAAAATATTGTTGAGTAAATGAGCTGTCTCTCTTATAGGTCGGCCTTAATGTTAATAGCTCTTAAAACTTACAATATCTGGTTTTCCCTTTAACTTTCATATTAATTAACATAAGCTTTGGTTGGTATTTCACAGTACTAGGATGTGCCCCGACACATGGTGGAAATTCTGAGGGAGCATGTTGCATGTTCCCATTCTCGTATAATGGAGAGCAGTATAACAGTTGTACAGATATGGACAGCAACAAGTTGTGGTGTGCTACTACGCGAGATTATGACGCCGACCAAAAATGGGGTCACTGCCAAAGTAAGTTTACTACTTACATTTATAGAAAACATTATTTCAGAGGCAAAAAACGTACAGGCTGGTTTTAGAGGAATTTATTTCTTTCTCACACAGTTAATGAAGATAAGACCCCAATCAAGAGAGGTAATGCTTCATCATTGGCTGATCCGAATTTGCGGTTTATTTTTAAAAGATTCGGATCATAAATTAGCGAAATTTTGTTCTTGCCCTGCTATCGTTACACAAATCCTAGACGGTGAATTTGTAAACCTGTGATTTAAGAAGTCTCCAATAATGCTTTCAGGTTGCCATCACACATACGGCGGGAACGGAAATGGAGCTTGTTGCCAGTTCCCTTTTGTTTATAACGATATGATCTATCATCACTGCATTCGAGGAGACCAAGCTAAACCATGGTGCGGCACAACGTACAATTTCGACAGAGACGGCAAATGGGGTTACTGTAAAGTAAAAGGTGAGGTATCCATCGGTAACGTATAACTGAATTATCAGGGGTTTTCTTCGGTGAGTGTTTTGGTTAGACAAATTAGACTACCTCTTAATCGTAACAATCTAAAGCCATTACGCTTAGATTCTGTTAGCATTTGGCCTTCGGTCTCCCTTTGCTGACCCTTATGTCAACCACAATACACTCCTGACGGAACTGTTTCACTTATACAAGACTGAAAGCACATACACTGATTGTATATTTTTGTTCGCAACGGATTGCATCGGGGCAATTATTTCCGAGGTTGCTCGTGTGCCAATGGTTACAAAGGATACCTCACTTTCTCTTTCTGAGGACTGCGATCTGAGTTGCTCGACTCCTCTAAGAGTAAGTTCTCGCTGCAATTTGAAAGCCTCAGATTTAGACAAATTCACTTCTTCGTTTTCTGCTTGCTTACTCTACAATGCATGTCAGTTAAAACTGCGTGCACGCTATTTATCCACAGTTGCCAAGCCAAGGCCAACGGAAAGTATCAACTTTCACGTCAATGTACCGTGTCCGGGTAATTGTCAATCAAAGTGTGACGAATCTTGTCCAGCCCATTGTTGTTCCTCCACGAGCTCCTGCCCATCGTACTGCGCGCATTCCTGCAAACCAGCCTGCCCTGATGAGTGCTGCCTCTTTCCTTTACCGGTAATTCAAAATCCTGCACCTGCTCCTGCTCCTGTTCCTGCTCCTGCACCTGCGCCTGCGCCTGCACCTGTACCTGCCCCTCCTCCTCCTCCCCCTCCTCCACCCCCACCCCCTGTACCTCCAGCGCCACCGCTGCAACTGCAAGCCCCTTCACCTCCTTCAATTTTCATTTCTGCTCCTTATCCTCCACCACCACAACCTTATGTACTACCAGCACCATCCCAGACATACCCAGTGGCTTTAGGACCGCCGGCTACCTGTCCATCACTTTGCAACACTGTATGTATGGGCTCCTGTCCTGTGGCATGCTGCACAAGATTCGCCCCTCTATCAGCCACACGAGTCTATGTTCCACCACTTCCACCCCACCCACAGCCATACTACGTTCAGCCGCCACCTCCACCTTATTTTCAGCCTCAGCAACAACCATGGCCAACTGCATGCCCAACAATGTGCAGGTCAAAATGCGTCAGCACCTGCCCCATACATTGCTGTCAAAGATCAGTGCTAGACAACCTTAGACGCTTAGCAAATTCTCGTGAGCAACACAAAAATGTTGCAAAGTCGCTAACACCTTCCACACCAGGGTCAACTCCACAAGATCGTCTTCATCAATCAGCGGACCAAAGAGAATCAACCAGTGCCCCCCAGCCTCCTCCTATCTCTCTATCGCCTTTGTTATCTTCCTCAATCAAGTGTCCGGACATTTGTTCACGGCATTGCACCAGGGTATGTTCACGTGAATGCTGCGCGGAAAAAGCCAAAGATTTAACCTCAACCAGTGCGGATGATAAAGGCCACGTAAGACGCAGTAAAATTCTTCATAAGAGAAAACCAACGAAGAGACTTGTGGCTAACAAACGTAAATTGTAAGGTAATTTTCAAGCCGGATTCGAAGATCATTGTGTGGAATGTTGTCAACTGTTAGTTCAGTCAACGAAAAAAATGATGGCTGTGGGACTCTTTTTCAGAATAATTGGTATCCATTTTTTGTTTTGTTCTGTATTTTAAACAAAAGGTTACACCAAACACTAACGATGAGGACACGTTGCAATAGACAGTGAACTGACAAAACAGTACAACAACCCACTAACTTGTCTTCAGCACCTCTTAAAGCTAATTTTAAGGGTACTCCTTTCTACATGATCAAAGCTAGCATCGTGAACGGGATTTATGTATGACATACTCATCAAAGAACTGAAGTAGTGATATAGCCAAAGTGAGTTGAGATATCGATCTTAAGCAGTTGTCACACCGAACAAGCCTTCATCATAATTGTCGCATTATTGTTGAACTATTGTAGGTATCCTAGATTTATCGACAAAACGTTCCTTATAACTCATTATTTGATGATTTACAGTTAATAATGGTAATAGTAATGAATTGAGTTCAATTCGGTCTGTAATCATATGAGTGATTAACAAAATCGGACGACCGCGAAGCGGGAGTTCGATTAAATTATCACGATTATGATGACAAGAAGGCCTGTAACATTAAAAAAACAACAGTTTACTCGGCGAAGTGCGCGACAACAGCACGCGCACATGACTCGTACCATCCACTTACACTGAGTGAGGCTTGACGTGTCGACGGTCTTATTACGGTGTCCAATTACAAGGATGACGCGTACACTGTCAATTAGTGACTCAATCGGGTTGGTGATGACCAATCACGTTCGAGAGTTTTTTTACAGTTTTGATTGATTAATTTATTAACCTTTGCTTTCCGGTTTATTCGGATTACCCTCATGATTACCTAGTCACCTAAATTTGGAGGTTGTGAACTCTCCGTTAGTTCATGGTCTGATACAGTTGTCTGATGGGACTGGTACTAACTTCTACCGATCTTTCTTTCTTTTTCAACAGAAAATAATTGAGAGTACAGCAAGTTAACAGGTTTTGAGCGAGGAATGGATATCTTCTCTTATTTACAAGTGACAATAGATGCGACATCATTTCCTTTGCTTTAAAACATATAAAGACATTTATATCACATATGATTAGGATATATTTCTAATCTCAATTGTTGGGCGGCCACGAAGACAGAGTCAAATGTTGCTTCCTGACAAAAATCTTATGTAGCAAAACATGACAGGTTACAAAAATTTGAAAAATATTAGCATGTATCATAGTTTTAAAGTATTTTACTACATCTCTCTCTGGAGTATGGCTATTCATTCATACTTCAACTTCAGTAAAACTCAGACTTAATTGTTTTGAGCATGTTATAAGGGTTTTTACAAGAAAAATAAAAGAAACGAATGCAGTAACTGTCAAGTTTCTAAGCAAATAACTAGGTTTTTCCTTAAGGGAGAGTGGGAAGGGAGCTAATACAATTTCCCAAACATATTTTGCGGCTGGCTTCAAATCAAACATATCATAATGGTGAAAAGGGCCTCATTAGGAAAATTTTCGGAGGCTAAATGCTAACACAAAATACCTGCATTTCTTAGCAACCTAAAAGAATGCCCAGATAGGAACTGCCCAGAGGCACTCATTCTGTTTAGGAATAATCTGCCTCTCAAGGAAAAAACAGGGTTTTAAGGAAAGAAATAACGTAGTAACAGGAAAGTTATCTTCCATATCTGAACAAGAAATAGCTTAGGCCATAAGAATTTAATGATGGAATCCTGGGAAGAAGTTGCAGAATTTTAAAATCTAATTGACCTTTGGCCCCTGAGAGTGACTAGCACCTAATTTCTCCTTACAATATCACCCCTAGATCGCACATTAAGATCACAAGGATAAAGAAAATCATCACAAATTGGAGAATTTCTTGGGTGGTCGGAAATGTATAGAGAACAGAAAGGAGAATATTAATACTGATGTTAAGGTGTACTGGATATATATCCCACAGAGCCGGCAGAGTTACCTCAGTACTCAACATTAGTCAAGAATGAAAAAAAAACTATGTAGTTCGAATGTTTAGCAGAATAGTATTTGAAATTGTTTGTATATTATCTCTATTCGTGTACATGTAATTTCAGGTCTGCAAAAGTGGAACATTTACGTATTGTTATCGACGTCTCATTGACTCGAAGTACCACTTTAACATGCTACTTTAGGGAATTGGGAGGTTTGCAGTCACTGACAATAACAATAAGCATTTCTTTCCTGACTTCTTCTTAGTTATAGATGCTAAACATGGTCGTTACTCTAAGGGTGACGTCTTTAATTCCTCTAAGCTTGTCATGTCCCTAAATCAATGAATTCGTGCTTTCTACCATTGAGTAAGAGTCATTGGTGCATATTTCGATGTTAACAAAAACATCAGTGGGGCGTAAGCCGAGATTCTTACGAGCAACAAATGCGAAATAACGTTGCAATTTCTATGGGAAAACATGAAACGTTTTTGACTTCGAGTCCGATTCACATTCGCTGTAATATCCTTAAGACGTAAATTCTCTCTTGATACACCCGACAGATTTACAGGACTGCGAAACAAATGTCCTAGTGAGTCATCGGGTAAATCAAACCCGCTGCTTTCCTCTCAATAACTGTCCTCACTACAGAGGTTTGGTCTCTATGTAGGTTCTATTTCGAACCTCCCCCAGCCGCCTGTTGGCCTTGTCTTTTAAGGGCATCTCCCTGACTCTGTAACTGCTGGCCCTGTTTCATGAGGTGCTGCCACTGCTGAGAGGGGCTTGGTGGCTGGCCTGCCATTTGTTTTCCTTGGTTCATGAGTTGCTGCCCTTGCTGTTGAAATCCCTGGCCCATATTCATACCCTGTCCATAGAGTCCCTGGCCCATACCCATGGCTTGTCCATAATAATTGGATCCCATGCCTGTAAAAATCAACCAAATTATGAAAGGATAGCGAAAAATTGATCGTGCATTTACACTGAGAACTGAGTGTAATCCTTGTCTTCCTGATCAATCAACAGACAGTTCAGTGCTGATTCTTCACGGAATCTTGAATCATTAATAAAAATAGTCATAACAATAGTAATAATAATCATAAGAAGAAGGATAATGACTCTACTTAAACAGGGTAGCACGTCATGACCACGGATTAAAAAAGTTGTGGCCCTGAATTCATCTGTTAGGTCAGTAGTGAGGATCTTAAAAAGAATTTCAGGTAAAATCTTTTATAGGAAACGATGGTTCATGAGCTGTAGTTGTTGAAAACAAGCTGTTCCTCCTCCCCAGCGTAATTCATGTCAGGCAGTAAAAATCGACGTGCTGACGTCAAGCTATAATAACGCTATTTAAATAGACTTGTGAGCATGTGCTGATCACATTCTCGCATTTGGCGTTTAATTGTTAAAGAAAAACTTGCCTGCCAGTTGCTGTTGTAGTTGCTGTCCCTGATTCATGAGCTGCATTCCTTGCTGTTGCAAACCTTGACCCATATTCATAGCTTGTCCATAATAGTTTGATCCCATCCCTGGTAGCCAACACATCGAATAGATGAGTATTGAAAGTACATGAAAAAAGCATTGGTTTGCCATTAAGATATTCCTTCATAAATTATTCTTTACTTGTTTTTAGGAGTATTTGTACCAAGATTTTCAAAAGGAAGATCTACTTACCAGCCATTTGTTGCGATAGCTGTTGTCCTTGATTCATGAGCTGCATTCCTTGTTGTTGGAATCCTTGACCCATATTCATTGCTTGCCCTGTGATCGAAATAAAAAGCATCACAAACATTTTGAAAGGATTGCGAGAGTAAGTACAGATCTCAGCATCCTTGTTTGTAGAGGGCTCAACCTCTCGTGCCGATTGAATCGCTGAGTGCGTTAACCCTTTAACTCCCATATCAAATTTTTCTTTCTCCTTACTTTCAACCATACAGGCGTTTTTAAATTCTTTTTAAATTACTACAGCCGTGTCTTATATAAAGATAACGTTTTAGTCAGTTTGATACCTTGGAGACCTTGGGCCATTCCCAGTCCTTGCTGAAAAGCTCCTTGTCCTTGCTGCCGCAGCTGATTCCCAACGTTCATTCCTTGTTGTAGCGCAGCTTGGCCCATGCCCTGTGCTTGGCCATACAATCCCTGCCCAGTCTGCATCATTTGATTCTGTAGGCCACCTGCCATTCCCTGAGCTTGCCCATAGAGGCCCTGACCAGTCTGCATGAGTTGGCCCTGTAGACCTTGGCCCATACTTTGAGCTTGTCCATAGAGTCCTTGACCAGTTTGCATTAGCTGGCCTTGGAGACCCTGTGCCTGAGGAATAGAAAACAAACATGTGTACACCAGAATGTTTTTTGAAACACCTTCTTTGTCCGATTCCGTAGGTGTGTACGTTTAGTTCCGGCTTTCATTAGTGAGGCTTGCTCTTGATCGTTATGTGTTTTATCGGTTCTTTGCACATTTCCGCTAAAAATTCACCATTTAAAACTTCGCTTCATACAGTTTAGGCTCAGGTGAACCACGCATTACAATTTCGTAAAACCATTAATTTTCGCGCTGATCATAATAACCTAGGGTAAACAAATATGATCAAACCTGCTGTAATCCTTGCTGCCCAAAACTCTGTACTTGCCCTAAAGCTCCCATTCCTTGTTGCCTCACTTGGTTAAAAGCACCCATACCGGTTTGACGAGCCTGGTTCATTATTCCCATTCCTTGTTGTTGAACTTGGTCTGTCGGATAAGAGATTTCTCGGTTGAAAATCAGTCAAAATAGGCAACTTTCTTATGTTTTTGCTTGCGTATGATGAGACAGGACTCGTTGATTCCGCGAAAAGTGACAATGATGAGGCGAGTGATTTTTACTCAAAGCACATGCACACTCACTTACAGGTCTTAAAGTACTCGGTGCATTTACTAATTCACACTGTATCAAAGAAATTTTACAAGTGTAATATTTATACCAAAAGAACCATTAACCATTTCAAACTCAAGATGATAACGTCAACCTTGAGACTACTGAAAACTCATGACAAAACCACTTACTGAGAGTTTGTTGTCCTTGCTGCGCAAGCCCTTCCCCTGTCTTTCTGGCTTGCTCCAGGGCTGACTCCCCTGCTCTCTGCGCATCTCCAACAGCACTCATGCCCTGCTGTTTAGCTTCCTCCGCTAAACCAGTCGCCTCTGCAGACAAACCTTCACCCATTTTCACAGCCTTATCGGCCTATGAGAGATATCCCGCCTTTAGCACGATAGAAATGTGTCTCTCTATTCATTAATTTATTTTATTACTCGCTAAGTGGGTCCAAGGTGATAGGGGCACCTATCTCCCTTTTTACTTTTAGTGACACTTTTAGTGGTCTTTCTGTGCCGTGTGTGTGCTATGATACTGTCATGTCGAAGGAAATTTCTCATCCCCTCCCATCCCCAGTTGAATTTTGTGTCCTTTGAAAGAAGAGTAATGTTGATAATAATAATTCACATTGTTTTTAAATATAACTTCAACTGTGCCCGGTGAGACGACAGCATATTAAGGGTGAAAAGATTTCAGAAGAAACTAACATCGACAAACGCCTCATACCTCCTTTTCAACCTCTTCTTTTATCTTTTCGAACTGAGTTTTTCCTTCGTTGAAAACATCCATGGCTACTTTTTTGGCTTTTTCGTAATACTCGGGAATGAGAGGTTTAACTCTCTCCACCAGTTCCTTTATTTTATCCTTATCAACATTGTCCAGAAGTCCCTTCACGTCTCCAGTGTCATAGTTTCCAATTGCTGATAGTTCTCCGCCAAGATCACTTGCCAGCCCAGTGAACTCAGACAACACACTTTCTTTAAATACATCAAGAGCTTTCATGCCGTAGTCTTTACCGCGATTAAACCAATCTAATATAACAAAAACAAATTCTAAGATATCCCTGTAAAATTTTACCAAATTTCCAGTCAGTGCTCTTTTGTTTCTGTTTTAAAGGATCAAATCATAAAAAAGGAAGAAAACAATTGTGTTTGTACAAGGGAAAAGACAAGACGGGGCCTGAAGACAGGGAATATTGCCAAAAAAATTACAAAGGGTCACAATTGCGCTTTAAAAACACACACATGTACGGTAGACATCTCATCGACTTACTCATTCCCAGTTCGAAGTAACGTCCCTTGATTTTATCATTATAGAAGTCTTCTGCTCTTTTTTGCCATGGTTTTAACTGAAAAAACACAAGTTATTACAAAAAAATGTACTAAACATATTAACTCCTGTAAGCTGGGAAAAATTCAAAGGATGAAACATCCTAAGAGTAAAAACTTACCTTTTTATAGAAGTCTTTTGCCTGAAAAACGAAAAAAAAAATCCAGGTCGCTATGTTGTCAAATAAGGCTGTGTAATATTTTCAGTTCCACACAATGATAACTTAAGATAACAAACAAGTTACCTGTATAATGGAAATAACACCTTAACTTAAAAACCTTTGTATTCATATAAAATTAGGGATACATGTTGCAGTCATTGTCGTTGCTGCTTATTACTGCAGTTTTGTTGCATTTTCGTCTTCTTTCATTTATTGCTATTTACCATCTTGACACTCTTACCCTATCAATCAAATCATCTTTAGAGCTGGTCAGTCCTTTTGCCATTCCTAGTCCTTGGCTTTGGAGTTGGTTGACCGCACCCATCCCTTCGTGAAAAAGATAAAAACCATCATTATTTTCAACAATTTACAGTAAAGAGGAAAAATTGCTGTTCAAAAATTTATTCGATGCACAATTGTTTGTTCTTTACCTTGGCCCTGCAGCTGATTCACAACCCCCATGCCTTGTCCTTGAATTTGATTAGCTAACCCCATTCCCTGTCCTTGTAGTTGACTGGCTAATTGCGACCCCTGTCCTTGAAGCTGGTTTACCATTCCCATTCCCTGACCTTGCAGCTGACCAAGCTGACTTTGTGCTTGACCAAGCATCGCTGCTCCTTGGCCTTGCAGTTGATTGGCCACTTGCATTCCTTGTCCTTGAAGCTGATTTGCCATTCCCATCCCCTGGCCTTGAAGTTGATTGGCAAGTTGCCTGCCTTGTCCTTGGAGTTGATTTGCCACCCCCAAACCCTGACCTTGTAGTTGACTGGCTAATTGCTGTCCTTGGCCTTGAAATTGATTCACCATTCCCATACCCTGCCCTTGAAGTTGATTGGCCAGTTGCCTTCCTTGTCCTTGAAATTGATTCACCATTCCCATACCTTGGCCTTGAAGTTGACTGGCTAATTGTTGTCCTTGGCCTTGAAACTGGTTAGCCACACCCAAACCCTGACCTTGCAACTGATTCAGCATTCCCGCACCTTGACCTTGAAGTTGGCCGAACTGATTTTGGAACTGACTTGCCATGCCGGCTCCTTGACCTTGAAGTTGGCCAAACTGATTTTGAAACTGACTTGCCATGCCGCCTCCTTGACCTTGAAGTTGGCCAAACTGATTTTGGAACTGACCCGCCATGCCGCCTCCTTGGCCTTGGAATCGATTCAGAAGCTGTTGTCCTTGACCCTGAGCACCACCCATCATCCCTTGCGCCTGACCCCAAGCCTGTTGGCCTTGATCTGAAAGAAAGGCGTTGAAACTGGAGAGAAATTCCCTACATACATAATAATATGATAGGTATTGAGAACTCACTCTGAATGCCGCCAAGAGCTGCTTGACCTTGGCCGACGGCTCCACCCACGGCAGCTTGTCCTTGACCAGCCAGTTGTTGACCTTGACGGATGGCTTGTTGACCTTGTTGTTGGGCTCCGCCGATAGCCTTTGGAAAAACACATAAAAAATATTCATACTTTATAACGCCTTTTTTTATCTAGGCGAAATCGAGCAGTTTTTGACAGAAGTTCATTGGCTGATCAATTCAATTCTAATGCAAATACGTTGTATTTGTCTTCCATAAGAGGGGGTTGGAGCTAAACAACAATTTTGTCTGCCTTAAATTTTGTTTTCACCGGTAGATGTAAGAATGGAGGGAGGAGACAGTTGAGTCGCGCAAAGGACGAGTTCACGCTAATGCGGACGATTTTCTCGTAATTGAATCTCTTTAATATCTTATGAAAAGTGGAGAAACGCGTTCCACATTGACAAAAATTTAGCATTTTTCATTTTGTTGACATTAAAGACATTTACCTTTAAATACTGGTGAAATGTCGAGACCAAAGTTTTCGCTCAGAATTAAAGAATTTCACAGTAGCGCTGGGGCTTCTCAATCTTTTCCCTATCATCACTGCAAATAGCATTGGGAGGCTCGAGGAACTTTGCTTCAAACTCAATTTCAGTTACATTTTTGCAGGATTTGGATTCATAGAGGTAACCAACAGACATCAGCAGAAATAACGCTACTATTTAAAAGTATTGCAGTTTTAAACAGACAAAGCATAGATACTTCGAACTATCACCAATTCAACTTTATTAATATGTTTTGTTTAACTGTTCAAACAGAGTAACAAAAACGGAAATTACCCCCTCAAACATTTTGGCCGACATAAAAAAGAATATTATTTGCACGAGGGAATGAGAAGAGATAGCTTGGTGATGAGCGCACTCGGTGGACTCTTTATTTACAGGTCTGTGATAACATTGCAGTTTTTTTCTTGGGTTAGATACTTGGCCTTCATGGCGCCTCTCCGCCCAGTATTATTGATGGATACTGGCTTATTGTGAGAGAGCTTTGACGATACGCTGGGCAGTAACAGTGCGATGGACTGGTACCTCTCCTAAGGAAGTAACAATACTACGGGATGGGCACTGAGCAGTTGAATATCCTCTGATATCCGCGTCTGCAGCGGAATAAGCCATGTTATGGTTTATCTGAAGTCAGTTTACCTGTTGACCCTGACTAACAAGCTGTTTGCCTTGCTTTTGAGCTTCCAACGTGGCGTTTCTTAGTCGTTCCTGTCGCTCTCGAAGTTGTTTTAATTGCTCTAGCCTACGAACATAATTTACATAGTTCAGGACGACATATGGATTGAAGTCCGCCATGGATGGGTCTGCAAAAAAAAAAGGTTCAGTCAGCAAGTATTCAAGTTGATTTCCTATCATGTCTATATACTCAGTAGATTATACGGACCTCTTTTCTTAAGATCCCACTCACTGTGAACGCGCTATTCTCCAACGCCCCCTTCCCTCCACTTTCCCTTTAGAGATAGCCCTCAAATTCAATCAGTTTCCGCTTTGTGCTTCGTAGGTGTGTCATTCGAAGAAATGCATACTAGGCAAAACTTAAACAGTTTTTGCCCAAATTTTTTTTGATTTGTATACTTCCCCTCCCCCAATTTCTCTCTAATGAACCACCCTTCTAAAAGCCATTCAGATTGATAAGCTCAATCAAGGGAGGGGTGGGGGATAAGAACGTTCCCGACATGCAGCATGCAGTTAGGTCTACTGTATATTTTTGGTCAAGCCTCTTTTCTAATACAACGTACCCATTCCATAAGGAATTACTTCACAAATGGACAACGCTTTTCCGCTCTCAGGGACCTGAATGTTGATATATTGTCCGGTTAAATCACAGCTTATGGTTTTGATTTCACCAGGTCGTACACTGTGTTTATCGCCACACTTTCTATTTATGTTTCCATTGTCATCCAAGCTATCTCCTATGCTTATTTCAAATTCTTTTAGCTCAGTGCCATTTTGGGGTCCAGCAATGTATAACTCTTTTATCGTAGTATTATATCCCAGGTCCAGTCGCCACCAGGGGCTATCCTCGGTCTGGGTCAAAGAGCAGAAACCTAATATAGAAAGTAAAACAATGATAACACTTTCTTCATTGAAGTTAGCATTCAAAGTTTGTGTTTAACCGAAATTATGACAGACGTATAGATGGTACATTTGTGAAAAGGAGTGTTGTGATAGAGTATGACCGGCCGTAGTAAACGTCCACTCACATGGTTGTCCTTAACAGTAGCTAGGACGATTAATAAGCTCTTCTTAAAGGTCGCTTCTTTAACTATCTCCAATAAATCAATATCGCAATGCTTCAGAACCTTGGGAACAGATCATTCATCGGATAAAGAACCTCAGTAACCTAAAAACTCAGTACAAGACCATGGACTCCTAAACCGCTTCGGCTCGCCACTCTATTGGCATACTATAAGCATTCACGTAGAGATGCCAGAACTGCTCAGTGATGATTGATTTTGTGAGAAATAAACGAGTTCGAGCAGTTAGTAGGGAGAAATTTCGGTTGGTCGGTCGATTCCTGTAGGCAGCTAGACAAAACTCAAACCGCTAAAAACCGTATGACCACCGCAAAGTTTATCCTCAATCGGTCCAGCTTTCTAGGAAGTTTCAAGCGACAATCGAAGTTGACTAGTCTATCGATATTTAAAAGCTAGACTTTTAAAGTGGCTCCTTATTGAGTAAAAAACTTGCTCGAGTGGTTACATTTTTTCAACGTTGGATTCTTATATTTTGATAGACCTTATACTGCTTAAGTTTTACAACGTGATTTTTACCCTGAGGGTTAAATTATCGCTACTCTCACCATTGCCTAGCCTTCCGTCGATCGCTTTTGAGGCTACATCTCCTTCCTCAGTGCTCGATTGTTCAGCTGTACGATTGTATGCCAAATTAACTGAAAATTGTGAAATATTAAAGTCTGTTAATCAAATTACTTCTCAAAAGAAGAAAGTTTGCAAAAAGGGTTAAATATATACGACAAGATCATGGATTATGCAAGTTTTGATTTGGGTCACCAAGGAATTCACAACGAAAAACCGGTGAGCTAAACTAGTGACACTGATAACACGCCTAAATGCGACGGTAGACAACGGACGCAAACCTTTTCCCAAATGTCGCCGTTATCTTGTGGTTTTGAGTCTAAGATTTTGTGGATAAATAATTCATTATCCCGTATTGTCATTTTTTGGGGGTTTCTTTTAAATTTGTCTTACCTTGGCCGAATGAACAGCCTATCAGCTCGGCGCGCATGCACAGTATTAATCCGTTCCAGGATTGGGGATTAATTCGAATGAATCTAGCAGCCACCCTGTACTTGAAATGATTGGTAAATGCAAAATAGAATCCGCGGAAAACCTGCAACAAATATAAAGCAAAACCTTTCACTCAAAATTCAATGCAAATTTAAGATCATCTGAACTGAATAAAGGATTTTTGTAAAACTTTGCAAAAATCTGGATCTTAATAAGCTGATTACAGTTCAATAATTGAAACGAAGAGACGTATTCAAGGTACAAAAGGTGTTCGTGAAAAAAGTACTGATCGTGTTGAAAGAGCAACCAAACCCCGACCCTTCCACAACACTTTTATTTTGCAAAAAACTCTGCAGACCATATGTGATATTTGGTCAATAAATAATAGTTGAAAGCATAGATAACATAGGAATATACCATAGATATAAAGTGTAAAATAAGATTACCTTTGCTGTGCCATTTTCTTTATAGTAATCCCACCGCTGACCATCAAGACTGTAGCTCACACGATATTCGGTTACCCAGTCGGGTGTGTGGCGCGCTCCTTGAGTTATGACACCGCTGACCAACACAATTCCGCCTAAAATGGATTTTAAATGATATTATACGGCTGAAATATTTGCCTCGCGTAAGTTTTAGTGTTTTTACACACAGTTGATGCTTTTCGCCGACTCGTCTGCCTTTTTCTTAAATTAATAGGCTGAGAAATGCTTAATAGCCTTAGATATGATGATCCCACCTAAATTGATATCACTGTATTTTAGACTAACAAATCTGGTTACTTTACTATTTATGAATAATGAGTGTGTGCTCTGTATTCCATCGATTACCGAGATAAATCTGCATGTAGTGAGGTCCTGGATGTCTTCTGTTGATGCACCATGATCCCCACGGGTTATTCAACCTCCCCATGTGGGGCTGCAGGTGCCTGCTTGGGTATGCAGAAGATGCTGTGATTTGATAATCCCAAATGCGGAATCGATTGGACATGCCCAGTTGGTATATGCAAACTGAACAAAAATAACATTCCTTAATCATAAACATGAAAACTTGCCGGAAGATAAGGAGGATATTTAACGTAATCATTATCGGACAAAGAGCACAGCAATTCCAACAAAAAATTGAAAGTAGTTTTTTTTTGTGGGTGTTGCTTGTCGTGGAGGTTTCTCAGGCAAGATTTCCTCACAGCCCCGTGCTTCATAATGCACAAAGTTCTTGGTTAAAAAAAAAGGGCAGCAAAAACAATAAATTTCCTCTGGGAGTATGACTTTGTTTTACAATAGTATGGGGCTATGTGGAAATCTTTCCGTTTCTTTCATGTTTCACAACTTCCAAGTTGAAATCATATGGCTAACAAGAGTTACTAGTATGCAACGCCTCAAATGATCATTGCCAGTGACAAACCCGACTGGGACGAATTGCATGTATTCCTGCGCAACCTCAAAGACTGAAATTATGAACTGCACAACTTGACTTACTTGGAAATCGGATATTTGTACCACCCAGTCCGGGAGGTCGATCGGCAACTGTCTCATTCTTGTCATCATTCGCACCATCCACGGCTTGCCTTTTAACTGGAAAATAGAGCATTAGGTCAAAGTATTTATAATTTCGCAAATTTACTATAAGCGCACGTGGATTGCCCATTTGTTTTATCAGTGTATGTTCTTCACGTGTAAAGGAAGATGTGAGAATGAAAGAACCCCTTTTGGGTAATCTCTCGTGTCGGTATAGTTTGATTTAAACTTCAAGTTTTATAAGATCCTAGCTTTCGCCGATCAACGGCTTCATCAGAGTTGAGAAAAATATTTTAGAGATCTAGATAAAAGTCAGAGTAAATTTGAATGTGAGAAAAGTGTGAAGACTAAGGATGAGGAAAATTCTGTAAAATGCATACGAAGCATATATATAAAATACAAATATAAACTTAAATGATCAACATAATCTAGTGAACGAGTAATGACCGAGCAAGGAGACCCTTTAGTTGCGCTGAAATCCTTGCCTTGGTAAAATGTTAGTTAAAAGCAACATCCGGTGATAACTGATAACAAAAGAGGTCATCAAAGAAAAAAAGGTTTTTCACGCAGCTTCCTTAGCAGATCCTTGAGATGACTTTATCAACGAAAGCTTGCTTTTTGCAACGTTATGATTATTATTTGTGTTATTCACAATAAATTTACATAAGCGGTTGATACGGGACGCGCCCAAAATATCTATTACGGGACTTGCAAATGATTCCTTAAAGAATAATCAGATGTAGCTTTTAATTCTGCGATATAAGTAAAATGAACCAACAAGCTTTATTCAGAGAGTATTAATAAACATTTGTGTATTTCGCTTAAAATCATAGCTGTCTTCGAAATAAGAAATTGCTTTTCGAATGAACATATGCAATAATTTTCATTAGCAGATTTTTAAAATTTGAGCTACCTGCATCTTGCTTCATGAATGGGTCAAAATACACATGCCGAAATCTTTCCCTTTAAAATTTGATTTTCCTACAGAGTACTGTACGCAAGATAAGGTGAAAATAGCTTATTTCAGTCACAGGTGGAAAAAACCGAACGATGCTACCAGCGTTACAAATGCAGAGCGTATGTGAAATAGCTATTTACCTCTTTTCAGCAGTTCGGTATCCGTTCTTTTAAGAGGAAGACATATTGACAACGACAGTGTCCCTGCAAATAGCAATACGGAAGCGAATCCTTTCATTTCAGACGGGGAGAAGCTGCAGCCTAGATAAAAAGACTTTTGCAGCTTTTGAGCTAATGGACGCGCAAAGCGGCGTTAGATTTGTGCGCTGGTACGCGATTAATAATTTACAGCAGCTGCAAAGTCACTGATAATGTATGTAAATATGAAGTGTTGTTAGACTCCTGATTATATACAGGTACCTGTTAACGAGAGAGTCCCACACTACCTTGGAAAATTCAACAACTTTCGTTAAAATGCTTACGCTGAAATTCCGCACGAAATTTTCTGACTATTAAGGGAAAACAAAGATATAAATTCAGAAATCTCAACGGCCAATTTTAGCATCATTTTAAAATCTATTTAGCTGACCGCTGAAGGAAAATGCTGTTAGGAACGAAGCAATCGACATTTTTATATCTTTTATAACAAAGTTACGGGCCTCAAATAACTGCGCAAAGGATATTCAACCATTAGACTCCCATGAGTGACCAAGACAGAATTTCTCTTCACAATATCAAGCAGACAAGAGATGAAAATAGGGAAAATATCGATTAAGGTATTATTTGTTGATCTAATACCAAATTTTCCGAACCAACTTTATAAGAACTCTATGGGAGACAGTGAGGATAATTACTAATCAGATCTTGGCAGTCGAAGGTTTACGGAAATTTGACGGAGGATATGCGCACGTTATGTTGTACAATAAGCACCTGCCCCCTTCCTCCCCCACCGCGGCCAAAAATTGCTTTGGCTGCCATCCCATTCATTAATCTGGGAAAACTCCAGTTCCCTAATCTGGCTTTTTCAACTTTGCAAAACAATTGATAAGGCACCAGGATCAAGAACTAGCCTAAGGCATTCATGTAATCAATGTCATGCGGATCGACTGCGTTGATTACACTACATGTATCTACTACATATACCTCCTCTTCATTGTCAGTTATTTTAAAATAAATTTTGGAAAGATTAGCCGTGCAAACTAAACACAACTAAAATTCCACGGCATGCTATATACATTTTCAAGCAAAGAGTAGAAACCAAGTTTTTCGTGCTTTCCTTGTAGTTTACTGTTACGCTTCTCAAATCAAGTGTCGCCATAAACGAATCAATTAAGCGTTAAATAAGAAAGGTAGTTTTGTATGCGAAATGAAAAAATCTGAAATTCCACACCAGAAACGGAAGACGACCATGCAAAAACGCTTACACCTTTAAGTCTGCAGAGCACTTTGGCCTCTCGAGTCAAAATTCTGACTGAAGATAATTAAAAAAAAACTGATTTCTTTTTCGCTGAAGTACATGAAATAAGCCATGAAATGACGACCTACTGTCGTAAGAACAAAACAAAATTTTCAATGAGATAAACAAACAGTTTTAAATGAAGAACCCTTGAGCAAAATTTGAACTTCACAGCACAATATTGTTAGGTGAATTATGCAAACCGTCCAACTGCCCATACCTTGCTCTATGAAAAAAAAAATGAATTGTCCTCTATCAATAAAATTTCACACCTCTACGTGTGAACAATTTGTAAACATCAGAACCAAACAGAAAAGAAAACAACTGGTAAATGCTCTCCTACTATATGATAACCTGTATAACTAGCCAATCAGCTCTCGATATTCTTTTTTTAAGAATATTGAGTCATAAGTCTGTTCGCCGTAATTAGACTAGTATCCTCGTATTGTTATTTTGATACCTGATTTATTCCACCCCATTTGACTTTTCGATTAATGTCTCCCTGAAGATGAGGGTATTTCATGCAGTTGTAATTTTTGCGTCGTGCCTCTTGGCCTCTGGATCACCGATTATCAAAGTGAAAAGTAGGTTGAATGAATTCATTACCGATTTGATCGGGTTTGAAATCGATGGCAGACAAAAGGATTTTAGAAAGAATCTTGCTGTGCCAATTTCGCCGTTAGGTGCGTGCTAGTATCCAAGGAATTTCTGGCGTAAATGTGGTTCATGGCGCTCTACTTGATGAACCAAAACTTAATTGATTGTTTGGGATCAGTTGTTGAGTGCACTGACAAACAGGAATAGGCCACCGGTTTAAGCGGGTGAAAGGTGCATGTGCGTAAGACAACAGTAGACGATAGCTCGAGATTTCAGTTTGATATGGACGGATTTTGTTATCCCCCTACGATGCTATTGCAAAAAAAAAGTATTTTTTAGATTCTAAAAATGCGCGAATCCAGGACCCATTTATTTTAGTTGGATTAAGAGAAACTTAACTTAACTTAACAAGGAACTTCTACTTGGCTAGATGTTGGGAGACAATTCGCCAAAACCTCAATAGTATGTACATTTACACCTACTGGAGAAGATCTGACGTCGTTGTCACGATATCAGGCCGTCTTGACATTATGAAATATTGCTAATTCATCGTTGATCTTTAACTTGTTTGACAAACCTGCTACTCCTCCCAAAAAATAATAAAAAACTAAAGCAGTTTTTGTGCGTGGCGCGCAGTCTCAAATTAAACAAAATTCCATGTAATCAGTATAAAGCTTCATTTGTTTTATTTATATTAACAGAATATAACATTTTCATCTTTCCTTGAGAGTAGAAACCGCCACGTTCTAATTTAGAATTCACATCAAAATAATGTAGTCTCTTCGCACGTTTTTAGGGGGGCGACATCTCCAGGTTTGTATCTTAAAAAAACTCAGCCGCAAAAGTTTGAAGTTCATCAGGTGAAATCTGAATTAATATTCACTCTTAATAGTCCATTTTACAGTTATGTGCTTGGTTGCCAAGCCTTTGAACAGGAGTGAGGCTAAGGTTGACCTTGTTATCATACAAACCTTGTTGCTTTTCAAATGCAAATTACTTTGTTATCATGCTAACTAGATAGTGGTCTCTATCACAACAAGGTCAACTTCAGCCTCACTCCAAATCAAAGGCTTGGCAACTAAGTACACAACTGTAAAATGGCCTATTCGATTTGACGTCTAGGCGCCTCTGGTGTTTTGATTCACCTAACTACCTCACTACTTTTACCATACTCACAATTCTTAAGGTTACTTCGAGTTTGAGGAGATTTTGCAAGTTGCAAAAACGGCTCTAAATAGCAAACTGTATCTACAATTTGTTTCGAATCAGGATAATTCTATGAAATAGAAGCGTTATAACAATCTCTTCCTTTATCATCACAGCAAAATTGTACACTTTTTCCTCTCAGCGGTAAAAGGCCAAAAGAAGTCTTATTGTTGCTATGGAGTTGTGCGACCATTTGACATGATGGCAAAAGCTAAGCAAGGCTTGCGAGCTTTGAATCAAGTCGGATACTCGCTCAAACAGGTTCGCCAAGCGCTCGGCATTCAACAGAAGACACTCGAAGGAAAACTGGAGAAAGCAGAAAAGAAGGCAGAAGACATAAGTGCAAGGGTGGAAAAAGCACTGAAAGAGACCATGAAGATCTTGACAGACGCCACTAAAGCGGCTGCCGCTAAGCTGGGATCAGTATCAGGTACTTCTTGAGATCGAGAATAGCAAAGTTGTTTTAAAGTGTATTTCAACCGATTTTCATAAAATCAAATCAACATAATCACAAAAGCCTTTCACGAACGAGGGAAACTATCATACGAACCCAAAAGAACCGAGCAAGCTGCTTGAACTGCGCGAAAACGCGAACGTATACTTGCAATTTGTTTTAGCTGTGCGTCTGATTGATTGATAGTGCTCGCACGACTAACCTTTAATTGTAAATTAAAATTGATGGTAAAAGGAAACTAAAGGAACGAACCACCTGACCCTATCCACGTCAGAAAAAAAAACCCGGCCTATTGGCGATGAGGAATGCCTTCCCGCGGAAGTAATTAACTTTCATTTTATATCATTTCTTCCTCGAAAATATTGAAATCGGGAATCCTTTATAAGACAAGAATGCGCTTTATATATAATTTGGCTCCGCCCCTTGGTTTAAGTTCAAATGCAGTAATCATCCCATATGGCGACCATTGTTAAAGAAAGGCCTTCAACATTTCTACGTCTTTCATCCTTTTTTTACGTTCATTGACATTCAGTATTTAGAGACAGTCATGAAACTACGCCGTGCTAATATTACGCGATGGCGAAGAATATCATCTCGAGTTTCAAATTTACCGCCACACAGTTTGGATTAGAGGAAGAAGATACAAATCTCAATAAATTCTTCCATTGTGATGAAAACGTAGAAACTTATCAGTGCTTTTGAGAAATCCGCCTAGGCCCAGTTGAATAAAGGGTTGATAATGTTATCCAACGAATAAATAGCTATCCATGGGATAAGTGAGAACAAAACGTACTGCACTATCCACCCGACATTTAGACATTTATCCGGTGGATAGTGTTATCCAACCTTCAAATGGCCGGGGCCTGCTGTTCACTCGCTTTGTATAAGCTGCAGCTCAAACTATTTTGAATAAAGAGGTCTGTATGCCTTGACAGTTGATTGACAAATGATCATGAGGTACCCAGGGCACCTCTCCTTTTACAGCGCATCTTCGCGTCTAAGGTTTAACCCTTTAACTCCCAAGATCTCATTAGTAATTCTCCCTACTGTCTCCCATACAGTTCTTGAGATGTTAGTTTGGAGAATTTGGTATTAGATCAACTTATAACCCCTTAACTGATATTTTTCTTCATTTTCATCACTTGTCTGCTTGATATTGTGTTGATATTACGAGGAGAAATCCTGTCTTGGTCACTCATGGGAGTTAAAGGGTAACTTGAGATTGGACGCCATGTCTAGGAAAATAGGCTTCAGAAATTTCTTCGCGAGTTTTTTCACTGAAAAGGACTCAGCCATCATCATCTCAATTCCCTGCAGTTCTCTGGACATCTCTGTTTTTCTCCTTAATTGTTTTGTCTGTTATTTTGTTATTTATTCTTTACAGATGCCACTAATGATTTGGGACAACTAAGTAAAGACATCGAAGAGACGAAATCACACGACATGATCAGCAAAATAAGAGAAATGATCGCCGAGAAACCGGAAAAGGAGGAACACGATGATGAGAAAGACTCAAAAAAAAGTATAGGCACTGAGGACAGCAAGGACCAATCGAAAGGTGACAAACAACACAAAAAACTGAAACCGAAGGACAACATTCCAAATGCGCTCGAAGCAGATGAAACTGCCGTCGCTAGAAGCCTGCTGGACTTACAAAAACACGAGGTTGAAGAGGTAGAAAAGGCGAAAGATGCTATCCACGAAAAAGCGCAAGCAAACAAGCGAGCGTTTGAAAAGACCAAAGACCTCCTGAAGGAGATGGAAGACGGATTATTAAAGTTCGGAATCTATTAAAAAGAAGTGACGTAGAAAGATGATTCATGGGCTCCATGGACTGGAGGGCATGGGCAGAATTTTCCGTGAGAAATCCTGGATTTAGCTGGCAGGATTATTATTCTTTTGAGTGCTTGCGAATAATCTTTGTTGGCCTCGCTTTTGAGTGAAAAGCTAAGTAACACACATGTAGAAGAATAATAGTCAGCCTCGTCATTTATGGAAGAAGGCTATTTCGCCTTTGAAGTTTATGTCTTGTTCTCTACTCAGTTTTCTGGAATGATGTTCAGTCCTTTGTTTGGATTTTTCTTCTTTCTCTTCTCAGGTCAACCTTGCCCGTGAGAACGCAAGCTTAGTCAGTTCAACAGTAGTTATAATACTAACAGGAGGTAGCAAATATGTACTGGCTTTAGAGGATGGTTTCACTCAAGCAGCCCATAAAATGACAAATCATTGCATACTCCTCTTCAGTTTGTATGTTATGACGAAATTCAATTCATGCAATGCTGTGTATCGTCGATAAATATATTTTGAAAGTCGCATAGCTTTGATAGGCAGAACCGGAAATTCGGCTGGGACTCCGGCTAGCTTCAGTGGTTCAGTAATTTAAAAGATTCAAAAGTATTACCTCAATAACGTAACCCAGATATCGGTGTCCGAATCTTGTTATCGGTAATTATTCCCTGTTTGTTAACGAATAAACGACTATAAATCATGCGTGACAATTTCCTTTACTGAAGGATTCTTTCATTGTTAGTCCTCATAAAATAATAACAACTTAAAAAGAAGTGATACGCATGGCTGGTTACGTAGCAGTGATTATGATCTCTATGGCAACAACCCTCAAAAGCTCAAAATAGCCCAATATGGAAAAAATTTTCAAAAATGCCTGTTCTTTTTCAATAGTCTACATTTAAATGTAAACTCCCTCGTTGTGGGGAGCGATTTGACAGGTTATTATTGACAGAGTGAAGTACACAATAAGAGAAAAAAACAGCGAGAAAAACTAGACAACAAGAGTTCAGATGCTCCTTCTGTCGACGAATCTGCTTTTTGGGAAACAGACCGTTCAGCCATCATCGGATTCATAAATTGAATGCCTCTAACTGGAGATTCTACTCGTTATGCTTAGATTGCCAGCAACGAACTAGTTATAGTCTAAGTCAATCTTATCAACACTACCTGTTGAAGGACTTGTAATTTCTAACAAGCCTGAGCTACGACAGATCAAGCGAGAAAATCAAAGATAATACCACTCTTGAATTTTTTTGTATGAAATTTCTTCAAAATTAAGATAGAAAGAGTAGTTCACAGTTTTCAGAAAGGAAGAAACTTAGTTGTTGGCGAATTAAACCGTCTATTCTTGTTCGCTGAACGAGAATAGGCGGTTTGATTTAATAAAAAGGGATGAAATCCGAGTGCCACAATAGTATAAGCTCTTAGTACCAGTTACGAGCCTACATTTTGTTGAGTACCGACTCGTAATTCTAAATATTGAGTAAATTTGGTGCTGTATCGCTTTCTAGTTTTCAAAATATGTCATCAAATAAACTCCTCTTAGTTCTTGCTCCCTAGTCCCCCCCCTCCCACTATCAGATGTGGCTTACGTGCTATCTACCCCTAGACTACATTATCTGGCAAACACATGACTAGCATAGATAAACACAAAGACAGTTATGAGGTGCATTAAAGATGCAACACCATGTTCTCTCCTATTATTTATGAGGGAATGCTCATAAGCCAAAAGGTAAGATAAAAATTCCGTCTTGGTGGTGTCAGATAGAGCAAACCATTCAAAGCTGTACTTTGGGCCTCCTTAACGCATAATAAATGGCACGGTGAGATCGGAGGTAGTCCTGTTAAGGATAATAACAAACGTCAGCGACATTGCCTCATATTTCGACAACCTGACCGGAAGTCATCAACAATCGTCTGGAAATTTTTGACGTCCCTTATAACGTCACCGACTTGAGTACCAGGCTCCTCAGAGTAATTTGCGCATCGGGGTTAAAAACACTGAAAAAGCGTGCTTAACAGGCCACTTCCGATTAGGGCGACTTCGCACCTAGCCTCGTCCTCACGCCGTAATTTCGGTACCAGTTCACTGAGCCGCGAGAACTTGGAAGTGGCCTATGTCCAATTTTATGCCCGAAGCACAGTTGTGAAAACAATATATGAGGCAGTTGTGTGTTCTTAGAACATTCAATCGAAAAGGTTTTGGTATTGAAGTTGTTCAAACAACGTACGGTAATCGTTTATGTTTAACTTAGTGCAAGAAGTCAAAGACTAACTTCCCTAAATTAAGGACTAAGACCTTACTGAGGAATGTTAGCTCTAGGTCGTGGCAGGAATTAATCCACAGGGTCATGGAGTGGAATTCATCCCAGAATATTCATTCTTTTCGCATAAGATCAACTAGAAATTCTACCCCATGATCCTTGCGTAGATTGGTAGCCTTCTCAAAATTTACTTATCGACTAAACTTTCCCACTTGTAAGGACAATTACGTTTAACCTGGAGAGAGTTTCTGAGTCTGGTCTGTTAGTTGTGACTGTAAGTGACCACCTTATGAAAGGTTTAATGTAACGCTCATCAAAGAAACATTTCTGTTCAAGAACTTTGTGTTTTTATTTATTGGGGGTTGCATATTTTAATTCATAGCACTATATAAATTATAAAGTAAGGTTGCTGAAAGATTATTTCTTTCTGGCTGAAAATTATTTTAACTGATCTTTATTTAAATGGTGCGGCAACGAGGCACACCCAAAATTGCCCAAAATTGATTACTTTACTCAACGCGCCAAAAATCTGTGTTGATCCCAAGAGAAAAATTAAAAAATGTGAGTCTTTTTTCCAAGATGACATATATATGTATAGATCTTGTTCATTTTTAGCTTAAGCTGAAGTTGATAAATGTAGCCAACCCTTCTATACCGGAAGAAATTTCGAGTCAAATGAGAAGTTGCATCATGAGACAAGTTGGCCTTTTGTATTGCGTCTTAGGCGATGAATCAAACAAAGAAACACCTAATAGAGCGTGGCTACAAAATGAGTCGGTACGTTAAACAATAGTGGCGGAACAAAAGATTATGTTGACATCCTTGGGAATACGAATTGAAAAATCACATGTTTGTATAAAGTTAAGGAAAGTGTACAGGACACATGTGTGTCGCGATTAAAAGTACTTACCAAATGCATGAACTTGGAAATTTCTAGGTAGTCTTGAAACAAAGTGCAAATTACCACGCCATTGCAATGGTAAAACTGTTTGCTAAAAGCGCGTCAATACCTCAGTGTAATATTAGACAGCTTAGACACCCTTTATGTCTGAAATAGAACCAACCCCATTGATGACGAGCTCGAAGATTTGAGTCATCCTCGCACAAACATGTCAAACGTCGACAACTTAGACTACTTCGGGCAAAAACCTCTTTGTAGCTACTACCGTCAAAGTCAAGAAAGAGATGGCTATCGTTAAAATTATTTTAGCGTTGGCTTTGATTGTTGAAATACAATTCATCGCCGTAAGGTGTTCCAATTCCTTTCCGTCGTCAAGTAAGTAAATAGTTATTGTCTGTAATTGTATCTTCAGTCAATTTTAAACTATTGAAGCGTTACATGATCTTCCGAAAAGAAAGTAAGAAGCGAAGAAGTGACATTGTATTGACGAGTGGAACCTAATTATAATTAGCCATAACTTCAGTTAACATTGCAAAAGTAAAAGCACACTTTTCAAAACTTTTAAGACTTAACGCAAAACTTAACGACAATAGCATTGTGTTTTTCCTCACCCCTTTGCACGTTTCGTTCACGATCACTTCAAGAAAGGCGAATATAGAAAGACCAGCCTTATTTAGCTCTAAGTAGACTACAGATCAGAGCTGGAATGAAATGTTGTATTTACATTCCACAACAACAGGTTACCCCTTGAGATGTGTTAGTCGTTAAGTTTACCAGGTATCAAAGTTCCTCGTCGTCACAAACTGTAAAGTGTCCAATTTCCCAACACCTGCACAGGTCTTTTTCACCTGCCAAAAAGTTATACTATTCAAACGACTGAGCTCTTAATGGGAAATCACTTTTGAATCTAAGTTGCATGTAGCCCTGAGGGAAGGAGCGTGAAATGCATAGCTGGACTGTGCGTGAAATGTTTATTTGGTATCATTAACTGAGTTGATAACGTAAATCGGCCACAGTAAAGAATTTCAAAGCTGACTTTTCGAGCGTGAGCCCTTCGTCAGAGCGAAGGGCTTACGTTCTGACGAAGGGCTAACGCTCGAAACGTCAGCTTTGAAACTCTTTGCGGTGGCCAATTTACGTTATTAACTCCAAATTATTACTTATCCAATACTTATCCAACTTATTAACTCTTATTAACACCAAATTACCTTGTTATACTCTCCCACCGACGCAGCACCATAGTTTCTTAAGAAACTTACCCCCTTTATTCATTTGTGCATAAAAAGGTTGGACTGCTCTTCCTGCTATTCTACTAAGACATGTTTACGAACTGAATTTTCTTGGCTAAAATTTTCTTATTGTAATCAAGGTACGATTCCTCAACCTTTATATACGGCCTTTTCAGCTATATTGCCGCCCATTCTGTTCAATGTTGTCTTTGATGCTATATGGTACGGGCTGAAGTTTCAAGCACGTATTTTGCAACTCGAAAGCAGAATATAACTGTTTAATGTCATCGATGAAAAAATTTAGCCCATAAACGCACTAGATAGACTTCTAGGAAACCTACGTAAACATTTTAAAGATTAAGTTTCAATCTGAATTAAGCCTTGAAAAATGTTCCCTCTCAACTGGGATCGGTGAGAGGGAAAACAAATTTATTTTGTTTAGCATGTAGCCACAACTTTAAAGTTGCTCAAAAACCTTTTCAAACTTTGGGGCATATTTTTTGCCGAACCCAAGGATCTTGTTACGAAAGAACAACGAACCGACGCTATTTATTCTATTCCTTGCAATGACTGTGATAACGGGTATATCGGACAAACCAGTTTGGTACACGTTTGAAAGAGCGTCAAAAAGCGTTTTTTTTTTTGCAAAAAAGAAAATTCAGCTTTATCGGAGCACACATGCCTAACCAACCATACAATTGGGTGGGATGAGTCCAAGATTATCACCACTAATCGGCGTTTACCACCAGCGCCTTTGTTTGGAAGCTTGGCATATTAACTCTGCCCACGCTCCTTCAAATCGTGATGATGGCGGCTTACTTCCTGACGCCTATTTACGCCTCGTCAGAAAAACAGCGTGAGCGTATAAAAGGACCTCTTGTTACAGCGATCACCCCTGATGAAGGCACTAGACAGGATTGTCGAAACGTTGGGTCTATGAATTGTAACTTCTCGGTTACATTAATTAAATCTTTAAACCAGAGTAGCATCAAACCAAGCTTATCTTTGATAAACAAGCTAAATTTTCTTTGATAAGGGCGTGAAAAGTCAGTGAAAAAGTTACTTTGTATTATAGTGAGACAAAGCATTGTCGAGGTCGTTAAGGAATAACTTGCTTATCACCTGGTTTTATTCTCTCCTTTTTTAGATTTCCACAGTATATAAAATAGAGTACACTAAACCTTATTAACCCAGTTTGTGAAATCTTCAGTTTGTCATCGACGTAATTTAGAAATGATTTCTATGAAATTCAACTTTCCGTCAATGGATGTTTTAAAAGTCTTAGTTTATTTTTCTACCCCAACTTGCACTCGTAAGTAATAATTAAGGAAATAACTTCAAGAAACTCTTATACAAATGTATTTGAAGTAAAAATTCATGTTCTCATTCTCTATACAATAGTGCGGAAAAACAAACGTGTAAAACAGAACGCATTCCTTGAGTCAGTCTTCACTCATGAATTTTCATTAAACATTCATAAGCTTCGTCTTTTCTTTGATGACTGCCAGTTCAACTCTGAAAAAAATGTGATTGTTATAACTCTTTTTTTTTTATGCACAATGAGTCTCAGCTAGTTTCATTCAAAATAAGAGCTACCACTAAATTTTACCTCAAGAACCAACCCAAAGTGATAATGGTATAAGCTTAAAGATCAGCAATAGCTTTTTCTTTAACGACTACACAGCTTTCCGATGCACCGCTTAGTTTATACTGAAGTATACTTCACCTGTCGCTCTAACACTGAGTCACTTTGAAGTCTAATGAGCGTCAAAAAAAGAAAAAAAAGGAAATTACTGTTAACCATGTCATTGGTTTTTTTCATTTGAACACGACTTAGAGGCCACGCTTGCTTCACAGGTTAACAGCAGGTACCATGTGCTCCCGAGGAAATTTGATGACCTCCCGTGACACTGGTATTGAAGATCTTGTTATAAAAGATACAGCACTTTGAATCAAAATAAAATCAACCTCAAACTGATAGGAACTTGAATTTTCATAAAATAGCATGTTAGTGTGGCAAAGCACTCCAGGATGGAAACAATACTCCAAGCAAGGAACGAGGATGATTAAGAATGAAGAAGGTCACCGAGGATAACGATGGACAAACTTGAGTGAAAAAATTGGCCGGCTAATTTCTCAGTTTTTTTAGAAACTATTGACAGTCCGCCTTAAAGACTAATGCTTATAAAAATTAGAGAATGTACTCTGGTAATTATGGTCTTTGACTGATACTCCATAAAGCAAACCAGAGTGTGGTAATAACATACGAAAAAGCAAAAAGCAGTTAATTATTCATAATTGCAATCTTGGACCAATTGATTATCGCAGAAATTGAGCAATTCCAAGTTCATGAAAGTAAAATCACAAGAGTCAATAGAAACTCAAAGCTAAAAGCAAAACGACATATTAGGCGTGGATAAATGCGGTAACGGTGAGGTTTGTTGAATGTTACATCTGTTTGGTACAAAACTTCGCGCGAGTTTTTCTTACACCAATCACACAACGCACCAAACCAAAGCCAACACATCTATCCAAAAAGCCGCTCATGATTTAAGAAATAGGCTGCAGATTGGCGCAGTATACCTTTGTAGTTATGCTCGCACCGTGAGTTAAATCAGCCCTTAATGTCGCATAAATTCTTCTCAAGACTCAGTGAAGAAAAAATTCATGCAAAAAAGAGAAGAAAGGAAAAAGAGAATTCTCTCTTTTGCCCCAACGGGAAAAGGTTTGAGCAGGGAAACGAGTCTCTCGATTCGTTTTGTATCGATTTTTGTGCTTGCAACACCTATGATAACATATTAGAACCAATTCTTTTTTCAGTTTACATTTTAATTTTGCGTTAAGATTATAACTGGCCTAATATCTCTATGATGACCACAATGTTCTTTAATTTAGGTGTCACCAGATCGGAAGGACTGAAAAAGCTGTTCGGAAAGGATTTCGAAAGCGACTTGCAGTCCCAGTCACTTGCCTTTACTTCGGGAACAGGACCACGGCCTTTTGCCAACGAAGAGGTTAGTTACACAGGACCTTCCATTGACCTTTTGGAGACCGATAAGAGTGGACCTAAAGATGAAAATGCGGGAGGGGATGTGGAATTGGCTTACACTAAATCAGGCAATAAGAACAAGCACGACGAAAGCCACGAGATCTCTTCGCCTCGTGTGCGACAAATTATGCTACTGAAAGCGCGAGCCACAACCAAAGCGACGGAAGGAGATTCAAGAAAAGGGATAGTTAACCAAGATGAAAACGGATATGAACGCAGACCTGAGCACAGTATTACAAGAGTAACTCTTCGCAACATATTCAACCAGATAGGTAGAAAGGAAGAGAAAATTGGTGACGGTCAATCTGACGAGGAGGTGAGGGATGCTGCATCTGGAAGCGCAATTCGTTCAGAAACAGAATCCAGTGGTTGGTCTACATTTGAAACTGCAGAGAGTTCAAGTGAGCCTGAAGGAGTCACACATGAATTAGAAACTGGTTCTAAAAACGAGCCAGAATTCGCAGGTAAGAATACAGGAGCATCTAGAGATCAAGGAAGCGGTGATCTTCAGTTCTCTTATGGTGGAATGAGACTTCCACAAGATGTCAAAGGAGCGAATGTCGCCAAGGTTGTGTCAGAATCAGCTCGTGATAAGCCTGAAAGAACTATTATAAAAGGAGAAGGAAACAGCGGAAGTGAGAAGCTGCCATTCGATCCCATACTCCTTTTTCAAGTAAGAAATATCAGAACCAACGTCCTGAAGGCGGAAAAACAGGCAACCATGGAACTAAACGACGTCAGAAAAGAATTCAGAGCTAAAATGGAAGATCTTCAGGAAGACCTAAAGATGGTGAGAAAGCTGACAAGTAATGTCCACAGGAAAGTTGGCATTACAGTTAAACAGGCGCTTGCAATGGCAAGACAAGCGAAGACCAACGCAACCAACAGATTGGCAATGGCACGAAGTAAGTGACACTTAATTGTTATGTCGCGAAATTTTCACCTCACGTGCTATTCTAGTTTCCAGAGCCCTTAAATCTCTCATTAGGAGAAGGGCTCCCGGCACGAAAATGTTCATTCAGTGACCAATAATATATTGGGACTTTCCCCACTCGTCTCAAGATTGCCAGCCAACGCAAACTGCTGATGATGTGACTGATTGATCTTGACCTTTTCATGTTTAATTTACGTGCTAAAGGGTAACACAAAGCATTAATGTACGGATAACAGGCTGTTAGTGGAACAGTTAGTTAACTTTTCAGGGTTTGCACAAATTTAGAGTATCTCTATGATTTTTTCTCTGTACACCGTTAACAAATTGAGTGGGTGCCTCCTTGGAGGCTCTGATGTAAATTGCCCCTGCCACCTCTCCCGTAAACCATTCTGGTGTTGGTCCAGAATCAATGCTTGCCTTAATGATATGTCGAGACACTTGTGCAGGTGTAACACTTTCATCTTCATTTGAAGAAACGTGCCTTGAATGATAGTCTTACCTCTTAACCTCTTGATAAAATATCTAAACTCCGCCTCCGCCACAGAAGAGGCGCCAGACAAGTAAGTGCCACACTGAAACGGGGCCAGCAGATCCCTCTTACCCATCCTCGAGGATGAGTGAAAACTAAATGACAATTAAGAATTGTCTAAAAGATCTCATTGTCGTGTGCGGTGTCAGGATTTCCCAGTAAAACCTATTGTCTCCACACTAGTTTCTAATTAACCTCTTCATGTGTTTTCTGTGATTATAGAAGCTGCAACAGCTCTGAACAACATCGAGAAAAAGCTCGGAGTAATTCATACGATTAACGCCTCCAGAATACTTCGCTCAAAGATTCCTCAGTTTCCAAAATACAGTGATGTCACCCTCTACCAACAGCTCCTGGCAACCAACCGAATCTTGACGAAGCTCGATGGCGCTAAAGTCTTGGCGATTGATCGGGCAGAGAGGAGATTTCGCAACGAAGAGGAGACAGGAAGCTCAATCTCACAAGAGGTGGATTCCCTAAGAGATGAATTAGCCTCTGCGGAGGAGGAACTCAGCGAGGAGACGGATCGGGAAATGGAAGATGAGAGAGAGGCACAAGAGAAGATACAAGAGGCTTTGGAAAGGAACAAACTTGTTGCAAAGAAGACGGCATTTGCTCTAACGGCTATTGAGAACTACTTGGAGAAGCTTCAGTCAGACGAGGCTAAGCTTAAGCGGTTCCGATTTTAGCTATTTAGAGACGCGATCAAAGGCAAAACACGTTCCTTCCACTAGCCTCCTTACTCCTACACTAGTAATGAGTAAAATTTAAAGACCCTTCGTTCAAATTGATTGGTTTCAGTGTACCCATTGTTCCGTGACTAACACATCAGGGTTGATGTAAAAATAGTGCTTGCTTCCTTGATATTCAGCTGTTTCAAGAAAGGTCGTCGGAAAAAAGGACAAAAGTGCACGCGACAATCTCGATAGGTAATCTGGGTATCTGGGAATCAATGAATCTTAAAAGGTAAAATAAAAAGAGTAAATTAATAAATTAAAAAACGCGGTGGCTCATCCTCACAATGACTTTTTGTCAAATTTCTAAATCCTGAGGTCAAGGAACAGTAACACGAGAACTACACACGTTGACTTTCAGCTTTGTCGCGTGCACTTTCGCACTCTTTCTTCAGAGAACCTTTCTCAAAACAGCAGTGTCCAACTTAATATTTGATAACAGTACCTACGACCCTCGCATGTGAGTTTTGCTTGTACAATAAGTTCAGTATAATTCAGAGGAGGCAACTACACCGCTAACACCCAAGTGCTACAGAGTGGTTTATTTCCAATTTATATACATTGTCTTTACAGTAGAGTAAACCATTCGCACTAAAATTGTCCTTGTTCAACTATACCTTCTCTTTCACAATCCATAATTTCTCGCTTATTATAACCAATAAAGTTCTTGTGTTAACATCACACTCTCTCTTGCGTAAGAATCTTGGAAAGCAGATATAATTTACGAATGAATCCTTGTGAAGTTTACGTACACGTAGTGGGTTATTGTTAAAATGAATACTGTACATGTGTATGAATATAATCTTTCACTTTAGTTTAAAAATTCATATTTAAATTTCGATTCGAAACTTTTCGCTTATTTTATGACCTGTTCTTGTGCGACTGTACATGGGATAATAGCAAAATAAAAGCGCTTTGCTGTTGCAATAGCACACAGCCACTTGAGACAGGGTTTTTAGTCTCGCTTATGTCAGAGTTTCTACAAATATAACTTCCGGTGACATTTTCTGTTGCGGACAGCGCATGAGTGTTGGCGTGCAGCGCATGATACAAGTTCATAAAACCTTTAAGTGATCAGTTTACATTTGGCAGTAGATGTGTGAGTGCAAGTAGGTGAAAAGAAACGTACTCAGGCATAATTACTTTAGCAAATTGTCGCACAGATAGCTATTCTTCGGATGCGCTAAAAAATACGATCAATCCCTCAAGAAGGGATGCTCCAAAGCTTCCCCTGCAGTGATACGAGTATGCGGGTTAAGATCAAGGCATCTCTCCAAAAGCTCATATGCAGTGTCTTCAATCGTCCAACAACATTTACAACAGGTACAGTCACATTCACTGCCGTCGACATGCATGGGCCGAAAAACGTCCGATTGCTCACTAGTTTTAACAGTGAATTCTTTGTCAGTTTCAATCGATATACAACAATATGGATTTTGTTTTTGACATATCTTACAGCGACGATGCCACAGATTTGAAGCCACGGGTGTTTCTGTTTGAGAGCTTGACGGAGAAGTCGATCTTCTTTTACGGCGCTTTGCAGGAGCTGATTGGTCCGTGTCTGCTCGACTACACTGTTTCACACAGCATTTCACGGTTGGCTCTTTGCTAGCGCGACTGCGCAGTCTTGTGCAAAGTATTTTAAGGTTTCCACATGGACTTTCGGCGCTACAATGAAGATCCTTGCCTGCAAGGAATGTTGATAAGACTTTACGAGCGAAAGTAACAAGCACGGCTAAGAAAATTGAAGTAACTGTAAGCTGTGACTCTAACTCAAAACATGATAATAATCTTAAATCACACACAAGTGAGAGTAAAAGAAGAATGATGCGAACGACGAGAATTGCCTTTGATCATGCTTTTTGTCTAATCCCAAAGTAAACTTAACAAAAAGTAGGAGAGATCTTTTATTATTGGGGAAGGTACATCTTCTCTTTGGAGCAATCAAAGAGTACACGTACACAAAGAGACGGCAAAAGATCAGGTTTCGCCATCTGCATTAAAATCGGAACTTAATTACATGTACACTGAAACAGGACTAACGTTTTCCAGCCAGTTAAAGTAACAACTTTAACCAACACAGTAACAACAACCTCGTTAACAAGATTTTCTTACCCAATTTGAAAGCTGCTCTTGTGGCAGCATCGGTTCCACACAAAGTCATAATTTGTGCCAAGCTGGTCATGTCGTCGTACGCTCTAAAAAAAGGGTATCTACCGCTAAGTATGGAAAGAAATATGACCCCTGCTGACCAAATGTCCACGGCCGTGGACTGGTGAGGGTATTTGAGTAATACTTCAGGGGAGCGAAATCCTGGTGTACCGGCGCGTGGAGTGTTTTGATGACCCCTGCAACAAATTTAAATTTACGTCTTGTCACTGAAATATGAGAGTTCAGACTACTTTCGAATTAAAACTCCCACCGTCACAATGTATGTGCATCATTGAATTAAGGACTGTGAATTAGTATAACATATCTTCTTATACATGTACATTATGCCTTTCAAAACTGACCTTGGTATTAGACAAGGCCAAACCTTTTTTTCCAAAACTGATTTTGTTCCTAACCTGTAGTTTGTGTTTCTGTTTAAAAATATATTGATAGCAGAGAAATTCTTCTCGTCTTGTCAAAACCTGTAGCTCTACCACTGAGCCACAGAGACGCTTTGCTGAGCTACAATGTGGGCCATTACCACAATGTAGGTTAATATATAACAGACGTCCTGCATAACGCGAAGATTAGCAATGTCAAAGCTTCGTGTGAGTAAACAGGATCAGAAAGACGGTGAATGATGAATTAATATTTTTAGGAGTAGCTACATGCACATATTGATCGTTCCTGGGTATTAAGAGGGTGAAACTATTAATAACTACATTTCTGTTCTGGTGAATAATTTTAATGATGACACCAAAAAGAGAACAAGTCTAAAAAAGTTTGGTAATTTACCTTGCCATACAAACAGTGCAAACCTCTTTGGGGCCATGTCGCAGGGGACACAACACTTGTACTGCCTTGAATGAAACCTCCTTAGATTTTGAATTCTCATTGGAAGTTCTTCTTAAATTTGACGTTGCATTTTTGGCTGGAACTTTAAAGTCTCTCGTCTGATGGGTAAACTGCCAATTGGCTGAGTTTACACAACGTGGCTTTAGTACACCTTCCTCGGCAACTTTACTTGCTGGCTGGTCCTTGTTGTCAGTTTGAGGGGACAAACGTGAGCTACGACGTCTGGGCTGAGTTGTGTTCTTGGGAGATTGATGGTGGCCTCGTTTCGGTTTCTTCAATTGTTCTTTTGGAGAGTCTGAAGTATAAGTGATGCAACAATTTCATTTCTTTTATGTCCATTAGCAAGTTCTTGCAATTTTGATGCCTATTTTAATAAAGGTGCAATACAGTCCACTCTGCATCATTGTCAGCTTGTGGCTCATTATGGTCTAAAGTCCATGGAATGTATAGTCTTTATTTGTTTGAACACTAAAAATATGAAATTCAAACTTAATTATTACATCTTTCCTAATATAACTACTATTCTTTCTAATTCTTGAAAATGAGACTAGGTTGGGGCTCAATTTATGTTTCCAGATATGCTGCTGTTTAAATGGAGACAGTGCTTGATTCAAGTGCATGTTTCTGAAACTGGATATGGTGGTGACTTCCAAATACATGCATAAATGAAACACATACTTTACCTAGAAGAGAATTAGAACTCCCAGGTACCTTCATAGCAAGGCCAAAATCTACAAGTCTGTATCTGTAATTCAATGCCACAGTTGCATAACTTTAGTTCAAGAAATTTGACACTCACAGATAGAAGTGGGTTCAGTCAAAGGTTTATTATATCTTTGTCCTAAAACACTTGACCAGCCCCAGGTGATTGTCACTTTTTAAAACTGATATTACCTTGCACAGGGTTATATGATGTACTGTGACCATCTTATGATTTAGGTTGACAAATGGAGAAAAAAAAACATGGAGCCCTGTAGCTATGTCAATGAACTGAAGAATTCATGGAAAAGAGAACTACATTCCTGTTTTGTAGACATTATCTTGTAATCCCCTATGGTGCTGAAGAAGTAGATGGTGCATCAACAGTCACTTAGAGCCTCATTCTGTACACCACTTAAATTTTGACTTTGGTAACTGTGGAATTTGTTGACTTTTCTGAAGAGGGAACTTAAAAACTACAGTTGCTCCAAAAGAATCTGAATCATTCATGTCTCCTCTCACCTCCCTGTATCTCTACAGTAAAGAAAGTTGCTTGGTTTCACATCTCTGTGAATGACTTCAAAAGAATGAACTCTTTGCAAGGCAATGAATAAGTTTCTCATGTAATCCTTGATTTCACACATACTCATTTCAAGAAAATACTCCTGCAAAAAAGAAATGGGTAAAAACAATTTATAACAACTTCATTTTACTAGTATGGTAGCTTGGTATAGAAACATACATTATTTTGAAAAAGAGAAGAAAAAGGTCAAACTATACTTAAGGGTAAAGTTAGTAGAATACAGTGTTAAATACATACAAAGTCAGACCAAAATGTGTGTGTTACTGAGTTCATGATCAAAGTGCTGTGTGGAAATTATTCATTCCACTAACTATGCACTTACCTGAAAACTCTGATGTGGAAAGTAAGGTAAAACAAAAACTATGTTGTCATCCCTTCGCAAAGTTGATAGAACTCCAATCACATTGTCAGTACCTCTGGAAAAAAGAAAAGAGAGAAAGTAATACAACAAGCTGTAGCTTTCTAGTTTAGGATAATTGCCTGCACTAATACAGAGTATTTTCATCCATCCTGTTGTGCTTTCTGTTCCCTAGTTGCCCTTTAATTATCACCTGATTCTGAGACCTAATCTTATCCATTTGATTTTATGTGCAGGCATTGGTATCACGCATCTACATGTACATGTAGTTTCAGTTGTCTAAGTCCTTCTTCTGTTTGAGTTTTGCTAGAAGTGCTAGCTAATCCTTATCTACACTCTTTCACCTCCAAGATTTTCATACACAACTCATGTAGAGTAGGCTCCAAGAATTTGGCTTTATATTAAATGTGTTAATAATGAATCTTTATATTAAATACCCCTTGAACTTTACTTTTCTTTGCTCTTATTAGAGTGCATTCATACTGTTAGGAGATAAGGCCCACCGCCACTTCTTGGAATTGATGGAACAAATAATAATATTGTGTAAAGCATTGTAATTCATGAATTAGTGTGATTTAAGTGACACGTGTAAGTTTTTGCTTCTTGTGTTGCTGAAAAGTAACCTTTTCAACCTACCCAATATCCTGAAGGCATTTCAATTCATTTTCAATTCTTCCTGGGCCACTTGTAGGTATGATATGTTTCAGTGCACATAATTCATCTGGTATTCTATTCATTTTTGCCAAGTAGACATTACTAAAGGTACCTGGATAATACAAAAATTTCTGCTTAGATATAAGAAAATGACATAAAATTTAAACTTTCTCTATTTCCTTGAAGAACGACAATGATACACTTGTCTTCAACCTTTCTCAATTTTGTATCCAAAAGGGTTAAATTACAATGAACTTTTAAAAGCTTGAAAATCTTGTGCTGTGTACAAATAGGGTAGGGTTCATACATCTACATGCATGATTAAGTGATGTTGAAGAATGTCACTTCCTCTCTCCATCCATCTTTCTTAATGCAAGTTGACAAAACATCATCTGGTAATGGTGGATAGTTAAACAGCAAATCATAGTTGATAGAAACTTAACTTGTCACTTGACCAAGGTTTTTGTTTCAAGTTTTTTTTGGCAAGAATATAATAGAAATTGGGAAAGAAAGAGAAAATGATTTTTTCATCATACATGTAGAAACACTAGATAAAACTAAGCTTCATAAATTTACCTTCTCCCACTTTTGAAAGTAAGGTGAATACATCTTCAAGTTCTGGGATCTTTTTCAAAAGCTCTCCAGCTTTGCTATCTCCAAACCCTAGAAATAAATTTGGTGCCATAAGATTAGAAGAAATGTTTTGCAATCCAATAACTGGATGATGATATTTGTATATAGCAATGTTCACAATATTGGTCTCAAGTCTTTGCGACTCATTCTCTCTCTAAGAGCTGCCTCTAACTCAATAATGAATTTATCATAATCACCTCTAACTGGAGCATACAGTCTGTATGTGCTTTTATTATGTTCAAGTAGGAAATGGTTTTTTACTAAAAGAGACACTAGTGATAATATGAACACTAAGCACCTTTGGAGGATACTGCACAAATACATGAAACACTAGGAAATACATGTAGTCTTAAATCAGTTGAGTTTTTTCCCAACTCATCTGATGACACTTTGTGCCTTTTTCTTTGTTTTATAGTCTGTCTAGGAGCAGAGAGGCAAGCTTGTATGTCAACACTCCTGTTATTGCCTAGTTTGTTGTGCAAATAGTCAATGGAAAGTGGTAGGCAATCAATTCATAAAGTTTGCAAAAGCTCAGTGTCAGAATGAACTGTTCTAGGCTGTTCAATGTATAACTGCATGATTTTCATGTGAAGTTAGCCTTTGGCTCACTATTTGTGGTATAAAAATGACTACAAGTTTGATTAATTTTTTTTTGTCCACACAGTAAACAAAATTATTTGTTGGTGCTTAAATGCATGAATTTAATTCTTTGACTTAACACAGGTGAGATGCCAACAGGTGAGAACCAGATTTTTTTTATCTCTCTCTCTAAAAAAATTCATATCTTCAAGCCTACACTGTATATGTGACATTGCATATACATATAAGAACCTGAATTACACACACACTTTCATTAGTTCTTACCTATGATCTATTGGAGGTCAAATTTATAGATGACCTTGCCATTAAGAAAAATTTGCTCTGATACTTTGTTATCATATAAAACAAATAGATTCTACATGTATTTGTACATGTGTCTGTTCAACAATAGATCACAGAAGAAGTAAGAATGTGGTAAGAGCATCAGTGTCACACTTGGTTAAACCTTGTGTTCCCATTTTTTGTTCTGACCACATTTTGACATCATATGTGAACTTCTAATGTACTGGGTCCAGTTGTATAAAAGGCAGATAATGTTATCCAGTGGATAAATCACTATCTGGCAGATAAGTGATAGCAAAGCATGTAGCATTTTCCATTGGAAAGAGTTTTATCCAGTGGATAGCGCTATCCAACCCTTGAACAACTGGAGCCAGATCCACGGCACCATGAGACTTAATTGTCAAATACTCAACAACATTGATGCAATTGCTTTAAAAGAGAAGGTCTATTTATATATATAGTACTTAGGCAACAGCCTGAGACAAGTTCTTCACAAAGAGACAAACGGTGTTCTTGTCAGTATATAAAAGCATATTTAACAAAGGTTTATGTTTTGGTTGTGCCTCTAAGATTGTCAACGAGTCAATTCACCACCGGTGGCAAGTTTGTTGTGGTGGATAGTTAATCGGATACCATAACAAATTACTATGAAAGGAAGGTGATATACTGATCTCCATATCGTCAACTTCATATGATATTTGTTTATGATAGATGCATGCATGTTGCAGCCAAATGGAGAATATTTCTGTTCAGTGTCATAACAGCTCGTTTGGCTTCGGCTAAGTTGCTCCATACAAGGCTGTGAGAGCGTAATTTTGAGCGTACCAAACTGGCTCTTTTCCGCATTAATGTGAAATTTGAGCCATGTCGACATATAATTATGATGGTGAACAGCTCTTCTGCACGTTTGCCATTGTTCAACAACATTTTAACTATCTAGTGTTTAACCTACCTTCTGCTACTTTTGGTGTCGAGTGCGGTGAAATGCGTTTCCGTTTCCGCTTCTCAGACGGTGAACAACTATCACCCTGAGCAGCAGTCTTTACTGAAGTGGAATTCGTGTTTTCGCCTATAGTCGAATCATGGTCGCTTTCCGAAAATTCTATTCCAATGCTTGCCTCAGTTCTGCATTCTTCCAACGCCATCGTAATTACAAATAATAATTCCTTCTGTGAAAAGTATCGGTACAATCCGTAGATCTATTAATCTATCGTATTTGGTGATCAAAAATAGTACATTCTTGAATGAAATGCTATCAAGAAACTCAACAACGACAATTAAACTGAACTGGACGCCGAGGGATTTACTATTCCCGCCAATTTTTCCCCAGTTGAACTATGGGAGAAAAAAATTTATCTTGAGGGGGTGGGAGTGAGGTGTATCGAGCTGAGTGACAAAGAAGACTAAGTTATCCAAATTCTTTTTTTAAAAGTTTATCACTGATTTGCAAAATGCTCGAAAAATTTCATATGATTTGCTGCTGCTCGTACCAACTCTTTTCAAAAGACAAAAATTAAGAGAGATAAGGAAATATTTGGACACTTGTTCGTGGTAAACAAGTTGCCAGCGTGGCGCTCGATATTAGAGCGAATTTGATTGGTTACATGTCAGTGTACCAATCTTCTTCCATGTTTTATCCCATGAACGCCTGGGAGAAACTGAAGTTCGGTAGGAATAATAACATTGAATATGGTCGTCCTATGATAATTCAGTCTCTGGACTCAGGGTAAACTAACTGTAATTGAATGACTAGGTGTAAATATCGCCAGTGTTCAAGGTTGTATAAAACATGAGCTGCCCGTCTGAAGCACTGTTTCCTTGTGGCAAAGGAGACAAATAGCACCGTTTCGAAATTACCTGTACTTCCAATGGCTTCAAACTCAAAATTAGTTTTGTTTACCAAAGATGTGCTTTGTTTGTGTAAACGAAGTGAACGTGTGAAAATACACTGTTGAAGTAAACATCTTGGAAGGACCCAGTGGGGTTTTTACAGCAGCCATGTTAGAAAGTTACATCACCCCAGTTTTGATGAGCTACGTCGACAAGTACATAAAGAATTTGAAGCCTTCAGACCTCAGTTTGTCGCTATGGGGCGGAGATGTTGTATTGTACAATTTAGAACTACGGCTGGATGTTTTGGAAAAGGTGAGAAAGATTGTTACCTCAGTTCTAGTTTTAATGAGCACCTCTTTTTCTGATAAGCCTAGAATGATCAAGATATTTATTGTAAGGATACTAATGTTTTAGAAAATGTTGCCGTTCATGGTGGTTTCATAGATAATGAATGGTTAATTGCTTGTCTCATCAGGTGAGGCAAATCAGTTGTATTGATTGCAACATTTTCAAAGGCTATACTACTAGTCTTTGTTGTCGAAATGCATGGAAGACAGCATGTAACATGTAAACTTTCAACCTTGTCACCTGACAAGAACTAGTTGTATGGCAATTGAATACATCACGGTCATCATGATTAGCCTGACCTACATTGCAAATAAGCAATGACACCTTTATTAACATAATAATGTTCTTCCAGGAATTACACCTGCCAATAACATTTCTCAGTGGGAAGATACACAAGCTACAGATCCATATCCCATGGACAAAGCTGGGATCAGAGCCAGTTGAGATCACCATCAGCACTTTGGAGTGTGTTGTCCAGTTGAAATATCCAGATCATAGCCCAAGTGATCAATCAAGTAAGGCCTCTGAGGCAGCTTCAGCCATTAGTGAAAATGAAAAAGAAGACCTTGAGAAGGTAATGGGGGGCAAAGAGGAGGCCCCTCCTTCTGGGTATGTTCAAAGCCTTATCAACCGAGTGATCAACAATGTATCAATATGTGTTAACAATGTTATATTGAAATACTTGGAAGATGACATTGTCTTGTCCTTAAACATCAAATCAGCTGAAACATTCAGTGTGAACAGCAACTGGGAGAAGGCTTTTGTTGATGTTGTTGCTCCTGACTTTTTGCTTCAGAAAGTATGCAATATTTCTGATCTGACCATCTGTCTTGATAAACGAAATTCCAGTGGGAAAATAGAACTCTACCAAGATCCGCTATTGTACAAGTGTGGTCTACGCTGTCGAATGATGTTGAAGTTTGACAGCCTTCTCAGACCCATTGAAACAAAGTTTAATGTGTATTGTGAATCTGCAGACATTTCACTTACAGATCAACAACTTCCAATGGTTATTAGATTGGCTACTCTATGTCTCAGTCTTTATGTTGGAACTCTAGATTTACCTGGTTCTGAGTACAAACCACACCCAGCAAAAAAAATTGTTGAGCAACAAGCTATTTCCAATCCAAATCTGAGTTTTACATCAGAACCACAAGAGGTCTCTACTCAGACAGGCAACCAGCAAAATCCAAATGATGAAGACTGGGTCAACTGGGTGTGGTCTTTTGTTCCTAATCTCACAGATGATCAGTCAGCACTGCTAGCAACACCTCCACCAACACCTCTACTGCTAGCAGGATTCTATGTTTCTCATGTGACAATTACTATTAAGTTGACAGGAAAGGTCAGTGATGGGAATTTTTTTGGTGGACAGAGATTTGAATTCAAGCCTATGTTGAGTTTTGAATTGTCAGGAGGAGCAGCTGAAATGGTATTGAGAGGAGATGAATTTTTTGACGCTCAGGTTGGTGTGTCATCCATCATTGGGTGGAATATTGGTAACTGTGTTTGTCGAAGTTTGGATGTGTCTTCAACAAAAGAAGGAATTGAAGCAGATGATAAGGTACAATCTTCAAGACAGTTATTAACTAAGGTTTTAAAGAACCACACAGAAATGTAATTACTATCATTGTAATGATAAGACAAAATTTAATATATTTCAATCAGTATTCTAGAAGAAATTAATGAACATGATGACTGTAAAGCTAAAATTGTTTTGTTAAATTAATTAATCGAGGTCAAAATGATTTTGAACCAATTGATGTGTACATGTATTTTCCTTTGTTTCTGATGAAGCATCATTATCCGTGAACAAAGAAGAACACAGTTAAAACGAATTCCATTGCAACATATGCTCTACTCTTCCATTTTATGGTGCAGTGACAATTGGTGAAGAATCTCTTTATCTTGCAGCATAGTGTACATTTGTATTATCACAGGCAGACCACACTATGTGTTTGTGGTTAGTAATTGTTGACATAAGACAAACAACATCTGAGGGTTATGAATAAAGCTCTGAAAATTTGACTGGCAGCCATTAAAGGAATTTGAAGCATGCAGACCATTTCAAATTTACCAATCAGCAATTGACTTTGTTTTGAACTGCAGTGGACTTCCATGGAAGTTGCAGCACCGTGTGGTTAATTTGAAATGGCCTGCATGCTCCGAATTCCTGTGGTCTGTATTGATGATTTCAGCATTGATTTTCTTGGAAAATGTTGAAGGAATGAAGCTCAAATTTGGTGAAGAGATAGAGCAACATCATCTCTAACTGTTGCCAGTTAGGAGAGATTTTCAATAGCTCGGAGTGTAATTAGAAATAAGCTTCTTCTTTGTAATCTTTTTCTAGGAAGATGTTTTTATCACCATTGCAAGTCATAGGGAAGATTCCTCTGATTCATCAGGATTTCTGACAGGTTCCTTGTTTGACAATGGAGAAAGATCTTCTCTAGCAATTCCTGATCTGACATTCGATGCAGAGGAATTCCTAAAGATACACAACGAGAAACTTGCCCTCAGGAGATATGGGGCTTTTTTTGCTGACTATTTGTACACAATGGAAATTGAACCAGAGAGTGATCAGGATGCTGGGGAAAATCAGTTAGAAGGGTTAGAAATTTTTGGTGAAATACGACTTGTGAAGGAGATGTCTTTCAAACGATTGATTGTGGGCCCAACACATTTACAGCTGTCAACAAGTATGATGCATAGATTGGAGCTTGTTTTGAAGCTGGCATTTGATGATATTGTTCCAAGAAAAGGTATGACCTACACAGTGTACATATCTCTTTGTACAGAGTAGTTTAAAGAGGTCATATGTATACATCACATGTACATCTTACCTTGCATTTACTCAAGTCCTGATGTCTGCATATGACCAAATATTCCATGGTAATTTTTACTATTGACAACAGTCATTTGAAAAAAAAATAGACCTCCCCATTTTAACTTTCATGATCATAACTATTTTCAAACCTCTGTGAAGTTGACCCTTGATGAGGAAATGGCCTGGCTGATTACCTAGGGTAAACACAGGATTTTTTTGATAGAAACTTGAATAACCAGAAGAAGAATCTTGCTGAGTAAGATGTTGAGCAATATATCATGAGCACACAACAAAGAAAAAATTCTAAGTGTTTGACAATGAGTCAGATCCCACAGCTTTGTGCTTTGATGTGGCATGGTATGAGGTCAACTCCTCAGGGAAGATTTCTTTCTTGAGTTCAGAATCTTCTGTGAATGGTTTCAGCAATGAAAAAGGAGTTTGATTTGAGCATGGTACTTTATTATATGCATGAATGCTACATGTATGTACTGCAATGTAATATGTTCAGTCTATTTTTTATAACTAATGCAGTTTTATTTTGTTGACATTGTAGAAAAATGTGAACCGTACTATGATGAGTTCATTGAGAAACAGCTTCTGGCAGGCAACATTCCAGCTCGTAATTCCAGCATCACCCTGGTGTCGTTTACTGCTACTCTACCAGCTGCTGACCATGGAAAGATGTCCCAAGGTCCTCTACTGCACCACACAAACAGCAGCACAGAGCTACACACTGTCTCCTCACAGTTGTCATTACAGAGCATTCCTGATGTAATTATGAAATATGTTACCTAATTAAAGCTGTCTCAAAAGTTTACTGTGCATGTAGATCTAAAAACTGGGGAACTCTTAGAATTGAATTTTGAGTTGTGGGATTTGTTTATCCATGCCAGTTAATCTTTTGAATTTCATTGTTCATTGTTTTGAACGTCATGACATTGATAGTGATAGATATTAGGTGTTGAGGAGTCTTAAAAGAATCTTTTTTCTTCAAAGGAGTCTTCAGAGATTTATTTTTGATAATGCTCAGCACTTGCTTCACATTTCCTCCCTTAACTATATAAAAAAATTCCTTCAATAAAAGTGGGTGATGCAAGAGGAGCAACTTGGTACTGTTATTCCTCTTTGTTAGTCCATTTCATGTTTTTCCCACTTTCTTACAATTTCCAAGATGTTTTTTACACAGCTTTGGGTGTTTATTAAGCCAGAGAGGGAGTGATTGACTGATGTGGTGTTCTATTTGATGAGAGTATCTTTCTTTCCAGGTTG